CGCACTCCTGGATGGCCGAGACGGCGCGCTGCAGGACGGCAATGTGCTGCGGGTGGGGCGACGAGGGTAGGTCAGCGAGACGGTCCAGGAGCGGGCTCGGCTCGACCGCGTTCGATGCGTACGTCACGCAGGAGGAGGGCGGTGCGGGCGGGGTCGTCGGCTTGACGCATGAGGTCGCTCGAGCTGTAGCCGGAGGGAAGAGTCGGGTCAAGGTGGTGGGGCGACGAGGAGGGAAAGGGGCAGGACGCACTGCAGGTCGAGGCCGGCGGTGAAGCCCTTGGCAACGTCGCTCGTGAGGACGACGCAGCGCACATCGTTGTCGGTGCTCGCGGCGCGGAAGACGTCGTCGAGCTGCCGGAAGAGGTCGGTTGAGAACGCGTTGACGGGAGGGCGTGCGAGGGCGAGGACAAGCACGCCGCCCGAGGGGAAGGTTGCGTTGATCAACTGGGCGGCGTAGGTGGACGGCATCGTGAGCGGTGGGACTGAGAGCGACGACGAGGGAGAGGCGACAGGCCGGGCCCGGCTTGGCTCGGTTCCTCGTCCCGCTCTACCGCCGAGCAGCGCCTGTCTAGCTTCAGTGCCACTCGAGCAGTGCTCACGGGCACCCTCCGCCTTTGCGCGACTCGCCCACGCCTATCCCCGCTCCGCGGCGGCCCTCATCGCTCGTCGCCCTCGTCCCTCGTCGCCGACCTGGCGCACTCGCTCGCAAGGCTCGCCACCCGCCTTGGCCCGGTCCTTCGGCCTGTCACCTACCCACCTGCAGCGGCGCGCGCCTCGTCGAGCTGTTTTCGTCCCTCCCAACTCCGCCAGCCTCCTCGCCCGCTCCCGACCTCGCCTTCGCCCGACACTCACCCACGCCGAGCGCGCACGAGCACCATGCCGCCCGACACGATCAGTGTCACCTTCCTCGGCACCGCCGCAGGGCGTCCCTCGACCACCCGCAACGTTTCGTCGCTCGTCGTCAAGCTCGACTCGAAGCTGTGCGTCCTCGTTTCGACTCTTCTCCTCAGCGCCTCTCGCCCAGACATACGTCGAGCGGCCAGCTGACCACCTGTGTGTCCGCAGGTGGGTCTTTGACGCGGGCGAGGCGACGCAGCACCAGTTCATGGACGACCGCTGTAGCTTGTCGATGAGCCGGGTCGCCCGCCTCTTCATCACGCACATGCATGGTGCGCCGACTGTTCCCCTCGGCCTCTCTTACGTCTCGGCGACGGGCAGGTGGTCGGCGCAAGACGCCAATGCCGGCCCTGTCGCTGTCGAGGAACCGTCTGATTGACCCTCCCCCCTCAACCCTTGCAGGCGACCACATCAACGGCCTTCCGGGCCTCCTCTGCACCATCAGTGCCGGCGAGGGGAGCGTGCTGCCCGGGCAGGAAGACCCACGACTCGGCGGCTCGCAGGGTATTGTGCGTCCCCCTCTCACTCGCCGTCGCACGAGCCAGGGGCAGGTGTGACTGCCCTAGGAGGAGCCGACCCTGACCTATCTTTGCATGCGCCCTGCGCAGCCTCCGACCGAGATCTACGGGCCGTCAGGCCTGCGCCTCTTCCTGCGCACCTGCCTCGCCCTCACCCAGTCGATCCTCTCCCGGCCTTATGTCGTCCACGAGCTCCTGTTCGCCGACGAGCCCGAGGAGGTCGGCGAGCTGCACCCGAGCGAGAGGCGCGGGAGGAGCATCCGGGCCGACGAGCGGGGCTTCTGGAGAGACGTCGTCGGCGAGGCAGAGGGCGGCGGGGTGAGCGTGTCGGCCGGCCCGATACAGCACACGAGTGAGTCCCGCACCCTTCTCTCTCTGTGTCTCTCGTGTCCCTCTGCGCATCTCGTACGAGTACTGATGAGGCCCGCCGACACACAGTCCGCTGCCTCGGCTACCTCCTGTCAGAAGCGCCTCGAGCGCTCCCCATCCAGCCCAACCTGTACATCCCGCACCTCAAAAAGCCCGCCAACGCCGCCGCACTCGCCGCGCAGGGCATCAAGAACCCGCTCTCGATCCTGTCGCAGCTGCAGACGTCGCGCGAGCCCGTCACGCTCGCCGACGGTACGGTCCTGCGCCCGCCCGACCCGAACCCGCACGGCGGTCGGCGCGTCATGATCCTCGGCGACACGTTCGACGCGCGCGCCTTGGTCGAGCTCGTGCGCCCGGCGGACTCGAGCGGCAAGCCGGCTGCCGGCGAGGTCGACCTCGTCGTGCACGAGTCGACCAACGCGTACCTCCCGACGTGGGACGACTCGCACGCGCCGAGCAAGCAGCGCGACGGCGCGCTTGTCACCGAGGCGAGCGTGCGCGCCCTCGCGCGCGAGCACGGGCACAGCACGCCGCAGGTCGCCGGCGAGTTTGCGCGCCTCGTCGGCGCGCGCGAGCTCGTCCTGAACCACCTCAGCGTCAAGTACCCGGACCCAGACGCGCGAGGGGCCCAGGGCGCGAGCGACGAGAGCCGGGCCAAGTGGCGGGGCATGCTCGGCGAGATCGAGCGCCAGGCGGACGAGGCGTTGCGAGGAGGCGGGCGCGTCGACGAGGGCGTGGAGGTCGAGGGCAGCCGGACGGCGAGGGTCCGCACGGCGAGCGACTTTATGACGGTCGACGTCGTCAGGAGGGACAAGCGGCAATGACCAGGGCTGCAGGTCGAGCCTGTCTGCGGCGAGTCGTCGGGCACGACGAGGCGAGAGAGATCGCGAGAGTTGGCTTCCTCTCTCGCTCACACCCGGTTTCGGCCGTTCGGGAAGGCAGTGCAGCTGCTTCTGTGAGCGTACTGAGCACCGACAGTGAGTGCGAGAGGGACGATAGCTGGCTCGAGATCAGAGAGTCGAGCCAAGGTCCGCTCGTCATCTCCGTCGCTTCACCGCTCGATGGCCACCTCGTTCCCGACTGCCAGGGGCCTGCTGAGCGAGACCGAAGGCACTCAGCCCTCGCTGTCCAACGGCCGTCCGCGCACCGAGCGACCGCGGCACCACGACCTCGCCGACCTCTCGCTCGACCAGGGCGACTCGATCCTGCTCCCCGACGGCAAGCGCGTCAGGCGACCCGTGTTCCCGGCCAACAAGGCCAACTACCACCGAGTACCTCGTGCGTCCCACTCTCCCCTCGCCTCGCTCGTCCCCCACCCCGCGCCACTTTCTCATCGCTGACTCTGGTCGTCGTCGAGCAGCGCACCTCCTCAAGCCTGATGGCACGCCCAACTACATGCTCCTGTCGCTCAACAGCAGCGTCTACTCGATCCTGCCCGACGGCACCCCGCTCACGCCCGCCGTCTCGGTGCGTCCCCTCCCTCCACTCCCGCCGCTCCTCGTCGATCATCTCGACCTGACCCTCACCCTGCCCACACAGCTCTCGCAACGGCTGGGCAACCAGATCTCGTTCAAGCGCGAGGACCTGACGCCTGTCTTCTCATTCAAGCTGCGCGGCGCCTACAACCTCATGCGCCAGCTCACCGAGGAGGAGCGCTGGCGCGGCGTCGTCGCCTGTTCAGCAGGTGCGCCCCTACGACCCTCCTCTCTCCCTCCCTCGCGACCATTTCCTGACCCTCTCGCACTCGCAGGTAACCACGCGCAAGGTGTCGCCATGTCGGGTCGCGAGCTCGGGGTCGCCTGCACCATCGTCATGCCGCTCAACACGCCCTCGATCAAGTACCAGAACGTGGAACGCCTCGGCGCCAAGGTCGTCCTTCACGGTGCCGACTTTGACGACGCGCAACGCGAGTGCGGCCGCCTCGCCAAGCTCCACGGCCTCACCCTCATCCCGCCGTTCAACGACCCGCACATCATTGCCGGCCAGGGCACCGCCGCCGTCGAGCTCTTGCGCCAGACCGACGTCGGCAAGCTCGACGCCGTCTTCATCCCCGTCGGCGGCGGCGGCTTCCTCGCCGGCATGGCCGCCTACATCCGCGCCGTCGCGCCGCCGCACGTCAAGATCGTCGCGGTCGAGACGCACGACGCCGACGCGCTCGCCCAGACGCTCCGGGCAGGCGAGCACCTCACGCTCAACGAGGTCGGCCTGTTTGCGGACGGGACCGCCGTGCGCAAGATCGGCGACGAGACGCTGCGAGTTTGCGCCGAGCTCGTCGACGAGATCGTCCTCGTCTCGAACGACGAGCTGTGTGCCGCCATCAAGGACGTCTTCCAGGGTGCGTCACACTCGTCTTCGCCGTCTTCTTGTGTCGCAAGACCGGCACTGACTCGCGCTTGCGCCTGCAGACACGCGCTCGGTCCCCGAGCCGTCCGGCGCCCTCGGCGTCGCCGGCGTCAAGAAGTACATCCAGCAGAACAACCTCATCGGCAAGAACAAGCGCTTCGTGTCGGTCGTGTCGGGCGCCAACATCAACTTCAGCCGGCTGCGGTTCATCGCCGAGCGAGCCGAGCTCGGCGAGGGCAAGGAGGCGATGCTCAGGGTCATCATCCCGGAGACGCCCGGCTCGTGCGTCCCGCTTTCTCTTCTTCTCTCGACGCTGGGTGAGTAGCCCTCTGACCAAGCCCTCGCACCTATGCAGTTTCCTCGCGCTGCACTCGGTCATCCACCCTCGCGCCGTCACCGAGTTTGTGTATCGCTATTCGTCGTCCAAGCGGGCCTTCATCTTCCTGTCGTTCTACCTCGCCTCGTCCTCGTCGCGGCTGCAGCCCCCACCACCCGGACCCGCCAACGGCACCTCGACGCCGGCACTTTCGCCCGCCGAACAGCGGGCCGCCGAGCTGTCGTCGATCCAGAGCAGCCTCTCGGCGCAGGGCATGTCGGCGCTCGACATCAGCGACAACGAGCTCGCCAAGTCGCACGCGCGGTACCTCGTCGGCGGCAAGCGCAAGGTCAAGAACGAGCGCATGTTCCGGTTCGAGTTCCCGGAACGGCCCGGCGCGTTGCGCAAGTTCCTCGAGACGCTCGGCAGCGGGCTCAACATCAGCCTGTTCCACTACCGCAACCATGGCGGAGGTGCGTCCTCGCTCACTTGCCTCTCGAAGCCTTGGCGAGCGACCAGAACTGACCATCCTCGTCCCAACCTCCTCGCCCTCTTCCTCGCGTCCGCCCTGTCACTGTCACTCTCGCCCTCTCCTCCTCGCCTTCGTCGACTCGATCGCCTCCTCCTGCCGGTTCTCCTTCCCTTTGTCTTCCGTCCGCCATCGTCTCGCTCCGTCACCGCCCTCGTCGCCTCGACAACTCGCCTCGACGCTCTCTCTCTCGCGCCGACAGACGTCGGCAAGATCCTGTGTGGCATCCAGGTTCCGCCGTCCGAGGGCGAGGCCTTTACCGAGTGGCTCGACTCGCTCAAGTACCCGTACGTCGAGGAGACGGCCAACCCGGCTTACGCCGACTTTCTCGCCGAGGACGACGAGACCGACAGCGAGGCCGAGGGCAGGTAGACTCGAGCGGCAGCAGGACGAGCGCATCGTGTTGTATTCCTATCAGCTCGCACGCACGCCTTTTCGTGAGAGCGCTCGAGCGAGAGGGACTGTCTTCGTAGGAGAGAGAAGGCCCGAGCGGTCTCGAGTTTCGAGGAGACGCCGCGCGAGCACCGAGGGACGCTCTCGGAAACTCTCGAGTCGCTGCAGCATGTCAATATCTCACGAAAAAGGCAGCAGACAGCCGCAGGCAGAAGAGAGACTGCGAGAGATTTTGCTCGAGTTGCGACGAAACGACCGATACCAAGACCTCTAAAAACGTCCTCGCCTCCCGCTCCTCGCGCCCACGCCCTCGTCAACCCTCATGAACCTCGCTCCGCCCGTCAGCCCGAACGCGACCGGCTGCTCCTCACTTGGCGAGGCTCTTGGGCAGGCCCTCGGCGTCGAGGAGGCCGTCGGTCGCGCTGTCGAGCGTGCGCGGGCCGTCGCCGACCTTTGTGTGGATGACGCGTGCGACGGCGCCCTCGTCGTGCTGCGGGATGACCTTGGCGTTGAAGCCGTCGAGGCCGGCGACGCGCTCCTTGCTGCCGGTCGGCGCGACGCCCGTCGCGAACGGGTCCGGGAACGAGGCGGCCGACTGGGGAAAGTACTGGAGGACGACGTCGAGGACGAGCTTGACGTCCTTTTCCTGGACGTACAGGACGGCGTTGGGCCCGGCGTCGTACGTGTAGGCGGCGACGGCGCGGCCGGACGCGCGGTTGAGCTCGGTGACGAGCTGGATGACGGCGCGCGAGACGTCGTTGAGGTAGAAGATGGGCGGGACCGTGTCGAGGCACACGGCGTGGAACTGGTTCGAGTCGGCCATGGTCTCGAGCGCAAACTGGTCAAAGTCGCGCTCGCGGATGGCGCGCGAGATGCGGTCCATGCGCTCGGGCACGACGTGCTTGATGCGGTGCTGGAGGAGGGCCGAGGTGGCGACGGTGCGCTGCATGCCGGCGGTCGACGGCGTGCCCTTCTTCTTGTCGCTGACGACGAGGATGAGGGCGTGCAGGTCGGGCCAGTGCGACGCCGGGGCGACCTCGACCGCGACCGAGTCGGCGCCGTCGGCGCGCTCGCCCTGCTCCCACGCGACGTAGCCGCCAAACATGGACCGGCACGCCGAGCCCGAGCCCTGGCGGGCGATGCGCGACAGGTCCGACTGCGAGACGCCGTGCGCCTCGAGGTCGTACAGGCGCGCGAGGGTCGCGATCAGGGCCGACAGGCCCGACGCCGACGACGCGAGGCCGGCCGCGGTCGGAAAGTTGTTCTCGGACGCGATGTGGAGCGGGTGCGACGAGAGCTTGGGGAGGGACGAGTTGTCGGCCTGCGTGCGAGAGGGGAAACGAGGGGGTTAAACGAGGGGGTCAGTGCAACGCTCGACAGCTCGGCGCGAGAGCCGCATCGATGGCGGTAGAGCGGACTGTGTAGGCTCGTGCGAGTGAACGTGGCGGCGCACCTCGATTTTCTGGCGGAGCGAGCGCATCTCTGCGAGGCACCTGGCGGTGCGGCCGCCCTCGTTGATGTCCTCCTCGTCGCCGTTGAGCCACAGGCGGTCGCGGGGCGAGGTCGAGGTCGAGGTGGACGAGGTGATGCAGCGGGCCGTGGTAAGGGAGCGCAGGTGGTCTTGGGAGAGGGTGACGGACAGGGACGAGTTGGTCGGGAGGATGAGGGACGTGTCGCGCTTGCCCCAGCTGTGGACGCAGAGGGGGTCAGGGAGGGTGCCTCGTGTGGAGGCTCTCGAGACTGCAGGGAAAAGCAGGACGCACTACTTGACGACGCTGCGAGGTGGGGGAGAACAAGGGGAAGGAGGAGAGGAGAGCGACAAGGGCGAGGGCGGCGTGGTGCAAGTGGGTCAGTGTGGGCCCGAGTCGGTGCGTGCCCGAGTGGTCGAGTGGACGCACGCAATGTTGACCTGCGAGAGTGAGGAGCGAGGGGAGGCGACACGAGAGCGAGGTGCGAGCGGTGAGCTCGTCGTCGTCACCGAGGGGCGAGGGAGAGAGGGACGGACCGGTGCGGTGCAGGTAGCCTGGTACACGGTGTCTTGCGATGCGCTCATCGTGGCTCTGTGCGGTGGATGGCGAGAGATGGAGGGGAGGATCGTTCGATGAGATGAGGCACGGCGAGGGCGAGTCGGGACACGCGGCCAAGGCGGGGGCGGGTCAGTGCGGGTCCCTCGAGTAGACTGAGAGTGTGCATGGGTGCTCACGGTGGCTGCTGGACGTGTGAGAGGAGCGAGAGCTGAGGCGACGAAGAGCTGCAGACGCGTCGATCCACGCTCTCGCCTGGTTCCCACAGCTCTGTCGCAAGCCATGGCCCGCTCAGTCGTGCGTGGGACCCTCTCTATCACTCTCGCAGCCCCCGACCACCCTCGACTGACTCCAACCCGCGTCCCCGCACGTGCAGAAGCGCCGCAACCGCGACGACGACGCCAACGACTCGGACCACACCGACTACGACTCGGGCAGGGCCGCCAAGCGCTCACAGCCCTCCAAGAAGCGCAAGTCGACTGCCTCGGCAAACTCCAAGGCCAAGCGCGCCGTCCGCCCCCGCGACTCGGACGACGACCTCGACGACGACGACGACGCGTCCGACTCGGACAACGGCGGCCACAAACCCGCAAAGGGCGAGCTCAGCGACGACGTGCGTCCCCCCTTCCTCCTCTCTGTTGCGCGTACCCGGGCCTGGCAGGTCCAGGTCACCAACTCACCCTCCTCGACCTCCCTCCCTCCTCGACCCGCCCACAGGAGAAGAAGCACTACATCCAGGCCTTTGTCCGCTACGTCCTCTTCAACGAGTCGCACAGGCGCGTCCTCAAGCGCGACGACATCGTCAAGAACGGTCCGTCCTCGTCTACCTCGGCGCCTCGCCTCTCTCGACTCGACACGCTCGTCGTGCTGCGTCAGAGCGGCTGGCGCGACAGGAACCCGTAGACTCACTCAGACCTCTTCCCTCGACAGTGTTGACCGACGGCCGCTCGAGGCACTTCAACGCCCTCCTCCCCAAGGTGCAAAAGGTGCTCAAGGACGTCCTCGGCATGGAGCTGCACGAGCTTCGCCCTCGCGAGACCGCCTCGGGCAAGTGTGCGTCTCCCCCTTCCTTCCATTTCCATGTCGACGTGCAGCGTACGGAACCCGAGTCCTGACCTCGCACCTCGTCGCCCGTACTCGCAGCGCAAGGCCGAGCATGGATCGTCCGCTCGACCATTCCGCAGCCGCTCCTCCGCCACGCCGCGACCCACCGCTACCCAGAGCTCGCCGCCTCGACCTCGGACGATGCCTCGACCTCGGGCAAGAAGTCGCTGCGCGCTGAGCTCGCGGCGTGGCAGGCCGACAGCGAGCCGGTCCCGGGCGACGACGACGCCGAGGGCCTCGAGGCGGCCGTCATGCGCGACGTCAAGCGCGAGGAAGGTGCGCTGTACGGCGTCCTCGGCGTCGTCCTCGCCCTCATCCTCGTCAACGGCAAAGTGCTCGGCGACGGTCCGTCCCTCCTTTCTTTCTCTCCTTCGCCCTGCCCCTCGTCCACTGCGAGTCCTTCTCGTAAAGTGCAGCTCACTGACTCGACTACGCGTGCCCACAGACCAGCTCATCTCGTACCTGCGCCGCCTGTCCCTCACGCCCTCGACCGTCCTCCCTCTCTCGCTCGCGTCGCCGCACCCGTCCTCGATCACGCTCTCCGTCTTCCTCAACACGCTCGTCAAGGAGCAGTACCTCGAGCGCGCCAAGACGGCCGCGACGGGCGGGACTCAGGCGACGCAGCAGGGCGGTGCCACCGGTCGGGGCGGAGCAGGCCCGTCGAGGACCCAGCGCACCAACGCGCAGGGCGACAAGGCCGAGTCGGGCGACCCGGCCATCGACTGGCGCTGGGGCCCGAGGGCCGACGCCGAGCTCGGCGAGGTCGGCGTCGCGCGCTTTGTCGAGCGCGTCTTCCTCGCCCAAGGTGCGACCTACGGCGACGGCGGCGACGACGGCGACGAGGGCGCCGCCGAGCGCAAGAAGAAGGGCGACAAGCTGAGGAGGGAGGTGGCGAGGGCGGCCGGCGTCAAGGTGCTCGCCGGGACCGAGACGAGGAAGGCCGCCCTCGAGCGCGACTGAGCGGGAGCGGGGCGTGCGGGCGAGCTTGTGTGCGATCCAGGGCCCGAGGTGGCCGTCTGTGCAGCTGTTGTACTTGCCTTTGCTCTCTCTCTGTCCGTCCCTCTGTGGCGACGAGCGAGCGAGTTTTGCGAGATCTGGTCGGCCCACTCGAAAGGCCGTCCGGCTCGTCTCTATTCCAGCGCGCACGCCTCGCCGACCTCTACGACCTCGACACCGATACCGGCAATGAGCACCTGCCACCGCGCTTCCTCGCTTTCGTCCGAGCATTCACCTGCAGGACGGCGCAGCACCGCCTGAGCGCCACAGTCGGCCACGTTGAGCGGCGTCGAGTCGGACAGCTCGAGCTCGAGTGCGGGTCCAGTCGTGGTGGCGGTCGAGGAGGAAGGTTTGCGCGACAGCGAGTAGAGGTTGAGGCGCTGCTCGGCCGACGAGGAGGCGAGGATCGTCGGCGAGAGAAAGTCGAGCCCTGTCGCAAGTAGAGAGAACGTCATGAACACGTGCAACTCGAGATGGCGAGGGCGAGAGGTTCGGAGACGGTGCTCACCTTGAATCGAAGAGGCATGGGCGCCTGAGAGCGTCGCGTGCTCGACGAGGCGGGCGCAGAGCGGCCCGCTAGGGCCGTCGCTCGAGGACAGCTCGAGCGAGCCGACCGACAGGGCGTTGTCGTCGCCGCCAGTCGCGATCATGAGGTGCTGCTCTGTATCGGTGTGTAGGACTTTGAGGTTCGGTGCGGCCAGCGAGAGTGAAAAAGGTGGGCGCACTCGAACAGCTGAGCGCGAGCGCGTTGACGCCCGACTGGTGCGGCCGGAACGCGAACGAGGGTGGCGAAAGATGTGCGCCTTGAGGCAAAGATGAGGACAGGACGAGGCTGCGAGGCGTGAGAAGGTCGTCAGTCGGCGGGTCGAGGAGGGGAACGAGCGCTGGCGAGAGGAGGCGCACCTTGTGACGTCCCTCAAGGCGAGCCTGTTTGACGATGTCGAAATAGTCAGTACGCAGTCCGATGAGAGATGTAGAGGTCCTCGGGGACGAGAGAGAGGGATAGGGGACGCACAGTCCGTCGCTCGCCCCCGTCACGACGACCCATCGCCGCTCGACCTCGCTCAGCTCGACCTCGACGACCTCGACCGACAGGATGCACTTGCTCGCCTCGACTGAGCGGGCGACGAGGCTGAAGCTGCTCGAGCGGGCGTCATGTCCCCAGATCTGCGGCGAGGGTGGGCTCGAGCCAGTTAGGAACGCTTCGAGGCGCGCACGAACGGGAGGACACCCGACGCACCTTGAGCGAGCCGTCCGAGTACCCGACGACGACGAGGTGACGTCCTTCTGCGGCCGCACCGAGCGCCGCCACAGCGAGGTCCATCGCGCGCACCTCGCCGCCCTCGCTGCTGATGACCTGGCCCGCCGGGAGCACGTTGAGCTCGCCCTCAAGGCTAGCCGATGACGATGAAGATGATGATGTCGACATGATGTAGGCCTGCAGAAGCTCTTGTGCGCCGCAGACGAACAGGGTGTGCAACTCGCGGTCGCCGCACGAAGAGGAAGGACGAGGCGACCAGGCGAGCTCTTTGAGCGCCGACGGGAGGTTCCTTGCGGTCCACAAGGGCGTCATCAGGCATGTCGAGTTGCACACTGCGCAGGCGAGAGAGAGCGGAGGAGAGGAAGGAGATGTGAGTAAGTTGTTGTGGGTCGACGAGAATCCGAGAGAGGAACGAGCGCGACGCACGTTGGGAAACGCTGAGTACGCCGTTCTCGGCGGCGGTCGCGACAAAAGCGTGGCCCTTCTGCGTCTGGACGGCCTCGATGGCCCTGATCTCGCGACCGTGTAGGCCTGGAAGAAGGAAAGGTGCCGAGAAGGTCGGGGCGGCCGGGATCGACTGGACGTGCACCTGCGACAGGCCAGAACGACGGTCAGTCCAGTCGCTCGTTGACGTAGGAGGTATGGCGAAGCGTACTTGACCCGGAACGACGCGGTAGAAGCGCATGGACCCGCTGCTCGAGCGGACGAGCTGCGACGGGACCTTCTTGGACGGGTTGTCGAACGACTGGATCTGCGAGAGGCAGGAGGGTAGGACGAGGGGGTAGGCAGGTCAGGGGATCTGCTCGCTGTAGGTGAGAGAGGGAAGGCGGCGTACAAGTTGTCCGAGATGATCGAGAAGAACGGTGCGGCCGTCGTTGTGAGCGAGGTACCGCTCGCCTTGATCGCCCAACGAGATGACCTGCGCATGTACGTGAAGCGTGTCAGTCGTCATTCGACGGCAGGACGGCGCCGCTGAGAGAGGAAGGAGAAAGAGCACGCACCTGCTCGAGAGCTCCTCGGTGAAGCACCCTCTCGTCCAACCGCTCGAACCCCACCGACAGCCCTTCTCCCTCGCCTCGGACCTCGAGCCGCGTGACACGCCGCGCTCCGTCCCGCCCAACGCTCGTGACCGCCCAAGCCGGTCCGTCCCCCCCACGGCGCGCGCACAGGTCGACGATCCCGCCGTCGTGCAGCCCGTTCAGCACGCCCAGCCGCTCGAGGCTGCCGCCTGCGCATGCCGAGTAGAGCTCGATCGAGCCCGCCGAGGTGCCGAGGAGAAGGAGGGTCGGCGAGAGGAGGTGCAGGGCGGTCGACGCGCGAGCCGGGTCGGCGGGCAGGACGATCGAGGCGATGATGGCGGGTGCGGTCTGCAGCGCACAGGCAGGTGATCAGTCACGTGTTTGTCAGGGCGATGAGAGGAGAGGACCAGAGTGCGCACTTTGAGCGGGTCCGACAGGTCGACCTCGAGAAGCGCCACCTTCCACGCCGCACGGTCCCACACAGCGACCCGCACTCGCCCCTGGTCGTCCTCGTCCAGCCTCGGCGACACAAGCGCGGGTCGCACGTCGAACGCCGTCTCGACAACCTCGCCGAGGAGCGCCCGGACGCTCGACAGCCGAGCGCGCAGGAACGCGCCGCGGTTAGAGAAGGCGAGGAGGGTGAAGTGGCGGGCACGAGTCGAGGTGGTGTCGCAGGGTGATGGTACGAGGCGGAAAATGCAGGTCGGCGAGACGCCGCCGAATGCTGTCGAGGTGTGGAAGGGTGGGAGGTGGAAGGGGAGGGACGAGGACGTGGCGGACGAGGTCGAGGGGGCAAAGTCGGCGACGAAGGAGCTGCGCGTCGCTCCAAGCGTCAGTGCACGGGAAAAGGGACGCTTGAGAAAGAGGAAAGAGGTCGGGCGCACCCGTCGTCCCGGAGCACGACCACCATATCGCCGCCGTCCTCGTCGCCGCCCACCGACTCGGCCGCCACGAAGGCCTTGACCTTCGACCCCTTGCGGGCCCTCGTCAAGCTCCTGCTGCCCGCCATCTCGCCGCCTGGCGACTCGACTGGCCCGCTCGGCGGCACCACCCAGCTCCGCAGCGCTCCGTCCGCACCGCCCGTCAAGACGACCCGCCGACCGTCCCGCTCACTCCCGACGCCCTCTGCGCCCTCGACCGCCCACAGCGACCGTCCATCGTGCCCGTCGCGGAACGTCGCGACGAGCTCGTAGCCCTTGTCGGGCGCTGCCGCCGAGGACGAGGCTCGCGCCGCGGACGGGTCGAGCGAGGCGAGCGAGACACGCCACACGCGTGCGGTACCGTCCTCGGCGACGCTCGCAATGTCGATCTCTTCGAGCGAGGAGCGGGCCGAGATGCCGGCTGCGGTGTACGGGGCTGGAGGCGGACGAGGACGAGGAGGGAAGGTCGTCGGGGCGAGGAAGACGGCTCGCCAGACACGCGCCGAGTGGCCCCATAGCGCGAGGTGCGGGTGCTCTATGGCGGGTGCAGGCGGTGTCGACGACGATGGCGGTGACGGCGTTCGAGGAGGGAGGAGGGCGAGGTTCCAGACGCGGAGCGTGCGGTCGTCCGAGCCCGTGACGAGGAAGCCGGTGCAGGGCGAGAAGGCGACAGTGAACACGGCGCCCTGTGTGACAAAGTTGTTGACGAGGATGAGCGAGGCCGCTCGCGGACGAGCGCTCGGGCCGAGAGAGCGGAACAGGTCGACGCACCTTGTGCCCTGCGAGCCGCCGCAACGTCTCGTCTCTCGCCATCACCTCGCGATGCCCAACCCGACCTGCCCCGACAACCTTCTCGCGCAGGGCCATCGCCGAGCCAACGTCCCACAGGAACGTGTCGCCCCACAGGCTGCCGGCGCCGAGCCGGATGCCGCCCTCGTCGCCTCGCGCCGGGTCCGAGTGGTAGTGCTGGCGGTCGAAGCGGGTGCACCAGAGTGTCGGGCGCTGTGGCGCGTTGAGCGAGTAGAGAGGGCGAGTCGACGAAAAACCGAGGCTGGCTCGAGGAGGTGAGGAGGAGGAGGTCGTGGAGGAGGGGAAAAGGCGGAAGACGTGGATGGTGTTGTGCAGGGTTGAGATGAGGACGAAGTCGTTCTGTAGAGCGTCCCATGCGTGTCAGACCGTGGGCACTGACACAGGAGAGCGAGAAGGAGGCATCTCACGTCGAGAAAAGCGGCGTCGCCGGCAAAGTCGTCGAGGTGGAACCGTTGCATGACCTCGAGGTGGTCGCCGTCGCTATGTGACTCGGCTCCGTGTCAGCGTGTGCTCGCGCTGGCTGATCGAGAGAGGGAAGGAGGACGGACCGGTCGAGGTCGACGAGCACCGCCTCCTTGCCGCCGACGACGAGCGCGCGCAGGCCTTGGGCGCTTGACGGCTGGCCCGAGTCGGCGAGGACGATGCGGTGTATGCGGTCGCGGTTGAAGACGGACCAAGTACGGGTCGGGCGGGTGTGCGAGGGCGAGTTGAGCAAGACGAAGGTGAGGAGGCGGGCCGAGCCAACGAGGGCAGCGCTGCGACCAGGAAGTGGAGCGATTGCAGTGACAGGAGCACTCGAGGTAGTCGTGGCTCGCACTTGAGCAGCACGGGCTGAGGCGGGCATGGACGGACGAGGCCAAGCGAGAGAGCCGGGGCGGTTCGCTCGTCTGTTCCTCGTTCCACCTCGACACCCGCACCAGGCGACCTTGCTCGCGCTCGTACACGGCTGCAGCACACTCTAGCTCCCACCTCAACCGCCCCGCACACCGCCTCACCTCGTCCTCGTCGACCCACTTCATCGCCTCGCCTCCTCGAATTGACGCGTCCGTCCCCTCTTCACCGCCTCTGCGGGACCGCACTGACGCGCACCGGCACACAGAACCTACCATCGAGCCATGAGCGGCGAGTCCAAGATCCCCGTCGCCCGCGTCAACCGCATCGTCAAGGCCGACAAGGAGGTCCGCCTCTGCTCCAAAGAGGCCGTCTTCCTCATCTCCAAGGCCACCGTGAGCTCCCCCTTCGTCCTCTCCGACACTCTGCGAATGCATGCTGACCCTTTGCGGTCCCCCTCTCCCACCTCCCTCTCGCCCCGTCCCCACCCCCTCATCTCCCCTCTTCCTGCTCCTCGCCCGACAACCTTGCAGGAGTTCATGATCGCCCGCATGTCGCAGCAGGCCTACCAGCATGCGCGCCTCGCCAAAAAATCGTCCAAGCTCGTCAAGTACGCCGACCTCGCCGCGACGTGCCAGACCGACCAGTGGTACTACCTCGGCGAGGTCATCCCGCCGAGCCGCCCCTTGCACGAGGCCCTCTCGCTCCGCCAGCACAACGAGGACGTCCTCAACGCGCCCGCCGCCGTCACGAGCGCCGCCCCGGAGCGCGCGTTCGAGGGCAAGCGCGTCCTCAAGAGCAAGGGCAAGAAGGGCCAGCCCCTCGTCGGCGTCGACGGCGAGGTCGCGGCCCGCAAGACGCGCGGCAAGAAGATCCGCCTCCCGGCGGGCGAGGGCGGCTCGGGCGACGACGACGGCGATGACGACGCGAGCGCGAGTGGGGGCGACAGCGAGAGCGCGTACGAGGACGACGGCGGCGCAGGCGCCATGGACGTCGACGGCTGAGCTGGGCTCGCGAGGTCCGTCTCTGTAACGCGCAATCTTCAGTACCCTCTCCCTGTCGGACCGAGAGCGTTCGCAGTGGCCGAGGTGAGCTCCGAGTTGCGGTCGAGCCCCCTTCTTTCCGTCCATGTCGTCGCTCTCGCTCTTCTCGCCAGGCCCTCGCCGCTCTTTGAAACTCGAGAGCTCCGACACCTTGCTCAACCGGTCCCGTGAGCGAGTCCTGAGCTGTCTCGACGCAGGAGAACGCGCTTGCCTGCCGCTCGCGGAGCGCACGGCTCGCTGCGACGAGACGACCACGGCACGCCTCTCGCGGTCACACAGGTCCGCTCGCTCTCGCTCTCGTCTCTCTCGAATGCCGACTCGCAGCAGAAGAGCAGGGTACCGAGGCAAGGCGTACTCGTTACGACGAATTTTCGGTGAGCGTCGACCCGCGCCGGCCTCGAGCAGGCGTCGACGTGCGCTCGTCATGTACAAGGGCGTTCAGGAAAGTGGAAGGCCGTCGTTGAGAGATGATGAGGGGTAGGGAAGGGAAGGAAAGGAGAGGAATGGGAGGGACTGAGCGGAAAGAGAGAGAGGGACCGACCTCACGCGTCGACCTTGGCCTTCTTCTCTTGCGGCTGCGGACGTCGAGAGAATGTGTCAGTCCACAGGACCCGACGCAGAGAGGACGGAGAGAGGCAGACGCACCTCTTCTGCTGCCGGCGGGCCGAACCTCGCCGCGCGCTTGCGCTTCTTCTCCTCCTCCTCCTCGAGCCTGCGCGAGACGGGCAAGAGTCAGTACCGCACTTTCGGCGATTGGAGAAGGGAACAAGACGACGAGAGGGGACGCACTTCTTCTTGAGCTCCGGGTCGGCCGCGACGGCCGCCGCCGGCTCTGCCGCGGCGCTCTTGGCGTCGACCTTGCCGCCCTTGGTCTCGGCTGCGGCGCCCGCGACGCTCTTCTCGCCCTGCGGGTTCGTCTTGTACGTCGCGAGGGGCTTCTTGGGCTCGCGCTGGCGCTTGTTGGACCCGAGCGGGGCGTCGAGGGCGGCGAGCGACTGCGGGCGAGGACGTGGGGAGGGAGCGCGGCGGACGGGACAAGGTCAGGTCCTGGTCGCCGAGAGACAGAGAGATGACGAGGTGGCCAGACGCACCTTGTTGAGCTTGTCGTCGCCCTTGACGTCCTTGTTGCCCGCGTCCACCTCGAGCCCGAACCGCTCTGCGCGCTTCTTCTTGGCCTCGACGCTCTCGTCGCCCTCCTTGGGCGCCGCCGCCTCGGCCGACGGCGCCGCGTTGCCGAAGCGAGCGGCACGCGCGGCGCGCTTGTCCTCCTCGAGGCGGGCGGCGGCGACCTTGTCGGCGTCGACCTGGGCCTGCGCGGCGGCAGCCTCCTCGGCGGTCGGGGCAGGTGCCGCCGGCGCGGCGTCGCCGTTGGTCGTCGCCGAGTCGGTCGCGGCCTCGCCGCCTGCAGCCGCCTCGTCCGCCGCCGCGCCCTGGCCGAGGGCCTCGCCCGTCTGGCCTGCGCTGCGCTCCGACTCGCCCGTCGCGGCGGCGCTCGCCTCGGCGGTGCCGCTCAGGCCGGTGCCGTCCGGCTCGTCGGTGGCGCTCGTCGGGCCGGTCGAGTCGGCCGTGAGGGGCGCGTCCGAGTTGGACAGGAGGCGGGCGATCAGCTCGTCCTTCTTGCCCGTGACGGGGAGAGAGCGGGCGGCGAGGAGCTCCTGCGGGTCGCGAGGTCGGGGTCAGTGCGAGTCGTCGAAGGGCTAAGGGGGGAAAGAGCCGGGGCGCACCTTGAGCTTGACGACGGTGAGGGCCTTGAGGTCGGCCTCGGAGTGGGACATGGTCGGCGAGGTGGGCTGAGGCGAGTCGAGGAGAGTGTCGAGGGCGGAAGCTGTACTGTGCACGCACTGGTGAGCTTGTGCTGCCGGCAGACTGAGCCTCTGTGCGAGCGAGGCGGCAGGACGGGCCGGCAAGGGCGAGTGGGGAGGAGGAGGAGGAGGAAGAGGGGGAGAGGGAGAGGCGCGAGAGGGGGAGAGAAAGTGGGACGCACGGGTAGGCGTGCAGGGTGGCACGAGGAAAGCAGACAAGAGCACTCGAGAACAGCAGCGAGTCGGGGGAAGAACAGAGACGCGCCGAGATGAGGCCTGCGACGAGGCGACCGCCGCTCAACTCGCTCAGGTTGCGGTGGGAGTAGGTCGGCCAGCTCCACTAAGCAGTAAGGCGTAGATCTAGCAGACTGGAACTGGCACACAAGGGTGGCGAGGTGTCGTCGTCGTCGTCGTCGTTGCCATCTCGCCGCTCTCTGTCCCTCGTCCACACCGCGCTCACCATGCTTGCCGGTACCTTGACTGCGGTCCTGTGCACAGCCGCACCCTGGCTCGCCCTCGCCGGGTCGGCCCACCCGCAGCTGTACCTGAGCCCGCCGCCGCCTCGGCTCGCACACTCCGCCCACGGCCACGACGCAGACCAAGCCCGCGGTCGCCTCGAGCTCGACGCGCCCCAGACCAACGCCGTCCTCGCGAGCCACCTCGGCGTGTCGCACCACCTGCCCCTCCCCGCGTCAAAGGGCAAGGACGGCCGCCTGTGGGAGGCCGCCCTCGACGACTCGCCCTGGGCTCACGACCCGAGCCACGCCCGCATCGTCGTCGTCCTCGAGTGCCCCAAATCCGGCTGCACCGACGCCCTCCCCGCCGAGTTTGCCGCCCAGCGCGCCCTCGACCTCGCGCCCCTCCCCGCCCACTCGTACCTCGCCGCCCTCTCGCTCCACCTCCACCGCCTCGCCGACTCGCTCGGCCTCGACCCGGACTCGCACGCCGTCCAGGGCCTCCAGGACCTCGTCGACAACGGCGTCAAGTCGGTCGCCGGCTGGCAGGGCTGGATCGGCGACGAGCTCGCCCGCTGGGTCGGCTTCCACGGCGACACGTCCAACGGCCGCGACAAGGTCCGCCCTGCCGTCGAGCCGCCCGCGAGGGGCTCGCGCCTCGTCGACGACCTTGACCTCCTCGACGCCGTGCGTCCCCCTCCCTCGCCCTGTACCTGGCCCCCAACCCTCGACCCACGACTGACCCTCTCCCTCCGCGCTCACAGTCGTCGGCCCAGCTCGTCCTCGAGCTCAACAAGCTCGCCGTCCTCGCCGACGGCGTCCCAACCTCGGCCTCGCACGCCCACGCCGGGTCCGACTCGGGCCCGCAGGGCGCCAACGACCTCCCCAAGGTCGTCGTCATTCACCTCAAGGGCCTCAAGGTGCGTGCGCGCGCGCACAGTTCGCCCTCTCTGCCCTCGGCCTCCTTTCTCTCTCGTGCAGTCATTGATACAGCCTTGATGCGCCGCGTGCAGGACATCGCCGCCAAGCACTCGCTCTCGTCGCCGACCTACCAGCGCGCCGTCGCCCTCACGCGCGACACCCTCACGGGCACCCTCGCGTCGCTCCGGGCCCGCCTCACGTCGCCGCACAACGGCGCCACTACGGCGTCGTCCGACGAGCCGACCGTCATGCTCCTCGCGCTCCCGCCGCACGCCCAGCCGCTCCTCCGCAAGCGCGACATGTGGCTCAAGCCGTTCGAGGGCCGCTCGATCGCCGCCGCGACCAAGCGCTACGCCGGCTCGCGCGCCGAGGCCGTCGGCGGGCAGCAGCTCAAGAAGCGCAGCGTGTTCTCGCCGCGCGCCGAGGGCGACGACGGCGAGGGCGAGGGCGACAAGGCGCCGAGCCAGGTCGTCGCTGCGGGCAAGACGTGCTTCTCGTCGCTCGCGCACCTCAACAACGCGACGGCGTCGTGCCTCGGGCGCGGCCACGGCGTGCGCGGCATCTCGACCCGCGCCAACGCCGACGGGAACGAGTGCTGGGTGTGCAAGTGCGGCGTGACCGAGGACGACGAGGGCCGCAGGACGAGCTGGGCCGGCGAGGGGTGCGAGAAGAAGGACCTGAGCGGGTGCGTCTCGACTGTCCTCGTTCGGCGCGAGCTCGTCGTCGCGCGGTCGGGCTCGTCTTCGAGCCCGGCTGAGCGGCTTGTTGGCGATGTCGTTGCAACGCGTCACTGACCCACTTGCCCCTTCCGCGTACGCCCACAGGTCTGCGCTCCTCCTCGCCTTGACGACGCTCGGCCTCGCGCTCGCCATCGCCGGCAGCGTCGCGCTCCTGTACAACATTGGGAGCGTGCCGCTCCCCGGGACGCTCAGCGCCGTGAGCGGCATGGGTCCGGGTGGCGCCAAGCGCGACTGAGCGGTGCTGTCGAGCGCGGTCGGCCTGCTGGCGCACGAGGGCGCGTCGTCGTCGGCGGGTCGAGGAGCTCGTTCCCACTCTCTGTCTCTCTCTCGCTCCCTCCCTTTCTCGAGACGGTAGCGCGAGTGTGTGTCGCTGTGCAAAGATTTGAGCCTCCCCGTCAATGCTGCAAAGAGAGAGAGAGAGAGGTGCACGTGCGAGACATTGAGCCAGCTCAGAGCTCGGGTGCATCGCCTCGCTCCTCCAACCTCGAACCCGCTCTCCCACCTCGCCAAGGGACAGCGACGCACACGATGGACAGCGACAGCGACTCGTCGGTCCACGTCGACATCTCGTCGGCCCTCCTCGGGCCCTCGTCGGCGTCCACCTCGGCCTCATCGTCCAAGACCAAGGGCAAGGCCAAGGCCCCGCTCCCGTCCCAGGACTCGCTCGCGCCGCCAACCAAGGGCAACAAGAAGCTCACCAAGCGCCGGTCCGACCTCCCCGCCACCGCCTCGGGCGGCCAGGGCGACGACGGCGACGACGACGACGAGGACGCCCTGTTCGCGTCGCTGTCGGCCCTCCAGCACTCGCGCAACCTGAGCGAGGGGGCCGCCATCGTCCGCAAGGGCAAGGATGCCAAGCAGCAGAAGGGCCTCACCGGCGGCGGCTCGTTCCAGGCGCTCGGCCTCGCGCCCCTCCTCCTCAAGGCCCTCCTCCAGCGCGGCTTCACCACCCCGACCCCGATCCAGCGCCTCGCCCTCCCCTCGATCCTCGGCAGCACCGAGACGGTCGTCACCGACCGCGGCAAAAAAGTCGTCGTCGCGCGCGACCACCTGTGCATGGCCCGCACGGGCTCGGGCAAGACCCTGTGCTACCTCCTGCCGCTCCTCAACCAGCTGTGGACCCACAGCGACAAGTTCGGCGCCCGCGGCCTCATCCTCGTCCCGACCCGCGAGCTCGCCCTCCAGGTCCTCAAGGTCGGCAAGGACCTCGCGCGAGGCGTGCGCGGCGAGGGCGAGGCGCTCCGGTGGGCCATGGTCGTCGGTGGAGAGGCCATGGAGGCCCAGTTCGAGACGATGGCGGGCAACCCGGACGTGTGCGTCTCTCTTTCTCTCTCTCCCTCCTTCTCGAGGTGCACGAGCGCCCAGGTCCTGACCCTCGTCCGCCTGCGCCACAGCGTCATCGCCACCCCGGGTCGTCTTCTTCACCTCCTCGTCGAGATGAACTACTCGCTGTCGTCCGTGTCGTCCCTCATCATCGACGAGGCCGACCGCCTGTTCGAGCTCGGGTTCGCCGAGCAGCTCCACGAGATCCTCCACCGCGTGCCGCCAACCCGTCAGACGCTCCTCTTCTCGGCGACGCTCCCGTCGTCCCTCGTCGGGTTCGCCAAGGCCGGCCTCCAGAACCCCAAGCTCATCCGCCTCGACGTCGACCAGAAGATCTCCAAGGACCTCCAGATGGCCTACCTCTCGGTCAAGTCGACCGAGAAGGAGGCCGTCCTCCTCGGCCTCGTGCGCGAGGTCATCCGCTGCCCGGTCATGACCGAGGCCGAGCGCGCCGCCGAGCGTTCGCGCGAGAAGGCCGAGAACGAGGCCGTCCTGAACGGCACCGACGAGCAGTCGATGCGCTCGCACGGCCACCACGGCGGCGGCGGTCGAGGTCGCGGCGGCGCTCGCGGCCGCGGCGGGTTCCGCGGCGGGCAGAAGCGCAAGCGCGGCGCCGCCGACGGTGACGACGACGATGCGGCGCCGGGCGACGCCGACGAGCCGGTCGGCGTCAACCAGACGGTCGTCTTTGTGTCGACCAAGCACCACGTCGAGTACCTGACGGCGCTCCTGTCGGCGGCGCACTACGCCGTGTCGCCCATCTACGGCTCGATGGACCAGACGGCGCGCAAGATCTCGCTGTCGCGGTTCCGCTCGGGCCAGACCCAGATCCTCGTCGTGACGGACCTCGCCGCACGCGGTATCGACGTCCCCGGCGTCGAGAACGTCATCAACTACGACTTCCCCAACGGCACGCGCGCGTTCGTCCACCGCGTCGGTCGCACGGCGCGTGCCGGTCGCACGGGATGGGCCTACACGCTCGTCACGCCGGCCGAGATGCCGTACCTCCTCGACCTCGAGCTGTTCCTCACCCGGCCCCTCACCCACCTCCCGCTCCCCGCCGGCACCGAGCCCGACTACGCCCACACCCTCCTCCTCGGCGCCGCGCCTCGGTCGCTCACCGACACCGACCTCGACGCGCACCGCTCGCTCCTGCGCCAGCACCCGGCGCTCGAGACGCTGCAGCAGGTCGCCGGCCGCGGTCAGCGCATGTACGAGCGCGGCCTGAGCAAGGCGAGCCCGGAGAGCTACCGCCGCGCCAAGGAGCTCGCGCGCAAGGAGGCCGACCAGGCCGCTCGCGGCGAGGGCGGCGCGGCGACGGTCGGCGGCGCCGGCGGCGACGAGCACCCGATCTACGACGCCTACATCGCGCGCATGGCCGGCGCCATCGACGACGGTGCCGCACACGGCGCCGCCAACGACGCCGCCGTGCGCGAGGTCGTCGAGCGCGCCAAGGCGGCCGAGCGCGAGCGCGCCGAGCTCATGGCCAAGCTGAGCGGCTTCCGCCCGGCCGAGACGGTGTTCGAGGTGAGCGCCAAGGGCAAGAACCACGGCTCCGAGGGCGGCATCGCGCTCCTCATGAAGGACCGCCGGCGCGCCCTCATGAAGAGCGCGAGGGCGCGCGAGCTCGTCGCCAAGGTCGAGGAGGACGAGCTGCCTGCCGTGCCCGAGGGCGCCGACGGCAGCGACGACGACGGCGGCAAGCGCGACGTCAAGATGTCGGTCGTCGAGCAGCCCAAGCCGCTCGCGCTCGGCGACATGGACGATGCCGACGAGGAGGAGCTCGAGGTGCGTCTCTCTCCCTTTCTCTTTCTCTCTGTCTCGCCTTCTGCCTCGAGCCTGACCCTCTCTCTCTCGTCGTGCAGGCCGTCTTTGGCAAGAAGCCCGCAAAGCGCGCCAAGCCCGACAGCGAGCGCAAGCCGTGGCGGGACGAGCGCGTCTACCTCGGGTACGAGCAGGAGGGTGCGGCGACCGAGGCTGGGTGCGTCCCCTCTTTCTCTCTCGGACCCTCTCTCGTGTCGACGTGCAGCACTGACCCTTCCGCCGTCGTCGCCGCGCAGCTACGCCCTCACCAACGGCGACTCTTTCGTCGCCCAGGCGCAGCACTCGACGTACGACATTACGGGCCGGGGCGACACCGAGGGCACGCCGGCCGAGGCCATGGCGCAACGTGCGTCGACGCTCAAGTGGGACCGCAAGTCGAAGAAGTTCATCCGGGCCGACCAGGTCGGCGCCGACAACAAGAAGCTCATCCGGTCCGAATCGGGCCAGCGGCTCCCGGCGTCGTTCAAGGCGGGCGTGTTCGACGAGTGGCAGAAGAAGACGCGCGTGAGCATCCCTCGCGCCGGCGACGACGAGATCAAGGGCCGCACGACGGCGCCGCACGGCCGCCGGTTCGTCCACAAGGGCGGCGTCCGCAAGGCCGACGAGGGCTCGTCGTCGTCGGGCGGCAAGCGTCGCGTCGGCGGCGCCGACAAGCCGCACTCGGCGCCCGGCGGCCTGCGCACGGCGGCCGAGATCCGCAAGGAGCGCATCGCCAAGGAGAAGCGCGTGCGGCGCTCGACGCAGCCGACCAAGAAGAACCCGAACGGCAAGGGCGCGTCGATGGGCGGCGCCGGCGGCGGTCGTGGCGGTGGGCACTCGGCAGGCGGTGGACGTGGAGGTGGCGGTGGGCGTGGAGGAGGTGGGCGCGGTGGCGGGCGAGGAGGATCGAGCGGGAGGGGCCGCAAGTAGAGTCGGTCGCGCTCGCAATTTCACCTCGCGCTCCCTTTTCCTCTCTCTCTCTCTCTCTCTCTCTCTCTCTATGAGCGTGCTGCGTCCCTTGCGAGTCGTGAAAGCATCTTCATTCCGTACAAGCGCGTCCTCCTCGAACGCGACCAAGTCCTCCTCACGCGACCTCGTCGACCTCCTGCCTCGGGTGCTGCTCCTGCCAACGAGGATCGGCCTGCGACTGACGAACGAGGTGGTCGAGATAGGCCCACTGCGCTCGGAAGACGAGGAAAGGAGAAAGTCAGGTGCGCGTTCGAGTAACGGTGGTGGAGGCCCGAGCGGGATCGGAGGGAAGAGAGAAAGGAGAAACGTCTCGACGCACGTCGTTCTTGGTCATGGCACTGACGAGGGTCCCGTTGAAGCGGATGCCACACATGTCGTGGAGCTGGATAAAGTCGGCCTCGTAGTCGTACGAGGCGAGGGCGATGCGGCGGAAGGTGACGCGGCGGATCGAGCCCGGCCGGCAGCGCCGCAGCGCCTTGAACAGCTCGTCGACCGGGCACGGCGGGACGAGGGCCTGCAGGACGAACGGGTGGTCGTGCCCGACGGTGCCGCGCACGTTGCCGATGTTGACGGACGGGGGCCCGGTCAGGAACGAGGTGAGGACCCTTGGGCCCGTGTCGAGGAGGTGCTCGACGTGCAGCGACACGAGGCTCGTGCAGAGCGTCGCGAAGAGGTGCACTTGCCACAGGTTTGGCTCGTCGCGGAGGACCGACAGGCAGAGGTTCTTGATGCGCGGCGCGAGGCGGAACATGCGGGCGAGGTACTCGGCCGCTCGCGGGAACGTCTCGAGGCGCAAGTAGCGCAGGTTGGCGAGGGCGGGCGACGTGCCGAGGAGGATGGCGGTCGAGGTCCAGTCGCGGTCGAGGCGCTCGTCCTCGCTCGACGGGTCAAAGAGCTGGACCGCGGCGAGCCTGAACGGGAGCGGCTTGGTCGGCTTCGACACGGGGCAGCCGAGGGCGAGGTACGTGACCGCTGTTGCGGGAGAGAAGGGTGTCAGCTCGCGGCCGAGGAGAGAGGGTGAAAGGAGAGACAGAGTGAGAAGAGGGACGCACAGGCGAGGTTCTCGTGGGTCAAGAGGTCGCCCGGGATCTCGTCCTGCCGGACAAACATGATCTCGAGGTGGTCGAGGCCCTTGACCTTGGCGAACAGGAGCGCAATGTCGGCGTACGACCACTTTGCGCCGTCGCCGTCGCGACTCGAGGGCTTGAACGGGAGGTCGTCGCGCAAGCTGAGCGAGCGGGTCGGCGAGCGGGGGATGCCGTCGTCGCCGAGGCCATCTAGCCACTTGCGGACGGTGGTGCCCTTGGTGAAGATGAGGTGCTCGTTGAGGAGGTCGCGGGCGATGACGCGCCACAGCGGGGCGACGAGGGCGCACGCGACGAGGTCCGTGTTTGTGGCGTGGGCCGGGTCGTGCTGGTGCTCGTCCTCGAAGTGGATGCTGTCGAGGTGCGAGAGGACGCGCAGGACGACGTGCTCGAGCGACAAGGCGCGCTCGGTCGCGGGGGAAGGGTGAGCCTGAGGGCGAGGAGGAGGTGTGGGCGGGAGGGGGGTGGCGGCGGCGAGGGCTGCAGGGTTGCGTGCGTGCTCGACTGTGTGCTGCGGGCCGTCCATGGTGGCTGCTGGTGGTGCTCGAGGTGAGTTCGAGTGAGAGGAACGAGGACAAGGGGGAGCGAGGGCGCGAGGCCGTTCGCTTCTCCGCACTCCGCGGACTCGCCGCTCGACAGGAGCGTGCTCGCCTTGGGAGCTGCACAGCCATGCGCCAACAGCAAGCACAGTCGAGCAGCACCGAGCAGCATCGAGCGAGCGCCACAGCCCCGTCGCTCGTCACCTTCTCAACAGAAGAGGACAAAGCGGCGCTCGCAGACAACATGTTTCCCTCGCTCTCGCCCTGAACGGACTGAGACTGCTCGGTCTCTCTCTCTCTCATCGTCTGCGGCGACACCTCCACAACGTTGGCCCTGCAGCCGAACCGCTCCGCCTGCGGCCCACCCTGACCGCGCCCGCGCCCATCTTGAAGAGCTCACCGCTGCCAAAGCGATATCTCGGCTTGGCCGACGCTTGCTCGATACCTGGAAGCGTCGTAGAGCTGTGTTGAGGTGTGGAGCGAGGGCCGGGGAGGGGCGGGGTCGGCGTCGGGCGAGAAGAAAGAGCAAGGCCCGGCTGGCGGTCGTCGAGTTGAGGGTAACACTGCGCGTGATGCGAGGTGAGCCTGTATCTTGAACGGGCCGAGACGAGAGCGGGAAGACGCACAAGAGCAGGAACCTTGAGGGCAGAATCTGTGGCGCAAGGGCGTGAGTGACTCGAGAACCTGCTGAGGGTCGAGGTCGTCGCGGGAGAAAGGGACGCACCGTGCTCAAGCGGCAGTGTCGGTGTCGGCTCGGCGTGGAAGCGATCGTCTCTTCTGCCTGGTGCATCGAGCTCGAGCGCGAGTCGGCCGCGCCGAGGGGAGGCCCGCAGAGGGGGAGCGTCGAGTGCGAGCGGGTTGTACTCGAGCGCGTGCGCCTGCAGCATCGACCGCAGGCGCGAGCGAGATGCGGCCCGGTCCTGCGAAAGGTATCATCGGCTGGTTGAGCATGCGCGCGGCCGTGCTGAGGTGGTCGTGTGCGAGCTGGTTCGTGCGAGAGATGAAGACGAGGGACGAGGCGGGGCGAGGGAGGTGGGCTCGTGGTGGCAGCTGAGGGCGGTTGTTCGCTGGCAGGAGGAGCTGCACGGTCGCTGCAGAGTGCAGCCGAGGCTTCTGGCGAGCGGTGTCGAGTGGGACGAGCGAGAGCAAGCGTTCATCAGCTCGACCGTTCTTGGTCACCTCGAGCCGCTCACACTCGCTCGAGCAGGGCACCGACTTGACCGGTAAGCTCGGCAGCTCCCCTTTGCCCAAACCGGCCACCGCCGTGCAACTCGCGCGAGCCATCCACCTCGCCCTCCTCCCCCCGCTCCGCTCCGCTTCACCTCGACTCGTCCCCGCCCACGCCGACCGACTTGCTCCTCTCCGACCTCGAGCCGCCTGTGCACACCTCTTCGTACACCGCAGGCTCGTCCCGGTCCGCCGCCCGAGCGACGCCGGCGCACCGAGGTGCCGCCGCAGCAAGATGGCCAGGCGGCGAGCCTGCGCGAGACGATCGAGGGGGCAGCGCGTCGCGTCGACTGGCTCGAGGCGCTCGAGGACGGGCCCCGGGCTGCAGGAGATGGTCGAGGCGACGCTCAGGTTGAGGGAGCGGCCGCGGATTGAGCAGGAGTGACGGGCAGGGCCAGCGAGGAGGACGACTGAGCGAGCTTGAGCGTAGCTGTGTGCAACGATCTCGTTGATCTCGAGGACTGTGGGCTGCTCGAGAGCGAGAGAGCGAGCGAGACCGACGAGCGCGAGCGCGACTTTGAGAAGGTCACCAACAGCCGGAACGTGCGAGTGATGCAGCGTCTCTGACCGTCGAGCCTGGCCGTCACAGACTCGGTCGGACGAATCGACGAGCTACCGAGTTACTCGGTTCAATCGCGAGAGGCGGGAGCGCTTTCGGCCACGTCGGCTACTGCTTCCTCGGCTCGCTCGCGACGAACGCCTCTCGCAGACAGTCGAGTGCAGGATCTGAAGGAAATACAGGTGCACAGAAGAGAGAGAGAGAGACAGAGAGCTACACAAACTAGGCGTACAGCTGCGGGCGAGGAGCAGGGTCAGGAACTTGACGATCAAGATCGAGATGAGCAGTCGACGCACGACGTCCATGTCTGCAACGGCATCGAGCACGAGTCAGTTCGGGCTTTGTAGAGCGAGAGAAGGAACTGAGGGAGGGGTAAGAGGACGCACAGCGAGTCGCCATCTCGCCGATGAGCTGCCCGCCAACCGCGCTGCCCGTCCCGAGCCCATCTGCGCGCGCGAACTGTGTCAGTACTGCTCTTCTGCACGCCCGAAGCGACGAGAGAGAGTTGCAGGGACGCACAGAGCATGACCATGCTGCCTTTGCCCGGCTCCTCGAGCGCCTTGACCTCGTCGACGGCGAGGCGCAGGTCGCGCAAAAAGTCGTCGACGGCGGGCACGGTGAGGCGGGTGCAGGCGATGTGGAGCGCCGGCGGGTCCTGCAGGGCGTTGACTGTGGACATGGAGAACGTCGTCAGGATCGGCTCGAGGAAGAGGAAGAGAGGGGGGAGGAACAGGGAGCGCACGGTGCCAGCCCATCTTGCTCATGCGGTCGCCGACCTCGTAGATCGGCGCGCACCCCTTGCCGTTGCCCTGCCCCTCGGTGACGCTCCCGAACGCCACAACGCTCACGAGCGGGTCGCCGAGGACGTACAAGTCGCCGGCAAAGTCCTTGCGGACGCCGTCGGCGATGCGCTTGGCGGCGCCGACGATCTCGCGGCACGACTGCGTGTAGCCGTCGATGCCCATGTGGACGAGCGACGCCCACGCGCCGGCGATGAGGGCGCCCGGGCGAGAGCCCGACATGGACGGCGTCGCGTACACGCCGCCGGGCCAGGTCGTCGTGACCGAGTAGGCGTACTTGCGGATCGACTTGGACCGGTACATGATGCAGCTCGAACCCTTGGGGCTGAAGCCGTACTTGTGCGTGTCACACGAGATGGACGTGACGCCCGGGACGCGAAAGTCGAACGGCACGGTCGGGTACCCGGCACGCTCGAGGAACGGGACGAGGAACGAGCCGAGGCAGCAGTCGACGTGCAGGCCGAGGCGGTACTTGACGGCGAGGTCCGACAGGGCGCTGATGTCGTCGATGGCGCCGTCGGGGAAGTTGGGCGCCGAGCCGACGAGCAGGATCGTGTTGGCGTTGATGGCGCGACGGACCTTGGCGATCTGGACCTGGCGCGTCTTCTTGTCGACCGGGATGTGGTGAATCTTGATGCCAAAGTACATGGCCGCCTTGCCGAACGCGGCGTGAACTGAAACTGGCACGATCCTGCACGAGGGAGAGTGACCGGGTCAGTCTCGGGCGCCTGCGAGGGGCTCAAGGCGGCCGGCGGCGCGGGACCGGGTGCAAGGGGGACGAGGGGACGTACATCTCGGGCTCGGTGATGCCAAACTCTGCCCTCGCACGGTCGCGGTACGCCTTGCACGCCATGAGGATGCTCTCGGTGCCGCCGCTCGTGGTCGTGCCGGCGCCGCCGTCGTCGATGACGGACGCCGGCAGGGGCGCGCGATACATCGACAGACACATTGAGACGACCTCCGAGTCCATCTTGCGCACACCTGCAAAGAGAGGGTCAGCTCGGCGGCTCAAGCTGAGGGGGACCGGGTTCGACATGGCCGTCTCGAGAAGAGGATGGCGGGTATTTTGGGAAGAGGGGACGCACCGGGGAAGACGTCGGCATGAAGCGGGTTCGACACCTCGAACCGAGAGAAGGCGTCTCGCCAGATGTCGCCCATGTCCTTGCCGCCGTGATACACTGCACCCGAGACGCGTCCGCCCTCCCACTCGGTCCTCGGGAGGTCGCTCAGCTTGGCGAGTGCAGCCGAGACGTCGGCGGCGGTGAGGCCCTTGTCGGGGAGAGCGGTGTAGGTCGGGGCGTCGGGGAACTTGGGCGCGAGCTGGACGAGAGGGACAGAGGAGGGAGGTCGAGAGTCAGTGAGGGGCACAGACCCGGGTCGCCGAATGTGCACGTCGCGAACGGTGCGCCTTGGTCGAGTGTACGGGCCCGGTACGGCGAGGAAGGGAAGGGTCGGGAATCGGAAGCGAGGTGGGGAGAAGGAGGCGCACCTTGCTGGCGAGGTCGAGGGTGACCTGGTCGAGCTCGCCCTGGACCTTGTTGCGGACCGAGGGCAGGAGGAGCATGCACGCGAAGCCCTTGCGCACGAGGACGAGGTAGGCCTCGCGGGCGGCCGTGAGGAGGCCGCGAGCGCGCAGGTGTCGCACGGCGCGGACGAAGTTGCGCAAGATGAGGTACCTGGGGGTGCGCGGGGTTAGGTCAGCTTGGCTCGATAGAGAGTGGAGAACGTAGAGCGTACCAGAAGACGGCCTGCAAGGCGAGGGTCGGTCGGTGAGCGGCTCATCTCTCGACGAGGCGAGCTGGGAGGAGAGAGAGAGGGAGCGCACCGTCTTGGCCGACTGGAGGGTGACGAGCTCGCTGCTGAGCATTCTTGCGAGAGCGAACGTAGTCTTGTCGACCGCCATCGTGCTGAGCGAGAGAGCAAAGAGCAGCTCGGGGAGCGGAGCCCGACCTCCGAGTCGTTTCGGCCTCTCGCTCTCGCACCAGGTTCGCCCTGACGCTGGCCTCGGGCAGTGCAGTACTCTGCGCAGACAGCTGTGGCAGCGGCGAGCACGAAAGACGAGGATCCCGCCTCGCTCTCCTGCACCGCCACCCCGACTCGTTCGACTCGGGCCCGCGGAAGTGAGAACGAGAGAGAGATAAAATGCACGCGCACGCATGCGCGACACGCAAGCTACACCCAGAGACAACACGCCGATCGCAACATGCCCTCCCGCTCCGTCCACCCTCGCGTCCTCACGCCGCCGACCCGCGACCGCCGCCGTACGGCCCGTGCGCCTGCCCGCGCAGCGGCAGTGGCAGCGGGTACGCGCCCTGCGTCGACGAGTAGCCCGGCGGCGCCGGCAGGAGCGCCGGCGGAGGCGGGTACGCCGAGACGAACTGGTGCTGCTGCTGCCGAGCTGCGCCGGGACCGAGCGTCGGCGGCGGCGTCGGCAGGCCCTCGCCGCGGCCGTGCGCCAGGCCGCTCGTCGTGACGGCGGACGGGATCGTGCGAGGGCGGTGTGCATGAGCGATGCGGTGCGACGAGGGGACCGGGGGAGGGAGCATGGCGCCGGGAGGAGGTACGGCGCCGACCGAGCCGAGCGCGCTCGACGGCAGCGCCGGGAGGCCGTTCGACGATGCGCCGCCGCCGCTCGGTGCGGGCAGCAGCTCGTACTGGTACGGCCAACCGTGCGGCTGGTACGGCTGCGGGTTGGTCGCGCCGACGTGCGGCAGCGGCGTGCCCGGGATGGCCGTCACGCTCAACGGCGCCGGCGGGCCGATCCCGGCGTGCTGCTCGGGTTGCGGCGGCGGCGCGAACGACTGGCCGCGACGCTGCTGCGCCTGGACCTTGGCCTGCGCCGCACTCGGGAACCGCACGCGCTCGACGATCGTGATGACGGTGCGCGTCTCGACGACGGGCCCGCCCGCGCCGCTCGAGTCCAGCGGGTCGTGCTCCCACCGACGCACGACGCTCGCCGTGCTGCGGCTCTCGCGCACCTCGGACGAGAGCGCACCGTTCTTGGCCGCCGCGCCTCGAGGGTCGATGCGCTCCTCGGTCCGGGTCACCGTCTGGACGGGCAGGGTGTGCCGCCCGATGATCTCGCCGTCGGCGTCTGCTGCTCCAGAGGATGGCGACGGCGACATGTAGGCCGGGAAGGCGCCGGCGCCGGGCAAAGAGGAAGAGGGCACGGCGGCCGACGAGGACGGGCGGCGGACCTTGTTGGCCCTGCTGAGCGCGGCGAGGGCGGCATTGGCGTCGAGCTCGAGGGGCGAGTCGGCCTTGCGCTTGTTGCCCGGCGCGAGAGCGTGGTCGGCCGACTCGTCGATGTGGGCGACGTGCGGGAAGTAGCACTCGGCGTCGAGCGGCTCGCCGAGCGCCTGGAGGACGACCTTGCGCAGCTCGCGACTGAGCCACACAGGGTCGGGCACCTTCTTGTGCGGGATGTTCTCCTTGGCGAGGCGGCGACGCTCGGCCGACACCTGGGCGCCCTTGGCGAGGCGGGTCGTCTGCTCGATGAGGAACGACGACAGCTCCTTGAGGCCCTCGAGGACGCGCGGCGCGCGCAACGGGAGCGGCAGGGGCTCGCCGGCCGGGTGCGACGACAGGCGCTCGTTGTAGTGCTTGCCGACGAGCCACAGGAGCTTGACAAAGTGCGGGTACCGGAACTTGCGCGGCACCTTGGTCGCGAGCTCGATGTTGTACACGCGCAGCTGGGTCGGGATGTTGAGCGAGTGCAGGAAGTTGCCGCCGATGACGAGCGAGTCGGCCGGCGTGTACTGCAGGAGAAAACAAAGGGAGAGGACGTCGGCGACGAGTCGACGCGGGAGAGGAGAAGAGGGGAACGAGCGGGACGCACGACGGCATGAATCCAGCCAGTCGGGATGAACGCCGTGTTGCCCTCGACGAGGTCCATGCGGTACACCTGGTCGCACATGTCGCCGAGCCAAGTCTGCTCCTGGCGCTCGGACGAGCCGCTCCACTGCTCGTACGCCTGCAGGTTGGCGGGCGTCGGCCGGATGAAGAAGAACGTCTTGCCGCCGCGCAGGACGTGGTAGAAGACAGACGACCCGGCAAAGTCGACGTGCCAGTCGGTCCAGCAACGAGACACGCTCATGAGGCAGTACTTCTGGACGCGCGGGTACTGCCCGGGCACCTTCATGTCCTCGGGCCACACCGTGTCGACCCAGTCGAGTTTTCTGCGGACGAGAGAGAGGGTCAGGTCACGGGCGACCGAGGAGAGGAGAGGAGAGACGGGTCCGGGTGGGGGAAAGGGGAGACGGACCTGACGAGCTCTGGCGCCGTCACCATCTCGCCGAGCCTCGAGTCGCTCACCTCGAGGCTGATGACGTTGCGGACCTTGTCGCGGCCCGGGTCCTCGTAGTAGTCGGCCCATTGCCCGAGCGTCCAGTTGGCGAGCGACGACTGCGACGCGCAGTCGATGACCTCGAGCGGCGTCTTGGGGCCTGCGAGGCGCGAGAGAGTCAGGGTGCAGGTTCGCAGGGCGTCGAAAGAGGTACGCAAGGCGAGAGCAGGGACGCACCGACGAGCTCGGCGACCTGCTTGACCGTGAGGTGCCGCGGCATCTTGAGCCCGAGGCCGTCCTCCTTGACGACGACGAACGGCTCCGTCATGCCCTTGTCGCCGTAGACCCACTCGTCTCCCTCGCGGCTCAACTCGTGCCCGTCCTCGAACCGCCTGAACGCGCCCTCGCCCGTGAACCCGTCGACGATGGCGCCCGAGGCCTCGCGCGCCGAGATGGTCCTCGACCAACGGTCGACCGACGCCGGGAGGTGCGCGTCGAGGTTGGCGTAGTCGATGCCCTGCGCTCGAGTCGAGCGAGACGACTTGCGCAGGTTGGCGCTGGCGGCGGGAGGAGCGGCCGCAGGGGGAGGTGGGGGTGGCGCACTGGCGGTGGTCGAGGCGGTAGTGGACGACGTGGGAGGCGCGTTGGCGAGGGCAGGCGAGCTGGAACGAGACGATGCGAGGGAGCTGAGAGGGGAAAGGATGTAGGTCGTGCGCAAGGGCGTGGACGAGGAGGCGGACGCGGCGACGCAGGACGCGCAGTACCACTGCGGGCGCAAGGGAAAGGTCAGAGCCTGATGCGAGTACGGCGGCCGGCTCGACAGACTCGCCTTGTCGATGTTGTCGGGAGCTGCGAGGTAGGCGGTAGGTCAGTGGGAGGGGCGCGAGAGGGAGACGGATGGAGGTGGACGCACAATCGGCAGAAGTGCTCGCGACGCAGGTCCAGTGACTGTAGCGGGTGCGAGGGTGAGTCAGTTTGACCGTCGTGACCGTACTCCTTGTTCGCCGAGAGCCGCTGTGACGCACTACCACTTCTCGCACCTGCAAGTGTGGGCGTGGGCGAGGGTCAGCGCGCTGGTCGGGGAGGAGAGTGACGTGGACGGGGTGCGCAGCGCTCGCGCCGGTCCTCGCCCGTATGAAAGAGAGGAGAGAGACTGGGACGCACTCGTCGCACTCGACCCAAGTCCCACTGTCGCCCTTGCTCGTGCTGCTGCACGCCGGGCACTCGTCGGCGTCCTGGTCCGACTTGAGGTTTGACGGCGCCGGTCCCGTCTTCTGCGGCGACCTCGGTCGAGGCTTGTCCGACTCGGTGTCGGCCTCGGCGGCGGTCGCGGGAGGCTTTGCCGCCGTGTTGTCGCCGACGGGCGCGAGGTCGGGAGGTGAGCCGGACGGGTCGGGCTCAGCGGTGACGGCCGGCTTGCCCCTGGCCGGTGCGAGCTTCTTGGGCTTGGTCGAGGTCGGCGAGGCCTTGGTGGCCTGCTTCTTGTCGCTGGCGGCGCGTCGAGGTCGTGCGGGGGTGGAGCCGGCAGGAGGGGGAGCTGCGGCGGCACGCTTCTTGGCGGCGGTGGTGCGTCCAGTCGGTGCCATGGCGGTCGGCGTGGCCATGCACTGCGTGCTCGTGCCGGATCGAGCGCTGCAAGCGAGGGCGAGCTGACGGTCCGGAGCAGAGCGCGGGGGGACCAGCTTCATCTCTGCCATGCTCGACCGCCAGCGCACCACAGCTCGTGCAGGGGTGTGCTGCTGCTCGAATGCTGCACCTGCTGCACCTCAACTGCGTGTGCGCGAGCTTGGCCCTCGAAGAGCCGCCCCCGCCTCCGTCCTCCTCCTCATCCGCCAGCCGCGGCACGTGAGAAGCCGCAGCTCGCCGGCGTGCGTGGGCGGGACATCTGGCCCTGCCATCGCAATCGACGCTCGCTTCGGACCGCTTTGCGGACGACAGACGCGCTCTCGCGGCGGGCCAGCCTCGCTCGACCGCTTCCGCTGGCGATTCGAGCAGGCGACAGCTCGAGCGCGCGCTCTCGCTTGACTTTCGTCCCTATCTGGTACAGTCACTTCGTCACGTACGCTGTGGCCCCGCGCCGCCGGTCTGCCACTGCGTGCGGGCGACCGACCGACGCGGCTGCACGCGTCGACCCTCTTTCGCTGCCTCTCGCTCCCGGCGACGAGCCTCTCGCGGCGGCTCCTTGTACTCTGGACCGAAGCGGAAAAGAAGCCGATGCTACTCGCTCGTCACGCCTCGTTCTCGACCGAGAGCGAGAAGGAACAGGCAACGAAAGAGTGTCTGTGTTTCACGGCTCCTGCTCCTTCTACTCGCGCCCGCACTGGTACGTCGGCGGCGGCACGACGACGCTCACCTCGACACCCTTCTTGCTCGCCATGGGCCTCGGCGCGCCGATGACGATGCCGTTGGGCCCGTTGCGCGACTTGCTCCTCGGCGCAGCCGGCTCGTGCGCACGGTCGGCGGGCTCGGCGTCGGCTTCTGCGGCGGGCGTGCGGCGGAAGACGGTCTCGAGGATCGAGCGTCGCTGAGGACGCTCTGGACGAGGCGGCGCGGCGACAGGGTGCTCGCGGTCAAATTCTTGCCACTCGCCGCCGCCGCCCTGGTGGTGGTGTTCGTCGTGCGGCGCACGCTCGGCCTCGCGCTGCAGACGAAGCTTGCGCAGGGCTGACGGCGTCGTCGAGTCTTGCGAGAGGGAGCGAAGGACCTTGGCGCGCGAGCCGAGAGCGAGGCCCTGCAGGAGCAAGAAGGTCAGGCGGGCGACTCGAGCTGAGAGGGGGAGCATGTGACGCACGACGAGGAGGTCGAGGATCCCGACGAGGAACAGGAGCCATGCCGAGACTTGGACCCAACCGGTCGTGCTGCGCGCCGTCGAGAGAGCAGAGTCAGCTCGTCTGTCGACGACCTCGAGAAAGGGAGAGAGAGACGCACTAGTGCGACAGGACCTGAGCGCCGACAAAGACCTGCACGGCGCCGAGGACGCCGACGCCGTACTCGTTGCCGAACGGCGGGAAGAAGGCGATCCAGAAGCGCTCGAGGAGGACGGCAGGGCGCGAGAGAGGCGGAAAGGGCAAGGGAAGCTCGGAGACGAGGGCGAGGAGGAGGATGAACCCTGCGTGCGACGTCCCGGTTGGTCAGCTCACGGTGATTGAGGTGCAGGCTTGGATGTGGGAGAAGAGGAAGAGAGGACGGACCGGCAAAGATGCGCTCGAGCGTTGAGAAGAGCGCGCCGCCCGGACCCCTCGGGATGCTTGTCGACCCGACGTACGTGCACCCGCCAGCGACCTCCTCTCTCTCGTCCCCCTCAACCGCCGTGCTCGTCGCCGTGACACTGGCGGCACTGCTCGTCTTGCTCGCCTTTGCGGTCGCGCTCCTCGTGCTCGCCGACGAGGTCGTGTGCGCTCGAGCCGCCGCCGACGCCGACGCTGCGGCGGCCTCGCCGTCGTCGCCGATGAGCGACGAGCTCGACTCGACGGGCTCGCGCTTGACGAGCTCGACGGGCGAGGCGTGCGAGGCGTGCGAGGCGTCTGATCCGAGCCGGCGCTGCAATCGGCGGTGGACCTTCTCGAGCCGGTTGGACGGCGAGCGCGGCGCGACAGGGCTGACGGAGGGTGGTGCGGTCGGGGCGATGTGCTCGACTGCGCGGCGGACGATGTACGTCGAGGCGGTGGTGGACGGCGTCGCCTTGGCCGCTTGGACCGCGTGCAGCTCCTTGACGTCGCTGCGCGCATGCTCAACGTGTCAGCTCGCCGCCCAATACTCCTCAGACGGGTGCAAGAGGGGACGCACAAGTTGATCGTGCAGATCTCAGCAGCAAAGACGAGGCCGATAGCGACGACGCTCAGGACCCGCAGGCCGTTGAGCGAGAGGAAGTAGACGGTAGGCAGGGTGAACTTCATCCTGCGGTGTCGGCGCGGTTGGTATCGAGGGATGCGGTGCGAGTTGTGGATGCGAGGTGGTATAGCGTCGACCGGCGACAAGAGGAAGAGGGCGAGTTGCGAGGGGTTTGCGAGGTTGCGAGACGAGGTTGCTAGGAATGCGATGCGGTGGACGAACGACGCGAGACGGGCGAAGCAGCGACCGGCGCTGCTGTAACGAAGGGCGAGACGAGACGAGAGACAGCAAGAGAACCGAAGCGCGAGGAGGCGAGAGCCGTCGAGGTGAGAAGGAGGAGGACAAGGGCCGCAGAGAGCCTTTGTCCTCGCCGCTCGCGCCTCGCCTCGGTCACGGAACAACGTCGAGCGATGCGCTCGGTGGCTCGACGATCACGCCGAGGGTCGAGCACACCGAGATGGCGGAAGCGGTACAGCCGTCGACGCAGTCTCGGGGCGGCGCAAGGAGAGGTCCGAGCGAGCGCAAGGCGCGCCGACGAGCAGGCAGCGCTGTCCTCTCCTCACAAACACAGACGAGCCTCTCGAACTCTCGTGCCGATCCCTCGAGCTCTCGTCCCCGTAGCGGGCGCCTCGCCACCGCTCGCACGCCGCCGAGAGATGTTGGTTCCGCCAGGAAGAGACCGCCAGATCGTTGCACAGACGCCGCCGCCGGGGTGTAGGGATGGGGTACGACGTCGCTCGAGTAGAAGCTCGAAATGTTTACTGCGAGGGTAGGAAGGGGAGGTGGGAGGAGGTCAGTGAGGTTCTCGAAGGGCGACGGCGACCGAGTGCGGGGCGGCACGGCGGCATCAGACTCACCGAACGGGGCTTCTCCTTCTTCTCCTTCCAGAGAGCAAGGAGACCAACGCCCGAGACCTTGACGACCTTGAAGCGGACACCGGGGATGTCACTGCGAGGAGGTCGGGTACGGCGACGGTCAGAAACGGCTCGTTGACGACTCGCGCTCGAAGAGAAAGCGTGAGACGCACCCCTTGGCCTTGCCCTTGCGACCGAAGCCCGAGATCTGGAGAGGGACGAGAGAGAGGTGAGGACGGGGACAACGGCGAGCGGACGAGTCGGCGACGGCGACGCACCAGGACCTCGTCGTTCTCGTCAACAAAGTTGAGGCAACCGTCGTTCGGGACGAAGGCGGTGACTGCGCAGGGAGCGAGAGAGAGAGAGGCGCGGTCAGGCCAAGTCTGTCTCGAGGCGGCGAGTCGCCGCCGAGCCGGCGCGACCCGAGAGGAGAGCGAGCGACGACGCACCCTTCTTGCCGTTCTTGATGAGCTGAACGCGGACACACTTGCGAATGGCCGAGTTGGGCTGCTTGGCCTCAACACCGACCTTCTCGAGGACGATGCCCTTGGCGTGCGACGAGCCACCGGTGGGCGACGAACGGTAAGCGGTGCCGAGAGCACGCTTCTTGTAGTTCTTGTCGGCCTGTGGAAGGAACAAGGGCGAGGGTCAGTAAGACTGCGATTGTGCGTGGTCGGGGCTGTTCCGGCCGAACGGCGAGATCCGGGCTTGGACAGAGCGGATCGGCGGCACGACGCGCGGCGAACGGGCGAGGGGATGGTGGCGTGTCGCAGGGGAGGTCGTCGAGGGCCGTCGCAGCCTCGAGGGCGCGGTTGAGGGCGTGTCGTAGGATGTCGAGGGGAAGGACGCAGGTGGGTGAGGTTGCGCCGACGGCTCGTCGCCCTCGCGTCCTCCCAGTCCGGTCCACCGCCCTGCTCCGCCGCTGTGCTCCTTCCTCCGACGCCTCGGCCCTCTCGTCCCCCACTCGTCTCCCCCAATGCGCCCGAGCCGAAGACGGCGAGGGAGCGGGCGGCTCACCCAGCGGTTGTCGCGGCGGTCGTCGCGGAGCTTGCGGCCGGCGAGGAGACCACGAGGCTGTAGGGTGGGAGCGAGTCAGTTACCGACTCGAGTCGAGGAGCGGCCGAGGGAGAGGGCGGGACGGACCTTGCAGGATCCTGCGGAGGTGGATCGAGGGCGGCGGCGCGGGTTGCAGGGAGGATACAGAGACGATGGTCAGTTCGTTCGATCTCGCACAGGTTCCCCTCGGGATCCTAAGCACCGGCACCCGCTCAGGTGGCGTGCTAGTCGGGTTGGCGGGCGAGGTCGAGGTGCCGCAGGGTTTTCGAGGTCGGAGGGCGGCTCTGGCGACGACGGCCAACGGTGGCGGGCTGGGTGTTGGACAGGGGGGGAGCGGGGGAGCGGGTGCAGGTGCTGTTGAGGTGCAACGGAGCTGGACTTGCCCATGTTGAGCGGCGGTACGAGGACAAGGCGGGACAGTCGGCCGCAGGCGAGCTCTCGTCTCTGGTCGCGCTCAAAGTCAGAGACTCCGCCCCTCTCGACTCGCTCTGGCTCTACTAGGACTGATTCGACTGCAACGACTACACTCTGCTGCACACCACACGTCCAACCTTGCCCTGCCCTGCGAGAGTTCCCCACTCGCCCGCTCTGAGCTTCATCTCGAGCCAGCTTGGTCGCTCCTCTCGTTGTCCGCACACCGCTAGACTCGGTCAGGCTCTCCACCAGCCGCCATGCCCAAGCACGCAAAGGCCGTCAAGGTCAAGGGCAAGCTCGCAAAAGGTCCGTCGCCCTCTCGTCCAACTCTCCTCGTCGCGCTCGTCCAGCTCACTCGCCCCTCCCGCAGCCCTCTCTGGCCAGCAGGCCGTCGCCGCCAAGCGCGCACACGAAGAACGCGCCCGTCAAGCCGAGGAGGCCCGGCAGAAGGCCGTCAAGGCCAAGATCATCGCCGGCGGAGCGGGTCCAGGTGGAGCAGGTCGCGCCGCGTCCCTCAAGAAGCGCAGGCTCAGCCACGAGGGTGCGGCGGCAGGCGACGCAGGAGCGGCGGCGGGCAAGGCCGGCCCAGGCGAGGGCGCGCAGCAGGCGGCGCGCGACAGCGTGCAGCCGTTCCGCCGGGGCGAGCGCGTCCTTCTCGTCGGCGAGGGTGCGTCCCACTTTCTCTCTTTCCTGTTCAGACACCCGTGCACGTTGCACGGCGTCAACGGCAAGAGCCTGACCCGCCTCTCTTTCGCGCAGGCAACTTCTCGTTCGCCCACTCGCTCCTCCTCCCTCTCTCGACCGCCGCCGCCGCAGCAGCAGCAGCGGCGTCCTCCTCCTCCTCTACCGACAAGCCCGTCACCGCGCCCGTCCCGCTCGTCACGCCGTCCCTCCTGTGCTGCACCGCCTTCGACACTGAGGCGACCGCCGCTGAAAAGTACCCCGACCTGGCGACGCACGTCGACGCGCTCCGAGCTGCGGGCGCCACCGTCCTGTTCGGCATCGACGCGACCAAGCTCGAAGAGTACAAGGACGTGCGCGAGTGCGGCGGGCTCGGCAAGGGCAAGGGCAAGGGCGCCGAGCGCGAGCTGCGCGGGCTCGACGAGGGCGCCGGGTTCGACAAGGTCGTGTTCAACTTTCCGCACATCGGTGCGTCGCCCTCGTCTCTCTCGAACTCGACTTGTGCGCAGCTCTTCTGACCAGTCTCGACGTCTGCAGGCCAGGGCGTCACCGACCAGAACCGCAACGTGCGCCTCAACCAGACGCTCCTCATCGACTTTTACCGCTCGGCGGCGACCGTCCTCCGCCGCGGCACCTCTCGCGCTCCAGGTCTCTCCAAGGCGGCCAAGCGTGCGCTCGAGGCCGACAGCGCCGACCTCGGCGGCCTGCGCGACGACGACGACCTCGACCGCGACGACGTCGAGGACCTCCTCGTCGACTCGAACGGCGACCCGCTCGACGCGCCCGTCCTCCTCGAGCCGCCCCCGCCAACGACCCGCGGCACGATCCTCCTCACGCTGCGCACCAACGCCCCGTACTCGCTGTGGCTCCCGACCCAGCTCGCGACCAAGGGCCCGCTCCTCCTCCCGTCGATCCTGCCCGCCCACGCCCTCAAGGGCGGCCGCACCCAGCTCCAGCCCAACTACCGCACCGTGCGCAGCTGGGCGTTCGACCCGGCGCGGTGGGAGGGGTACGAGCACCGCCGCACGATCGGGTTCGACGAGGCCAAGAGCAGCAGGAGCAACGACGACCTCGTCTTGACGGCGCGCGAGCGCAAGGGCAAGAAGCTCGGCGCCGCCGTCGGTGCCATTCCGGGTGCGTCGAGCGGCGCCGGTGCAGGAGGAGGTGCGGGAGCTGGAGCGAGTGCGGCCAAGGTCGGCAAGGAGGACAAGGCGCCGATTCGGACGTGGGAGTTCGAGCTCGTGCGCGCCGAGCCGGACGAGCCGGCGGGAGACAAGGGGTGGGGACAACGGGCGGCGTTCAAGAAGCGCAGGGCCGAGGAGGACCCGGACTTGAGCGATTAGGTGGACGAGGTTGTCGGGCGAGGAGCGGGACGAGGAGGAGCCCTCGGCTCGTCAGCTTGCACTGCACGACTTTATCTCCTCTCGAGCGTCTCTGTCTTCCCTTCTCGTGCTCGTGCAGCCTGTTGCGCCGCCCGTCCTTCCGTCGAGAAGGAGTCAGGAGAGCGAGAGCTGGCTCGGCCTGTCCTGGTCGCGGTCGACGCCTTTCTCGCTGGCTTTCGCGGTCGAGGGACGTGGTGCTGCAGCTCTCAGCTCTCAGCTCTCAGGGCGTCATCTACAGCTGCTCAGGCGTGTGCGGCTCTGTCGGAGAATGTGCCGACTCGGCCTTCTCAAATCGCGAGGGAGAGGGAGACAGATGCTGCATTGCTCGCAAGCTCGTGAGAGCGTCGCACAAAGACAGAAGAGTACCTAGACAGGATGGACACGCAGAGACAACCCGAGGAAAGAACGAGATTAAACGAGTGCGTCGTGAAGAAGGAGGGTAGGGGAGGGAGGGGCTCAAGCGTGCTCCTCGAGCGAGCGCTTCTTCTCGAAGTGGTCGACCTCGGCGCCGACCTTGCCCTGCTCGGCGGCGAAGGTGGTGGTCGGGCGCCACGCAGCAGACTTGCGCGGGGTGACCTCGGCCTGCGAGAGGAAGAGAAGGAAGGTCAGTGAGGGTCCGGGAGGGTCCGCAAGCTCCCCAGCACTCAGGAGAGCGCCAGGAAGCCCCAAAATAACAAGGAAATCGCGACGCACGAACATCTGGTCTACCTGCTCGAGAGAGAGACCCTTGGTCTCGGGCACGAGGAAGTAGGCGTAGACGAAGGCGCAAGTGCAAAGGCCGCCCCAGACGAAGAAGACCGACGACTTGAGGTCGCCGCGGTTCTCGTTGACCATGTACGGCGTGATGACTGTGAGAGGGCGAGGAGGCGAGGGCCGGGTCAGGAACGGCGACTTGAGAACACCAAGGACCGCGGCGGGGCAGGACGGGCGTGACAACGAGGAGGGAAAGGGATAACGCACCGGCGATGATGGTGTTCCACAGCCAGTTGGACGCAGTCGAGAGTGCGACACCGCGCGAGCGAATCGGGAGCGGGAAGATCTCGCCGATGAGGACCCAGGCGCCCGGACCCCCTGCAAAGACGAGCCGGGTCAGTGCGGCTCGGCGACGATCATTAGGAGCCGAGAGGACGTACAGGTCGAGGCAAAGAAGAAGATGAAGATGGCGATGAAGGCGACCTGTCGCGAGCAAGAAAGGTGAGTGAGGGAAGACGAGGCCGCGAAAAGGAGGAGCGAGCGCACCTGAGCGTTGACGGCGCCGGTGTTCTGGGCGATCGACTCGCCGGCGGCGTTGAGCGCCGTCTTGTTGAAGCCGACGGTGACACCGACGATGGCGATGATGAACTGGCACACCATCATCGCGCCGGCACCGTAAATGAGGAGGGGACGGCGGCCGAACTTCTCGACCGTGTAGAACGAGATCGGGGTCGAGCAGACGTTGACGATGGTGAAGATCATGGAGGTAAGGAACGGGTCCGAGATGGTGCCGGTCGACTTGAGGAAGGCGGTCGAGTAGTAGAAGCTGCGGGCGCAAGCTGGGTCAGCGACGACGTCGACGAGGAGAAGAGAACTGGAGCGCACATGAAGTTGACGCCGGTCCACTGCTGCATCATCTGGAGCGAGGTGCCGAGGATCGTGCGACGAAGGTTGGAGCGCGCGTCAAAGACCGAGCCGGTGAAGCAGGCCCTCCACGAGCCGTACCACGAGCGAGTCGGGATGGCGGCCGCCTCGATCTCGGCGTTGGCGACAATCTCGGCGAGCTCGACCTCGATGTACTGCGAGGTGGGCGCCTGGCCACGAAGGCGGACGAGGGTGTCGCGGGCCTTGTCGAGCTGACCCTTGCGGACGAAGTAACGGGGCGAGTCCGGGAGGAGGAACAGGCCAACGGCGAGGATGATGCCCCACGCGAACTGGAGGCCGATAGGGATGCGGTACGAGCCCGAGTCGGGACGGTCCTTGGTGTAGTTGCACTGCGAGGGCGGAAAGTCAGTTTGGGAAGGTCGAAGTGGGGCAGGCTCGAGAGACGTACGACGATGGACGCGAGCATGATGCCGATGGTGATGGCGAACTGGTAGCCCGAGACGAGCATACCGCGAACCTTGCGAGGGCAGATCTCGGACTGAGGAGGTAGAAGAGGTCGGGTCAGGTCGCGAGCTCGCTCGAGAGAGCGCGAAAATGGGAACGGACCATGTAGAGAATGATGATGGCCGAGACGAAGCCCACGCCGAATCCAGCAACAAGACGACCAACGACGATGGTGGCGAGAGCAGACGCGGCGAACATCCTGGAGGACGAGGAGGACGAGGAGGAGGGTCAGGGCGCGTTCGACGACTCGAGCCTGCGAGTCTCGCAGACGCCCTCGCACGACGCTCGCAGACGTGCAGCGCTGCTGCCCGCTGAGCTGCATCGCCTGCCCGGGTGGCGCGAGCCGAAAAAAGGGAAACGAGGACGCACTGGATGACAACGCCGGCGACGTAGATGCCGCAGCCGGCAATGATGGTCGGGCGACGTCCCATCATGTCGGCGAGGTCACCAGCGATGAGAGCACCGAAGAAGGTGCCCGCCGACAGGATCGAAGTGATGAGCGACGACCGCGAGGACGACAGCTCCGTCGCGCCCGGACCCATGATCGCCTCGATGAACTCCTTGGACGCGGCGACACCGTTGATGTAGCCCGAGTCGTAGCCGAAGAAGATGCCGCCGAACGACGCGAACGCGCACCTGTAGCGCAGAGGGAGGCAGGCAGGGTCAGCGTCGCTCTCGAGCCGCGGCTCGTCGGCCGCTTCGAGAACCAGTTGGGAGACAGTGCGCAACTCACATCAGGTACGCCTTCCAGGTGACGGGAGCCTCGATGGCGTTGACATCGGCCGTGCCGGTGAGCTGGCCCATGGCGAGTTTGGTTGAAGGAGGAGGGGGAAGACGGTGTCGAGAGAGGGGGTCGCGAGGACGGGGAGGACGAGGCGGTGTCGAGAGACGGGGACGAGGAGGGTTGACGAGAGTGAGGAGAAAGAAGGAGAGCGAGGCTGGGGCCAGCGCGCCCTTTGAGGAGACCACCTCGCGGCTCCAGGCTCGTTGGTCGGCGGATCTGCCGGATCTCCTCGTTGCGGCTGGCCCCCATGTCGTCCTCCACGCGGGCTCCAGACCGGACACCGAGGCCACCGGTCGAGAGCTCGCGCCGCCTGTGTCAATGCGCCCAAAACAGCGACACCGAGGTGGAGGTGGCCGGCAGGGGAGAGCCGGCTGATCGCGATTTTGATTCAAACTGACGGCGCCAACTACGTTGGCCGGCCCCCACGGCTCTGCGACGCCGCTCGCAGGGCCGGCGTGGCTGAAAGGTGACCAGGTGGACGAAACCTGCGCGTTACGCCCCGAGGCGAGGTCAGAACGAGGTCGCTCGAGGAGGAGGAGGGAGGACGGGTCGCTCACCGAGGAGAAGTGGTGCTCTGTACCGCAGCGCGCGTTGATCGCTCTCGCGTTACGCACTTTCGAGAGCAGAACACTTGCAGAGCCGAGCTGGTCCCGTCGAAAAGGCAGGCGAATCTCTCCTCGACCATGGACGGGGCCTGCTCTCGAGCCGGACTGAGCGCGAGGAGAAGGGGAACATGCGCTTCGTTGCGCACCGTGACAGAAAGCTACGCAGAGACAACCCAGGAGGAAGGAACGAGATTAAGAGAGTGCGTGCGGAAGGAGCGTGGGTGGGAAAATGACGAAGAGAGGGGGGAGGAGAGGCGCAGGCTAGACCTGGTCCTCGAGCGAGCGCTTCTTCTCGAAGTGGTCGACCTCGGCACCGACCTTGCCCTGCTCGGCGGCGAAGGTGGTGGTCGGGCGCCACGCAGCAGACTTGCGCGGGGTGACCTCGGCCTGCGAGAGGAAGAGAAGAGAGGTCAGTGAGGGTCCGGGAGGGTCCGCAAGCTCCCCAGCACTCGTGAGAGCGCCAGGAAGCCCCGAAATAACGAGGAAATCGCGACGTACGAACATGAGGTCGACCTGCTCGAGCGAGAGACCCTTGGTCTCGGGCACGAGGAAGTAGGCGTAGACGAAGGCGCAGGTGCACAGGCCGCCCCAGACAAAGAAGACCGACGACTTCATGTTGCCCTTGTCTGTTGGTGGGAAAGGGAGGGGAAGGAGGTAGGCAGGGACGCAGAAAGTCAGTGAGTGGACGGCAGGTTCGAGAGAGGGCGCACGGGCCCGAGAGGAGGATCCCGCAGAGCGAGACCCGATCCCGCGAAAGAAAGAGGAAGAGAGCTTGACGCACCGGTACCGACCATCTCCGGGGTGATGACGGCGATGATGGTGTTCCACAGCCAGTTCGAGGCCGTCGAGAGGGCGACGCCGCGCGAGCGGATCGGGAGGGGGAAGATCTCGCCGATGAGGACCCACGCGCCAGGGCCCCAGGTCGAGGCGAAGAAGAAAATGAAGATGGCGATGAAGGCGACCTGCGAGGGGAGCAGGCGAGTCAGGATCGAGGTCAAAAAGGAGAGGAAAGGGCGACGAGGCGCACCTGAGCGTTGACGGCGCCGATGTTGTTGGCGACGGTCTCACCGGCAGCGTTGAGCGTGGTCTTGTTGAAGCCGACGGTAATGCCGACGATGGCGATGATGAACTGGGAGAGGCGGAAGAAGCATCGTCAGAAAGTGACCTTCGCAAGTCGGGGAGGGCCCGTGCGCTCGACCGAGAGGTGAAGAAAGGCGACCAACCTGGCAGATGAGCATGCCGAGGGCACCGTAAATGACTGTGAGCGAGAGGGGTGGCCGTCAGTAGGCAGGTCTCAAGCAGAAAAGGCTGGCGGGACGTACGGAGAGGACGACGACCGAAGCGCTCGACCGTGTAGAACGAGATCGGGGTCGAGCAAACGTTGACGATGGTGAAGATCATCGAGGTGAGGAACGGGTCCGAGATGGCGCCAGTCGAGGTGAGGAAGGCGGTCGAGTAGTAGAAGCTGAGGAAGGGGGAGAGACGGTCAGCGACGGTGGCGGCGCCGAGAGCCAGAGAGAGAATGGGGCGCACATGAAGTTGACGCCGGTCCACTGCTGCATCATCTGGAGCGAGGTACCGAGGATCGTGCGGCGCAGGTTCGACTGCGCCGACCAGATCGAGCCCGTGAAGCAGGCCTTCCACGACGCGAACCACGAGTTGGTGGGGATGGCGGCCGCCTCGATCTCGGCGTTGGCGACAATCTCGGCGAGCTCGACCTCGATGTACTGCGAGGTGGGCGCCTGGCCACGGAGGCGGACGAGCGTGTCGCGGGCCTTGTCGAGCTGGCCGCGCTTAACGTAGTAACGCGGCGAGTCGGGAAGGAGGAACAGGCCGGTCGCGAGGATGATGGCCCACGCGAACTGGAGGCCGATAGGGATGCGGTACGAGCCCGAGTCGGCGCGGTCCTTGGTGTAGTTGCACTGCGAGGAGGGCGAAAAGTCAGTTTGGGAAGGTCGAAGTGAGGCAGGCTCGAGAGACGTACGACGATGGACGCGAGCATGATGCCGATGGTGATGGCGAACTGGTAGCCCGAGACGAGCATACCGCGAACCTTGCGAGGGCAAATCTCGGACTGCGGAGGTAGAAGAGGTCGGGTCAGGTCGCGAGCTCGCGAGAGAGAGCGAAAACGGGAACGGACCATGTAGAGAATGATGATGGCCGAGACGAAGCCCACGCCGAATCCAGCAACAAGACGACCAACGACAATGGTGGCGAGAGCAGAGGCGGCGAACATCCTGGAGGACGAGGAGGACGAGGAGGAGGGTCAGTGCGCGTTCGACGACTCGAGCCTGCGAATCTCGCAGACGTCCTCGCACAACGCTCGCAGACGTGCAGCATCGCTGCACGCTGAGCTGCATCGCCTGCCTGGGTGGCGCGAGCCGAAAGAAGGGAAACGAGGACGCACTGGATCACGACACCGGCCGAGTAGATGCCGCAGCCGGCGATGATGGTCGGGCGACGTCCGAGCATGTCGGCAAGGTCACCGGCGATGATGGCGCCGAAGAAGGTACCGGCGGAGAGGATCGAGGTGATGAGGGACGAGCGGGACGACGAGAGGGCGTCGACGCCCGGGCCCATGATGGCCTCGATGAACGGCTTCGACGCAGCGACACCGTTGATGTATCCGGCGTCGTAACCGAAGAAGATACCGCCGAACGACGCAAAGGCGCACCTAGAGGAGGGACGAGGGCGAGAGGTCAGCGGGCGACCTTCTCAAGTTGAGGCGCGCCCGGACGCGACTAGCGCGCTCGCGCTCGTCTCGAGCTGAGGACAGGGGACGCACATCATGTACGCCTTCCAGGTGACGGGCGCCTCGATGGCGTTGACGTCGGCCGTGCCGGTGAGCTGACCCATGGCGAGTTTGGTTGAAGGAGGAGGGGGAGAGCGGTGTCGAGAGAGCGTCCGGTCGGGACGGCGGGGCTGGGCGGTGTCGAGAGACGGGGGAGGGGGGAGGCGAGGGAGCGAGTGAAGGAGATGAAGGAGAGGAGAGGAAGCTGGGGCCTGCGCGAGCTTTTGAGGGGCGCGACGAGGGGAATCTTGAGGGCGGGCGTTCCAGCGCTGTGGGCAGCGCGAAGGCCCCGGCGACTGACCGCGGTGGGGGCTGAGCCCATGTGGCTCCGTCCCTGCTCGACGCCTACAGTAGGGGGCTCGACCGCCGCGCCCACAGCGGCTTTTTTTTGCTCGAAACGAGGTCGAGAGAAAGTGCCTGGCCGAAAAGACATCGGGGCGATCCCAGACTCGATCGGTCGCAAGTGCGCCGACAGGCAGCGCGAGCGTGGTTTCCAAAAGCGTGCCCACACGCGTCCGTACGAGCTCGACCCACCAAGCAGAGCGCCGCATGAAGCGGCCGGCGCAGGAGGTCCGTGCGCGTGAGGCCTGAGCTCCTCGTGCTGCAGCCCGCGCGAGCGTTGCGCACCGCATGGAGCGCGTCCTCGAGATGCCGTGGGGGCGAATCGATGGCGCACAGCGAGCCCGCCCCTTCTCCACCATCGACCGACTGGGGGCACGCGCGAGCAAGTGCGGAGCCAGATCGACTTCGGAAAGCCCGGGTCGGGCCCGTCGCCGGCCGGCGCGCCGCCGCCGCCGCGCGTTCGAGCCCGCCGCCGCCGGGTCGAGCGACTCGAGCCGAAGCGTGCACCAAGCTCGAGGCGAGCCCGGGCCTCGAGCTCGAGCTCGAGCGCTCGTAGCCTCGTTCCGAGGGCCAGCCCTCGCTCGCCCCCCACCTCGCCACCGCGCAGGTCCCTCGCCGTCGATGAAAGCTGCACGCTCGCGTGTGTGCAAGCGCCACCTCCACCGCGGCCTTCCCGCACGAGCCGCGGCGGTGCCGGGCCTCGAGAGATCGAAAACATGCGGCGGAGGCGGGGCAGTCGCCAGATCGAGCGCGAGGCGGTTTCTCAGCATGTGAGAGAATGCCGTCGCGTGGTGGCTGGCCCGGACGACAAGTACCCGGGCGCAGGAGGTGGACGGCGTGGACGTCGCTGGCGGGTTGGCGGAGGCGGGGCGAGGCGGACTGCCGCGTGCGAGTCGAGTGAACGTCGAAGCCAGCGTCGAGCGATTCGCGCAGGATGCGCACGAGACGCGAGAGGCTCGGCAGCTCGAGCGAGAGCGTCGTCGAGGCGGAGAAGGAGGAGAAGAGCATGCTGCTACTCGCTCGTCGCAAGGGTGCGGCAAGGCCGCTCGGTGTGCGGAAGCTCCTCCGCCGTGTGCTCCGTGTCCATTGAGCCGCGGTCGCTGCAGCACGCGCTCGCCTCGGCTGCACCCCCGCGCGAGCCGGCCGGGAAAAGGCGGCTCCCGGGCTAAGTTGAGCGCCTCCACCGCGGTCCACGGTAGCGACGGCTGTGTGCGCCGGTGCTCCCTGTGCGAGAAGAAGCCGAGAGGTTCAGAAGAGCCGCCGTGGACCGGCGGCCAAAGGCGCCGGCGAGGCGAGGTCCGTGCGCCGCGCGAGTTGACCTTCTCAACCCGCGAAAGGCTCGCGAGGCGTCGAAAGGATGGCTCTGCAGCTCTCGCTTGCCTCGCATCAAGCACAGAGTCGCTTATGCGTCCGCTCTGCCGTTCAGGCTCGTCAAGCGGGAGGCAGCGACTCACACAGTGACTGCGTTGAGCAAACGCGGATTTCTGCTCGCTCGAAACCGTCGACTGAGAGGGACGCCTACGATGCTTGTCCATAGACAGATACCGGCGCGAGCGAGCGCGCATGCAAGCCCTCTTGCCGGCACGAGAGCTGCGAGCCAAAGACCGCGTCGCCTTCCCAAACGACGGACCGTCTCGGCAGAAGCGGCCTCCTCGCTCTCGCAGTCTGACTAGTTCTCTCGCCGCAAGAGCGTCTCCCTCTCTCTCGAAGCGGGGCGACTTTGATGGAGTGACGGACTCGTCGAGGGACGAGGAGGAAGCGAACCCGCCTTACAGCAGACGAACGAGCAAGCCGCACAGGCGCTCGCTCGTGCAGGCACCTGAACCGAGCCTGCTCTCGCGCTCTCAAGCGGACGCCAACGAGACGAGGAAGAGCTCGAGTGCAGCGATGCCGATCTATAAACGAAGAATGTCCAAAAGAGAGGGAAGGGGGAGTGTCCGTGTGAGGGTATGAGCGAGGCGAGAGAGCGAGAGGGTATCGAAGAGCGAGAGGGTATCGAAGAGCGAGAGGGAAGGGAGAGACGATGGAGGGGATTCTACAAGTCTACTCGATGCGAGGGGCGGAGAGGAAGAGGGGCGGGAAGGGGAGGGAGGAAGACGACGATTCGCCCGACCGCCTAGAGGAGGGCCGCCGCACCGGCGAGAGCACCGACGAGGACCGCAGCGACACTCAGGACGGCGCGGTCGGACGAGACACCGCTGTGCGACTTCTGCGCGGCGGCCTGCGCTGCCGCCGCCGAGCTCGCGCTCGCGTTGGCGCTCGCGCTCGAGGTCGCCGAGCGCGACATGCCGCTCGACATCGACGTCGCCTGCGCAGCGGACGACGAGGGCGAGGTAGACACCGACGAGCCGGCGGCCGAGGTAGTCGGAGCGGCCGAGCCCGTGAGGAAGACGAGCGTCTCACCGACCTTGCCCGTCGCGGTCGGGGAGGCGACCGAGATCGAGCGGGTGCCGGCCATCCACTGGTCGTAGTTGGGGTACGTGTAGGCGCTCGTCTCGACGTATGGCTGGGTGTTGCTGCAGGCGCAGGGAAAAGGAGGGAAGGAAGAGAAGGTTAGGCGACCGGGTCGAGGAAAAGGGCTCGAGGGGGAGGCGGGACGCACTTCATGCAGACGCCGACGGGCATGACGCCGCCCGTGAACTGCTTCATCATCTGCGGCAGCATCTCCTGCGAGAGCTCCATCGTGCCGCCGTCGATCTCGTGCGTGAGGACGATGGCGCCGGCCGAGTCGTACTTGCCCGCCGTCTGCTTGTCGAAGATGGCCTGGTAGTTCTTGCGGATCGCGTCCTTGCCGAGCGTGACCCAGTCGTAGTCGAACGTGTCGTCGGTCCAACTGTCGGCGGCCGGGAAGGGTGAGCAAGAGGTCGTCGCCGGAGCGGAAAGAGAGGAGGAACGGCCACGCACATGACGGTCTGCATGTCGAGGGCCTGCGCGATCCAGCGAATGCGGTCGTCGACGTCACCGTAAGGCGGGCGCCAGCACCGGACCGTGATGCCGAGGATGTCCTTGATCGCCTTCTTCGAGAAGTAGAGCTCGGCGAAGGCTTGCTCGTCGGTCATCGAGGTCATGTCTGTGGACGCAAGACGACGAGAGAAGGGTTGGCTATAGTCTATGCGAGGGAAAAGACGAGAGAGGAGAGACGTACAAGGGTGCGACCAGGTGTGCGAGCAGATCTGGCGGCAGTTTGAGAAGGTCGAGAAGGTCAGGTCGGGCTCGAGACGAAGAGGAACGAGGACGGCGGCGCACCTCGTGACCGTCAGCCAGACCGCGCTGCGCCTCGAGCGGCCAGTCGAGAACGTTCGAGCCGATGTCTGCGCGTGCGGGACGAGAGTCAGGGAAAGGGTGGCCGAGCGAGGGGGAGAACGGCGACGACGCACAGAATAACGTCGCCTTCATCTTGATCGACTCGAGGTAGTCAAAGTAGGCGTTGTGACTGCAGTTCGGGCCTGCGAGAGGGACGAGCGTCAGTCTCGGGCGGCCGAAACGAGCCCAAGTCGGTCCTCTCGGACAAGGCGAGGCGCCTTACCGTCGTCGAGCGTGAAGCCCCAGCTGTTCGGCTCCGGGCAGCTCGTCACGTCGGGCTGGAGGCCCTTGAGCTTGGGCGAGGTGCACCGAGTGTCTGTCCACCAGCACGCCGGGTCTGCGTTATCGTCTGCGGGGCTCGAGAAGGTCAGTATCCCGGTCTCTCTCTGCGAGAGCGGCGAGGGGCAAGACGACGACGCACCGTAGACGACGCCGGTCATGTCGCCTGCACGAGTGCCGCGCGGCGCGATGTTGGGGATGCCCGCCTTGATGCTGTTGAACATGTCGGTCGCGTCCTGCGGCACGCCCCTGTTTTCGTCGAACGAGTCAGTTTCGAGTCGTGCGGGATGCGCCGCCTCATGCTCGTCGACGTGCAGGAAGAGACGGAGGAGCTCGAGCCCTTCGACGACCACCCGACCCCGCACAGACGCGTCGACACGCCTGCTGCAGAGTCCTCCAGACCGAGCGAGAGCCACCGCCGCTGCCGAGGGAGAGAGAGACTGCGCAGGGACGGACTCACGCGTACTGCATCGTGCCGGTTGCCCAGATAGGCGGGTAGGACGGCATCTGCGAGAGGGCGAGGTCGGCGTTAGCGGGTCGTCCGCTCGAGCTTCGCTCAACGTGCTTCGGGCCCGTCGCGGCGACGACGACGCAGAGAGAGAGAGCGTGGGACGCACGATGTCGTTGACCGGCTCGTAGCCATACGCGGCGCACTCCTGGTTCGGGTCGAGGATGAGGCGCTCGCTCTGCTCGGTGGTGCGGTCGACGGCACCCCTCGCGGCGTTGACGGCACGGCGCTCGACGTGGCTGTGGCAGGCGAGGGCGAGCGCAGGCAAGAAGGCGGCTGCGACGGCAGCCTTGGCGAGCATGGTGGTGGCTCGAGGTTTGGCGGGAGAAGGACGAGGGACGGAGCGAAAACAAAGCGAGGACGAGCGACGCAGGTCCCGACGTGCGCGCGGATCTGCAAACGGGTACGAAACGGGTACCGAGCTGACGACCAACTTTAGACGCGACGGACGCGCGCGGCCGCAGCGGCGACGATCCCCACTTTCGAGGAGAAGAGGTGCGGGCGCGCGGAGCAGAGTTGGCCGACCCCGGGCTACGCTCGATCAGGCCGCAGCCGCAGCTTTGTATTCACCCTTAGGAACCTGATTACAGCTGCTCGACTTGGGCGCGAGAGAAGCTTCGGCGACGGTTCGGCTCGCCCCTCACTCCGACAGCACGCTCGCCTGCGCACCCCGGCTTGCAGCGAGCCCAAGCTGGACTCGCACGGCACCCACAGGGCTCTGCAGCTGCACCCACTCGCCCGCGTCGACCTGTACGCCCGCCTCGGCCTCTCGCCCTCGTCCTCGACCGCCGACATCCGCCAGGCCTACCGCGCCCTCATCCTCCAGCACCACCCAGACCGCGCAGGCCGCACTCGAGAGGCTGCAGATGGCAGTGCAGCACCAGGCGCGACCGCAGAGCAGCTCAACGAGGCGTACGAGGTCCTGAGCGACGAGCAGTCGAGGAGCTCGTACGACGCCGCGAGAGCCGGTCCGTCCCTCGCCCTGCCCCTCTACACAGTCTACAGAGCTGACATGGACTCTTGTACACAGCCGCACTCGCCGCCGGACGCGCCACTGCCCACGCTTTCGCCGTCTCGCTCTCGCTCGACCTGTTCGACCCGCACTACCACGCGCCAGCCGCCGCCGCCACCTCGAGCCCGGCCAGTCGCGACGACGACGACGACCAAGACGACGATGAGCCGGCGTACTACACACACCCGTGCCGGTGCTCGTCGCAGTTCCGGATCACACGCGAGCAGCTCGAGGAGGGCGTCGAGGTCGTGACGTGCGAGGGGTGCAGCGAGCGGTGCCGGGTCGAGTACGACGTGGTCGAGGAGTGAGCTGTGGTGGGTCTGTACAGGTCGCGCGGTGCAGTGCAGCCATTGGCGGCCGGTTTCCCCGTGCGCTCTGGCGAGGTGAGGAACCGCCTCGGCCGTCGACCTCGTACGTCCGCCTGAACAGCGTTGAAGCTCTCGAGAGAAGCCCATGGAAGCCCTCTAGCGAGACGCAGCAGCCAGAGTCGCCTCAGCGCAAGCTGCTGCGGGACTTGCGGCTTGGAACGGGGAGGCTCTCTCGCTGGTCCCACTTGTCGCCGCTCCCCTCGTGCCTGCAAGCCTCGCGACTGCTGCCTCAACGACAGCTCGACCCCGACCCTCTCGAACCGCGACAAACGCGTCCACCGCGCCGTCGCCCACCCACGTCGCGCCGAGTTCCGCCCAAATGAGCGTCCGGCGGCAACCAGCAGCAGACTCCGCGCCAGGAGCACTAGCAGGCGCACAATGGTCCAGTGAGTCTCCTCTCTCTCTTGCAACGGCGTGCGCTCTGCCCACCGGGCCGTGTTCGCGGTTCGAGGGGCGAGCGGACGGCGTGTTGTGCGACGGCGGACGGGGCAGCACGCGCGCGCTGCAGGCCCTCGATGAGGCGGGCACACGCGCCAGACCCTATGACTGACGCTTTGGACCACCCAGGTCAAGACGCGCCCCCTCGAGCTGGACCCTCGACCGCGACCTCGTCCTCCTCCTCGGCCACCCGCCGTCGCACCAACTTCTTCGCCCCACCCGCACAACTCGGCCCTGCCGCCCCTCCCTCAGCCGCCGATGCTGCTCCCGCATCGCCCAACCCCTCCTCGCGCAAAGCGTCCAAGTTGCCTATGGCCGTCCTCCTCGCCCAGCACCGCGCGTCGTCCTCGTCGACCGGCCAGCCGCTCCAGTCCGACTGCAACGGCCCGCTCCTCCCGCCCGTACCTGAGCCTCTCCTCCTCCGCGACATCCTCTACCTCTTCCAGGGCATCGACGGCAAGTTCGTCCGCTTCCGCAACCATCCGCCGCCGCGAGCAGGCCCAAAGCGCACCTTCGTGCGCGGCGAGATCGTCGTCGAGGGCGGCGGCGTCGCCGACGAGCTTCCCGAGGGCGCGGCGGCCGTACCCGCAGTCGACGCGGCGAGCGCAGCGCTCGAGGACGGCATCGAGTTCGTCGGGCTCGCCGGGAGCGGGTACAGCCTGCCCGCGCCCACGCGCGCGCTCCTGCACCAGCTCAGCGAGCTCGGGTGGCTGTACCGCAAGATCGACGCCGCGCTCGTGCGCGCCGCCGATTCGGCGTCGCTCGTCGCAAAGGGCAAGGGCCGCAGTCGAGCCGGCGACCGGGACCGCCGCGCCGACAAGAAGGCCGCGCCACCGGCGCCCGTCGTCGGCATGGTCGAGCAGAGCCTGCACGCCGAGCTCAAGAAGGAGATGACCGAGTACTTTCGGCTCGTCGCCGTGCTCGAGGCCAAGCTCGAGGGCGTCGAGGACGAGGACGAGGGCGGTCAAGGTCAGGGAGGAGGGCGCGAGGCGCTCGAGGGTCTCGCCCACGTCGAGGGCTTGTCGGGAGGGTTGACGCTGCGCAAGCTGGACGTCTGGACGCAGGACGTCCGGCTGCGGATGCGCATGATGGGCACCCTCGTTGCCGAGGCCGGCGGTGCGTCCCTTTCCTCCTCTCGCCGCGCCTGCCGCGCACCTGCAGGTTCCCAGACTGACCCCTCTATCTCTCAGGCACCAACATCGGCGGCGCCTTCCTGTCGACCCTGCACGTCTACACCTCGAACGGCGACCCGTTCATCTCGTCCTTCTCGTCCCGCCTCCTCCAGACCCTTTCCGTCCCCTTCTTTGCCACCCTCAGCGACTGGATCTACACCGGCGAGCTCCACGACCCGTACGACGAGTTCTTCGTCGCGCTCAACCCGGCGCTGCTCGAGGGTGCGGCGGGCGAGGCGGCGCGGCGACGGCAGCGAGGAGCGCGGGCAGGAGCCGAGGACGAGTACGGCGCCGACTCGAGCGGCGACGTGGGTGTCCAGGTGCACGAGCTGTGGGCGCAGAAGTTCGAGTTCCGCAAGGACATGTTGCCGGCGTTCCTCACCGAGTCGTTCGGGCACAAGGTGCGCCCACGCCCTCTCTCCCTCTCGCCGCACGGTCCTCTGTCCCACCGTTCCTGACCTTGTCGTCGACGTCCACAGATCTTCTCGACGGGCAAGTCGCTCAACTACATGAAGTACAGCTGTGACGACGCCGCGTGGGTCGTCGAGCGCAGCCGGGCCGAGATTCGCAGTGCGTCGCTCCCTCTCTCTTAATCTCTCTCCCTCTCTCTCTCTCTTCCCCTCAACTCCCTTACCGACTCGAGCATCTCGTCCTCAGCCCTGCAGTACGCCGATATGGTCGACCTCGAGCGCTCGATCGCGCTCGCCTACTCGAAAGCGTCGCAGCGCCTGTTCGAGCTCTTCTTCGACAAGTTTCGCCTCATGGACCACCTCTGCACGCTCAAGGACTACCTCATGCTCGGCAAGGGCGACTTTGTCGAGATCCTCATGGAGCAACTCGGGTGCGTCCCAGCTTCCTCTCGGTCGAGCGTCCCTCGCCGTCCGATCCGCTCACACCCTCACTCGTCGCCGCACAGCCCGTCACTCGGCAAGCCCGCCAACACGCTCTACCGCCACAACCTCACGTCGACGCTCGAGACCGCCGTGCGCAGCTCGACGCCGCCGTCCGAGGTCCTCACCGACGTCTTGCGCCGGCTCGACGCCCGCATGCTCGACTTTGAGCAGGGCCAAGTCGGGTGGGACGTGTTCGTCCTCGAGTACAAGGTCGACGCGCCGCTGTCGACGGTCCTCGACCCTCTCGCGCTCGACAGCTACCGCTCCCTGTTCAAGCACCTGTGGGAGATCAAGCGAGTCGAGTACGCCCTCAACGAGTGCTGGAAGACGCTCATGACCAAGACGAGGCTCCTCAAGCAAGGCTCAGGTGCGTCCCTATCTCTCTCTCTCTCTCTCTCTCCCTCGCGATCGGGGTCCTGTGAGAGCATGACCTGACTCGTCATCCCGCCACAGCCCTCGCCTACGACCTGCACCAGGCGCGCATCTCGTTGAGCGAGATGATCTTCTTCGTGCGCCAGGTCGAGTACTACTGCCACCTCGAGGTCGTTGCGTGCCAGTGGGCCGAGCTCGAGGACTTTGTCGCCAAGAAGGAGGGCGACCTCGACCAACTCGTCGACGCCCACCGCAAATACCTCACCAAGTTGACCGACAAGGCGCTTCTCAAGGCCCAAGGGCGCCGCAAGAAGGACGTCAAGCCTCTCGTCGAGCAGCTTCGCGACATCTGGAAGGTCATGCTCCAGTGGAAGAACGTCGCCGTGCGTCCCCTTCGTCTTCCTCTTGACCTGCGCCCAGACTCTCCCGCACGACCCCGACTGACTCGCCTCATCTCTCGCACTCGCAGGACGACCTGTTTGCCTACGCGATGCAGCACGAGTCGTACGCGCGCGCCACGGCCGACTCGACTCGGGTGCGTCCCACGTCCGCTCGCCGGCTCCTCTTCGCCCGCCCTCACTGACCTTCTCTCGTGTCGCCGACACAGTCCACCGCCCTCGTTCTTCGCCCGCCGACCGCCGAGCAGCTCGAGAAGCTCGAGGATCGCCTCGCGAGCTACGGCAGCCTGTTCCGCGAGCGCGCGACCGAGCTCGTCGTCGGGCTCGAGCGCAGCCCGGACCTCGACATGAAGTTCCTCGCCGTGCGCCTCAACTTCAACTACCAATTCCGTGCGTCGCACTCTTCCTCTCTCGTCTTTCATTCTCTCGACGCCGTGTATTGACGCTCTAGCGCGTCGCAGGGCCGGACCCGACGAGCGCCAAGTCTGAGGCTTGATGCCGTTCGCGGCGAGCAGTTTGTTTTACAGGTCGAGCTGTGCCCGTGTTGTACTGCCACACCTCTGTTGCGCGTCCGCCGTTCACCCTGAGCGTTGAGAGGGCAAGCCGCTCGAGAGCGAGAGACGACGAGCCGGCTCGCGAGGAGGCCTGTCTTGCGCTCGCGGCTAGCTCTCTCTGTCTCGACCGGCGCCAAGGATGCTGCAGAGTACTCTGGACCTCTTGAGTGCGACGCTACAGCTCGCCAACCTCGACCCGAGTGCGAGAAAGGACCGACCTTGCGCCAGGGCGCCGTGTCGACCGGAAGCTCCCCACATTTTGGTTTGGCCCGCTCGAGTCGACGTCTCTTGGGCGGCTTTGCGGTGCTTGTTCTGACAGTCTCGAGGTCGAGACAGAGTAAAGGAACGTCGGCAGCGTCACGGGCCGTCTCCTCGGCGTCCCTGCACCCCGTCCGCCTCGTCTCCCTCCTCCTCCTCCCGAGCGCAAGGTCGTGCGGGTGTCACTATGAGGCGGTGTTCGGGACGGCTCTATTCTCGAGGACACGTCTCGACACGTCAATCGACAGCCGCTCAGCCTCAGAAGAGAAGGAGGACCGTCGTGAGAGACACGACGAGTCGAACGGCGTCCTCCTCCTCCTGCTCCGCTCAAAGCTGTCCAGCGGCTTCCTGGACGCTCGCCCGGACAGGAGCTCTCGCTCGTCGATCTATCGAGCCCTGCTGTAAAGCCTGCATGTCGCCCTGTCGAGCAGAGAGCGGCTCTCGCGCTCCGACCAGGTGGCCTTCTCAAACCGAGAGCTGGCTTTTGCAGCTCGAGTCGGCGCTCTTTGCTTCCTGAGATCGAGCCACCTCTCTGTCCGTACTCCAAGGTCGTGTCGAGCGACTCTACGGCGGCCTGCGCGCTGCTGTGCTGCGCACGAACCCGTTCCCTGCTCCTCCTCCTCCTCGTCACGTTCGCCTTCTCAACTTGCTCGCTTTCCTGTTCCTCGCTCGCTTCTGTCCCGCTCTGACGCGCTCGATACCCTCGAAGCGATCTACCGAGCACGTCTCGACTGTGCTACTGCTCATGCTGCTGCTGTCTGCGCTCGCTCCGCTCCCCTCCTCTTCCTCGCTTCGATCTCTTTCTCGCTCCTCGCGCGTCGCTCTCGAGCTGCGTCCTTCTGCTACGGCGCCTCGCTCGACTCGCTCTACGTCCGCGTCACGTCGAGCTCGAAGAAGCTGGCAGAGCGACCTCGACTCTGAGCCGCACTTCCTGCTGGCCGTTCGCTTCTGAACGTCTCTCGAGCAAGCAAGGAACCATACCGTAGACTAAGAGGCTGTAGTGCAGGTTCCATGAGAGACAAGGTGACGAGAGTAGAGAGGCCGCTCGCCGCTCTCTCACGGCTGGCCCTCCTTGACGTCGCCGACCGTCGTCGTGCCCTCGACCGCCTCCTTGACGCCGTCGGTCGGCAGAGGCTTGGTCGCCGGGAACAGGAGGACCTCCTTGATCGAGTTCTGGTCGCAGAGGAACATGGTGAGGCCTGCAGGAAGGGAGGAGGGTCAGGACCGGGTGCGAGACGACGCTCGAGCCCGTCGGTGACGAGGCGGAGAGAGCGGACGCACGGTCGATGCCGAGACCCCAGCCACCGGTAGGAGGGAGACCGTGCTCGAGAGCGTCAATCTGTTGAACGAGGAGGAGCTGTCAGTGCCCTGCGGGATCGAGCGCAAGAGGAGGAGGAGGACGAGGGACGCACAAAGACGTGGTCGTAGCCCTGCGCCTCGTCGTCGCCGGCCGCCTTGGCCTTCATCTGGTCCTCGAAGTTGGCCTTCTGGATGAACGGGTCGTTCAACTCGGTGTAGGCGTTGCACACCTCGCGCGTCGCGACAAAGAGCTCGAAGCGCTCGCACAGGCCCGGGCGCGCGCGGTGGTGCTTGGCGAGGGGCGACATGACCTGCGGGTGCCCGACGATGAACGAGGGCGAGATGCACTGGTTCTCGATGAACTCGCCGACGAGCTTGTCGAGGAGGCGGGCGTTGGTGCGCGGCTCGCTGCAGTCGACGTTGTGCTGCGCGCGCGACGCGGCGACAGGGTCAGGGACGAGTCGCAGAGAGACACAGAGAAAGGGAAGGGGGAGAGAGCGAGAGAGCGAGGCGCACCTTGACGCATTGGTCGCGCAGGAACTTGTTGGTCTCGTCCGAGTCGAGGTCGGTGCCGGCCGGGAACGTGACGCCGAGCTGCTTCTCGAGCTCGCCGAGCATGTCGAACCGCTTCCACGGCGTCGTAAAGTCGAGCTCAAGCTCGGGGCCCTCCTTGCCCTCCGGGTGGTACTTGATCTTGTACCCGCCGGTGAGGTGCTTGACGAGGCCGCTGATGAGCGACTCGGTGAGGTCCATGAGGTCGTGCATGTCTGCGAGGACGGGTGGCTGTGCGTCAGATAGGGCTCGCAAAGAGGGAGTTGAGAGAGAGAGGGAGAGGGAGGGAGAGGGAGGAGGACGAGGGAGGTAGAGGGAGGAGGACGAGGGAGGGACGAAGGGCTCACCGGCGTAGGCCATGTAAAACTCGCAGATCGAGAACTCGGGGTTGTGGGTGAGGTCAATGCCCTCGTTGCGGAACACGCGGCCGATCTCGTACACGCGGTCGAGGCCGCCGACGACGAGCTCCTTGAGGTACAGCTCGGGCGCGACGCGCATGAACAGGTCGAGGTCGAGCGCGTTGTGGTGCGTGATGAAGGGCTTGGCGGTCGCGCCGCCGGCAATCTGGTTCATCATGGGCGTCTCGACCTCGAGGAAGCCGAGGTTGTCGAGGAACTTGCGGACGTAGTTGATGATGCGCGCGCGCTTGATAAAGACGTCGCGGCGCTCCGGGTTCATGATGAGGTCGAGGTAGCGCTTGCGGTGGCGCTGCTCCTGGTCCTTGAAGCCAAAGTGCTCCTTGGGGAGCTGGTGCAGGTTGGGCGACAGGAGGACGCAAGACGTCGGCGCGATCGAGAGCTCGTTGCGCTTGGTGCGGATCGGGTTGCCCGTGACGCCGAGGATGTCGCCGCGGCGGAACAGGCCGTGGATGGCCTCAAACTCCTCGGGCGACTCGGACTCGCTGCGGGCGGGACGAGTGGGTCAGTACGAGGCGCGAGGAGGTGAGGAGGAGGACGTCGGCGACGCACTTGGCGTTGGCCATGACCTGGATCTTGACGCCCTCGCTCCACAGGTCGTAGAAGCGCAGCTTGGCGCCCTGGGCGCGCATGCTGTGGATGCGGCCGGCGACCGAGACGACCTCGTCACTGCGCGAGCCGGCCTCCTTGAGCGACGAGCCGTACTTGTCGATGAAGGTCGGGATCGAGACGGTGACGTGGAACTTGTGCGGGTACGGGTTCGGGGTCGACAGGGTGCGCTGGTCGTTGGGGATGGCGCGCAGCTTCTGGATGGCGCGCGAGCGGATCTCGTAGTATTGCTGCGGCGCGCGAGGGGGTGTCAGCGGCGGACGGTTTGAGGGTTGGGGGCGAGACTGGGACGCACGTTGGGCGAGAGCTCCTCCTCGGCGTCAGCAGCCGACGTCTTGGCGGTCGGCTGAGCGGGCGCGCTGGCGGCCTGCGAGATGCAAGGGTCAGGGTCGGGGCAGGGAGAGGCGGCGAGCGAGACGAGGCGCACCTTGTCGGCCTTCTTCTTGGCGTTCTCGCGAGCCTTGATGCGCTTCTTGAGCTCGCTGTGGCGGCAAGGAGACAGTCAGTGCCGTCGTGTGACTGGGCCGACGGGGCGAGAGAGGGGCGCACCTCTTGGAGACCATCTCGCCGGTCTCGGGGTCCTTCTGGAGGTTGGGCGCGCTCGCGGCCTGGTCGGCGGGAACGTCCGGGGTCTGGATGCTGGCCATGTTGGTGCGGTTGGGGGCGAGGTGGACGAAGGAAGGGCGGATGAAGGTGCGCGAGGTTGGGCGGAGAGCGGTCAGGTGGATCGGGACAAGAGCTGAAGGGGGCGCAAGAGCATGCACTGGACTGTTTCCGGGTGCAGGTACGCGTCAGGTCGTGCTGGACTGTGCCCGCTGTCGGGCTCGTTGGAAGATGAGCGAGGCTCACCTCGAGCGGATCTGACGACGGCGACACCGGCCACGGGCAAGGGTCAGTGGGCTGGCTGCGAAGACTGCAACAGAGCGTGCTCACCAAGTCTAGGGTAGCCTCGGTGCTGCGGTGTGCGAGGTGGCTCTGGTCGACCGGGGAAAAGGAGGGCAGCTCGCCCTCTCACTCCGGCCACGGCTCTCCACGCTCTCACACAGCCCTTGCTGCTGCGTTCTTGCGCTCAATCGACCCCGCAGCGCCATCAAGTCCGCCCTGCCCCGTCAGCGGCACCCTCGGCCGCCTCTCTCGCCCTCCCTCCCCGACTCCTCCTCCATCAGTCCGACAGCACCCTCGTCTAACACCGCGTCGACGGTCCAGCCTGGCACCGCCTCGACCTCCCTACGACTTCTCGCGACAAGCTGCGCCGATCTCGCCGCGACATACTCGCCTGCGTCGCCGTCAACGCCCTCGCCTGTCACCCTCTCGCCCTCTCGACCCTCCCTTGCGCCGTCAGCCGGCGCCAGATCGACACAGCCTCGACACGACGACACGGCAGACGGTGCGCCACGGCCTGCGCATGGACGACGCCCTCGGTCGTCGCCTATGTCGCCCTCGTCGTCCCGTCGACCCGCGCGTCGCTTCGGCCACACCTCGCGCGAGCAAGCAGGCCATGCACAGGGACATGCTGCCGCGCTCGTACAGATGCAATACAGTTGTCCAGAGTGCCCTCTCGCAGGCCTGCGTCCAGCGAAAGAACGTGAGAGCACGACGATTCAAAGCTCTCTGCCTCTCGGCTTGTCGGCCTCGTCGAAGTGAGGGCGAGAGTCACAGAGAGACGAGGACAGAGATACCGCGATACATGCTGTGCGCGCGCTACAGGGTGCGAGAGTGCAAGAGGGAGGGGCAAGAGTGCTATGTACAGAATGCGAAAGTGGAGAAGGTCGTCATGGTCGTCAAGGGAGAGGGGGTATCTTTGAGGCTCAAGGAGGCACGTCACAGACGAGGCAGAAAGGACTACTGCTGAAGGCCGAGGCCGCGCAGGAGGTTGTAGAGCGGACCCTTGCCGCCGAGGAGGTTCTGGAGGAGCTGCTCGAGCTGGATGTTGATGTTGGCCGAGTTCGGGCCGCCCGAGGGCACGTCGCGCTTCTTGAGGACGTCGTCGAGCTGGAGAGAGGAGAGAGAGAGAGAGAGTCAGGTCGGGTTCGTCGGTGTGTTGAGAAAGGCGGGTGCGACGACGGCCGAGAGGAGGAGGGGCTCGAGCGGGGGAGGAGAGGGAGAGGGGGACGCACGCCAGACACGGCACCGCTCGCAGCCTGCTCGGTGTTGACGACGACGCCGTTGAGGTCGTGGAAGAGAGGGAGGAGGACGTTCCAGTTGACGCCCTCGAGAAGGCTGCCAAAGTTGTCGCGCTTCTCGTTGGCCGGCGACGCCGTCTCGTCGCGCTTCTTGAGCGTCTTGTCGAGGCCGCCGACGAGGTCGCTGACGAGCTGCTCGGCCGAGAGACCGGCGCCGTTGACGCCCGGGTACAGCTTGTGGAGGAGTGCGTTCAGGCCCTGGAGGAGCGGAAGCTCGTCGCGCTTGACGATGCCGTCGACGCCGCGCACAGCGCCCGTCGCCGTGTTCTCGGTCCCGACGACGACCTCGTTCAGGCCCGGGTAAAGCTGGTGGAGCAAGTTCTGGAGGCCCTGGAAGAGAGGAAGGTCGCGCTCGCTCTGCGCACGAAAGAGAGAGCGGGTCAGGTCGGGCGGCGAGGCGAGGGCAGGAGCAAGAGGACAACCGGACGCACGAGATCGCGCTTGGTCTCGTCGCCGTGGTGGCGCTTGTGCATGCGGGCGGCACCAGAGCGACGCTCGCGAGCGGCGTGCGACTCGGCGACAGCGCGCTTGGCGATCTCGTCGGCGTTCGACGCCTGCGACCGGGCCATACGGACCATACGGTTCGACGCGTTGTCGGCCGACTGTGTCAGGGAGAGAGTCAGCTCGAGAACGAGGGAAAAGGCGAGGCTGAGGACAAGGAGAGGAGGACGGACCAGGCCACGAGCCTCGACGGGTGCCTCGGCGGCAAAGACACTGACGGCGAGGCCAAAGAGGATGGCGGTCTTGAAGAGCATGCTGGGATCGAGTGGGTTGGTGGAAGGAGTGTGTGGATGAGGAAGAGGACGAGAGGGAGCGTGTGTGGTCGGCGGGCGAGTGGACGAAGGCGTGAAGGCGTGGGGCGACTGCGACGAGTCGGGCGAGGGAGCTGCGAGAGTGATGAAGAAGAAGGAGAGAGCGAAGAGAGCGACGAGCGGCGCCTTTTGAGACGACGAGCGGGACGGAGAGCCGGCCGAACGAGCAGGGAAGCCCACCGCGCTTCGAGGACGCAGGTGCCCAAGCCTGCCCAGCGCTAGGCAAATGGAAAGGGCTCTAGTTCGTCGTAGAGGGAGCGTGCGAGAATGAAGGATCCCCGTGCGAGAGAGCGATTCTCGTGCGCTGCGCGGGAAGCACTCGCCGAGGTTTCCGAGAAGTCGGGCTGCAGCGAGAGGAGGGGCTCGTGCCTCGTCTCGAGGCACGCTAGCCTTGAGCTTGTAGTTTCGCTAGCCTGAGCGAGCACGATCGGCCGCCCGCTGAGACCTGCGAGCGCTGGGAACGGGTGAAGAGGAGCGCCGGCGTGCCCGTGCCCTCGTCGCCGCCTGACGGACCGCGGGACTGCTCGGGCTCGAGATTGCACCTTGCAGTGCGTAGCGACGCTCTGCTCCAGCGCTCGCAGCGAGTGCGAAGCGCGAGAGACGAGTGAAAGAGATGAAAAGTTCATCAGCTCTCCTCGTCATCGACGTCGAGTGCCGACGACCACGACGGCAGGAGCTTGCAGTGCAGCTTTCAGTCTCTCTGCACAGACCTCAGGCAGGACTGCAGGAGGCACGCCGGCTCGCAGGAGCGCTTGCTGTCAGTCCTCTCGCAGGCACGGTCGCCGCTCGGCGACGGCTGTGGGAAGCAGCTCACACCGCTCACGAGACTCGCGAGACACGCGTGCTCGTACTCGTGAGAACGAGCGGAGCTTCTCTGCGGCGACGGCAAGCTTCTCGGACGAGACGGCACCCCGGTCGGGAAGGTGACGAGCGAGGGAACGAGAGCTCTCGGAGACGACGAAGCAAGACAGCGACACCGGCCTGGCTGCGCCCATGAGAACCAGGACGTGGTCGGCGAGAACGAGAGGTGCCAAGGCGGGACCGGGACGAGGTTGACCGGGGGCGCCGAGACGAGCAACCTTTCAAGCTCGCACGCTGAGGGACGACGACGCTCGCGAGACGGCAAAGGAGGGCAACGCATTGCGAGGGACGGATAGAGGAGCTACGAGGGGTGACTAGAGGAACAGCACAAAGCCAAGTGGGAGGGAAAAGTACAGGGAGAGAGAGGGGGAGAGAGGGAGAGGAGGAGGGGAGCCGTGCGCTCAAGACTTTGACTGCGTCTCGCGCTCGAACTGCTGCTTGAGGCCGCTCAAAAGCGACTTCTTCATGCGCTTCTCGGCCGAACCCGTGTCCTCGGCGGCGTCGCCCTCGGCGGTCGACTGGCCCTCGGCCTTGGCTGTCGGCGCCTGCTGCTGGCCCGACACCTCGGCGTCGAGCTTGAGCTTGGTCGTCGCGAGCTCGTACATCGCCTCGTCGAGCGAACCCTTGGTGAGGAGGCGGACGATGTCGACCTGGCGGGTCTGGCCAATGCGGTAGCAGCTGCGGGAGAGGCGGGGCCAAAAGGTCAGGTACAGGTCGACGCGAGCGCGACGAGGGGAGGGCTCGGCAGCGACGCACCGGTCCTCGGCCTGCTTGTCGTTGTGCGGGCTGCAGGAGAGGAACGAGGGTCAGTCCGAGGTCCTCGGGGCTCGAGAGAGGGGCGAGGCGAGAGGGGACGGACTTGTAGTCGCAGTCGTAGAAGATGACGGTGTTGGCGGCCGTGAGGTTGAGCCCGAGGCCACCGGCACGAGTCGACAGCACTGCAAGGAGAGAGATATGTCAGGGACAGGTATAGAGACGAAGTGGGGAGGAGCGAGGGACGCACAGAAGACGGTGATGTCGTCGGTCTTGTTGAACGCGTCGACGAGGTTCTGCCGGTCCGAGACGGCCGTCTGGCCCGTGAGCTTGAGGTACTTGAGCTCCATCGTGTCGAGGACCACCTCGAGGATGTCGAGGACCTGGGTGAACTGGCTGAAGATGAGGACGCGGTCGCCGCGGGCCTTCATGGCCGGCAGCAGCTCTTGCAGCTTCTCGATCTTGCCCGCCGACATCCACTCGTCGTTCTTGAGCGCGTACTTGTTGAGGTGCTGCAGGCGGACAGACGAGGACAGGGTCAGGGACGCGTCCTTCAGTCGAGGCAGACTCGAGGGGGGAGAGGCGAGGACGCACCTTGTACGTGAGGCAGAAGCGGTGGAGCTCAAAATCGGTCATGACCTCCATGTCCTCGAAGATGAGGTCCTTGTTGCGGTCGAGGAACTCCTCCTCCTTGAGGCAGTCGCGCGCCATGAGCCGCAGCGTCTTCTCGTCGTACAGGCGGCGGAACAACATCGGGTGGTTCGAGGCCTGCGACGCGAGGCAGGACGTCGTCAGTGTGGGCGCAGGGACCGGCTAGGGGGGAGAGAGAGAGAGGGTGCGCACCTTGCGGAGGTCGGTGAGGACGTGAGCGCTCGAGGTCGTGTCGGCCTTGTTGCCCATCTTGGTCGACGGCGCCGCGACCTTCTTGGGCCGGCCTCGCGGCTTGGGCTTCTTGTCGACGTTGTCGGCCTCCTCGCCGCCGGTCCCGGGCGCGTCCTCGTCCTCGGACGCCTGCGCCTCGAGCTCGTCGTCCTCGGCGTTGACGAGCGCACGCCGGCTGCGCTGGATTGCCTCCTCGTAGACCTCGCGCTGCAGGTCGGTCATGGCGCAGTACTCGATGCGCTCCGTCTTGCTCGGGAGGTCCTTGAGGACCTGCGCCTTCTTGCGGCGGAGGACGAACGGCGTCATCATCTTCTTGGCGCGCATGATGCGCTCGCGCGACAGGAGGTTGGTCGCCGACCCAGGCTGCACCTTGAAGATGGCGCGCAGCGACTCGTTGGCGTCGCGGAACTGGTCGGGCAGGATGAACGACAGGAGCGACTGTGGGCACGAGGGGGGAACGAGGGGAAGGGAGGATCGTCAGGACACCTGCGACGAGACGACGAGAGAGGCGAGACGAGGGACGTACGACGAGCTCTTGCAGGTTGTTCTGCAGCGGCGTGCCCGTCAAGAGGAGGCGCCACTCGGCGCGCACCTGCATGAGGTCCTTGTACTTCTTCGACTCGGAGTTCTTGAGCTGGTGGCCCTCGTCGAACACGGTCACCTGCACGGGATAGCGAGGCGATGTGCGAGAGAGAGAGAGAGGGCAGGAGGGAGAGAGGACGAGAGGGGCAAAGAGAGTCAGCTCGAGGGGGCCGAGGAAGGTTGGGGGACGAAGAGGAGCGAGAAGGGGGGCGCACCTTGAAGTCCATCTTGCGCTTGAGGAACTTCTGGTCGTCGGGCGAACCGGTCGCGATGTTGTAGGTCGTGACGACGCAGTCGAGGTCGTCCATGGCGCGCAGCTCGCCGCGCAGCTCGTAGCGCTCGCCCTGCGAGCCGTAGTAGCTGCGCACGACGAGGTCGGGCGCGAACACGCTGAACTCGCGCATCCAGTTGTCGAGCGTCGACGACGGGACGATGACGAGGTGCGGGCCGGGCTCCTTGGTCGCCTTGAGGTGGGCGAGGAGCGCGATGACCTGGGCCGTCTTGCCGAGGCCCATCTCGTCGGCGAGGATGCACGACGTGCCGCGGCGGTACAAGAGGTTGAGCCAGTTGACGCCGAGCATCTGGTAGTCCTTGAGGTGGATGTTGTCGGGCACGCCGGCGGGCTGCTTGCGGATGTAGTTCTTGAACGCGGCGCGCACACGAGGGTCGTTCGACGTGTCGACCCGGGTCGCGATCGTCTCTTCCGAGATGGCGACGAGGTCGAGCCCGACCTCGTTGCCGCCGGTCGCGCCGGGCGCCGTCGCCTCGGCCGCCGTCGCCGTCGCCGTCGCCGTCGTCGCCGCCGTGACGGCCGCGCCCGAGGCCCACACCTGCATGATGCCGTTGAGCTCGCGCCCGATCTGCTCGCACTCGCCGAGGACCTTGTCGACCTCGCCCATGCCCGTGACGACGTCGAGGTACGTGTCCATCATGTTGTTGCCGACGCCCTTCTGCTTGCGGGTGCGGGTGCGGAAGTCGGCCGCGGTCGTGAACGGGCGCAGCTTCATCGTCAGGGTCGCCTGCGTCGCGTTGCAGCCTGCATAGGGGAGGCGCACGAGAGGGTCAGACGAGAGGTTGGGAGAAGGAGAGGGGGAGAGAGAAGGGAAGAGAGTCTAGGACGCACCGGCGAGCTCCATGAGCATCTCCTTGGTGCACGTGTTGAAGAACTCGACGGCGAGCGCCTCGCGCTTGGCGACCAGGGCCGGGTTCTCCCTCGCGCCGTACTCGTCGCCGCTGCCCTGCGAGTCGTAGTCGCCGCCGTCGTCGTCCGAGTCGCTCGCGTACGCGCGCTTCTTGGGCTTCTTCTTCGCGCTGCTCGAGCCGCCGGCGCTGTTGGCGAGCATGAGCTGCCGCGCGAGGATCGAGCCGCTCGTCGCCGGCGGGGCGGCCTTGGGCGGGGCGGGCTTGGGCTGGGCCCGCTGCGGCTGATGCTGAGGCGGGTACGGGTGCTGGGCGTAGTGCGGGTAGCCGCCTTGCGGGCCCGGGTGCGCGCCGTACGGGCCGCGGTACGAGTTCTGGCCCGGGTACGGCTGGCCGGCGTGGGCGTACACGCCTTGCGGGCCGTAGCCGGCCGGGGCGTAGCCGGCTTGGCCGTACGGGCCGCCGCCCTGGTACGGGCTCGCGCGCTGCTGCTGCTGCTGCTTGCCCTGCTCGGTCTTGCGGATGACGTTGATGTACTGCTTGAGCACGCCGTACTCGGCGTCGGTCATCGTGCCGCTGAAGTAAGCCTTCTGGAGCTGCTGGTAGTGGGCGACGTGCGCGCTCGTCATGCCGGCGAGGCCCTCGGCGGCGGGCGGGAACGCGAACGGCGGCTGCGTCGAGCCCGACATGTGCGGCTGTTGCGGCGGCTGACCGGGCATGGCGGGCTGGATCGCTCGAGGCGGACCGGCGCCGGCGCCGGGAGCGTAACGGCCTTGCGCGACGGCCTGCTGGTACACGAGCTGCTGGTACTGCTGCGCCTGCTGCGCCTGCTGGGGCGTCATGATGCCGTGCGGCGCTGAGCCCGGGTGCTGAGGAGGATACGCCGCCGTCGGCGTGCCCGGGGCGCCCGGCATGCTCTGACGCAGAGCGGCGTGCGGCTGCTGCGGCTGCTGCTGCTGCTGCATCATGTGCTGCTGCTGCTGCTGCTGCGACGGCGGCGGGTGCTGACCGGTGCGCGCCGCCTGCGCCGCGAGGGCCGCCTGGTACTGCTGCGGCGTCAAGCCGCCGGGGACGCCGGTGGTCGGCGCGGGTGCGGGCGAGCCCGACGCGACGGGCTGGTTGACGGCGGCGTAGGCGGCGTTGTAGGGCGACGGGCCGCCGGCCGGGGCGCCACCGAGCTGCTGCGGCGCGCCTTGTGCGGGCGAGCCGTTCGAGAGCGGCTTGGCGTCGAGGAGGGCGGCGAGGGCGGCGTTGAAGTCGTTCGGGTGGCGCTGGAACGCGGCCCAGCACTTGTCGACCGCGAACGCCGGGCCGACCTGGTCGCAGAACGCGCGGAAGGCCGGGTCGCTCATGGGCGGGTGCTGCGACGACGACGGCGGCATGCCCTGGGCCGACATGCGGGGCGACATGGACGCGTAGCTCATCGAGGGCGAGCCGCCGACAGGGCGCATGCCGCCGAGCGCAGGCGAGCCGCCGGACGACGCTCCGAGGCCCGCCGACGAGCCGGGCTTGACGTCGGCGCCGCCGACGTACGGCTTGGCGTCGGGCGCGCCGGCGTGCGGCTTGACGTCGACGCTGCCAGTGTACGAGGGCGTCGGCGCCATGCTCGCGCTCGCCGAGCCGTTCTCGGACGGCGCCTCGGACTTGACGTGCACGTCGGCGAGGCGGTTCTGCAGGTTGGCCGTGAAGCTGCCCGGCCCTTCTTCACCCTGTTGCGCACAGCGAGTCAGTCTAGGCTCGACGACGAACCGAGAGACACGAGGTCGAGAGAGGGAGAGAGGACGCACCTCGGGACCGGGTCCGCCACGACGAAGCCGCTTCCTCGGCTGATCTTGAGGCGCCATCGGGTTCATGACGCTCGACCCACCAGGCGTGCCCGACGTGGTACTCGAGTCGGCCGACGCCTGCCGGCCCATGCCCGTCGTGCGCGGGCCCTCGTACAGCGAGCCGGCGGCGTAGTCGTCCTGGCCGTTGCCGCCGCCGTCGACGCCGCCCGAGCCGTTCGAGGGAGGAGGGAACGAGGAAGGCTGCTGGTGGAGGGTGCGGTCGGACGAGTTGTCGGCGTTGTAGAGCGAGGTGCCGGGCTGGACGGCCTGCGACGGCGACGACTCGAGAGGACGCTTGGTGCCGTTCGAGGAGGCGTCTCCTGCACCAGAGGGAGGAGGGAAGGGCTGAGTCAGTACGTCGCGCTCGAGAGAACTTGCAAGCTGCGCTGGGTCGATGGCGGTGCACGCCGGAGGAGGCGGACGAGTCGCGAGGACGAGGCGGCAAGGCCGAGTGAGGGTGCCCCGGCGAGGGCAACTCGCAAGCTCGTCGACGAGCACGGCTGCACCGGGTCGTCCGCCGGACTCGAGCGGGTCGTCGGCCGCCCCCACTCGGGAACCAGGAGGGGAAGCGGACGAGGTGCGGCCGGGCGCACAAACAAACGCGACGACGCGCTCGGCTGCTGCACACGGCGCACGCGAGTCGAGCGCTCGAGAGGTGCTGCCCTGGACCGAGCCGCCGACTCGCCCGAGGCGATCGCTGAACACGGCAAGGCCCGTCGTCGCCGCGTCTCGAAGGAGAGCGGGCTGGGGACCGACTCGTCCGCCCACCCCTTGTCCACCTCTCGCGCCGGTCCAAAGTCGAGAGACGCACCGTTGGGCGCAGACATGCTGTGCAGCTGCCACGCGGCTTGTCGTGCTGGTGTTGGCTGGGCTGCAGGCGAGGGCGCGCGCGCTGGGGCGGAAGCGGGCGAGGAGGGCGAGGGCGAGGGAGGGCGCACGACGGCTCGGCGGCGGCGGTGGTCGCGTCGAGGGTGGGTGCAGGTGGTCGGTGCGAGTGCTGTTGCCCTGCTGCAGGTGCACGGTAGGCCGCTCGAGGCTGCGGGCGGGGTGTGGGTGGAGCGAGTCGCCCTCTCTTCTCTGCGGGCGACGGCGGGACTTCGAGGGGGAACGAGGCGCCAGTTGCTTCTCTCGTTCCTCTCGCACAGGTGCACGCAGCTGCTCGTACTCGCACTCGGCTCACTCTCAAACCTCGACGTCCCTCCACCGGGAAACGATCACCGACGAACCCGAGATTCAGACCCCGCCCTTCGACTTCCTCCTCGAGCTTGCGGCCGGGGCACTTGCCGACCCAAGGCGACCGGCGAGCCTTGCCCCTTTTCACGCTCGTGCTCCACTCTGCTGGGCGACGCACGAGCGACTCGTCGCACTCGCTTTGTCCCCCGCGACCCTCCCTTTCTTCGTCGCGCTCGCGCCCGCCGACTCGCTCTCGAGCCTCGTGCGGCAGCCTTCTCAACTCGCGCGTGCGCCCCATTCTTCCCTCGCTCACGCCTCCTGCGTGTCGGCCCCAGGCGTCACGCCGAACGCTTCGAGGTCAAGCTCTCGATGCGGCATTGTCCTGCGCTCGAGGCTCGTTCCTCGATGCTCGCTCGCTCGCTCGCTCGCCGGTGCCGCCCGTCTTCCTCGCTCGTCTCTGTCCCTCAGTCGCTCTTGGCCGTCGTCGCCGTCGTTCTGCCTCCCTCCCATCAGGCCTCGCCTGTCCGTCACTCCTTTACAACCTTCTCGTCGCACGAGCTCATGCTCGCCATTCGCTCGTTCTTGCTCCTGTCCCTCGCCGGCGTCCTCTGTGCGTGCCTCACACGCATTCGCACCGTCTGGGAAGAGGCGAGAAGCTGATGTTCGACCGCCTGCAGCCACTCTCGCGACCGCGCGCACCGACCCTCTTCGCCCTCTCCTCCACCCGGGCCACCTCTCGCACGAGTCACCTCTCCATCCTTCGGCGCTCTCGACCCGCTCCTTCCTGCGTGCACGCCAAGCAGTCCTCCCCGAAGCGGGACAAGTGACGGCGGCGCGAGGGGTCCAGGCGCAGCGCGATGCCGTGAGTCGGCTCGACGGAGCGAGACGGGCACTCGAGGTCGTCGGCAGCGACATCGTCCGACGCGCCGAGCGAGTCAGGCGTGCGCAAGGAGGCTCCAGAGCAGGAGAGACGACCGACGAGGAAGGCGCCGCTGTCGTGCGTCGCCCGTCCGCCCTCACCTCGCAGACGAGGAAGCTGACCTTGCTTTTGGATCTGCAGCACGACACGCTCTTCCGACTTCTCGCAATCCTCTCGAGCTCGCCCCTCAGTGCATCGACGACCACGTCCGTCACGAGCGACGACCCGCTCGACGCCATCGCCAGCTTTGCCGCTGCCCAACGTCGGCCTGGCGCTGCCGCCCCTTCCGCCTCGCCCGCTCCAGTCCCGTCCGGGCATTCGCTCGCTCGTCGCTCCCTGCCAGCGCGAGTCGACGTACGTCCCTCTCTCTCTTCGACGCCCCTCGCGACAAGTGCCGGCGCCGCCCGCAGCTCCTGACGCTCGGTCCTCCCCTTGTCTGCACGCAGCGCGACCCGCTCACGGCGCTCACCGCCCTCCTCGACACGCTCGACCGCACCATCTCGGTCCCGCTCGGCGACATCCTCCCCTCGCTGCCGCCGGTCCTGCGCGACTCGGTGCGCGCCCTGCTCGAGTCGGTTGGCGACGAGATGGCGGACTTGGTCGAGGGCGCACTGGTCCAAGGCGGCGTCGAGGTGGCAGGAGCCGAGCAGGTGTTGATGACGCTCGGTCGTGACGGCGTCCAGGTCGAGGAGGACAAGGAGCAGAGGATGGCGTCGCTGCTCAAGCTCGTCCGGGGGAGCGTCGCCGGCATCTGAGCGCGGCGCGACGGAGCGAGCGTGGTCGCACATACCCGTGGGAGGACCGTTTATAGATACCCACGTGCAACGAGCAGAGTCTGCGCAGCTTTGCGTCGTGCAGCGTCGGGGGAAGCCCGGAGCGGGGAGGCGAGCGAGAGGAAGCGCAGCCTGGAGCGCCAGCTGCAGCCAGAGGCGCGATGCACGCTCGCGGGGCGCTCCGTAGCAGAGTGTAGATGCCTTCTGGCCGTTGAAGCACGCCCGCTGGCCCAACGCGGGGCGATGAAGCTGCGTGAGAGATGAGGTCGGGGCGAGAGCAACAGGACGGCGACGGCTGCTCGCGTGCCACCTGCGACAGGCTAGATCGAGCGTACAGATGCCATGCAGCAGGTGCACAGCAGCTGCCTCGCACCTCAGAGCTCGAGGAGTGGTTGCGGGCCGCCGACCCTCGTCTCGAGCTCGAGGAGGAGCGAGCAGGTCCACTCCACCACGCTCCACAGCCCAGACGCACTCGCTGCTCCTCGCCCGCATCAAGAGCACCTGCACAAGGACCTGCTCCCACCCGCCCCGCCGCCCCTCGACAGTCCTTCCCCCGCCCTCCTCGTCCCGTCGCCCTCTCGCCCAAGATGGTCCGCCTCATCACGCAGAACCTCCTGTCGTGCCCGTCGCGCGCGTGCGCGTACCCGACCAACTTTCCCCTCACGTTCCGCAACGTCGCCAAGCTCGAGATGGTCGACGCCGAGTTCAGCGAGGAGTTCATCCGCGGCGTCTTGAGCCGGCTCGAGTGGGCAGCTCTCAGGAAGAGCGCGGCAGAGGTGCGTCGACTGCTTTCACTCTCTCGTGGACACGTGCGGCGGTCGTGCTGGGCGCGGAGCGGCGGCACCGCTCGCAGCGGCTGGAGAAGGGGTGCAGGAGGCGGTGCAGGTCGAGGAGGCCAGGCTCTGCGCCGACCTGCTCAGTCGAGCCGAGCGCACGGCGCGCACGAGTGCTCTTGTCGCCGTCCGTCGACGCACGCCCGCGGCGCTGAGTGTTGGCAGGCCCCGGCGCTGTCGCCGAGCCCGCCAGAACCACCCTCTCGCGCAGCCGCCGCGCGAGCAGCCAAGGACCCGCACACGGAACCTCCCTACTGACTCACCCTCGTTGACCCTCGCAGCTCGGCAACACGGACTTGCCCGAACAATCGCCCGACCTGACGCAGCCGGAGAGCCTCTCGCTCGACCTCCTCAAGACGCTGCACCACGTCCTGCTCGAGGTGCGCCCTCGCTTTCCTCCTCTCGCTCTCGCGTCGCCACAGACGAGTCGGGTGACTGACGCGTGGCCGGTACTCGTGCGCACAGATTGTGGTTGCCGACGGCGAGATGGTGTGCCCGCAGTGCGAGCACGTGTTCCGCATCAAGGACACGATTCCCAACATGGTGCGCCCCTCTCTCGTCTCCCTTGCGACCCGCACAGGACCCTGACGACGCGTTCTCGGTGTTGCAGCTCCTGGCCGAGCACGAGATCCGCAAGTAGTCGAGCGAGGCAGGTTGGGCTCGGAGCGGCTCTCGTTGGCCGTGGCGTAGACGGGCGTTGTCCTTGTTGTATTTCGTACGAGCGAGCATCACTCTGGAGCGACAGTAGAGCTGCCTGGCGCGCAACGATGAGCGAGTCTCAACTATTTGAGCCGCGAGCCGAGCAGCCTCCGGATCTGGCGACGACGAGAGGTGCCGTCACTCTGTCGCCCCTGCTCAGCGCGCCCCGGGTTGGCCAGCAGCTGTACCGCCACATAGCTCGCCCACACGTCGACCCACACCTGTCGTACAAGCCTCGCGCGCCCTCACCGCCTTCGAGCCGCCTCATCACCTCGCCTCGAGGGAGCTCGTCCTCGACCGTCGCTCGACCTCTCGGACGGTCCTCGACAAGCAGCAGACGCTTGTCAGCAGGTGCGCTCATGTCCTCTCGATCTCCCCAGACCGTCTCGGAGTCCTGACTCTCCTAGCACCTCCGGCAGCTCGACCCGCCGCAAGCCCTCGCTCGTCAACAGAGTCGCGCCAAGCCCGGCTCGGCAGCCGCCACACTGGCTCAAGGGCGCATCCTCACCTCGCACCGCCGCAAAGCCTCGTTTGGCAGCGGCGGCGGCGGCTCCGCCGTGGCGCGCTTCCTCCCCTCGTTCCGCCCGCTCCAGATGCGGCACTTGCTCCTCTTCCTGTGCTGCATCTCATTCTCGATCTACTGGTTCACCAGCGGGTCCGGCGACGGCGGGTCCTCAAGCCTCTCGGCGTCGCAAAAACACACGGCGCAGCTCACGAGCCTGTGCCCCTACTCGACCTCGCGCCGACACGTGCCGACCATCCTCCTCCAGGGCTCGCAAGCCTCGTCCCCAAACGACAACCGCACCGTCGCCGTCCTCGACACGCAAGCTCCCGGTGCCGACACGCCCGCCGCGTTCCTCCCGTACGCCTACCCGCCCAAGGACCTCCGGTTCGCCCAGACGCTCGGCGCCAAGGGCGTCCAGCCTCGTCCGGGCGCAGGCCGCCTCACCGAGGGCGTCCACCCGGACGACGAGCGCGGCGAGCAGCTGTGCCCGCTGTACCGCGTCCCGTCGTCGCCGCGCCCGTCGGTCCCGGCCTCGTGGCGCGACAGCAGCGTCATGTTCGGCATGAGCACGCTCGCCGACCGCGTCCTGTGGAACCTGCCCGTGTGGGCGCACTGGCTGCCCGGCGCGCCAAAGGCGCCCCTCGACCCGACCGACGCGGCCCTCGTGCGCGAGCTGCCGCTCGTGCTCGTCCTCACGCCGCCGACGACGGCCGACCAGGGCAACAAGCACCGCGCCGCCGTCACCGAGACGGAGCGTCGACGTGCGCGCGAGGCCGAGGAGGAGGCCAACGTGCTCGGCATGCAGATCGCGCTGCGCCCGAGGGAGGCCGAGCGGTTCGAGACGCGGTACTTTGCCCTCGCCGAGGAGATGTGGGTCGAGGCCAAGCGGCGCGAGGCCGACGAGGGCGTCAAGACCGAGTGGTTTGTATTTGCGTGCGTCCGCTTTCCCCTCTTCACTCTCTTGAGAGCGGCGAGCAAGGAGGACGCGAGGAGCTCACTCGACTTTGCCCCCTCGCCTCCCTCGCCCACAGCGACGACGACACGTTCTTTCCCGACTTTGACTCGCTCGCTCGGCTCCTGTCGTCGCACGACTCGTCAGGCGACTACCTCATCGGCGCCTTGAGCGAGTCGACCAAGCAGGTGCTTCGACCCTCTTCCGCTCTCGATATCTTTGCGCGAAGCAGACCTGACGCTCCTTCTTCCCTTTCGCAGGTCGCACAATGGGGCCACATCGCGTACGGCGGCGCCGGCATCATCGTGTCGCGTGGCCTGCTCGCCAAGATGAACGAGGACGGCGTCTGTGCGTCCTCCTGTCCCTCGGCCTCTTTCCTCTCTCGCCCGGTCCTGGTCCTCACTCGTCGTCTTTCTCTCTCGCGCGCAGGGGCCGAGTGCCTCGCCAAATTCGGCGCCTCGTTCGGCGGCGACGCCATGGTGACGCACTGCGCCGCGCTCGCGACCGACCAGAAGGTCCAGGACGCGCTCACGATCGACCCGACCCTGCACCAGCTCGACATCCGCGGCGACGGCACCGGCTTCTTCCAGAGCGGGTTCCTCATCACGTCGCTGCACCACTGGGGGAGCTGGTTCACGCTGTTCCCGCCGTGGCACGAGTCGGGCCAGGGCGACTTGCGCAAGGGCGTCACGCTCGTCGGCAAGGCGGCCAAGGCGGTCGGCGGCGACAACTGGGGGCGGCGGTACGTCTTTGAGGGCGGTCGTGTCGTCGTCGCGCTCGGGTACAGCATCACGGTCGAGGCCAAGCCGCTCGCGCTCGGCGACCTCGCCAAGTCGGTGCGTCCCTTCCCCTCCCTTCTCGTCCCTCCCCTTCTATCTTCCTCTCACTCACCTCCTCGCCCTGTACGCAGGAGCACACCTGGTGGGAGTTCGAGACGTTCCACCCGATCCGGCCCGGGCAGGAGGAGGGCGTCGACAAGCGCACCTACTACATCTCGGGCGTGCGCCGCCTCGACAAGGACGGCATCTTCCGCCTCGAGCACAAGAACCGCGAGGGCGAGCGAGTCGACATCGTGTGGGACCAGCGCGCGACGGGCAAGGCGGCAAAAGGCTCGAGGAGCAGGTGGTGAGGTCGAGGGAGCGAGGGAGCGTCGCGCAACCTAGTAGAGCAGTCTGTCTCGTCGTTCTGTTCCAGCCGTCCAATCCTGCAACTCATACCCTGTTCAGTCCCCTCGGCTGTCGCACACGCTCGCACGAGAGCCGATCGACTTGTCCGGCTCGAGGGACGCTCGCCCGTATGGCCGCTCCCTGTCTTCTTCTTTGCTCTCTAGCGTCGCATCTCGTCGAACACAGACTCTGTGGGTCTGCGAGAGCTCGAGACTGCTTTGCGCGGCCGACCTGAGAGCGCAAGCCGGCCAACTCGAGTTTAGGAAGGTCGACCCGCTGCCGCGGCCCGAGCGGCCTTTTCTGGCCTCGCTCTGGACACGAGCTCTCCCTCCTCGCTTCTCGAGAGCAAGCGCGCATCGACCCATGTTTGCGCGTCGCCTCGGAACGCTCCACAAGTGACCCTGTTCATGAAGCGGTCAGGCCCGGCACTTTGCGACGATTGATTAATATTGCTTCCTCGAGGCGGTCCAGGCTCGTCGAGCCTCGCCCTGATGCGCTGCAGCCGCTTGGCGCCAATATTGTTTGCTTTCGAGTCTCTGCGCTTTCCGCGGCGCGCTCCTCGAGGAGCGCGATCCATCGTCGCGGTGCGGGTAAATTGCAGCTCCACAAGAGCGAGCCGCGAGCCTCGCGAGTGGGCGACCTAGTGCGCATGAGGTTGCCGGCCGATTGGAAGATCGCGGTCCGCTCACCGACGGCAAGTGGAAGCGGACGAGGGACGAGGAAAGCTTGCCGTCACGACAAGGTTGACACGAGCGCGACGAGGTCAAAGTGTCGAAATGACGCGACGATCCGGCGTGCCGTAGGCCTTTGTTTGGCAGCGCGAGCGCAAAGAGGGAGGACGAGTGGGTCCGTGCGAGGCTCTCGCCGTGTCTCTCGGCGGGCGACGCAGCAGGAGCGCAGCTTCTTCCGAGACTTGTCACGGGCAGTTGCAGGTTGCAGGACTCGGCGCAGCAGCATGGCCCACTGTTCGACGCAGCTCTGGCCGACCCTTCGAACGTTACTGTACCAGCCAGCTCGACGTCGAGCGGACGGAGCGAGCAGACGCGCCGGGCTCGTCGAACCGTGCGCACGCGCCGCTCCGGCACGCTCACCCTTGCCGCGTCGAGCGTCGAGGAGCGCACCGTGCGCAGATCTCGCAGTTGGCGCAAGATGAAATCGCGGAGGAGCCAGGCAAGCCTGCATCCGGCGTAGATGAACATGAACGGGCCGAGCCCAGAGACGGCTCTGATTGCCCGAGGAGGGAACCGCAAGCGATTGCTCCAGACGCGCACCGGCCGGGCAACTTGGCTTGCCCACCTGCGAGTCGTCAGGCGACAAACGAGATCAGCTGCGGACAGTGCGAGGGCCCCCGCGCAGTCCGTTCCGGCGACAAGGGGTGCGCCCGCTTGCACTCCCCCTTTCTCCCGCTCCTCGTCCTCGCGCACCCCGCAAGCCTTTCGCCGTCCCGCCTTGCCAGCTTCCGCTCGACGGTCCATCCGCCCACCTCGACCACACTTCGACCGCTCGCCGACCTCGCCTCGCTCGCTTGCCGCCCACTCTCTCTCGCCTCGCCGCGTCAACAACCCGCCCGGCCATGCCCGCCTCTCGCGCCCACTCGATCTTCGCCCTCGCGGCCCTCCTGTTCGCCGTCGCCTCGGCCCAGTCTGGCCGGTTCCCGTGCGGCACCACCGCGCCCGAGCAGAAGCGCTGCGACGCCCTCTCGCACCCGACCTCGCGGCGAGGTGCCGGTCTCGTCCCCGTCGACGCCGAGTGCGTCCAGGCCGGCTCGGCGGGCTACTTCTGTGGATGGGCAGGAGCCAAGTGAGTCGCCGCTGGTTCCGTCGAGGTTGCGACGTCGGGCTCGGCTCGGCGAGAGGCGCCGGCCGCCGCCGTCGGCACCTCCGAGCACTGTCGCTGACTCTCTCGTTCCCTCGCAGGTGCACGAGCGACACGCAGTGCGACTTTGGGCGGTGCAGTTCGATCGACGGCGACGAGGGCGTGTGCGTGTGCGTCGTCGACTTTCTCTCCCTCGTCCGACTCGGCTCGCGGCCTTTCCGCGACCTCGTGTGCCTCGCCCTGACTCTTTCCCTCTCCCTTCTCTCCCTACAGCGGTGGACTTGGCGACCCTTGCAACGGTCCCGACGGTCCCGACGACTCGCTGTGCGGCGGCAACCTCGGCTGCCAGCCCGACGCGCTTCAAGGTCGCGCAACCTGCGGCGGCGAGGGCGCCGACTGCTCCTTCTTCGGCTCGTACCAGTCGGGCTCCAAGCCCAACCACGGCGCATGCTCTTCTGGTGCGCCCCGCCTTCTTCTCTCGACTCGTTCGCGCTCGCCCTGGCCGACCTTGCGACTGACCTTCTCAAACTCGCACGCAGGCCTCTGCAGCCCGACCAGCCTCACCTGCGAGAGCGACCTCCCTCTTCTCGCACCACCAGCCACCCCTTACATGGACTCGGTCAACGGGCGCCAGCAGCCGTACCGCCTGTCGGGCCCGTCTCGGCAAGAGCGCCTCTCGATCCCGCTCGGCGCGTCGTGCCCCGAGGGGTCGACCGTGTGCCCCGTCGCGCGCCGCGCCCCGCAAGGCGGCTACCTGTTCGCGTGCTTCGACACCAAGTCGAGCGCGACGCACTGCGGCGGGTGCCCGAGCGTCGGCCAGGGCGCCTTCTGGGACTCGCGCGCCGAGCACGGCGTCGACTGCACGGCCCTGCCGGGCGTCCAGAGCGCGACATGTGCCCAGTCCAAGTGCCAGATCCGTGCGTTCACCTCTCTCTCTCTCTCATTCTCCCTCGGCGCAGCTTTTCCTGACGTCGCCCTCTCTCTCTCTCTCGCAGTCTCGTGCAGCGCCGGCTACGTCCTCGACGACAAGCGTGGCTCGTGCGTGCCCAAGAAGTACTGGTGACGGCCTCCTCACCTCTCCCTGTTACCCCTCTCTGTACCCGCATACCCACTGTGTCCTCCTGTCGTGCCCCTCTCCCTCTCGGTGTAGTCGTACCTGTCCCGCCCTTAGCAGGAGCGCTCGTGCAAGCAGCCCGCTTTGAACAAGACACAGCACCCGAGAGACAGAGTCGTTCGCAGTGGGCAGAGCGGGAGCGTCGACGACGTGCGGGCTCGTGGCAGTCCTTCGCGGGAACGAGAGCGGCGAGGCGAGTCGGGCAATCGCGGGAGCAAGAGAGAACCCTCGAATCGTCGTTGCACCTGGACCCTGCTCCTCTCTGCGCTCGAGCGCTACTTCTTGCGCTGGCGCGCCTTGCCCTTCTTGAGCGCGCCCGCCGGGAGCCACTCCTCGTCGACGCCCTCGGGCACCTTGACCCGGTCCTCGTCCTCCCTGTGCGCCGCGTCCTCCCTGTCGAGCCGCTCCTTCTCCTCCTCGAGCGCGGCCGTCACCTCGTCTGCGCTCACCTCCTCGCCGGCGCGGATGCGGGCCGCGAGCGCGGGCGGGATGGCGACTCGTCGGACGCCCGTCTGGAACCCGGGTGCGCCGCGGCCGACGCCCGTCTTGGGGTCGTAGGCGCGGCTCGAGGCGGGCAGGGACGCGACGATGGTGCGGTACACGCGGTACGCGACGTAGGCCGCCGGGAGCGAGAGGAGGAGGAGCGAGGGGACGAGAGGCGAGTCGACCTGGGCGCGGGAGAGCTCGTCAGCTTGCGCAGACCATGCACGAGAGAAGAGAGCAAGCGTGCGCACCATCTTTGGGCTGTTGACGAGGCTGTGTCGAAGCCGAGAGGGTGCGGAGGGAGATGAGGCGTGGAGGCGACCGATGAAGGCGACTTGGCTCTGGGGCGAGTCGCGGGTGCGCGTGCGAGGTCGATAGAGGTGCTCTGCCGAAACTGGGTGCGCTCGCAAGTCGCAAGAGCTTGGTGCGAGAAGTGCGAGGGAGGTCGACCAGGGCGGGGCCTTCGCCGCCGAGCGAGAGGTCGACGAGCAGCTCTCTCGTGTCGACGCTCGCCCGGATTGTAGCTCTGCGAGACCTCGTATCCAAGCCGAGCTCACTCATATTGCCTGGAAGCCGAGAGCACTCGAGAAAAAGCTCTCGCCGAGTCGCTCTCCTCGCCGAGATGGCTCGCACCGCATCTTCCTCCTCGACCTCGCCGCGGACGAGCACCTCGAGATGCACAGCTCGACCCACAGCTACGCCCCGAGCGCGCCCCATCCACCCATGCCCCACACGCGGAGCAGCCTCGCCGCGTCGTCGAGCCGCTCGTCCGGCTGGCGCATGCCCCGGGGCACAAACGCGCCCAGCTCCTCCCACAGCGCGTGCCGCGCCGCGTACGTCGCCTCGTCGACGTCGCACCCTCCCTCGCTGCCGTCGACGGCGCCCTCGGACGGCGTCGCTGGCCGAGACGCGCCGGCGAGGAGCGCGGCGTCGGCGTCGATGTTCATGCGCGCCGGCGCCGAGAGCAGCTGCGCCATGCAGGCGCGGAACGCGGCCGACTCGGACGGCGACGAGTGGTCGACGACGAGCGAGAGGTCGTTCTGGAGGTACTGCAAAGCGAGGACGGTTGGCGAGGTGGCGCAGAGCTCGGCGAATCTGCGATCGATAGTCGAGATTGTGCGTCAGGGACGGGCCTGACGAGAGAAGAGACAGGGACAGAGAGCGAAAGAGGACGTACCGCTGCTTGCGGACGAGGAACTTGGCTCGGCGGAGCGCCTCGTCGGGCGTCGGGCTGCGCGCAGCGGTGGACGAGAAGGTCAGTTTCTCGTCGCACATCGAGACAGGCAACGAGGGGAGAGAGGGGACGCACTCGACGATCTTGAGCTTCCAGAAGTCGCTCAGGCGCATGTCGGGGCTCTCGACGGGCAGAGCCGTGTCGGGACAGCCGCCGAAGAGGTAGTGCTCGCCTTTGAGCGGGTCGTAGACGACCTGCACGCGTGGCGAGAGACAATTAGCGACGGCGCTGCGGCAGCTCTGCAAGCTCGTTACGCCGGCGCGCATGGCCGGCGAGCGAGGAGGGGCGAAGGAGGGCAGCGCCGACGCACCTGAGCGGCGTATCTCCCCCTCGGGCCCCCTCCAGCCGCGCCGTCCTCCTCCTTGACCTTCTCCCACGTCCCCTTGGCCCCTCCCACCCTGCGCCACACGCCCCTGTCGCACCGCGCCTCGCCCTCGCCGCGCTCGCGCGCCCGCTCCCGCTCGCGGTCGCGCTCGGGCGTCGAGCCGCCGCTCGAGGCCGACCCGGACCCGCCCGGCGCGGGGCCGAGCCCCGTCAGGAGGGTCCACGTGCCGTTCGGGCCGAGCGTGAGGCGCTGCGTGAAGCCGGCGGGCGGGACGGCGGTGTCGGTCGGCGCGGGTGCGGGCAGGCGGCGGATCTGGACGATGGTCGGCTGGCGGGAGCGCGACGACGCCGAGCTCGAGTCGCGTGCGTCGGGACGGGTGCTGCGCGCGGGACGGGAGGGCGACGCCGAGGGGGACGAGGCCGGGAAGGCCGAGGCGTCGACGAGCGAGCCGGCGCTGCTGGGCGTCGACGAGGGAAAGTCGAGGACGGCGCCCTGGCGCCACAGGGCGTCGTCGCCTTCTGCGCTCCTCGTCGTCGACGACGCGCCGAGCCCGGGCGCCGAGGAAGAGGAGGACGACGGCGACGCGAGGCGGACGGCCCACTCGTCGGCGAGGTGCTGCTCGTCGCGCTGCCCGTGGAGGACGTACAGCGTCGGGTCGTCGTCGGGGGACGACTCATCGAGGACGAGAGCGTGCCCTGCGCGGGACAGGAGGCGCTCGCTCGACGAAGGCGAGGCGGGTCGAGGCGCGAACGAGGTCGGGCGAGGGTCGCCGCTGCGGACGAGAGCGGCGCACGAGCCTCGAGTCAGTCGCGAGGGCTCGAGGATCTGGGAGAGATGGGAGAGGACGAGGACGCACAAGAGGTGGGTCCACCGCTTGGCCTCGATGTCGTAGCACCACATGCCGCTGTACTTGCCCTCGCGCTGCGCGCCTCCTGCGCCCGCCGCGCTCCCGGCCTCGGCGCCGAAGTCGTCCATCGCCGCCGCTCCCGCTCCCGCACTGCCAAACCCGCCCGCCGCCGTGTCGGCCGCGTCGAACGGCTGGTTCTTGCCGCCAAAGACAAACAGGCGCCCGGCGCCCGAGTGGACGACCATGGCGTGGTCGAACAGGAGGGCGGGCCCGCCGTCGCGCCGCGTGTCGGCGCTCAGGAGCTCCCACGTGCCGCGCCCGGGCCCGACGGCGCGGTACCGCCAAAAGTCGGAGCGCCACCGCGCGGCGCGGCGCTGCAGGCGCGACAGGGCGCGGTCGAGCGCGGTTGGCGGCGACGAGGAGGTGTCGAGCGGGGCGACAGCGGGAGCGGTTGACGAAGGAGGCTCGGCGTCGACGTCCATGGCGGCGGTGGCAACGGCGGCGGTCGTCGACGCGGGTTCTGCGCCTGGCTCGACCTCGTCGCCCTCATCGTCCTCGTCCTCGTCGTCGTCGAAGTCGTCCCGCCGTCCACCGAGGAGGTACACCCACCCCTCGCCCTCGTCGACCGCCATCTGATGGCAGCTCCTCGGGCCGGGCTTGAGCGCGCTCGTCGCGCCCTCGCCCGTCGCGCCCTCGCCCTCGCCCTCGCCGAGCCCGGCGTCGAGGCAGCGCCAGCCGCCGTGGCCGTCGAGCGACCACTCCCACAGGTCGCCGAGGTCCTTGCGGCCGTCCCACCCGCCAAAGAGGAGGACCCTGCGCCCGACGCGCACCATGGCGTGCCCGCCCCTCCCGCTCGGACCCGCCGATGCCGCCTTGGCGCCGCCCTCGCCGCCGCCGCCGCCGCCGCCGGCGTCGAGGCGCACCCACCGTGCGACGCTGTCGCCCTTGCCGCCGCCCGGGCAGTGCTCGTCGAGGAGGCCGGCGCGGCGCATGCGCTCGAGGAGGGCCTCGGCGCGCGTGTGGTCGCCCTCGAGGACGAGCGCGTCGTGGAGCGCGCTCAGGAGCGGGTGTTCGAGGGCGACGGCGTCGGTGTCGGTCGTCGATGCCGAGGTCGGAGGACGAGGGGAAAGGAGGGACGAGGACGAGGTCGAGGAGGAGGAAGAGGGCAGGGTCGCGGCGAGGGCGCGGTACGCGGGCAGGGTCGCCGGGCCGGCGCGGCGCAGGTGCGCGAGGACGAGGCGGGTCGTCTCGCGGCTGCGGTGGGCGCGGTACAGCGCCTCGAGGGTGGCGGCCGACGTGTCGGCGAGCGGCGGGGCCGAGGCGAGGTAGCCCTCGAGCCAGACGTGCCAGATCGAGATGCTGTAGGCGGCGTTTGCGGCGACGTGGCAGTCGATCTTGAGGTAGCGGACGGGGAGCGGGGCTTTGTGGGACGAGCCCGAGGGGAGCGAGATGGGGAGCGAGAAGCGCTCGGGGTGGGCGTCGTTCTTGAGGGTCGAGTCGAGGAGGGGCTCCATGGCGAGCGGGTCGGGGCTGAGGCCGCCCCACAGGGTAAAGTCGGCGAGGTTGCAGGGGTGCGCTGCGGGCGAGGAGAGGGGAGTGAGTGAGGGTGCGAGAGGTGGTGGACGAGGGGAGGGAGCGCACGCTTCGAGGTTTTGCCAAAGCCGATTGTGCGCACGAGGGCCGTGTGGTCGAGCTCGAGGATGATCCACTCTGGGTCGCGCCTGCGTTTGGTGCCGACGGTGGAGGACGAGGACGAGGTGTCGCGGCGGCGGTGGTCGGGAGGAGGAGCGGTCCACCTCGACGTGTCCGAGTGCGGGTTGTCGGTGCGGATGTGGTCTGGGTGGAAGGCGGCGTACACGCCCGAGGTCGAGTGGACCCTGGGGACAGAGAGTGAGTGACGACGAGGGAGGGAGGCGATGAGAGGTGGGGGAGTGGGCGCACGAGTACGACAGGCGGGCCGGGCTGTGGTTGAGGACGGCGTCCAAGTCGCACGAGCTGAGCATGGTGGTCGAGTCGCACCGGGAGCGGGCTGAGGGCCGAGAGGGTTCGTTGCTTCGTCGTCGTCGTCGGTCGTCGATCGTGGTCCGGCTTGGCTCGACCGAGGCTCGCTCCCTCTCTCCCACAGCCCACCATGGTCACGTACGACCAGCTCGTGCCCTACCTGCCCCCGCCAGTCACGTTCGCCGTCCGCGTCCTCCACCTCTCGGACCCGGTCAACGCCCTCCTCGTCCTCCTCGTCGTCGTCCTCTCGCTCCGCATCCTCTTCCCCGCCCCGCCCTTCACTCCGACCCCGTACCTCCTCCCGACCAAGCCCGCCGACGACTACAACTGGCGGCCGGCGACCCACCCTCCCTCCCGCGTCTGGCGCACCTTCACCCCACACTCGCTCGCCCCCTTCAACGGCACCACCAAAGGCCAGCCCATCCTCTTTGCCGTCCGCCGCAAGGTCTACGACGTCTCCTCGGGCGCGTCCTTTTACGGTCCCGACGGGCCCTACGCCAACTTTGCCGGCCGCGACGCCTCGCGCGGTCTCGCAAAGCAGAGCTTCGACGACGACATGCTCGCACCGCTCGACGGGCCCATCGACCCGCTCGACGACTTAACCGACGCCGAGTGGACCAACCTCCGCCAGTGGGAGGACCTGTTCCAGACAAAGTACATCCCCTGCGGGTCCGTCGTTCTTTCTCTCTCTCTCTTCCATGCCGCACGGACCTGACTATCTCTTGCCCGCCGCCGACAGCGACTACGTCGACGCGCAGTAGCGAGGCCGAGCACACCGTCGACCCTCGCTCTCGGTCCCTCCCTTTCCTTCCTCCTCCTCTTTCGTCCGCACCTCTTTGTTCAGAGGCATCGTCGCCTGTCTCGATCGCACGACGTTCGCAACGCAGTCACGTTCTCTACGGTCCCAGTTCTCGTCCAAGAGAGAGAGACAAAGAAAGAGGCAAAGACGGCCGACGTTGCATTGCCTCGACCCGCCGCGAGAGAGGAAGAGAGACGGCGTCGCTCAGGTCACCTTGATGAGCAAGAAGACGAGGACCCACAGGACGGCGACGACGGCGAGGATGCCCAACGTGGCGCACGTCGTCCCCCTGCCCTTTTTGCGCACGCCCTCGAGCCTTCGGCCCTCCTTGCTCATCTGGCCCTCGCTCCCCTCGAGCTTGCCCTCGGCCTGCTCGAGCACCTCGCGGTCGCGCTCGAGCAGGCTCGAAAACTCGAGCGTCGAGGCCTTGAGCGTCGACGAGAGCGACGAGAGGGCGCCGAGGAGCGACGCTTGCTCCGACGCGTGGTACGACGCCAGGTCGGCGCCTGCGCCTCGGCTCGACGCCCCGACGGGGAGGAGCTCGTCCCTCGCGCTCGTGCCCTTGCCCTTGGCCTCGTCGCCCTCCTCCTCCTTCTCTTTCCCCTTCTCCTTGCCCTTGCCCTTGCCGCCCCTCCCCCTCAACCTGAGCCCCAGCCTCCCCCTCCCCTCGCTCCTCCCCTCCCTCTCGCGCTCCTCCTGCTCACGCTCCTCCTTCTCGCGCTCAGCCGCCGCGCGCTCCCCCTCGAGACGCGCCGCCGCCGCCTCGTCGTCGGCCGCGGCGCGCAGGGCCTTTTCGCGCGCGCGCGCACGCTTGGCTGCGAGGTAGGCTGGGACGGGCTTGTCGCCGTCGCCGGGTGCGGGTGCGGGTGCGGGTGCGGGTGGACGGCAGGTGGATGAGGACGAGGTGGGCGCGTCGGCCTCGTCGGCAGAGGTGGCGGCCGACGTCGTCGAGGCCGGGCGCGAGGTCGAGGTCGGGGCGGGTGCGGTGCGGCGAGCGCGCAGGCGAGAGCCCGCCGGTACCGGGGCCGGGGCCGACGCGGGATCGGTGGGCGGCAGTGCGCTGGAGGACGCGACCGACGAGGATGGGGCGGGCGCTGGCGGCGTAAGCGCCGCGAGGGCGCTGCGCTCGCTCGTGCCCGGGGCGGCGGTGGCGGCGCCGAGAGGCGGCGGCGCCACGGCGTCGTCGTCGTCGTCGGGCGCGAGGGAACGGGTCGGCGAAGGAGGGAGGGTCGAGGTGGATGCCGCAGGGGGCCACGGGAGCGCGTCGAGCGACGTGACGGGCTTTACGGGTCCGAGGGCGTCGAGGAGCGCGGCGAGTGGGGATGGCTCGGCGGTCGGGCTCTTGACGAGGTCCTGTGTCGCGTACATTCAGTCAGTGAGGTGGGTACGGACACACGCGAGAGGGAGAGGGCGTGAACGCACGTCGGGCACAGGTCGAGGGAGAGCGGCGGCGCGGGCGTGAGCGCGTGCGAGACGGGCCGCGAGCTGGTCGAGCTTTGGCGGCCGGGCCGACGAGCTGTGTAAGGTGACTGGTGAGCTCGTGGACGCAGGCTGGGGCGAGCGGGTGGGCGCACCTGGCGGCCGGGTGGGGCGACGACGACGAGAGCGAGTCGACGAGCTCTTGGGCGCGGCTGAGAGTCTGCGGGGGGGCAGGGTGGTCAGGTCCACACCGAGTTGATCGGACAGGGTAGGGAGGGGACGCACTGCGTCGAGCTGGATGCGGGCGAGTGCGTCGTCGTCGGCGGTGGTGGTGGAGAGGCGGCGGTCGACGAGGGCGACGAGGCGGTCGAGGGTGACGACGTCGTGCACACGCTGTAGTTGGGCAGTAGTGGTCATGGTGCGCGCGGGTCGCAGCAGCCCAGCAGGTGGCAGTGGGGGGGAGAGCCACCCCGTCCTCCTCCTCGTCGTCCCCTGTTCCTCCTCGTCCAGATACCCTCGCCTCGCTCTCCTTCTCGTACAGTCGTCTCGCAGGCGCTGTTGTACTACGCAGCACACACACCCACACCCTTACTCATCATGTCGTGCGTCCTCTCCCTCTCCTCCTCCTCCTCCTCCCTCTCCCCGTGTCCCCGCTCAGCGAGCTAACTCCCCCTCTCCCCCGTGCAGTCACTTTGGCGGCGGTGCTAGCCACCTCGCAGCGATCTGTGCGTCCCTCTCCTCGCGTCCAACTCGCCCTTGGCCCCCTCGCCGCCGAGCCGGAACTTCATCGACCACCGCCCTCGTCTTCGAGGCTTACCTCACTCGCCACACCCCCAGAGCACCACGACTGACCCTCTCTCTCTTTTCGACACAGACGGCTCGGAGCAGGACAAGGTCAACTGCAGCTTGTGCGCCCCAACTCCCTCTTCTCCCTCACTCGCACCCCCGGAGCTGACCCTCTCTCGCGCACGCGCAGCTACCTCAAGATTGGCGCGTGCCGGCACGGCGAGCGGTGTTCGCGCAAGCACATCAAGCCCCAGTACTCGCAGACGCTCGTCCTCCTCAACGCGTACCAGAACCCGGCCCACAACCCGGGCACGACGTCCAACCCGCACCTGCGCCCAAAGGACGCGCCGCCGCTCGACCCCAACCCGCACAGCAAGCTCAACGAGGACGAGACGCGCGAGTACTTTGACAAGTTCTACGAGGACGTCTACTGCGAGTTGACAAAGTACGGCAACCTGCTCGAGATGCACGTGTGCGACAACGTCGGCGACCACCTCATCGGCAACGTGTACGCCCGCTTCGAGTGGGAGGACCAGGCCGGCCTCGCCGTCGAAGAGCTCAACAAGCGGTGGTACGCCGGCCGACCTTTGTACGCCGAGCTGAGCCCCGTCACCGACTTCCGCGAGGCGTGCTGCCGCCAGAACGACATGGGCTCGTGCGACCGCGGCGGGTTCTGCAACTTTATGCACCTGCGGTACCCGACAAAGTCGCTCCTCAAGGACCTCCAGCGCGAGCAGCGCGTCGAGCGCCGCGAGAACCCCGAGTGCGTCCCGCCCTCTTTTTCCCTCGTCGTTCCTGCGTCACCTCGAGCCTGACCCTTCTCTCTCTCTCGCCCCGCAGCCCCAAGGACGAGGAGCGCAAGAAGGAGCTCGAGATGTTTGGCGCCGAGTTCATGGGTGCGCCTGGAGGAGGCGGCGGCGGCGGCGGAGGAGGAGGAGGAGGGCCGGGCGGGTACGGCGGTGGGTACTCGAGCGACCGGCGGTACTGAGCGCGCAATGAGATTGGTGTAACGTCAAGCGCGACTGGTGGCAGAGTGTGAGACGAGTTGCGCTGACAGATGTGAGCCGAGGCGCGCGGGCTCGCTCGTCCCTCCCGAGGCCGGCTGCTCTCGTCCACCGTCCTCTGCTCCTCGCCCAGCTCGAGAGAGGGAGCGCTCGACTTGCCAGGCGATCGGCTGTCTGTCCTCGCACCTCACCCTCGCCGCCTCGCCCGTCGCCGTCGCCCTCGCCCACCTGATTGCTCAGCGGCCTCGATCTCATCTCGCAACCCTCCTCGCCTCGCCTGCACCCCGCCCGACTCGAGCACACCGACCCGCACCCGCGCACGATGGGCCTCCTCGCCCTCGGAACCCCGCTCGCGTGGTCCGACGCCGCCAAACACGCCGACTACGTGCGCGAGCACGGCATCGAGCAGCTGCTCCACATCTGGGAGCGCCTCAAGGACCGCACCGGCGACAGGCTCCTCTGGGGCGACGAGGTGCGTCCCTCTCTCTCTTTCTCTCGGCGCGAGTGTGCGGGCCATGGGCTGGGAGCGAGCACGGGCGAGCGAGCGACGAGTGGAGGTGGGGAGACTCGAGGGACGAGGGGCAACCGGCGAGCGACTCGACCTGTGAGGGGCGGCACCGCTCTGCGGCAGCCTCGTCTCGCTCCATGACCGCCGGCGAGTCCCAGCCCGCGCGCCCGAGCACCGCACTGACCCGGACCTCCTACTCCTCGGCAGGTCGAGTACCTCGTCATTTCGTACGACGACGAGGGCAAGAACGCCCGCCTGTCGCTCCGCCAGACCGAGATCCTCGAGGACCTCCAGGCCGACGCCCAGGAGCGGCGCGACAAGGGCAAGGCGGCCGCGAGCGACGCCGAGGCGGGCGCCGCCCCAGGAGGAGACTGCTCGAGCGTCGGCGGTGCCGAGTGCGTCCCTGTCCTCCTCTCTCTCGCCGTTGTCGTCGTTCCTGACCCTCTCTGCTGCGCTACAGGGCCTGCATCCCCGTCTTCCACCCCGAGTACGGCCGCTACATGCTCGAGTCGACGCCCGGCGCGCCCTACGGCGCCACCCTGTCGGACCTCCTCCTCGTCGAGGGCAACATGCGCTTCCGGCGACAGCTCGCCAAGTCGCGCATGAAGCCGCACGAGGTGCCCCTCACCCTCACCGTCTTTCCCCGACTCGGCGCCGAGGGCGTCTTTACCGACCCGTACTTCAAGCCCGGCGGCGGCGTCGCGAGGAGCCTGTTCCTGCCCGACGAGATCATCAACCAGCACGTGCGCTTCCCGTGCGTCTCCCTCCCTCTCTCTCTCTCTCCTCTCTCGAAGCCCGAATGCGGCGGACCCACGCACTGACCCTCGTCCTCCTCCTCCCACCTCTTTTTCCTCCACTTTCGCTCTCGCAGGACCCTGACGGCCAACATCCGCCGCCGACGAGGGTCCAAAGTCGCCATCAACATGCCCGTATTCGTCGACGACAAGACGCCGAGGCCGTTCGTCGACCCGACCGTGCCGCGCGACCGCAACGACTGGCCCGAGGACAAGAGTGCGTCCAGCTCTCGCCCTCGTCTGCGTGGTCCTTGTCGCTGCAGCGTCGTCTGCTGCGCGAGAGCCTGTACGCTTGGAGAAGCGGTACTGACAACCTTGTCGCCGTGCAGACGCTCGCGACGGCGCCGCCCTCGACGACCACATCTACATGGACGCCATGGGCTTTGGCATGGGCTGCTGCTGCCTCCAGATCACGTTCCAGGCGTGCTCGGTCGGCGAGGCGCGCCGCATGTACGACGCGTTCGTGCCCGTCGGCCCCATCATGCTCGCCCTGAGCGCCGCAGCGCCCATCTTTCGCGGCTGGCTCGCCGACGTCGACTGCCGGTGGGACGTCATTGCGGGCAGTGTCGACGACCGGACCGAGGAGGAGCGAGGGATCAAGGTGCGCCCCCTGCTCGCCGTCCTCGAGCGCCCGTCAACTGACTCGAGGACCGCCTACAGCCGCTGCAGCACGACCGGTTCAAGATCCCCAAGTCGCGGTACGACTCGGTCGACTGCTACATCGCCGACTCGCCGTCGAACCGGCCCGAGTACAACGACAACGACATGCCGATCGACCCCAAGATTCGCGACCGCCTCGTCGACCGCGGCATGGACCCGCTCTTGGCGACCCACTTTGCGCACCTCTTCATCCGCGACCCGATCGTCATCTTCGAGGAGACCATGTGCCAGGACGACGAGAAGAGCAGCGACCACTTTGAGGTCCGTCCCTCTCCTCCCTCTCCCTCTCTCTCTCTCTCCCTCGAAAGGCTCGACTGACTCATCTTTACCTCGAGCAGAACATCCAGTCGACCAACTGGCAGACGGTGCGCTTCAAGCCGCCGCCGCCCGGGTCGCCCATCGGGTGGCGCGTCGAGTTCCGCTCGATGGAGGTCCAGCTCACCGACTACGAGAACGCCGCCTTCTCGGTCTTTGTCGTCCTCCTCACGCGCGCCATCATGAGCCTCGGCCTCAACTTTTACCTGCCCATCTCCAAGGTGCGCACGAGCCCCTCTTTTCCTCGAGGCCGAGCCCGCCCTGACTCGCGCTCTCTCTCCCCCGTCCTCTCTCGCAGGTCGACGAGAACATGCACCGCGCCCACCAACGCGACGCGATCCACACGCAAAAGTTCTTCTTCCGCAAGAACCTGTTCGACCCCAAGCCTGGCCGGCCGTGCGACCCGCCCTTCGACGCGCCCATGCCGTCCTCGTCCACCTCGGCCTCGGCCTCGGCGATGGGCTCGGCGGCGAGCGTCAACGCCCAGGTGCCCGTCGACGAGCCGCACCCGGCGCTCGCGCAGAACGGCGACGGCGGCGCGCCGGGCAGCAACGGCGTCCTGCACGCGCGCGAGCGCAAGGAGAGCGGCGCGTCGTCGTCGTCGGCCTCGGGCGCGTCGTCGTCGGCCGAGGCGCCGCCGAGCCCGAGGACGTGCTGCTCGTCGCACGCGTCTCACGCGCCTTCGCGCGCCGCGTCGCCGAGTGCCGGCGGCTCGTCGTCGTCGTTCGCCGACCAGCAGCAGCCGCAGGCCGAGCCGGCGTTCGGGCCCGTCGAGGACGAGTACGCCGAGTTCACGCTCAACGAGATCATCAACGGCGCGCCGGCGCAAGGGTTCCCGGGCTTGATCGGCGTCGTGCGCATCTACCTCGACGGGCTCGAGCGCGAGGGGAGGGTCGGCGACGACGTGCGCAAGGGCATCGAGCGCAGCCTCGAGCTCATCCGGCGACGAGCAGACGGTGCGTCTCACCCTTTCTCTCTCTCCCTCTTGAACGACGTCTCCCCCGACCCGCCAGAGCAGCAGCACTGACCCTCGTCCACCTCGCGCAGGCTCGCTCGTCACGCTCGCGACCTACATCCGCCGCTTCGTGCGGTCGCACCCGCTGTACATGCACGACTCGCACGTCTCGCAAGAGATCAACTACGACCTCGTGCGCGCGCTCGACGAGATCGAGCGCGGCGAGCGCGCCGCGCCCGAGCTCCTCCCCGCCGGCTGGCGCGACGAGTACGCGACCGGCGGCGGGTTTGAGCGCGCGTGCGGCGACGTCCTCGGGCACCAGAAGGGCGCCAACGGTGCGGGCGCGGCGGCCGACCTCGTCAAGGAGGCGGTCGAGGTCGGCGCGAGTGTCGTCGAGGACAAGGGCCTGTGCGTCGGGCCGATGGAGCCGGCACCGCCCGCTCAGGCATGAGCGTCGAGCACTTAGAGCGGCATGGTGGAGCGAGGGCGGTGGTACACTATCAGCTCGGCGGGCGTTGGCGGACAGGAGGAGCAGCCTCTTTTCCTGTCTCTCTCTCTATCTCTCGCCCTCTCTCGCTCCAATGGATCTCTCGCATCGTCTCGTCTCGTAGACTGTACACCCGCACTCTGGAACGCGCACAATCGCAGTCTTATTGATTCACCACCATCTCCCGCCTTCGTCGAGATACGAGAGCCGCAGAAAAAGGAGGGCCGAGCGCTCACTTGGCCTTGTCGCCCTTGACCTGCTCGCCCTCGCCCATGTCGATCTTCTCGGCCTTTGCCGCCTCCTTCAGGTCGTCCGACTCGCGCTCGAGCTCCTTGGCCTTGCCCTTCTCCTCGCGAAGCTCGGCGATCTCGGCGCGCAGGGCGGCGAGCTGCGACTTGAGGTCGAGGACCTGGACGATGAGGGGGCTTGTCAGTTGCGCGCTCGTGCAGGTCGACGTCTGCAAAGAGAGAGAGAGAGAGAGAGAGAGAGAAAGAGAGCGCACCTGGAAGAGAATCTCGCCCTCGACGCTGCGCTCGAGGCTCGGCAGGCGCTTCTTGAGGTCGGCAAAGCTGACGCGCGAGATCTCCATGCCCTCGGGCTCGCCCGAGTCGGCGTCGTCCTCGGACGCGTTGCGGTACGGCTCGGGGTCCTCCTCGGGCTCCTGGAAGTCGTCGGGCTCCTCGAGGAGGGCGTGCAGGTCCTGCTTCTTGAGCGGCGAGATGTGCGTCTCGAAGAGCGCGATCGAGCACCTGCACGGGTAGACGTTCGTCAGGGCCAGGTCGACGAGGAGAGAGTAAGGGAGAGGGACGCACAAAGGGAGGAAGAAGAGGAAGCTCATGAGGACCCGGTTGATCCGGGCGTAGGTCTTCTTGGACACGATCCACTCGAGCGGGAGGATGAAGAGCTCGACGAGGTTGAACGGCGCCGGGTAGACGTACGAGTCGGGTGCGCGCACCGACGACACCGTGCGACCCGCAAAGGCGGCGAGATAGGTCGGCTCGGACTCGTCTGCAGGAAAGGCGAGGTGAGACGACGGCCGCAAGGGAGACGGGGAGGACGAGCAGCGTACCGACCGACTCCTGATCTGCAAGGGACAGTCCAGAGCGTCAGTACCGAGGTCCATGACCAGGCTGAGGCGAGAGGGAGGGGCGAGGCGGAAGGGAGAAGAAGAAGGCGAGAGAGGGCGAGGTGGACGCACAGGATGAGGAGAAAAGGGCGACGAGGACGTTGAGCAGGATGACCAGCGTCGCCACCGACCAGACGTAGTAGAGGATGAGGCCGAACGGGTAGGAATTGACGGCATTGTCGTCCGCTGTGGTCGAAAAACGGTCAGGTCGGCTCGCGACAGGGAGAGGAGCGGGAGGGAGGCGACGACACGCACTATCGTCGTACATGGAAAAGTCGGGTGAACTGTAGGCACAGGGCGTTAGTGAGAGGATCCGAAAGGAAGCTGACGACGTGCGCACCCGAGGAAGGCTTGGAGGAGCGAGTTGATGACGGCTGCAGGCGCGCACCAGGTCAGTCTCTGCTTCTCGAGCCCAAAGACGGACGAGATGCACCTTTAGTCGAGTCGCGCTTCTCGTCGGCGACGTCGAGGCCGGTCAGAGCCTGGCCGAAGCCGATGGCGAAGACGGCTAAGAGGGCGCAGAAGACGGCCGATTCCTGCACGCTCGAGACGAGTCAGTGCCGGCTCCTCGACAGCGACAGAGAGTCGAGGACGCACCTTGAGCATGCGCCACACGACGTAGAGCATGACCGAGAAGAAGTGAAGAGGGTCGAGCGTCGAGAGGAGCTTGGTCCCTGTAGTCGGCGCGACAGGGTGTCAGTCTCGGCCGCTCAGGCTCGCAGAGAGAGGGAGACGAGGACGCACAGACGAGAGGCGCGGCGACCGAGAGCCACTGGAAGGCGAGCATGCGATAATGGGCCTGCTTCTCCTCGTTGAGCGTGCCGAGGTCGAAGCAGCGGTACACGAAGGCGACGCCGGCCAGGAGATAGATGAGCAGATTGACGATCTGCCAGAAGCTGATGCAGGCCCACCACCCGATCTTGTAGACCTGCAGGGTTCGGCAAAGAGAGGTCAGACCTGCTCTCGAGCCGAGTCGAAGAAAGAGGGCAGGGACGCACCTTGACGATGTCCTCGAGGAGGTACCCGAGCAGTTGCACATAAAGAATCGTGTCCTCGGTGCTGAACCCGCGCTCGGGCGTCTGGATGGCGATCTGCGAGAGAGAGAGAAAGAGAAGGAAAAAGGTCAGTCCCGGCCTCGCGCAGGAGTACTCGACCACGACGAGCGCGACTTGCCGTGTAGCAGACGACGAACAGTACCCAGAACGCGACGCGAATGACGAACTGGTACCTGCAGGCAAGCGGCGTGTCAGTCGCGAGGCAGATCCGAGAGAAGGGGGGGGGGGGCGAGGACGGACCTCGGTACGGCGATGCGGTCGGGGCTGAAATGGGCGAGGAAGCCCTGCTCGTCTGCGCCAGGCTTGAACTGTGGGAGAAGTTCGAGTCAGGGCCGGCTGGTTCGAGGAGAAAGGGCGAAAAGGGGGGCGCACGAGCTGGTACTCGATGTTGCCGTCGTCCGTCTGTTGCTGGACGAGGAGGCCCTTCCACAGCGCAAAGACGCAACGCTGCGCCTCGTTGGAGCTTAGGAAGAAGGTGGCGTGCTGATCGACTGCCGACTCGAGCGCCGAGAGCGGGAGCGACTCGTCGCCGTCGCTCTCGATGACGGTGAAGCGCTTGGACAGGAGCGAGTACTGGTCGGCGATGGGCGTGCGGGCGACGATCTTGCGCGCGATAGCCTCGCAGGCGAGCTTGCGGCCGGCGTTCTCGTCGCTGTCGGACGGGTTGATGCGCTGCTGGTAGGCGAAGTAGCGGCGCGCCTCGAGGAGGGCGAACGGCATGCACGGCGAGAAGTCGCCGGCGAGCTCGCTGAAGGCCTCGACGACGTCCTTGGTGAGGATGGACGAGGTCGGCGACTGAAGCTCATCTGCGGACGGGTGGGCAGGCGGGCGTGAGCTCTGGCTGCGCGCGAGAGGTTATGCGAGAGAGCGGGCGTACCGAGGTCGACCTGGATAGGGAGGAGCTCAAGGATCAAGGCCTCGATCCTCGTCACGACGCGCGTGACCGTCTTGGGATGGAACTCGTGCTGGTGCTTCTTGTTGCGCTCTGCGGAGGAGGGGAGGGGAAGGGGGGAGAGGTTCAGCTCAGGTCTCTGCGAAAGGAAGAGAGAGACGCAAGGGACGCACCGCCATGGACACGAGCGAGCAGCGGGGCCTCGATGTCGCTGCCGAACGAGATCTGGCTGCCACGGTCGGGCATGGTGGGCGAACGAGGCGGGAGGAGCAGGCTCGACGGGGCGGGCGAGGACGGTTGGCGGTGGACCGCGACTCGAGCTTGTCGAGTGCTGAGAGCTGGTGCGAGTGGAGCACGCAGACGAGCGAACAGCGAGTGCCGCAGCAAGCACAGTCGCGCTGACGAGGATCAATCGAAGAGAGCGGGGAAGCTTCCGTGGAGTCCGTGGAATTCTTTTGCGCGAAAGATGCAGGCTGAGGTCGATAGGCAGACTCTTTCGAAGGCTGCACTGAGTATATGACGAGAGAAAGCAAGGGAACGCTGCCGTGCGAGGTCCTAGAGCGAGGCGGATCAACTTGAGAAGGCACTTGCGAACGCCGGCTCAACGCTCTCGTAGCTCGTACTCGCCTTGCACTCTCTGTATACTCGAGAGATGAAGCTGGTACTGCTGGTCATTTCACTTCGTCGATCAAGTCAGGCTGAGGAAGGCGTCGACCGCTTGGACACGTCAAAGCCGCCGACCGCCCGACTCCTCTTGCCCTCGTTGCGCGTCGCCTCCTCACTTCTTGCCCGTGCGCTGTCCGTACGAGAGCGTCGCGTACTCGCCGTTCTCGGTGATGAGGTCGCTCTGCGTCTGCGGCACGCCGTTGCGCCAGTTGTCGAGGATCTTGATCGCGCCGTTGGCGTACCGGATCTGGGCGTCGAGCGACGTGCCCGACATGTGCGGCACCATGGCGTTGCCGCCCTTGGTGAGCGGGTTGGCCATCGTGCGCCAGCAGTGGTCGGCGGGCGCCGGCTGCTTGGGCCACACGTCGCCGCCGTAGCCCGACAGCTTGCCCGAGTTGACCGCCTCGGCGACGTCTTCTGCGACGCACAGGGCACCACGAGCCGTGTTGACGAGCCACGCGCCTGCAGGCAAGGGGGACGGAAGAGAGAGGGAGAGTGTCAGAGCGTGTCCTCCTTCGAGGGACGAGGGGCTCGTGCACGCCCGAGACGACGGTAGGCGAAAGGCAAGGACGCACCGTCCTTCATGTACGAGATCGTCTCCTTGTTGATGATGCCCTTGGTACCCTCGTGGAGCGGGCAGTTGAGCGTGACGACGTCGCACTGCGACAGGAAGTCCTTGAGGTCCTCGACACGGCGAACGCCAACCTCCTTGGCGGCGTCCTCGGGCAACGAGTTGTAGTCGTAGTCTGCGGAAGGAGTGTCAGTCGACTTTACGGAGCGAGGAACCGAGGGAGCTGAGGCAGCTCGACGAGTGGAAGAGAAGCTCGAGTTGACCGAGTTCGGGGGAGGGGAAGAAAGGAGCGGACGCAAGACGTACACAGGAGCTCCTTGCAGTCGAACGGCTTGAGGCGCTGCAGAACACGGAAGCCGATGCGGCCGGCACCGAGCGTGCCGACCACCTTGCCCTCGAGGTCGTACTCGCCCTTGGCGACGGCGGCGACCTCCCAGTCGCCGGCCTTGATCTGCTCGTGCGCGGGCACAAAGTTGCGGACGAGGACGAGGATGGTCATGATGACGTGCTCGGCGACCGAGACGACGTTGCTGCAGGAGAGGAGAGACGGGAAGTAAGCTCCGGCTCGTCGAGAACGATGCCGAGGCCGAGCGAGGGACGCACCTGCCAGTCACCTCGGCGACAGTGATCTTGCGCTCGTTGGCGGCGTTCAGGTCGACATGGTCACTCTGCAGGACCAGAAGAGCTTGTCAGTGTTGGGTCGCCTGGAGGACCTTCTCAAGGAGAAGTCGAGACTCACGCCGACGCCGGCAGTGATGGCGAGCTTGAGGTTCTTGGCCGTCGCGATGAGCTCGCGCGTAAGGTAGCCCTGTCATCGGAATGACTCGGTCAGAGGCAGTGGGAGAAAGGCGAGACGAGACGAGGACGGACAGGGTGGAACGGGGTCCTGCACGGCGGGTACGACGATGTAGGGTCAGTGCACGCTCCTCGTCCGAGCGAGAGGAAGGTCGACGCACGTGATGAGGACGTCGGCGTCGACGATGTGCTTGTTGAACTCGGAATCCGGGCCCTCCTTGTCGCTCGTGACGACCAGCTCGATGCCGTTCTTCTCGCAGTACGGCCTCATTCCGAGCGCGTTCTCGGTCTGTGCAGCGAGGTGCGAGAAGTGTCAGTGATGCATTCTCGAAGTACTCGGCGCCGTCGGGCGCGAGGAAGGTCGCCTCGCAGCACCCGGAACGAGAGAGTCCAACGCACCGTTCCGAGCAGCTTCGGCTGCTCCTCTGCGTGCTTGCCGCCGTCGTACAGGATAGCGAGAACCTGTTGCACACGGGGAACAGTCGTCAGCACCGTGTTCTGCGCCGTGCGACGAGGGAGAAGGGTTGCGGGGAAGTGGGGAGGACGGCGACGACGAGGCGGCAGGCAGGACAGCGCGGTGCTCACCTTGACCATGGTGCGCGAGTGTGTGTCGAGAGAGTGCTGTAGAAGTGCACAAGGGGAGACAAGAGCGACTGAGCGACAGCGCGAGGCGGCTGAACCGTCGGGCCTGCTCGCGCGACGGCTCGTCCCCACGTCTCCGACCGACGGATCCGCCTCCACTCTTGGTCGCACCGCGTCACCGTGCCCTTGTTTAGCGCCCTTGCATCCCCTCGGACGATGTCGCCCACTCCCTCGGACACGCTGCCCTCCTCGCCCTCAGCGAAACTCTCTCGAGGCGAGCCGTGCGCGGGCGAGCGAGGGAAATGACGGGTCGGCGAGAGAACGAGAGTCGCTATTCACAGGGGCTGCATCGAGAGGATACTAAACGAGGGTTGACAACAGGATGCGAGAGGTGCGGGATTAAACGACTGCGAGGGGAACGACGGGAAACGGCGAGGGAGAAGAAAGTCGAAGGGGGGACAGCGCGCGAGGCCAGCTCATGCGAGGTCCGAGAACGAGACGGTGTTGGACGAGACGTCGAAAGTCGAGTAGACGTTCTCGAGGAAGCTGAGAGGAGGGAGGGGGAGAGGGCAAGTCAGTTTGGGAAGGTCGGTAGGGACGAGGGGTGGGAAAGTTCGACGCACGAGGCTCCGAGGATCCAGGCGTTGATGCCAATGTCGGCGCCGACGATGGCGCCGACGCAGCGGTCGCTGCCGGACGAGACCTTGCCGAGGTTGAGCGACTCGGGCGAGATGGCCCACTGCTCGCCGAACGTCTGGCCGAACGAGAACGAGATGGACGGCCCCGCCGCGCACGGGTAGGTGTAGTAGCCCGAGCCGTACACGCCCGAGTTGGGGACCGCGGCCCAGAACTGGCGAGCCGACGCAGTAGGAGCCTGCACGAGAGGGAGAGAGGGGGCAAGGGGAGAGAGGGTCAGAGACGACGTCGAGGACGAGGCACGGCGAGAGAGAGGGGGAGAGAGGGAGACGCACGACGATGACGCTCGTGCCCGTGTCGATGATGGCGTTGAACTGGCCGACCGAGCCGACCGCCGAGCCGCCGACGTTGGCCTTGGCGGCGAGCAACCAGTACGACTGCGAGACGACCGGGTACGCCTTGGTCGACGACGCGGTAAACAGGGCCGAGTTCATGCCGCCGAGGTACAGCTCGGAGCCCGAGTCGGCGAGGTGGAACGAGAACTTGCCGCTCGCGACCTTGCCCTGGCTGACGAGCGTCTGGAACAGCGGCGACGCGCCGAGCGTCGAGATGGACTGGTAGCCCATGCCCATCAGGCCGTCGTACGGGTCGTTGGCAAAGTCGCTCGAGAGCGCCGTCGCGACGCCAAACGTCTGCTGCGTCGCGGCGAGGCCCGAGATGGCGACCGTGTCGGTGTAGACGACGCCCGTCGTCGAGCTGCCGTCGCCGTACGTGACGCTCAGCGACTTGCCGGCGACGACCTTGCTCGTCGTAGAGCCCGACGGGTCGTACTTGGTGTGCGGGTTGCACGCCGCCGAGGTGCAGGTCGACGAGGGGACCCACAGGTCGGACGAGCTGTTGTCGACGAGGGCAACAAGGTCAGTTCCTCGCCCGTGAAGCAGGCCTGAGACACAGAGAGGGAGAGAGAGACGGACCCAGTGTCAAAGTCGATGATGAACGTCTTGGCGGGCGTGCCGATCGAGAGCGCGCCAGTGTACAGGGTGCCGTCGTGATCGGTGAGGGCGACGGCGCCCGACTTGGTGCCGCTCTTGGGGTTGTACACGACCTTGGGGTTGTAGACGGCGCGCTTCTCGAGGGCGCGGCGGTTGGCGATCGGGCCTGCCGACGCCGGCGAAGGAGGAGGGACGCCGTGGAGCCGACCCGAGCCGGCGCCGAACACTTTGTCGCCGCTCACGGCGCGCTTCTTGAGCTTGGCGTCGTCGCCGGCCCAGTCGAGCGACGCCTCGGTCGAGTCGCCCCAGGCGGCGCGGCGCTTGAGCGTCTCGTTCGCCTTGCGGCTGTCGGGGCCGCCGCCGCCGCCGGGGAGGAGGGTCGGGTCGACGAACGACGGCGCGAGGAAGTGCGACTCGCCCGTGTTGAGCTCAAAGTTCTCGAGGCCGCGCACGTACTTGGCGCGAGCGCGAGCGAGGTGAGCCTGCGAGGGAGAGGGAAAGGCGTGGGGGAGATTGGGAAGGTCAGCTTGGGGCACGAGGGGTGAAGTCGGCGAGGAAGGTGGGACGCACGTGAGAGCGGCCAAAGTCGATCGAGCCGTCCTCCTGCTGGAGCTCGGCGCTGCCGCGGCGGTGCAGGCTGATCTTGATGCCGCCGGCGGCATCTTGCTCTGGCGGTACGGCGGACGAGGTCGACGAGGCCGCAGGCGGGGTGCGCGTCGGGACGGCGCCGCCGAGAGGTGCGGTTGCGGCGAGGAGGGCCGAGCAGAGCGAGAACGAGAGGGTGGACCGCATCGTGCAGGTGGTGGTGCGGGCGCGGTGGATTTAGGTGGACGAGGCGAGGGCAGGAAGTCGAGGCGGCTCGAGTCGAGCGGGCCGAGGCGAGGAGGACGAGACGAGGTGCAGGTGACGGAAGATAGAGGAACGCGCGAGGCGTGGAAGGACAGTGCCGAGAGGGAGGGGCGATGGAGCGAGGGGGATGTCGCGGGTGCACGAGGGCGGTGTGGAGTGAGGGAAAGGGAGGAAAGGGACGACGGCCGACCGAGAAGGACCTGGCACGCTCGGGGCCACTGCGATGCGCAGCGCGCGGTGCTCGAAGAGTGAGCTGGGGGAACTGACCGGCTCGGCGAAGGAAGGGTCGGCCGAATGCGTGCGCACCTTTGACCTCGCGTGTCTGCCGCATCCAGCATCGCGCATTCTTCCTCGAGAGGGTGCCCACCTCAGTGCATTACCGCCGCGCCCTCGTCGCCTCCCACTTGCGGCTCAAGGCCGCAGATGGGTGCGACAGCTTGCCCCTCCTGGCAGAGACCGAGAGCACCGGCGGCTGACGCGCAGGGTGCAGCAAGCCATGATCGAGGGCGCCGCCATCAGCCCAGGCGGGCGAGGCATTAGGCGAGAGGGGCAGGACGGGGCGGAGCGAGATGGCGGGACGAGCCTCAAGAGGGAGGTGGTGGCTTGAAGCGTGGCTGAGGCGCCGAGCTGATAACGGCCGTGCGGCCGGGGGTCGCAGCGCTGTGCTGGCAGCGTGCCTAGCGACCAGCAGCTGGTTCTTGAGCGAGTGGTGAGGAGGAGAGAGAGAGGCGAGCTGATCAAGTGCGCGCTCTCGTCCCCGCGCCGTCACCGCCGCCCACCGTCGCCTGGACAGTTTCGGCGCGCCTGCGAGCAGCCTTACCTGCACCGGCAGCGACCCTTGCGCGGCCTGCGCTGCCCTCCCGAGCTCTCGAGGCGGCGCGGCCGCCGTGCCTCTTCTCAGCCAATCCGACTTCCTCTCTCGTCTCATGCCTTGAGTGCTTCGCGGGCACGCTGCTTGCCGCACTTGTCCGGCTCCCGTCGACAATGGAAGCTGTGCCCTCGATCCGGCTAAAGCGGTACAGCGCGCGAGGTCGGCTTCCTCGCCGACGCTGTCAGACTCGCAGCGTGTTCCTCTCAGGAGGCTGCGGGGTCCGCCTTTGTCCATCGCTGTTCTCCGGCAAACGCAGAGCTCGACAACCAAGCCCGTGAGCGGCAAGAGTGCCTGGCGAGAGAAGCCGAAGCCAGGCTCGCGAGGTCAAGGCGTCGAGCACGCGCTGCTGCGGCTTCCTCGCTCGGCATCTCTGCAGCTATGGCAGCGCGCCAAGCAGCCGGAGAGTGCAAGAGAGTGAAAGCTGAGAGCCTCTCGAGCCCGCACAGGAAAGAGGAAGCGGGTGGAAAGCAAAGCGTTGCGGTCGAACCCTCCCCTCGTCCCTGCCGCCGCGCCCTCAGTTGAGCTCCTGCTCGCCGCCCTCGCCCCTCTTCTCCGCCTCGCCGACCGTCTTGCGCCGCTTGGCCCCTGCCGGGTGCAGCACGAACGGCGCCGTGAACGCCTCGCGCAGGCGGCGCACCTTTTTGTCGCCGAGGCCGGGCAGCGTCGAGAGCTGCGAGGCAGGCGCGGTCACGATCTTGGAGAAGCTCTGCGGGACGAACAACGCAGCCGTCAGGTTTTGCGATCGAGAGAGAGAGAGAGATGTGCGACGGCGGAGTTCCGGCGACGCGACGGCGCGCGACGAGGGGAGGGACGATGGGAAAGAGGACGAGGGACGCACCCCGAGACTCGACATGAGCGTCGTCACGTCCGTCTTGTTGACGCCGCGCACCTCGGTGAGCGCCGCCGTCATGTGGGCCGAGTAGCTCGCGTCGGTGCGCTCGCGGATCAAGTCGGGCGGCTTGGACTCGAACTGTTTGTACGCCTCGAGGTACCGGCCGGCTTCTTGAGACGTCCAGCACGTCATGAGGGTGTAGCCGTTGACGAGGGCGATCTTGGTGAGCTCCTTCATGGCGGCCGTGTGGTTGTCGGCGTCGCACTGGACGAGGATGATGCGCAGGGTGTAGTTCTGCCCGAGGTCGGCGATGCGCTGGTGGATGTACTCGGGGTGGAGGAGGTGGTAGCGGATTCTGTGTGAGGCTCGACGGGGTCAGAGTCGAGGCGAGCGGGAGGAGGACGAGGAGGACGAGAAGCGGACGAGGACGCACGAGAGGAAGAGGACGCCCGCCGTTCTGCCGACCTGGTAGTCGCACTTGATGTCGCCGAGCTCCCACCCGACGGTGCGGATGTGCTCGATGATCGGGTTGCCCTTCTGTGCGCGCATGAGGCCAGTGGAGAGTCAGCTCTCGTCCGAGGAGAAGGACGAGGAGGGGAGGACCCGAGTGGCTCGAGCGCGACGCACCTGGCGCGGGTTGACGAGGATCGAGTTGAGCACTGGCGGCCTCCTGACGACGCCACCAGGCCCGCCAACCGACACGGCGCCTGGCGCTGCTGGTCCTCGTGCTGGTGCGGTGGCTCCTCCCGGCTGGACGACCCTCGCACCCTGCTGCTGAACCGGTGGGGCGCTGGCCGTGTGGGCAGGCTGCTTGCCGCGAGCGACGCTCGAGGGTGCTGCTGCTGGCGAGGGGCGAGGAGGGTTGCTGGCGAATGGGTCGACTGATGAGGATGAGGCGGTGGGGCGGTTGGCGGTCGGGGCGGCGTTTGAGCGCGAGGGACCTGGTGCGCCGCTCATGGTGGGCTGCGGCGCCGCTCTGGAGTGCAGCTGGTCGGTGTAGAGGCTCGTGGAGAGGGAGACACACCCGGCTCCTCCTCGTCGTCGTCGTCTCCAGCTTCCCCGGTTTCGGCAGGTGCAGCTCACCTCGTTGACGCTGCGACGAGGCGGATCCCGCCTCTCTCTCTCTCCTCCCACCACCACCACTACCCCTCGCACCGCTCCACCCTCGAGAGCGACTCTCCCCCTCTCCGCCCTGGTCCGCCTCCTCTCGCCTCGCGCACGCTCGGCCATCTCGCTCGCACCGCCGCTCTTCCTCAGCCTGCGCCGCATCTGCACACCGAGCATGGCCCCGCCCGTCCACATCTTCCGCCCGCCGCCGCACCCTGGCCCCGGCGGGCCCGACACGGACGCCGCCCAAGCCATCTCGCACCTCTTCCAGGCCGGCGGGCCGGGCACGACCGTCTTTCTCGTGCCCCGCACCCTCTACACCTTCTACTCGTCGGTCGAGTTGCACCACCCGGGCACCACCATCGCAACCCACGGCTTCCCCTCGTTCGACAGCGGCGACCAGGCCATCGTCGAGACGCGCGCCGACAACGAGTCGGTCGCCGTGCGCATGATCAACCTCGACCGCACCGCCGTCAAACGCATCCACTTCCGCGGCTGCAGGGGGTGGGGCCCAAAGGCGCCGTCGGACGATGAGAAGGAGCGGTGGAAGCGCGAGGGCCGCATGGGCTGGCTCGAGGGAGGAGGGCCGCTCGTCGTCATGGGCGGGCCTCAGGCCCAGGAGCAGATCCTCGAGGGCTGCAGGCTCGAAGACCCTCGCGGCTGGACCGGCGTGCGTCGTCGTCCCTCCCTCCTCTCCTCCCTCCCTTCCTTCACACGGCGCGAGAATGACGACTTGCCCTCGCGCGACAGGTCCATCTCGTCGACTTTGCTCAACGGTGCCGAGTCGTCGACAACATCGTCGGGCCGTGCGGGCAGCAAGCTCCTGGACCTTGGGCTGACGGCCTCAGCATCGCCGGCAAGGACTCGATCGTCGTGCGTCCCTCTCTTCCTCCTCCATCTCTCACTTTCTCGAGCCGGGTCCTGACATCCTTCCTGCATGCGACAGACTGGAAACACTGTCATCGACGCGACCGATGTGCGTCTCGCTCGACCCGTCGCCGTCGTCGTCCGGGAACTGACGCTTTGACCTCGCAGGGCGCCATCGTCCTCTTCTGCGCTCCCGGCACCGTCTGCTCGAACAACACGATCATCGCTCGCACCCGCAACGTCCTCGGAGCCATCAACATGCGCGTCCTCACGCTCTCGTCGTCCCTCTTCGTCGTCGTCTCGTACTGACTCTTTCCTCGTCCTCCTCGGGCAGGGTCGACGACTTTCCTTTCGACCGCAACTTTGAGCAGACGCGCGTCATCGGCAACACGATGAAGACCGAGGGCGCTTTCATTCGTGTCGGCATCGCGTGCGGGCCGACGAGCTGGAGCCCGTGGGGTCCAGGTCACACGCTCGTGAGCTCTCGCGTCCTCTCTCTCGCGCAGGCGGCCCCTCACTGACTCGTCTCCCTCTCACGCAGGTCTACGGCGGTCACGTCCTGCACAATTACTTTGGGCCGGGCCAGTTCGGCTACGGCATCACGCTGTCGGGCACCAAGAACTTTACGATCCAGGGCAACTCGGTCGTGCCCGGTACTCGGTTCGCCGGCTCGACGCACCGCTTCTACCCGAACCTCATCACGGCCCCGCCGTCGGCCTTCGTGCGCCAATGGCCCGACCGCGGGCGCGTCATCGACTGCGACGTCCTGCAGCCCGATTTCGTCGAGGGCGACCTGCAGTGGGTCATCGGCATCGAGCCCGAGGTCGGCGACAAGCTCATCTACGAGGGCGGCCAGGTGTCGCTCGACGTGCGCGGCATGTCGCGAGCCGGCGAGGGCGGCATCGCGCTCAAGGGCGCCCGGTGGGAGGTCGGCCGCCGGGGCGAGTTCCTCCTGCGCCGCGTCGAGGGCGACACGGACCAGTTCGGCCAGGGCGAGTACGGCCGCGGCAAGGTCCTGTGGTCGAGCGGGTCGACGACGAGCGCGCACGACGTCGATGAGCCGCAGCTCGACTTTGCGCTCGACGGCTCGCTCGCGGTCCGGAGCCACGGCGGCAAGGGCGACACGCTGTGGGACCCGACCTCGTACCTCGCACCGTACCTCGCGCACCTTCCTCCTGCGCCGTCGCTCCCCGACCCGACCGAGCCGACGCCGCCCGAGAAGTGGGCGTCGCACCCTCGCCTCATCCTCCAGAACAAGCAGCCGTACCTCCAGCTCCGCCACCGCGACCTCGGCCTCGTGTACTCGACGAGCTACGAGTGGTCGTCGCAGGACGGGTGGGAGCTGCGCGCCGGGCAGTGGCTCGCCGTCGCGCCGCCCGAGCTGCGCGGCACGCTCGAGCCGCACGACGTCGACGACGGCGTCGCTCCTCCTCCTCCTTCCTCCTCGGCGCCGCAGCGGCCCGACGCTCCCAAGCAGCAGCACAGCCACGGCTTTGGCCGGTTCGTGCGCGACATCGGCCAGTCGCTCCAGCAGCGCGGCATCGACGTCGGCTCGTCCTTCCCCAACATGAGCCGCTCGCCCGGACCCGGACCCGGCGAGGGTCCGCCGCCCATCCCTCCTCGCCCCGACTCGACCTCGACGTCGTCGACGTCGTCGGCGTCGTTCAAGCCGACGTGGCTGTACCTGTCGCCCGAGACGTCGCAGCTCATCCTGCACTCGTCGCCGCACGGGCCGACGTCGCCCGCGCCCGAGCACGTGCACTGGGCCGTGCCCAACCCGCCCGTCCAGCCTGCGCCCAAGAACGCCTGGCTCGCGTTCCAGGGCGACGGCAACTTTGTCATGTACAGCGACGGCGGCCCGTGCTGGGCGAGCGGCACCAACGGCGAGCGCGCGGCGCACAAGTTTGTCCTGCGCGCGCACGGCGAGGCGGGCGGGCCGGCGTTCGAGCTGCTCGACAAGGACGGCGCGTTGATCTTTACGTCGAAGCAGTAGCAGTTCTGTACATGGCTCTCGTGCCCGCTCGCGCCTCGCGATTCTCGAGAGCCGTCTACGCGAGCGATGTTGGCGCGTCTCCTCCTGCGACCCCTCAGACTCGTCAAGCTGTCGTTACTGCTGTGCAAGACTCGCAAAGGGAGAATCGAGAGGCGAGAGCCGAGCCAGCTTGGCATTGTGTCAGGCTCGGAAGCGAGGGTCCGTCGTCCAACCCTGCTCCTCTCTCGCCCGCTACACCGCGCACCGCCAGCAGAGCACTCGGTACACAGCTGTACAGCTCCATTCTCTCGCACGCCCCTACGACCCGCCACGTCCTGTGAGTCCTCGTCGTCGTCCCCACCTCTCAGCCACTCACGCGCTCTCACCTGCCGCCACAGCCGCCTCGCACAGCTCGTGCGTGTGCCTAGCCTTCTTCTCGGCCAGTCTGCGCGTAGACCTGACGCGCCCTCGTCCACAGCTTCGCCACTTCGACCATGCGCTCCTTCCCCACCCTCGTCGCCACTCTCGCCGCCAGCGCCTCGTTCGCCTCGGCGTTCACCTACACGGTCGGCGTGGGCAAGAGCGAGGTGACGGGAGAGCCGGCGTACGCGGGCTTTGATCCCTCGAGGTGAGTCCTCCTCCTCCTCCTCCCTCCTCCTGCCCCCGCCCGCCACGGCTCGGTACTTCCGACTCGAGCTCCAGCCCTGCCAACTCTTGCCGGGGCTCTATATCTCCCGCTGTAGCAGCATAGCTGACAATCTGCTCGCCTGCAGGGTCGTCATCTCGGACCAGACGACGTCCAACACGATCGACTTCCTCTTCCTCGGCGGCGTCCACCGCGTCGTCCAGGTCTCGCCCGACCAGCCGTGCGCCTACGCCGGTGGCTTCGACAGCGGCGTGCAGCGCGTCGCGGCAGGGACGCTCCAGGGCCAGGGCCCGAGCGCCGAGTACCAGATCACCAACAACTCGGACACGCTCTAGTGCGTCCCTCTCTCTCACTCTGCGCGTTCGCTCGTTAAGGACAGCTACTGACAATCCTCCTCCTACAGCTTTGCCGACATCGGCGAGGACAACTCGCCGTGCTACCTCGGCGCCATCTTGTACGTCCGGCTCGCCGAGCAGACTCTCGCCTCCTCGCGTCGCGAACCCGCAGACTGACCGCTTCCTGCACCTTTGCAGCTGCGTCAACTCGGACGAGACGTCCGATACGGCCTGCCACTCGGTCATCGACGCCGCCAAGGCCTTGGGCGTGCAGTACGGCGTAACCACGGCCCCCTCGACCGCCTCCTCGACGAGCGCCGGCGCCTCGTCCGCCTCGTCGGCGTCCGACTCGGCCGCCACATCGGCCTCGACGACGTCGACAGCCTCGAGCAGTGCGGCGTCGAGCAACGGCGCGAGCTCGAGCCGCTCGCCGTCGGCGTCCGGCTCGGCGCCGGCCGCGAGCCAGTCGGCCGGTGGGTCGAGCGGCGCAGGCGCGCTCAAGGTCGCTGCGGGCGCCATGGCGCTCGTTGGCGGTGCGGCGGCGCTTCTCGTCTGAGCGGGAGACGGTCGGCATGGCTCGTCGGCGGCGGAGATGGAGGAGGTCGTCTTCCGGTTCCCCGACCTCGGTCCCTTTCCTCTCCCACAGACACTCTCTCTCGACATGTCTAGCTTAATCTTCGACTCTCTCTCACATAGTCTCTCGGTAACCTGCATCGTCGTTTTCTCGTCGACTCGAGCGCGCACGAGCGAGATCTGCTTGAAAGGAAAGCGATTCGATTCTTCGTCCATGGCTACGCCTTCTCTGCTCCCTCGAGCGGCACCGACGCTCGCCCCTCCATGCCCCGAAGCGGACGCCGCAGCCGCTCGTCGTCGGGCTTGGCGACGCCCTCGCCCGTCTCGCGGTTGAACGGCGCCGGCGGGTCGAGCGTGCGGATGACGCGAGCTGGGACGCCAGCGATGACGCTGTGCGGCGGAAAGGTGCCCTTGACCTGCACGAGGGAGATTCAGCGAGTGAGCGTGAGGTGAGAAAGAGAGAGAGCGCGAGAGAGGGAGAGTCGCAGGACGAAGCGACGTACGACGGCTCCTGCAGCGACGGTGCAACCTGTTCTCGCGAGCGAGTCGTCAGTCTCCTCTCGAACAGGACAGGATGAGAGAAAGGCGGGCGCACCGTCGCCAATGACCGTGCCGCCGAGGATCTTTGCGCCGCCGCCGATCCAGACGTCGTCGCCGACCGTGACAGGGTACGCACGGTCGTAGGCCGCTCGCCGTTCCTCGACATCGACCGAGTGGGTGCCACAGTAGATGTGGACGCCTGGACGAGTAAGAGGTGGTCGTTAGTCAGAGTGCGCCGGTTGAGAAGGTCGAAGCCGACGCGGACGCACCCGGTGCGAGGACGACGCGCTCGCCGAACGTGATCGCCGCTCCGTCGAGGAACACGCAGCCAGTGTTGGCGTAGAATCTGCGAGTGCGGGAGGAGCGAGGGCAGGCGCAGGAGGGGCGAGAAGAGTCAGCGCTCGAGCCCCTGCAGCTCCGCTCGTCGCCCGCCGGCGACCCAGCTCTGCCGAGAGGGAGGGCGCAAATGACAGAGGACCGCTTTACTTACTCGCCCTTGAACGTCGTGTTGTAGCCGTAGTCGAACGCGATCGGCGGCTCGAGAGCGAGTTGCTTGACGCGCTCGAGCGGAAGGTGGAACAGGTCGGCGAGGTGCTGCTGGCGGCTCTCGGGCCCGAACTGGTCGGCGAACGTATAGCCGGGGAAGTAGGGCTGCCATGGGTGGTGCTGGGTGCGCAAAGGCCAACCGTGAGCAACCCAGGTTGTCGAGGAGGCAGCTCGACGAGAACCTCCGAGTCGAGCGAGTCGTGTCGACGCACGTTGTAGGCCTGCGGGAACTGCTCAGTCAGTGTACCGTCACGCTGACGCGAGAGAGACGCCGCGCGTACGTAACAAAGCTCCCTCGCCTTGACCCGGTCCTCCGTCAGTTGCTGCGGACGGAGAAGAGGTCAGTGCGGCTCGGTACGAACGGCGGCTTGGGCGCACGTCGTCGAGGTCTCCGTGGAACCTGCAGGATGACGAGTGAGCTCGCGTCCTTGTCACGGTCGAACAAGGTGAGGCGGCGAAAGGTTCGACGTACGCGAGTCCTCGCAGTGCTCGCTCGCGCTGGCTCAGGGCTTCGTACGCCTCGAAAGTGAGGGCGTCTGCTTGAGCTTGAGTGTCCATGCGGGCGCGTAGAGCTAGAGTGTCGAGAAGGGACGAAGGAGAGCAGGAAAGAGCCGAACGAGCGAGAACGGCGGCGCCCACGAGCGCGCCGGTCTCGGCGTGAGCGGACCGGCGCAAATCGTCGCGGTCACGTGACGTGCGAGCTACTTGGCGCGTCTGAGCTCTGGCAGCAGCGGCAGCGCGGCCAGGAGCCGTCGTAAGCGGACGAGGCGAGGTAGAAGGAGGAAGTCGAGGAGAGGTCCGAGCGAGTTTGGGAAGGTCGAGCGCTTCCCGGAGCACTCCTTGCTCGCCTCGGCGCAGCTGCGACCGGTCGCGCTCGATGCTGAGCACCGTCGACGACGATGGACTGCGTCTCGAGAAGCACACGTGCGTCGGCGCGGACGCAGGAGGAGGACGAGCGAGCATTCACCGCCGCGCCTTTCCCCGGACCCCCGCTTCTTCAGCTCTACCGATTGCGGAGCTGTCTTACGTTGTGACGCTCGTCAGCTTGTCGAGACCACGTCTCCCCTCGGCGGCCCGCCGCGTGGTAACGCGCAGGATCTGCAATGCTCCCGATCCCACCTCCACGCACCTCTCCCTCTCTCCCTCTCTCCCCTCAACAAGTCGGTGCGTGCAGCTGTGTTCCCTCTGCACAGAGAAGATCAACTGACACGGTCGCGCCCACGCAGCCACCCCACCTCGCTCGCCGCCATGCCCGTCCCCCAATCTCCTCCCGCTCCTCGCTACCGCACCGAGAACTGGCGTGCCAACGCTCGCGCGCTCGGCAAGGGCGACCACAAGAAGGGCTCGTCCAACTACACGATGCTCCAGGGCTTCGAGTGGTACACGCCCGGCGGCGGCGTCTACTACAAGGACATGGAGTCCAAGGCCAAGGAGCTCGGCGAGATGGGCATCACGGCCGTGTGGATGCCGCCGCCGACCAAGTGCGACACTCCCGACTCGGTCGGCTACTCGCCGTACGACCTGTGGGACCTCGGCGAGTTCGAGCAGAAGGGCGGCAAGGCGACCAAGTGGGGCACCAAGGACGAGTTCCTCAGCTGCATCAAGGCGCTCAAGGACAACGGCATCGTCGTCTACATCGGTGCGTCCCTGTCCTCTCCCCTGAGCCCGTCGCCGATGTTCGCGACCTGACCCTCGCCCCGTCCGCCTCCTCGTCGTCCTCGAGCAGACGCCGTCCTCAACCACAAGATGGGCGCCGACCGCGCCGAGAAGTTCCACGCGACCAAGGTCGACGAGCACGACCGCAACAAGGAGATCAGCGACCTGTACGAGATCGAGGGCTGGACCGGCTTCGACTTTGACGCGCGCATGAAGACCGAGCGCGGCCGCAAGCTGTCCGAGATGAAGTGGAGCCACATTCACTTCGTGAGTCCCGCCCCCTCCTTCCCGTCGTCGTATCGCTCGAGCAGAGGGAGCTGCGGCGCGGGAAAACGTCGGAGCGCGCCGCGACGAGGTCCTGACCCCTCGCTCTCTCCCTCTCGCAGACCGGCGTCGACTACGACAACAAGACGCAGGAGAACGGCATCTTCAAGATCCAGGGCGAGGGCAAGACGTGGGCCAAGGCTGTCGACAAGGAGGAGGGCAACTACGTGCGTCCCTCGCCCTCTTCCCCTCGCTCGAGCCGCATCCTGACCATCACCCGTTTTCTCCCCTTCCCTCCTTTGCCCCGCCCCCTTCTCCTCCTCTTTCCCTCGGTCTCGTCCCACCTCTCGCACCTCGTCTCGCCCATTCTGTCGACCGTTCACCTCGCCTCGCCGCGCCGGGCCATTCCTCCTCCTTCTCCTCGTCCGCCCTCCTCGTTCTGCCTCCTGCAGGACTACCTCATGGGCTCCGACATTGATCACTCGCACCCGGCGGTGCGCGAGGACCTGATCAACTGGGGCGTCTGGATCATGAAGGAGACGGGCGCCGCCGGCTTCCGGTTCGACGCCATCAAGCACATCGATGAGGGCTTCGTCGCCGAGTTCGTCAAGCAGGTTCGCGAGCGCCTCGACAACGAGGACCTGTTCTGCGTCGGCGAGTTCTGGAAGATGGCGCTCCCGGCGCTCGAGTCGTACCTCGACAAGTTCCCCGAGCAGATGTCGCTCTTCGACGCGTGCCTCCACAACAACTTCCACTCGGCCGGCGAGCAGGGCCCGAGCTTCGACCTGCGCCAGATCTTCGACGGCACCCTCCTCCAGTCGCGCCCGGTCGACGCCGTCACCCTCGTCTGCAACCACGACACGCAGCCGACCCAGGCCCTCGAGGCGCCCGTCGCCACCTGGTTCGCTCCGCTCGCCTACTCGCTCATCACCCTGCGCGGCGACGGCTACCCGTGCATCTTTGCCGGCGACCTGTGGGGCTGCAAGTCGGAGCCGCCCGTCGACCCGATCGCCCAGCTCGGCGACATCGTCAAGGCGCGCAAGTGGTTCGCCTGTGCGTTGCCCTCGTTCCTCTTTCTCATCCTCCTCGACTCGTTCCTGACGCCTGTACTCCTTGTTGCGCCACAGACGGCGAGACCCGCGACTACTGGGACCACGCCAACTGCGTCGGCTGGGTTCGCGAGGGCGACGACGAGCACGACGGCTGCGCCGTCGTCGTCTGCAATGGTGCGTCGTCCTCCTCTCTCGACCTGTCCTGTCGCCCCGTACCTGACCCTCCTTCTCCGTCGACGAGCAGGTACCGCACCGGGCGAGAAGCGCATGCAGCTCGAGGGCGGCGACAAGCACAAGGGCGAGGTCTGGGTCGACCTCCTCGGCTGGTTCCAGGGCGAGGTCACCATCGAGGACGACGTGCGTCCCTCTTTCTCTTCCTCTCGCCCCTCTCTTCCTCCCCTCCTTCCTCTCCTCTCGTCGCCGCTCTCCCTCGTCGCCCCTCCCGTTTCCTCTCTCCTCGAGCGCCTCCCGCTCACACTTCCCGCACGCGCTCTCGCAGGGCTGGGCGACGTTCGGCTGCCCGGAGCAGAGCGTGTCCATCTGGACCAAGAAGGATGCTCGCGGCAAGGAGGCGTTCGCCAAGTGAGCGAGAGGGCGAGCGGGCGAGCGGGCGAGCGAGGAGAAGGGGCTCGAGCGATACCACCGCAGTAGACTTTTCTTTTATCTCGGGCATCCGTCACAATGACACAAGGGCATATGGTCAACATGCAGAAGACTAAGGAGGTGCTACGAGAGAGGAAGAGAGAGCCAAGGACAAAGACGAGGAGAGGAGAGGGGACCAAGTACGTCAAAGAGGGTCAGGGAGGGTCTATCCGTGCGAGTCAAGCTTGCGAGAGAGAGAGAGAGAGACTATACAGCGCGCCCAAGCTCACTCAACCGCCGCTCACTCCTGCATCGCTCCCTCCTGCTGCGGCACCTCGTCGTCCTCGTCCTCGATCCACTCGAGCCGGCCGCCGTCGGGCGTCGGGACGGACCCAGGCCGGTCTTGGACGAAGCGCATGTGCGGCAGGTCGTGGACGTTGACCTGGCGGAAGTCGACGGTCGGGTGGACCTGCGGCGAGAGGCGGTGAAGGGTCACGTCGAGGATTCTCGCAGAGGAAGGGGGAGAGGTAGGACGCACGATCATGTGGCGCTTGAGGTTGCTGAAGACGCCGAAGCTGCGTGCGCAGGTCGGGATCGGGCAAGTGAAGGCTGCGAGGGCGTCGAGGACGCGAAAAGTGGAAAAGTGTCACTTGGGAAGGTCCCGCCGAGAGGAAGGAGGAGGCGAGGACGCACGCTTGACGCCGGTGTGAGAGCGCATGTGCGTGTCGCGAGCCGAAGGTCGACCGACTGTCGAGAGCGAGAGAGGGTCAGGCATGTTCCAGGAAGGGGAAAAGAGAGCTTGGGGACGCACACTTCTTGGTACAGCCCTCAAACTCGCAGACAAAGACGCGCTTGTGAGCGTCCTTGGGCGGCCAGCCACGCTTCGAGATCTTCTTGACCGGCTTGCCCGTGATGGGCGAGATCGGGCGGGCGGCCGAGCTGCTGTGGAGCTTGGGGTGCGCCGCGAGCGAGGAGGACGGCGGCGGCGACGACGGCTCGTAGTCCGGGTCGAGGTCGTCGGGCGCCCTCGAGATGCGGCGGCTGGCGGGGCCAGACGCCGAGGACGACGAGGGCTGACCGTCGGCGCCCGAGTCGCCCGAGGGCGAGCCGCCGAACGACCACGCGCTCAGGCCGCCGCTGCCGAACGACGACGCGCTCATCGGCGAGCCGTAGAGCGACTCGTCCGGGACCGGCGGCGGCGGCGACGGCAGGTCGGCGTCGTCGAGCTCAGGCTTGAGGCCGGAACGCGGGCTCGTCGGGCCGACGAACGGGACGTTGGCGGCGAGGAGCGACGCCGGCGAGCGCGGCGGCGACGGCGCGCGCACGTAGCGGTACGTCGAGGTGGTGTGCGACGGCGGCGAGTAGAAATGCGGGAAGATGCCGCCAGTCGAGATGCGGCGGTGCTGCATCGGGTGAAACGCCGACGACGAGGAAGGCGGTGGCGGCGGCGCAAAGCCATGGAAGCCCGACGTGCCGTCATCGCCGTCGTCGTACGCGGTCGCGCTGACGTAGTGCTCGCTCGATGCGCTCGTCTGCGCGTAGGCGAACGACTGGTACGCCGCCATCGAGAGCGGCACGGGCGCGGCGGCGAACGAGGGCGGGTAGCTCGCGGCGCCGGGGTAGTAGCTGTCGTGCGTGTAGGTCGGCGCCGAGGCTGGGCCCTCGTACAGCGACGACGGCGGCGGGACGGCGTAGTCGGCCTGGCTCGGGAAGTACGATCCGCCGAGCGGACGACCCTGCTCGACGCCGCCCGACAGGGGCGAGATGGGCGACACGGGCTCGAGGCGCTCGGCGGGCGAGTAGGCGATGTGCGAGTCGGGGCTGGCGAGGTCGTAGCCGTGCTCGTCGACGGCGCGGGTAGCGACGAGGACGGGCGAGTCGAACCCGAACGTGAACTCGCCGCCGATGTCGGAGCCCGCCGGCTCCTCCTGCTGGCGCATGTCGACGCCCTCCTGCGCCGCAGAACGACCGTCGTCGGCGTGGTGCTGGTCGAGCGGCGGCTCGAACGTGTAGCCGGACCCGGCACGAGCGCTGACCTCGCTCGCGGCGCCGTACGAGGTGCGCACGGCCCTCCTCGCCCCCGCCCCGCCCATCGACACGGCGCGCTCGATCGTACCGCCCTCGATGCCGTCCTCGCTCGTCTCGAGCCACGGCAGCGCCGTCGAGGCCGACCAGAGCTGCGGCTGCGTGCTCAGAGCGGCCCTCGCCGAGCGGACCGGCGAGTCCGAGGACGGGCCCGGAGAGTCCGCGGACGCTTGGCCGGGCACGTGGTCGCGCTCCGAGAAGTGGTGGAGGGCGCGAGGAAGCGATTGGGGCGGCGGCGGGCTCGCGCGGCTGTGCGAGGGAGGGATGGCGGTGGTCGACGGGCGACTCGACGAGAGGAGGGCGGACCAGCGAGTCGACATCGGCGTGGTCGGACGTAGCGCAGGCGAGCAGGAAGGGGGTACGGAGAGAGGATGGCGGGGTTGGCGAGGGTCGAGGAGCTGGTGCGGCGGCGAGCGAGAAGAGCGAGGCGAGGTCGAGGACGGCGAGGCGAGGACGAGGGAACGGTCGCGAGGATGCTGTCGAGGGTTGCCGAGCGTCGCCAGGATACTCTCTGCGCGGCCGGCGGGAAGTGTGACGAGGGAGAGAGGATGGGGAAGAAGAGCGAGGGGGAGGAGCAGAAAGGGCGAGCCAAGTCAGCGCGATCGTGGCCACGCGCAAGTGCCGGACAGGAGACTTGCCGTCCGCCTGACTTGGAGTTGTCGGCGACACGAGCCCTCGGCCGGCCGAAAGTGTTTGTGACCGAGCGAGAAGGGTGAGAGTGAGTGCGACGAAGGAGGACGAGAGGGTCGAGAGAGGCGAGAAACGCACCTCGAGAGCTCCTGCGAGGCGACAGAGATGTGCAGAAAGGTCAGCAGAACACTGCAGGAGCGCCCCCTCGTCGCCAGACCCCTGCCCTCGTCAACTCGTCCATCTCGCTGTCCTGCTGTCCCACGCGCAACTTGGCCTCGCCTCGCTCGCGTCCACCGCCTCGTCGTTATCGCCCGATGCCGAGCCAAAGTGGTCACGCTCCGCTCGATCTTCTCGTCCCCCCACGCGCGCAGACAGGAGGCGGCAGACCGAGCGGACCGCAGCACCGCAGGAGACAAAGGCGGACTGTGCGCGCCGGTCGAGCATGCGCAACTCGTCGGCGATGAGCAGCAACAAGCTCGCGCTGCACGCCCGTAGGCCGAGAGCGCGGCAGCTTGCGACTGGAGCGGCGAGAGGGCGCAGAGCCGAAGCGCGAGCGGATGAAGCGCGAGGCGAGCGGGAGAAGCGAAGCAGAGGTCGAGCAGGGCAGCAGCGCCTCTCGAACCTCTCGCTGTCTGTGGGCCATGACTAGCGTCAGCTCGAGATATAGACGAGGCACAGGGATAGGCGAGAAAGGGCGCACCGTACAGCTGGATGTGGGCGTCGAGCTTCGAGGACCTCTACGAGCCGTGCATCCCGGCGTGAGGGCTCGACTCGCCGCGGGAGCTCACTCGAGGCATGTTGTGTCCCGACTGACGCAGCTGGGCGGACATCCGGGTGGTGCCAGGGGCGAGATCTTGCGCGAGGGGGAGAGAGGAGGAGAGAGCGAGGAGAGCTGCAGCGAGGCGACCAAGCGACGTGTGCGGCTCGGCCGGCGCAGGAGATAGTGCAAGGCACTGGCTGCGCGGTACCGGACAGAGCAGCGTGTGCTGAGGGACGAGTGCAGGAAGGAGGAGCTGGCCGAAGAGGAGCTCGCCTGGCTTGCACCGCTTCAATCACCTCGCTCCGGCTGTACGCTCGCAGCCGACCGTCCAGTACCCCGACATCGCTCTCAGCCATCAGCCTGTCCACCTCGATCAAGCCCGGGCGACCTTCGTCGAGGCCACCACCTCTGTCCGTCCCCATCTCCTCCTGGACCCGATCACGTTCCGCACAGCGCGCTCTACAGCCCGGGAGCGACTGCGCGAGCCAACGCAGCCTGTCCGCGCACCCCAGAGCACCCTGTCGCGCGCGACCTCGACCTGGTCACGGTCGCTCGGCCAGTGACGCTTCGGGTGCTCGGCTTCGCGCAGCTCCACATGGCCACAGCACACTCGAACTGACACGAGTCTTGCACTCGCGCAGACCTCAAGGCTCGAGGGCACATGGCCGACATGCGCCCAGGACCGGCGCACCCGCCGCGCCTCGCTGTTCACGCCGCCTCTCCTCGCCCTCCCGATTCGGCCAACGTCTTCTCGCCGACCCTCGTCGACCTGGCGCCGCCGCCCAAGCCCTCCCGCAACTCGCTCTTCGACCTCGACTGGGGCACCCTGTCACCCGCACCGCCGCCGTCGAGGAGCAGGTCGTCAACGGCCGAGTCGCAGTTCTCCGAGTCGAGCAGCGCGACGGGCGCGAGCACGACAGCGAGCACGGCCGCGAGCAGCGTGCGGCGCAACTGGATGGACGTCGACTACTCGCCGCCGCTCCAGTCGAGCATCCCCGCTCCGGCCGGCCTCGCAGCGACGGCGCTCGTGCCGCCCTCGCCTCTCGACCGCAGCGACACGTACAAGCTGCGGCTCGACACGACGCCCATGCCCGGCGCCAAGGGCGACGCCGGCTTCGACTGGCCGCTCACGCCGCCGTCGCCGACGGCGCAGCCGCCACGCCCCTTTCCGACGCTCCCACCCTTCCAGCCCTCGCCGCCATTCGTCGCCGTCACCTCCCTCGGCCACGCGCCCGTCCCTCCCGCTTCCCCCTCCATCGCCTCGACAGCGTCCCCACCCCTTTCCTCGACTCGACCCTCCTTCCCGCACCGCATCTCGTCGACGAGCTCGAACCCGCCCGACCCATGTGCGCCTCTCCCGCCGACGGCCGGCCACTCGTCCAACCCGCTCCTCGACACGCGTCGCTCCCCCTCGTTGCGCATGACGCCGACCCCGCCGTACCTCCTCGGCGAGGGTCGCCACGCGACCGTCTACCTCGCGAGCTACGCCCGCCCCGGCGACGCAGCCGAGCCGTGGCGGCTGTGCGCCGCCAAGCGTCTCGCGCCCGACCGCGAGAGCCAGGTCTCGGGCCTCGGCGAGGCCTTCATCCTCGCCAAGCTCGCCGGCGCCGGGCGCACGAGCGACGACGAGCGGCGCGAGGGCGGGAGCCGGTTCGTCCTGCGGCTGTACGGCGTGCGGGACGAGCGGGACGGTCTCGAGGCGCCGCTCGCGCTCGCCGCCGTGTCGCAGGCGGGCAGCGCATCGGTGAGCCGGCGCGCATCGGCGTCGTCGTCCAAGCGGTGGAGCATGGGCAGCATGGGCAGTGCGGGATCGCCGCGGGCAGCAGAGGGCGCGTCGGGCGTCCCGCCCAGCCCGCTCGGGCGCACGTTCCCGGACGTGACGGACCGCCTCGACGTCCCGCTCTTGCCGAGCGAGCGACGGCGGCCGCTCTCGCTCAAGCTCGACGGCGAGACGAGCCCGGGCGCGCGCAAAAAGGCGTCGCGCCACTCGGACCTGTCGCAGTTCGGACACGGGCACTCGCGCCTGTCGCTCCTGTCGCACGCGCTCGAGCCGCCCCTGTCGTCGTCCAAGCGGCGCATCACGCTCTCGGGCACGGCGACGGCCAACCCGGGCACGCCCGCGTCGCCCGCCTCGCCGCCACCGAGTGCGCTTGCGCCCGCCCTCCCGATCTCGCCCAGCTCGGCGCCGCAACTCGGCCCAGCCCTCGCGCCCGTCCCTCGCATCGACATCCTCCTCGAGTACTGCCCGCGAGGCCACGTGCTCCAGTTTGCGCGGTGCCACCCCGACCTCGTCGACAAGGCGAGGTGGATCGACTGGGCGGGACAGCTCGCGAGCGCCGTCAGCTGGGCGCACGAGAAGGGCGTCCTCCACGCCGACATCAAGCCGCAGAACGTGCTTGTGCGTCCTCGACCGTCCCTCTCGCGACGTGACGTCCTGAGACTGACCCTCGCCTTCCTCACTCGCAGGTCGCACCCGACCTCACCCTTCGCCTCTCGGACTGGGGCACCTCGCTCTTCCTCCCTCCCCCTTCTTCTCCTCTACACCGCTTCCCGACCGACCCGCACGGCCTCGGCACCCCCTCGTACTCGCCGCCCGAGTTCGTTCAGCGCCTCCCCTCGCCGTTCGGCTACGCCTCGGACGTCTTCTCGCTCGCCCTCACCCTCAGCACGCTCCTCACGGCGCGCGAGCCGTACGACGGCCTGCGCGCCATCGAGCGCATGCTGCACGTCGCGAGCGGCGGGTGGTGGGAGTGGGAGGAGCGGCGGCGCCTGCGCGAGGAGGGCGACGAGGCCGAGGTGGCGCTCTCGAGGGCGGGCAGCATCCGCAGCACGCGCTCAGCCGCGAGCAGGAGGGGTCGCACGAGGAGCGACAGCCTCGAGTCGGTGCGCAGCGTCGTCTCGAACGCGCCCGACGCCTTGTCCGGCCCGCACGACTGGGACGCCGTCAAGCGGTCGCTCCTCCTCGTCGACCAGGACGACGCATCGCTCGACGCCGCCAACGTGGCCTTGAGCGAGCGGGACCGCGCCTCGCTTGCGTCGTCGCAGCCGCACTCGCCCGTCGGCGAGCTCGACGACGACCCGCCGACGCGCACCTACCCGGGCACGGCGACGCCCGTCCAGTACTTCCTGTCGGGCACTCGGGCGCCGCAGGACGTCGTCCCACTCGCGGCGCGTGAGCTCCTGCGCCGCATGGCGAGCCCGGCGCCGAGCGCGAGGCCGAGCGCGGCTGAGGTGGTCGACGAGCTCAGGAGGGTCGCGAGCGCCGAGGGCGTCGCTGTGTCGTGGTGAGCACGGGGAGTATGGAGGCGTGTGTTCTGCTGGCGAGGCGTGCCCTGTTGTCGTTACTAGACTGTCCTCTTTCCCTCTCGCGCTCTCTCTCCTCACCCTCTCCCTCGCCCTAATCTTGTAGCCTTAGCCGCAGCGTGCAACCATGACTGCCTCGTCACATGCGCGCGACTCGAGAGGCTTTGGCGGGCGCAAAGCCGAGCTAGAGACGTCGCGTCGAGCGTGAGAGGCGGCGAGACGGGAGACCGTCGACGAGGAGGAGGTCCAAGCCAGCTCGTCCGCAACCCACCGCTGGACAGCAGGAGCAAGGCCAAGCGCTGAGCAGTGGTTCTCACGCGTTCTATAGCGCACTTTCCAATGCGAAAGACGGCGTAGCGAGAGCGCGAGGATGCTCGCGAGCCGTGGCAAGTCAAGCGGCGAGCGGATCCCCTTGTCCCTCCCTCACCCGTCTCGCCGACTCTCTACCGCCCGCGAGACCGCCTGTACCGCCTCGTACAGCTACCAGGACCGATCCAGTCCAACCCCAACCTCGTGAGCACCCTCCCTCGCCCCTTACCCCTCGAAAAGGCCATCACGCCGCTCGCTCGCCGGCCGGCGTCCTGGCGCCACGCGGGCCCTTTTGCAGGTGCAGACGGCGCAGATGGACGGCTTGGGTGCGGTTCAGCTCGGCTGCACGTCAGCTGCGCGGGCAGGGCGAGCACTCGCCATGCGAGTGGCTCTTTCAGGAGCGCGACGCCGCGTTGGTCTCGCCGCAGTGCGGTGAGCGCCACACGGTGGGCCAGGACTCGAGTCGAGCTTCTCAGGGCCTGTCGGCGGGGCGGCCTGGTCGCCTGCGACCTTGCGCCCGGTCACTCGGACCCTGCCCTCCTCCACCCTCCTCCCTCGCCGCACCGCCTCGTCGCACCAGCACGCCGCGTTTCAGTCGACGCACCGAAGCTGACTCTATTGTACCTTCGATGCAGCCGTCTACCCCGCTCCAACAACCGCCACCCGCCCCCTCGCCCTCACCCCTCATCATGGCCGAGATCGACCCCCCTGTCGAGGACATCTTCGCCGGCATCAAGAAGAAGCGCAAGGGCGCCAAGAAGATCAACCTGGACGAGCTTGATCTCGACGCTCCCGCGCCTTCTGCCCCGTCCAACGACGCCGCCGGCAACGCCGCCGCCACGGACCTGTCGGCCGCCCCGACGCCCGGCGACGCCGACGACGACCTCGACTTTGCCGACCTCAAGAAGCGCAAGAGCAAGAAGAAGACGGTGCGCATCGACTCGGACGTCGAGGACGCCGCAGACGCCGAGGAGCTCAACCCCAAGTCGCGCAAGCGCGTTGACAAGCTCGGCAACGAGATTGACGACGAGCCCGTCGACAACCAGATCTCGGCGGAGGTGACGGCCGTTGACGCGAGTGGGATGGAGGACTTCACGGACCTGAAGAAGAAGAAGAAGAAGAGCAGCAAGAAGGCGTTCGACCTCGAGGCGTTCGAGAAGGAGCTGGCGGAGACCGAGTCGGCTGAGGCGGAGCCCAAGGGGATCTTGAAGAAGAAGGTTCCTGCGGGCTCGGACGACGAGGGCGAGGACGTGGACGAGCCGGTCGAGGGCGAGGACCCGTTCGCCAAGGAGGACGCCGAGGAGGAGGAGGGCCAGCTGTCCAAGGCTGAGGCGGCCGCGCAGTCCAAGGCGTGGCTGAAGGAGGACCGCGACTACACCTACACCGAGGTGCGCCCCTATCTCACTCTCACTCTCTCTTCCTTGACGAGGACCCGCACCGACCCCTTGCCCCTTCCTTTCGCGCCCGCAGCTCCTCGGCCGGTTCTTCGGGCACCTGTACCAGTCGCACCCGGCCCTGTCGGGCGGCACCAACAAGAAGAAGTACACGATCCCGCCGCCGCAGCTCTTCCGCGAGGGCAACAAGCGCTCCATCTTTGCCAACATCGCCGACATCTGCAAGCGCATGCACCGCCAGCCCGAGCATGTCATCCAGTTCCTCTTTGCCGAGCTCGGCACCAACGGCTCGGTCGACGGTTCGGCTCGCCTCGTCATCAAGGGCCGGTTCCAGCAGAGTGAGTCCTCTCGTCCCCAGTCCTCCGGCCTCGCGAGTGAACCCGTCACTGACCTTGTCCTCCTCGCGCCCCTCCCTCTCCCTCCCTCGTCTCGCCCACCTCTCGCGCCGTCCCTCCACGCGCAACAGAGCAGATCGAGAACGTCCTGCGCCGGTACATCGTCGAGTACGTCACGTGCAAGACGTGCAAGTCGCCCGACACGACCATGACCAAGGACAACCGCCTCTTCTTCATGAGTGCGTCCTCTCTCTCTCTCTCTCTCTATCTGGTGAGAAGCTCTCGGCGTTGAGTCGAGGAAGAGCCGACTGCCCGGTCGAGCCTCGGCGAGCTCCACGAGCAACTCGATCTGACCCTCCTTCCTGCGCAGCCTGCACGTCGTGCGGCTCGGTCCGGTCCGTCCAGGCCATCAAGACGGGATTCACTGCGACGACTCGCGCCGCTCGTCGTGCCGCCCGTGCCTGAGCGCACCCGACGCCGCCCTCCCGCTCGTCGACCCTCCTCGAGCGCCGCCCCTCGCCTTCCTCCACGCCTCTCAACCGTTGTACCCTCTCCTCCCACCTTTTATCCTCGCACCAGCACCCGGTCGAGTCGAGCCCTCGACCTCGTCGTCCTCGTCGGGGAGCGAGAGGCGCTCAGTCTTGCCTTCTTCCCCCCGCCCTGTACCTCCCCCTCTTTCCCCAAAAGCACACTCTTGCAACACGCGTTGTCATTCCCTTTTGTGCGGCCGAGTGCGACGCTCGCTCGAGCAGCTTCAGCGCTTGGCCGCCAGGAGAGGACCGTGGTCGAGAGGGGCGAGCCTGAGAGCAAAACGCCAGCGCTCGCTCTCTTTCGTCCGTCGTACGGGAGACAACGCGCCCAGGGAGCGCCTGACCGGGAGAGCTGTCGTCGCCAGAGGAGGCGAGCCAAGTCGACGAACAACCCGAGTCGTCGTTCGCTCCTCGTCCACCGCTCGCCTCGGCTTGTGCAGGCCGACACACCGGCTCTGTTGCCTGAGAGCTCCTCATCGCAGCTCTTCAGCGAACATTCACGTCGCCCCGAGCCGCCGCCGACCCTCGGCACCCTCGTCCTCCACCGACCTCCCGCCTCCAGCCGGGCAGCTCTCCCGCCGCGACAAGGCCTCGGCCGGCTCTGCTGGACGCTCCGAGCCCGCCGTCAAGCCCCACGCCTGTCCGCCCGCGACCAGCACGCCCCACTTCCCTCGTCTCGGCCATGCACGCCGACGCGAACGAGGGCACCGACCCGGTCCAGCTCGCCGACCTGTTCACGAGCGAGGACATTGTCGACCGCGTCGTGTCGAGCGTCACCGACAACGATGTCTACATGACCATCATGTACGTGCGCGACCTCGACAAGAAGGGTGCTCGCGACATGATCAACTCGGGCCTTGCGTCCATGATCCTCTTCCTCTTCCGGCCGTCGTAGAGCATCTCACCGACTCTGCGCCCGCACACACAGACTCTCAGTCGGGCATGACGCCGCTCGTCGCCGCAGGAGCCAAACCGCCCTCCCGCACGGCCTCCCTCCTCGTCCACCTCCTCCTCGCCAAAGGCGCACGCCTGCCCGCCGTCGGCGCCGCGAGCGAGTGGCTCGGCCACGTCCGCTCATGGGCGATCGAGCTCGTCGAGGGCGGGCGCACGGGCAAGACGAGCGAGGAGCAGGAGGCCAAGATGCTCCTCGACATGGACTTTGACGCCGTCGACGAGTGGTGCCGCGTCAACTTGCCGGCGCCGACGCCCCAAGCCGACCCGAGCGACATGTACGTCGAGGCGACGCTCGGCGCGCCACGCTCGCCGCCGCCGCCCTCGGCCAAGGCGCAGGGCAAGAAGCGTGCAGCGTCGCGCTCGCGCTCGCGCTCGCCGGCGAGGAGCGACCGCCGCCCGCCGCCCCGTGCGCACCTGCGCGTCGACAACCTGCCCGTCGGCTTCACGAGCGAGCAGCTCCTGGAGTGCTTCGACGACGTGCCGGGCGTCCTCGACGTCGAGGTGCACCTGTCGCAGAGCGGCGCCCTGTGGGGCTTCGTCTCGCTCGCGTCGCTCGCGACGGCGCAGCACGCCTTTGCGACCAAGAACGGCACGCACGTCGGCGGGGCCGCAGGAGGCGCCGCCGCCTCGCGTCCGCTGTGGCTCAAGATCTACTCGGTCGACGGCACGCCGATCGAGCCGCACCGGCAGGTCGAGCCCGTCGTCAACAACCCGTCCGGCGCCATGCCCGGCGTCGCGACCGGCGCCATGCCCGGCGTCGCGACCGGCGCCATGCCGCCGCCCAACGGCGGGTCGTTCCAGCAGCCGCCGCAAGGAGCGCCCGGCCTGTTCGGCAACTTTCGTCCGGGCGTCAGCAACCCGTACCCTCGCGGCCGGTTCCTCGCGCCCGGCGAGCGCCCTCGCGTGCCCTACATCTTCACGGCCGCCGAGCTCGCGCGCAGGGTCTACTGCGGCAGCCTGCGCTTCGAGATCTCGTACGACGAGGTCGCGAGCCTGTTTGCCGAGAAGGCGGGCGTCGTCGCCAAGGTCCTCAAGGTCATGAACGCCTTCGACAACTCGCACTCGTTCGCGTGCGTCCTCTTCTCCTCTCGCCCTCGTCCTTTCCTCGAGCCTGACCTCGTTCCTCCTCATCGTTTACAGGTTCGTCCAGCTGCCCGACGCCATCACGGCCGAGCACGCCATCAAGGTCCTGCACGGCTCGATGCACGGTGCGTCCTCGCGCTCGCTCCCCCCTCGAGCCGATCTGACGTTCCTGCCTCGACCTCGCAGAGGGCCACCTGCTCCAGATCGAGCACGTCAACGAGCTCAACCATCGCTGGCTCTTCTCGCTGTCGCTGCAAGGTCTTCCCGTGCGCTGGCGGTACCAGGACGGTCCGTCGCCAGCTCCCTCTCTCTCTTCCTCTTCCCTCGCCCGCCAATCGTCCGGTGCTCACTCGCTCCTTCTCTCACACAGTGTCCGACTTCCTCATCTCGACCATCGGCTCGTTCGCCGGCCTCATCGTCAACGCGCCGCGCCCGTACGACGCCGACCGCGGGCTCCAGGTCCGCGTCGAGCTGCGGTACGAGACCGAGCTGCGGTGGGCCTTCACCGAGCTGGACGGCCTCCCCGTCGAGGGCCAGAACATCTCGGCGCGCATCGAGCAGCCCCGCATCCGCGAGAAGATGGAGCGCGAGCTCGCCTACCGCCGCATCGCCGAGCAGAGCGCGGCGCAGGCGGCGTCGAACGCTGCGGCGCAGGCGGCCGCCACGTCGGCCTACAGCTCGAACGTGTCTATTGCGACGGCGTCGGAGCCCGGCTCGAGCTTCCCGCCGCTCGGGCGCGAGTCGGGCAGCATGACGCCGGGAGGAGGGAGGCGTCCTCCTCCGCCACCGCCGCCGCCACCGCCGCAGGCGAACGGGTCCGGCCCGAGCGACGCCGACGAGTCGTACAACCCGTTCGCGCTGTCGTTCCTCAAGTAGCGGCGTCGGCGCCGTCGAGCCGTCCGGAAAGGGCCCGGTTGGAGTTGGAGGAGGGGAGAGGGAGGTCTCGCTTGCTGGTCTGGTCTCTCTTTCTGTCTCTCTGTACCTCTCTACTCTCTCCGTCTTCTTCCCTCCGTACCCGGACCCTCTTCTCGTGCACGCCTTTGTACCCTCGTCGCGCCGCAACCTTCCCACTCGCACTTGCACTTTGGTCGATACCCCCTCGTTCTCCTCCCTCTCGCTTGCAAGTACATGGTCCAGCCTCTTCGTACTTCTCCGTGTCGTCCTCGCGGTAGCACAAGAGGGACTGACAACGCGTGTTGCAAGAGTGTGCTTTTGGGGAAAGAGGGGGAGGTACAGGGCGGGGGAAGAAGGCAAGACTGAGTGAGCGCCTCTCGCTCCCCGACGAGGACGACGAGGTCGAGGGCTCGACTCGACCGGGTGCTGGTGCGAGGAGAAAAGGTGGGAGGAGAGGGTACAACGGTTGAGAGGCGTGGAGGAAGGCGAGGGGCGGCGCTCGAGGAGGGTCGACGAGCGGGAAGGCGGCGTCGGGTGCGCTCAGGCACGGGCGGCACGACGAGCGGCGCGAGTCGTCGCAGTGAATCCCGTCTTGATGGCCTGGACGGACCGGACCGAGCCGCACGACGTGCAGGCTGCGCAGGCGGGAGCAACCGTGCACGGACCGTCGACCTCGCAGGCTCACTTCTCGCCGTGCACGTGGGGCGCCGAAGACGTGTCGAGACGTCTGCTCGAGAATAGAGCCGTCCCGAACACGGCCTCAGAGTGACACCCGCACGACCTTGCGCTCGGGAGGAGGAGGAGGGAGACGAGGCGGACGAGGTGCAGGGACGCCGAGGAGACGGCCCGTGACGCTGCCGACGTTCCTTTACTCTGTCTCGACCTCGAGACTGTCAGAACAAGCACCGCAAAGCCGCCCAAGAGACGTCGACTCGAGCGGGCCAAACCAAAATGTGGGGAGCTTCCGGTCGACACGGCGCCCTGGCGCAAGGTCGGTCCTTTCTCGCACTCGGGTCGAGGTTGGCGAGCTGTAGCGTCGCACTCAAGAGGTCCAGAGTACTCTGCAGCATCCTTGGCGCCGGTCGAAGAAGGGCGCAGCTCGAGAGCGACGCGCGAGGAGCGAGAAAGAGGTCGAAGCGAGGAAGAGGAGGGAAGCGGAGCGAGCGCAGACAGCAGCAGCATGAGCAGGAGCACAGTCGAGACGTGCTCGGTAGATCGCTTCGAGGGTATCGAGCGCGTCAGAGCGGGAGAGAAGAGAGCGAGGAACAGGAAAGCGAGCAAGTTCAGAAGGCGAACGTGACGAGGAGGAGGAGGAGCAGGGAACGGGTTCGTGCGCAGCACAGCAGCGCGCAGGCCACCGTAGAGTCGCTCGACACGACCTTGGAGTACGGACTGAGAGGTGGCTCGATCTCGGGAAGCAAAGAGCGCCGACTCGAGCTGCAAGAGCCAGCTCTCGGTTTGAGAAGGCCACCTGGTCGGAGCGCGAGAGCCGCTCTCTGCTCGACAGGGCGACATGCAGGCTTTGCAGCAGGGCTCGATAGATCGAAGAGCGAGAGCTCCTGTCCGGGCGAGCGTCCAGGAAGCCGCTGGACAGCTTTGAGCGAAGCAGGAGGAGGAGGACGCCGTTCGTAACGACTCGTCGTGTCGCTCACGACGGTCCTCCTTCTCTTCCGAGGCTGAGCGGCTGTCGATTGACGTTTCGACACGTGTACTCGATGATGAGCCCAGCCCTGGGCCTGGAGCATGTGAGCCGCACCCCGAACTTGCGCTGAGGAGGAGGGACAGGAGGAGGAACGGGTCGCTCTCGAGCTCGCAGTACTGCTTCTCCTGGACCAGCGCACCTCTCGATCGACAGAGTCGCTGCAGTTCTCGGGGTCCCGATCGTAGAGGCAGAGACTTGCAAAGGGTGCTACAACGGACAAAGCGGTACTGCAAGGACGACGCTGGCGGGGGGGAGAGGAAGGGTATCGACAACGACGAAGCTTCTCACTCGTCGTCGTCGTCGTCGAGCGCGACACGCTTCTTCTTCTTCTTGTGCGGCTTGGCGTCGTCGTCGTCGTCATCGCCGAGCTCCATCTCGTCGTCCGACCCTTTCACCTTGGTCCCCTTCTTCCCCTTGGCCGGCGCCGACTCCCACAGCCCGTGCTCCTTGAGGTAGTTCATCGCCCTCTGGAACAGGTCGGCCTTGTTGCCGCTCGTCGGCTCGCGCATCAGCTTGAGCACGTCCTTGAGCCTCGCGACCGTCATCTTGGCGTTCTGGCGCACGTCGTCGACAAAGTCGCTCAGGTCGGGCGGCGGGTCGTCGTCGTCGGTGGCGCCCTTCTTCGACGAGGCCGTGCCGCCGATGCGCTTCTTGCTCGACGTCGTCACGCGTGACGGGTCGTTCTGGTCCTGCGGGACGAGGTCGCGCAGTTGGCGGATGTACTTGCCGACGCGCTGCACGGCAGGTCCAGGACGAGAGCGTCAGGGTCGAGGAACCCCGAGAGAACGCCGAGAGAGGACCAAGGAAAGGCGAGCGCACCTGGTCGATCGTCTCGTACGCCGGCACCGTGCGGTCGTCCGGCTCGGGCAGGTCCTCGTTCAGGGCGACGGCGGCGAGCGTCTGCAGGTACACAGCCTCGACGTGAGTAAAGGCTTGCCGTAGGTGGAAGAGTGAGAGACGCACCTCGTAGAAGAAGTTGAGCGCTGCGAGAGGGAAGTGCGAGAGCGCGTGTCAGTAAAGGTCGATCTGGTCGAGGCGAAAGTGGCGCACGCACCAGGGTTGGGGAACAGGTCGGGGTTGTAGAGCTTGCGCATGTACGAGATGATCTTCTTGCAGAGGTCGACCTCGGGCTGCTCGGGCTCCTCGTCGTCGTCTTCTCCTGGGCAAGGTGGAGAAGGCGAGGTCAGGCTCGTCTGTCCAGGGGATGGATGCCGACCATTGTGAGGCCGTCGTGGACGTACCATATGGACGCATGACCGTGAGTGTCGAGTCGACGCCGAGCTCGCGCATGTCGTCGGCGAAGGGAAGCTGAATGAGGTGGATGCCGGGCGGCGCGACTTGGACACCGGCGTCACTGAGCTTCTCGGCCTGTGAAACGTTGGCGAGCATCGATCAGGACACGTCCATGCCAAGGAGAGAGAGAGTCGATCCGGAAATAGGCGAGCGAGGCGCACCTGCGGAAGGAGGAGGACGACCTGCGGCTTGCTCGTCGTGCGCGGGATGAACGACGCGTAGCCAATGACGTCCTTGTTGACCATCGTCTTGAGGAGCGAGGCGAACGTGCGGGTCGAGCCGCTGTAGCGCTGCGAGCGGGCGAGGGCGGCGTGAGCGAGTGAGGAGGGGTCCGAGCGGGCGAGAGAGAACGGCGACGCACCTCCTCGTCCGGGTAGATGAAGTACGAGTGCTTGATCGTTTCCCACACCTTGAGGTGGCCCTCGCGAGGCTTGAAGCCGAGCAGCTTCAGGCTTGGCGGCCGACCGAGTGTCTGCGAGAAGGGCCGAGTCAGTTCGACCGCGCTGACCCAGGCTCGAGAGAGACATCGGCGCTCGAGGAGGGGCAAGGGGGACGCACCTTGACCTTGCGGATGTCGGCGTCGGAGAAGAAGAGCTTGCTCGCCTGCGTGCCGCGCTCGATGTCGGCCCGGCCGACCTGGAAGTACTTCTTGACCTCGCTCTTGCGGTCGAGCAGCGCGCCCGTGTCCTGTGTGGACGGGTCGTCAGTGCGTAGAAGCGGAAGAAGAGAAGAGAGAGCAGGGCGCACCTGGTCCTTGTAGACGGTCTTGGTGACTACCTCGACGCCCTCGGCCGTGGACAGGTCGACCTTGGTCGGCAGGCGCTTCGTCTCCTCGCCGATGAGGTTGTAGCTGCGCACGTTCGAGCGTCAGGTCAAGATCTCACGGTCCCTCGCAAGGTTCAAGGAGAGGGGACGGACCCGACGATTCCGATGCTGAGGTCCTTGCCGAGAACGAACGGGATCTTGAACGACACGCGCTTGACCGCCTCCTTGGTGCGCAGGCTCGCGATCATGCCGTCGAGCGCGACACGCAGGCTCTTGCTGACGACGGGCCACGCCGTCGGCTCACCCTCGTCGCTGTCGAGCGCGATAAAGTCCTGCAAGGGGGGGAACCCGGGATCAGTCGACAGGGCGCAGGAGGACGGAGAGAGCGAGGACGCACGCCGTAGAACTTGTCGAGGTCAAAGTCGGCGTCGAAGGTTGGCGGCACGAAGAACGGCTCGATCTCGTAGCCCATCTCGCGCAAGTCCTGTCGACGAGGTAAAGGAGAGTCAGGAAGGTCCGGGCCGGCCGGGACAGACGCAGGACGACGGGCGCACCTCGCGCCTTTTGCTTATCGGGCCGTAGAGCTGCTCCTCGCCCGAGAGCGGGTCGTCGTTGTCCGTGACCCAGAAGATGCGGTTCTGCGCGGTCGGCGAGCTGCGGGTCGACGAGGGTCAGGCTCGAACGCGCGGTGAGGCCGACGGTGAGGGGGGACGTACCGCTCGCGGAACATGCTGTTGGCCATGGCGAGAGCGCTGCCGATCGCGTTGGCGCCGTTGACGGGCTTGAAGAGCTCGTTGAGGTAGTTCTCGTCCTCCTGCGCTTCTGCGACCGAGGCAAGCTGGTCAGCAGCCGCGACGGAAGGCTGAAGAGGGGGAAATAGGGGACGCACTCTCGAGGATCTCCTTGAGGGTGCGGATGTTGTGCGCCGTGATCGGCTGGACGTCGAGGAGGACGTGGCAGCCGTCCTCGGCCCTCGTCTCGCCCGTGCCCTTGCTGTCCTGCAGGTCGCACGGGTCAGTGTCCTCTCGTTTGAGCTGACGCATGAAGGGAGATAGGGGACGCACGCAGTTCCAGATGAGGATCGAGACGAGGTCCTTTGGCGACGAGATGACCCGGCGGCGCATCATGGCGTAGGCGCAGCGCAGGCACTCCTCCATCTTGCTCTTGGCCGGCGGCCCGGTCCAGTCGAGGTTGTGGGTGGCCGGGCGTGCCGAGCTGGACGGGGTGGGCTGAGACGGATCCCGGCTGGACGAGTCGGCGCAGAGGAGCGGGGCGAGCATGGTCGGGGTGGCCTCGATGCACCACAGGATCGAGTCTTTGGTGTGGCGGTACTCCTCGGAGATGTCGTCCTCGTCGTCGCTGTCGTCAACGCCCTTGTACCAGTTCTGGGCTGCTCGACGAGGGGACGAGGTGGGGGAGGAGGGGGGGCAACGAGGTCAGCGCGGGCGCAGGCGCGCTCGTAGACCGGCGGGAAGTGGGCGCACCGTAGCCGCTGCTCATCTTGCGGGTGCCGGCTCCTGGCGCGGTAGTAGTCGAGGCGAGAGCGAGGACGAGCCGCAGCCGACGACGTCCCCCTCTCTGGGCTTCCGGCAGCGTCTCGAGACGAGCTGTACAGAAGCGCGCATGGTCGAGTAGAGACTGTTTGCGCGTTTGGGCTATGCAGCGGCGCAAACAAAGTCGGGCTCGCCGAGTTCTCCTCGTGCCTCTCCTCGAGAGCTGATGAGAGCTTTGCTCGCTCGCAAGCGGCAAAGGCAGGACCAAACTCTCGCAGAGTGGACGAAAGAGTACAACAGTGCACGGCAGACGACCACAGACAGCCCGCATCAGAGAGCTCTGTACACCAGCCTCCTCGCTCCCTCAGCCCGACACGAGCGGCGTCTGCGCACCCGACGCCGTCGCGTCGTCCATGACGTCGTCCTCGTCGTCCTCGTCGTCCTCATCGCCTCCTCCCGAATCCGTCCCGAGCCCCGCCGCCTCGCGCACAAACTCCCAGACGAGCTCGACCTTCTCGCCCCACTCGCCGGTCGCCTCGTCCTCTTGCCCACCCTCGCGCACGACGGCCCGCCGCGCCTCGGCGACGCCCATGCGTCCCTTGAGCCGCACCCACTCACGGAGGAGGACCTCCTTGAGGAACAGGTACGGCCGCGGGAGGATGCGCAGCGTCGCGCACAGCTTTTGCTCGAGCGGCGTCAAGAGCTGCAGGCTCGCCGCGCTCGCGAGCGTGAGCGGCGGGGCCGGCCGTGCCCGCAGCTGCGCGGCGAGGGTCGAGCCGGGGCCGCCGGGACCGCCGCCGGGCGTCGGGCGACGAGAGCCGCCGCCGCCGCGGTCGAACGAGAGCGAGACCGAGTCGCGGTAGGCGCTCGCGCGAGTCGACGCTCGCTGCGTCTTGGCCGACTCGTAGCGATCGGCCTCGGCGAGCGTCGTGACGCCGTTGCGGCGGTACTCTTGCAGCTCGGCGATGCGCTTGCGGAGCGTGATCTCGTCTGCGAGCGAGGGAGAGCGAGAGCGAGTCAATACCATGATGACGAGGACACGAGGGAAATATGAGACGATGCGAGAGGAGAGGGACGCACAGAGAAGGCCCTCGACAAAGTCCTCGTGGTCCTGCGCCGTCTGGATGCGCGAGAAGACCTTGGTGCGCATGATGAGGTCGCGCTCCTCCTTGGACCGCTTGCGCTCTGCCGCCGACAGCTGCGAGCGAGGGGGACGAGTCGGAATGGTCAGGTCGACGTCGACTGGAGGAAAGGAGGAGGAGGAGGAGAGAACACGATGACGCACGATCTTGTAGTTGATGAGGCCGCGGTCAAAGATGAGCTCCTTGGACGACATGCGCTTGTCGTAGCGCTCGTTGAACATGTCGAGGATGGCGAGCTTGAGCTCGAGTTCCGGCTCGGGCTCGTCGCCGTCCTGCTCGCCGTCGGGCAGCGGCTTCTCCTCCTTGTCGCCGACCTCGCCCTCGCCCGCCGCACCTGCCCCCTCGCCCGACCCGCCTGCGCCGTTCTGCTCGCCGCTCGCGCCGTCTTCTGCCGGTGCGGCAGGCGGCGCCGCCGGCTGCGCGTCGCCGCCAAAGTGGTACACCTTGCCGAACTCCATGTCCTTGATGAGGACCTCGGCCTCGTTCTCGTACTCGTGCTCGAACTCGAGGCGGCCGGGCATGAAGCCGGCGATCTCGTGGCAGGTCGGGGCCGACGCGAGAGGCTTGGGCGGCGGGAGCGGGATCGGGCGCGACTGGAGCTCCTCGAGGCGGGCCTTCTTGCGCTGCTGGAACGGCTCGGTGTCGTCGGGCGAAAAGTCCTGGTCGACATGCTGCGAGAGAAAGAGAAAAAGGGTCAGTCGACCGCGGCAGAGAGGAGGAGAGGGTGCGGCGACGCACAGGTAACGGGTACGCCTCGCTCTGGATGTAGGTCGCGACGTAGTGGTCGTGGCACTCCTCCTTGGTGCGGCCGCCGACGTGCTCGGCAATGTCGGCCCAGTTGCCGAGGCCGTACATCTCGGCGCCCTCGATCAGGAGCAGCTCCTCGTCGGCGCCCCAGTCCTTGTTGAAGATCGGGAACGAGTGCGACGAGATGACCCGGTAGGCGTGCGTCGCGCGGTGCGGGCCGAGCGACTTGCCGTGGAGGAAGCACTGTGCGGGGAGAAGGCGATGCGGCGTCAGTAGAGTACCGCGGCAAGAGGGCGCCGAGAGAGAGGTGCGAGAGGAGGAGACGAGCGACTCACGTCGACGCAAAGGTCAAAGTCGGGGCACGTGAGCCGCTCGCCGACCTTCTCGGCGCAGCGGATGTGGACCGAGTGCGTAATGTCGACCGAGCACGCGTCGCAGGTGGCCTTCATGCCCGACTCGAGCTGCGGCGCGGCGACGGCCGTGTCGGGGCCGCCGGTCTCGCGAGGCTTCTGCTTGCGCTTGGTGACCGTCATGGTCGAGGTCGACGATGGTCACGACAAGCTCGTGGCGTGCTCAGGACGGGCTGGACGCGGTCGGCGGGTGCGGGGGAGGAAGGACGACTGGGAGGAGTGGGTAGAACGCGTCAGGCAGGGCTTCTCGTGGTACACGGTGGGCCGGAGGACGTACTAGAAGCTCGTGACGGTGTCCTTTGGCGGTCTCGAGGTCCGGGAGGAGAGGAGTGGTCGAGGTGTTGATGGGAAGAACTGATGAAGTAGAGACGGCTCGGCAGGGCACGACCGGTCGCGAGTGGTAGTGGGCGTGCTCTTGAGATGTTGGTGTACGGCTTGAAGCGCGCAGCACAGCCGCTCGAGCGCGAGGGCGAGCGTGGTGGTGGGTCGACCTCGGACGGCTCACTCTTCTCGCTCACCCTCACCTCGCACCTCGCCTACACTAGCGCCAGAGCCTCGTTTGAGCTCCTGCGTCGTCTCTCGGCACCTCTCGGACCGCCCAGAAAAGCCTGCTCGCCCCGCCCAGTCCTCTCCACCTCGGTCGCTCTCCGCCCCGTTCGCCAACTTCGACCCGTCGTCAACCTCGCAAACGGCCAGCATGCAGGTCCTCCTCCCCGGCGACCCGCTCCCTGCTTCCTCGTCGGCCTCAGCAACGGCCCCCAGTGCCGCCTCGCTCCACCTCGGCCCCGGTCTCGCCGCCTCGACCGCCGGCGCCGCCAAGGGCAAGGGCAAGGAGCGCGCAGACGTCGCTGCCTCGCGCGCAGGCCTCCTCGGGCACCTCGTGCACGGCGACAAGGAGCGCTACTGGATCGAGGGTACCGTCAAGCGGGTGCGTCTCCTCGCCTCCCTCCTCCCCCTCCCTCGCGCCCGACCCTCACTGACGTCGACTCGCTGCCACAGTACACGCCTCAACCGCCCGAGCCCGTCCTCGGCATCATCATCGCGCGCCACGCAGAAGGGTACCGCGTCGACATTGGCGGCGCGCAGGCGGCGTCGCTCGATGCGCTCGCGTTCGAGGGCGCCACCAAGCGCAACAAGCCCAACCTCAAGGTGCGCACATCTGTCCCTTGCCGTCTCGGTCCTTCGAAGCTCTCTCGCCTTGCGTGCGACTGCGCATCGTACGCCATGTCGGCCTTCGGTACACTGACCTTCTGCTCGCGCACAGGTCGGCACGCTCGTCTACGCCCACCTCCTGTCGACCCCGCCCTTCTCCGAGCCCGAGATCTCGTGCGTCGACGGCTCGACGCAGAAGGCTGCCGGCTTCGGCGAGCTCGTCGGCGGGTTCCTCGTGCGCGGTGTCGAGCTGGGCCGGTGTCGCGCGTGCGTCCCCTCTCTTTCCTTCTCCCTCCTCCTCGCCATTCACTGACGTCCTCGCCCTGTACCGCAGGCTGTTGGCGCCCAAGAACCCGCTGTTGACGCAGCTGGGTGCGAGGTTCCCGTTCGAGGTGGCGGTGGGCATGAACGGGCGCGTGTGGGTCAAGGCGGCGCAGGAGGACGACGAGGACCAGCTCGTCGACGTGATCCGCGAGCTGCGAGGGCGGTAGACGCTTCTTGCAAAGACGGCGTTGTCGACGCTCGCCGTGTCGTCTCGAGAGAAGCAGATCCGCGGAGAAAGAGGATGATCGGTCGCCGAGAGAACGGAGGCTGGCAGCCGTGCCGCCGGCTTGAGTCCGTCCTCCTCCTCCCTCGTTCCCGCTCGTCAGGCGCCATGCTCGCCCCGCTAGCTGCACTCGCTGCACTCCTGTCGCTCTCTGTCGCCGCACAGGACGCGCCCGCCTACCTCGATCCTCTGTGCGCCCGCCTCGTCTCTCCCCACATCTCGCCGACGAGCACAACCTGACCGCCCGTCTCCCCCTCGCGCACCCCCTCGCAGAGCCTTCTCGCAGCTCCTGTCGTCGAGCGAGAACCGCCACCGTGCCGCCCTCGACGCGTACCGCATCAACGTCGAGTCGCGTCCGCAGACGATCGAGCTCGCCCGCAAGGCGAGGGTCTTGGCGGCCGACCTCGAGCGCGCTCACGGCCTGGGGCGGCTCAGGGAGCGCTCACAGGTCGCCCTCGAGCGACGGCAGCAGGGCACGGGCTCGAGGGGCGTCGTCGAGCTGTTCGACTTCTTGTGCGTCCCGCTCTCCTGCCCCCTGCGGACGTCGACGAGGACGAGGCGGGCCATCGCTCACTTCCTTTCTTCCCTGCGACAGCTCGCAGCCTCTCGATGTCATGTACGTCGACGTCGTCCTTGTCGCAGCGTCGGCGGCCGGCGCGTGAGATGAGCAGGAGCGACGCGAGAGACTGACCGGAACACGCGCTCGTGCCCCTGCAGGATCTACGGCGCCGTCGATGTCGGCTCGCCCGCGCAATCGTTCAACCTCCTGTTCGACACGGGCAGCGCCGACATGTGGATCTACGCCGTGCGTCCCCTCGCCTTCTTGCCGCACCCCCGAGAGCCTTCCTGCTGACCGTTCCTCCCTCGTGCAGGATGGTACCGGTTCCCGCGAGCCCGAGTGGGACGCTTCGGCCTCGTCGACCGCCGTCACGTCGCCTGCCCTGCCCTGGAGCATCCGGTACGGCCGCGGCGAGCAGACGGGTTACCTCAACCAGGACACGGTCTCGCTCGGCGGGTACGACGTCAACAACACGATCTTTGCCGCCGCCAACACGCTCAACGAGGCTTTCACGTACTACCCCATCTCGGGCCTGTTCGGGCTCGGCTTTGGCGCCATCAGCGCGAGCGGGTGCGTCGAGCCTGTCCTTTCCCCTCCCTCCTCGGCTCTCGACCGGGCTTTGCCCTTCTCGGCCCTTCGTCGTCGGCCATACTGACAAGCTCTCTCGCCCGCAGCTACGCGCCCTGGTTCGAGCGCCTCATCAGCTCGGGCGCGCTCGCCGAGCAGTACTTCTCGCTCTACCTCACCCGCGCGTCGGACGTCACGACCGAGGCCGAGGGCAGCCTCCCCGGTGCGCAGATGTGCATCGGGTGTGTCGACTCGAGCAAGTACACGGGCGAGATGTGCGTCGACTAGCCACGAGCTCTTTCTCCTTTCCGCCCCTCTTCTTTTCCCGAGCAGGAACTGAGTGTCTCGCCGTCCTGCAGCAACTGGCTGCCGGTCCAGTCCGAGGGCTTCTGGGCCGTCGAGATGGACGGCTTCGAGATCAACGGGACGGTCGTCGAGGGCACGGCCGTGCGCGCCGCAATCGACTCGGGCACGACGTGCGTCCTCCTCTCTCTCTCTCTCTTTCTCTCTCTCTCGCCCTTCCTGCGGCGCATCCCCCTTTGCGCAGAGTCCTCTGACTCGACGCTCGTCTCAACCGCAGCCTCATCCAGGTCCCGCCAGCCATCGCTCGGGCCTTCTACGCCGAGATCCCCGGCTCGACCCCGAGCACGACGATCGAGGGCTCGTACATCATCCCGTGCAGCACGCCCTTCTCGTCGCTCGCCCTCGTCTTTGGCGGCGTGCGGTACGAGATCCCGAGGCGCGACCTGCTGCGCGCCATCAGCTCGGACGGGCGCCAGTGCGTCTTGACGATTGCCGAGAGCCAGAGCGAGGACGTCGACGGGACGCCGATGGCCATCGTTGGAGATGTCTTGTACGTCCTCGCGTCCACTCCTATCCGCTCGAGACGTGGCTCGGTCGTCGAGTGCGTCGTCGGGCTGGAAGTCGGACGAGAGGCCGCGCTCACTCACCATTCCCTCGTCGTGCAGCCTCAAGAACGCCTACTCGGTCTACTCGTACTCGCACCAAGGCGCACCCGGTATCGGCTTCGCGCGCAGCATCATCGCCGGCTCGTACTCGAACTCGTCGTTCGGCAGCAGCACGACCGGCAGCGGCAGCTTCACCGTGCCGGCCACCGTCGGTACGCTCAGCGTCAGCGGCGCGCCGGTGCCGACGGTGAGCAGCCGAGCGAGCCGAGGGTCGACGGCGGTCGGGACGGGCACGCTGGGCGCCGGGTGCGTCGAGCCGTCCTCTCTTTGTCCCTCCCTCGCCGGCGACTCGACCTGTTTCGCGGACCCTTCCTGACTCGCCTCTCTCCCCTCGAGCAGGACGAGCAGCTCGATCGGCCCCATGGCTTCCGGCTCGACGGGCACGGGCCAGAACGCGCAGTCGTCGGGCGCCCGCACGACCGTCGCACTCGGCATCTCACTCGTCGCCGCTCTCTTTGCCTCGTCCCTCCTCGCCTAGCCTCCTCCCCAGTCACAGACACTCTCTCTCGCATCCACGTCGGACGCCTACGCGCCCTTATCCTATCGCGCTCCCGCATGCCACCCTTGCTCCCCTTCCTCTCGTTCTCTCTCCCTCCTTCCTCGTCCTCCCTCGTTCGTTGTCGCACCCTCAACCGCCCCTGTAGCCTGTCCATACTACCCTCTCCTCCTGCCTCGCACCCTCCTTCGCTTACCTGCATCGCACGGCAAGTCGCATCGTCGCGAGAGAAACCGCCCGGACCTCGTCTCGCGAGAGGCTTGCCTTTGCTCGCGCGCACACCACGCAGGTTCCCGCTCTCGCTCGGTCGCTCGTACAGGGGTGCGAGAGCGATTGAGCTCTGCAAGCTGGAGAGGATCGTGCGACAGGGCGAGCGCGCTCCCTAGCCTGGCCGCGAGAGCAACGGCTTGCTCTCTTCCTCGTCTCGCCCTCGCCTCGTCCAGCTCTCCCGCTTCGAGCCGACACGATCGATGCAGGAGCTTCAGCTGCCAGCTGCCTCACCCTCGCCGCAGCCCATCGCGACCGCCGCTCGACCTCCTCCCGCCGCACCTCCCTCAACTCTCGCCGGCTGCACCTCGCAAGACCTCGTCGACGGGCTTGCGACCGCCTGCCAAGCTCTCGACATCCCCACCGCTGTCGACCGCCTACGCGTTATGCACGCTCAGGGCATGCTGTACGCCCTCGAGGGCGCCGACGGGGTCGGGCGCCAAGGTGCGCCCCCTTTTCTCTCCCATACTGGGCTCGCCCGGCGCCCTGACTCCTCGCACGTTTCTGTCGACAGCCACCTCGGGCCTGTCGCCGCTGCAGATCGTCGGGCGCGGTGTCGAGAGCGAGCGCAGCCGGTTCCTCCTCCAGGTCCTCCTCCTCTTCGCGCAGACGAGGACGAGCGAGGACCGCCTTCCTTTTGAGCGGGACGTCGAGGCGTGCGACTGGGCAAAGAGCGTTGCGCAGAGCTTCGACCGGGGCAGGAGTTCGACCGGTGCGTCCCTCCCTTTTGATTCTTCTTGCCTCGCCTCGTCCTGCCGACGCCTCGCCTGACGGGTCCCTCCCTCGCGACGCACAGCCGTGACAACACGACATCTGCTACAGCTCGACAATCGACCCGCTCTCACCGCCTGGCTCGAACAGCACCTGTCGCCGTCGCCTTCCTCGCCGCCCGGACCCCCTGTCCCTCCTCTTCGTCCGCACGACCTTCCGCACCCTCCCCACCCGCCCACTCCGTCCCCCGTCGTCTTCCCGAGTTCGACCTCGCCCGACGCACTTCAGCACGACGCGAGCGCGACGAGCAGCCTGCTCCTCGTCGAGGTCCAGCCGCCGCCGCCACTCGAGGTCAACGTCCTCGCGTCGCTCGTGCGACCGGCCCGGGCCCTCGATCGCCTGTCTTCGATGCAGCCCGAGATCCGGCTCGCGTGCGAGAAGTGCGACGAGGCGGACGATGGAGTGCAGGGCTCGAGCGCTGCGACCTTCTCAGGCGTGGGGAGGACGGACGTCGGCGAGCGCGCTCCTGATCCTGGTACGCGCTTCTCCCTGCTCTCCCCTTCACCTCCGAGAACACCGCACTCATGTTGTGCTCTCTCGCAGCTGCAGGCGACTCGCCAGCACACGCCGACACCGTCCCGAGCGCCCCGACCCTCGCGCCTCCTCCTTGTCTTCTCGCCTCGCCCGCGCGCGACCTCGACGCGTCGACACTCTCGCCCGCCGCCGACAACTACCTCGTCAAGCTCGAGACGGACGAGCAGGCGGGCGACAACATGCTCGAGAAGCGCGACGACGAGCTCGAGATCAAGCTCGAGGAGCGCTCGCCGTCACCGGCGCCCTCGCTTTCCGACATGGAGCTCGAGAGCAGCCAGGAGCAGGAGTGCAAGGAGAACACGCCCATCGCCGCGCGTCACGAGGACGAGGACGTCGACATCAAGCCGTTCGTCGGCGTCGAGCGCACGGCCCGCTCGTCGCCCGACCAGTCGCCGTTCCTCGTCAAGGCCGTCTGCGGTCCCGCCTCGCCGTCCGACTCGCCGGCTCAAGTCGGTCTCGGCATCACGGGCGTCGCGCTCGGCCCGTCCACATCGCGCATCCCTCGACTCGCCCTCCCTCCTCCTCCAGCAGCGCCTCGCTCCGCCTCGCCGTCCGACTGTCCTGCGCCTCTCGCCCTCTCGCCCATCCTCCCTCCTGTACGCCCTGCGCCGACTCGACGCAAACAGCTCGGCGCCGGCGCCGGCGTCCCGCCGAACCAGATCCCGCTCGGCCCGCTCGCGCCCAGGAACCTGTACCCGACGCCCGAGTTCTCGCCGCCGCCTCTCGCGCTCCCTCTCGCCGCCACTCCTCGTTCCCCTCCCTCCCGACCACCTGCCGTCGAGTGCGCTCGGCCCGCCTCGCCGCCGCTCGCCGTTGCCGCCGCCGCCGCCGTCGAGCCCAAGCGCGAGCCCGAGCCCGAGTGGGTCAACCCGTTCGCGGGCCCGTTCGGCCACCTGCGGCACGTCGACGACGACCCGCCACGGGCGCACCTCGCGCCAAAGACGGCCGCGTCGCCCGCGCCGCGCTCGTCGCTCAATCGGCGCTCGTCGACCGACGCGGCGAGCGGCGAGGAGGCGGCGGCGGCGTCGGCGAGGGCGCAGGTGAGGCGCCTCGGCGTGCGGTGGGCTGAGCCGGAGATGTGGGTCGTCGGGAGCGGGGCGGGACCGCCGAACTAGGGAGGGAAGAGGAGGACGAGGGCGAGGGGAGGATGAGGGTCGGTGCGGCCGAGGGCGAACGAGAGGGCCGAGCGCTTGAGCAGGGAGGTGGGGGACGTGTCGGGTTCTGCGTGCGATATCAGTACTTTCGTGTCGAGCGTGTGTGCCGAGAGCGAGACGATAAAGAGCCGGACGGGCTCTCGCGAGGAGAAGAGGTACAACACGCCTCGGGCGTCGTCGATGCAGCCCCGCCTCGCCGCATCGAGTACAGCACTCGCCCTCAAGCTCAGTCGTCGTCCTGGATGACGATGCCCGCCTCCTTTGCCGGCCGTGCGCGCTCCTCCTCCTCCTGGAGCCGCCTCAGCTCGTCCGCCTCGTCCGCCCTCGCCTTGTCGCTCCTCGCCGCCGCCGCCGCCGATGCTGCGCCCTCTGCGTCCTCCTCGCCCGACGACGCTCCGCCCTCGTCGTCCTCGCGCTCGCCCGCCGGCCGGAACGTGAACGCGCCCGGGCCGGCCGCCAACTTGCGTCGCTTGCCGCCCTCGTCCGCGGCTCCCGCCGCTGCTGCGCCCGCGCCACCCGCGCCCGCGAGCGCCCTCGCAGCCGCCTCGGGCCCGCTCGTCGCTCCGGCGCCCTCGCCCGCCTTGCCCGCCGCTGCGCCACCGCGCGCGCCCTTCTTGCGCTGGCGCTTGAGGCGGTTCTTGGCCGTCTTGGCCTCGGCTTCTGCCTCGGCGGCTTGCTGGCGTGCGATGGCCTCGGCTTTCGAGCGCTCCTGTGGCCGGTGGGCGAGAGCGGTGTTAGCGAGGGTGGCCCCGAGAGCGGGAGAGGGGAGGTGGGGAGTGGAAAGCGGACGCACAAACTCGTCCTGCTCGTCCATGATCTTGAGGCGTTCGTACTCGCGGCGGCGACTCTGCTTGTACACGTGCTGTAGGCGACGGTGGGTCAGTCGGGCGGCGAGGGAGGCGGGGGAGGGGGGGACGAGGAGGAGGGGGAGGAGACGTACAAACTCGCCGCTGCCGGCGCCTGCACTCGAGCCCTGGACGTTCTTCATCATGTCCCTCGGAGCGCGGAGCGACTTTGTGACGCCCTCCTGAGGTCGTTCTGGGATGCGGACCTCGCGTTCAGGGTGAGCGAGGAGGCGGCTGAGGGCGGCGGCTTGACGCTCTGCCGGGGTCGCTGTGCGCGAGGGTTTGCTGGACGACATGGTCGGGTGTGCTTGAGCAGGTCGAGCAGGGTGGGAGAGGTTGAGGAGGGGAAGAGGAGCGACCGGTGATGAGGTTGGTTCTCGCCTCGACCCTGCTCCACCCACACCACGTCAAGATGAGCATGCGCATGGTGAAACTCACTTTCTCACTCTCACTGTCCATTCCACCCGACTCACGCCGTCCCCCCGCCGCAGCTCGACAAGGACGACTCGTCGGCCGACGCCCAGGTGACCCGCGTCGACCAGGACCGCATCAACGCCTTCTCGAGGCTCAACAGCCGCACAGACGAGATCGTCGACACCCTCGACTCGCTCATCAAGCAGCGCGAGGACCTCGAGGAGGTCGAGACCGAGCTTGAACTCGTCGACGACGACGACCAGGTCATGTTCGTCGCCTCGTCTCGCTCTCGCCCCACCTCGACCGCCTGTTCGAGCACGCGCATCAGTGCGTGTACGGATAGGCTGTGGGAGATGAAGCCGCCAGCGAGCGAAGCGCTGACTCTGTCCTTGCTCCCCTCTCCCTCCTCGTCGACCGGCCCCACCTCTTTCCCCCTCGTCTTTCCTCCTCGTCATCATCCCTCGCCGCTCGACCCAACCCGCAACAGGTACAAGCTCGACACGACTTTCGTCCACCTGCCCGCCTCGGAGGCCCTCGAGCACCTCCAGGCCCAGCTCGACAAGATCCGCAACGAGGTCGACACGCTCGAGGCCGACAAGCAGAGCTGCGCAGACCAGATGGACGCCCTCAAGAAGGACCTGTACGCAAAGTTTGGCAGTGCGTCCTCTATCTCTTCTCTCCCTGGATGGGCGGGCTTGTCGGCGTGAACGTCGGCCGGCTCGTCCTCCTCAGTTGAAGCCGCCGGACTGACAGCTCTCGCCCTCGCTCGCAGCTTCGATCAACCTCGAGCGTGGCGACGACTGAGCAGGTCCCGGTGCGGTCGACGAGGCTGGCATAGGCCGGCAGGATACCCCGTGCGAGTCGAGGTCGAGGAGGAGGACGAGGAGGAGGACAATACCCCCGGAGCGAGCCAGACGCTCGCGCTCGTGCAAAGCAAACTTGTAGCCCTTTTGTGCGTGTTCGAGAGCGTGCATCGAGGAGCTGGACAGGCCGGCAAACCGGCTCGAGGTTGCTTGCGAAGTGTCTTTGTTCGGCGAGTCGACAAGGAGGCGGTGCTCGCCTGCCTCTCGCCTTCTCCACCTCGTCTCGCACAGAGAGCCTCGCCAGAGCAGCACACGACGCTCACTCAGCCCCGCCGCACCTCCAGCAGCGCACGACACGCCCCCACCGCGCCTCCGCCCCGCCCATTGACCTCATCGCCATCCTGGGTTCGCTCTCCTTCAACTCGTCAGCACGCGCTCTGCAGGCCTCAAGGCTGCTCTCGACTGCATCCAGAACGCTCTCTCTACCGCCACACTGCCCCTCGACCCGCACCATGCCGTCCCGCCGTTCTTCGACCGACTCGCTCTCGTCGGAGCTCTCGCGGCGCGACATCCCCTCGTCCCTCCCTCGCGACGTCCTCGCCTTCCTCCTCCACTACCCTCACCTCTCCTCGTCATCGTCGCCGACCAAGGCCAAGGACGCCAACCTGCGCTTCTACCGCAACGAGCAGGCGGCCCGCCCGAGACGCAGCAGGTGCGACGAGCTCCACGACGAGCTCAGGGGCCAGTGGGCGGAGCTCGAGAGCCGCCACGACTTTGTCCAGTGGCTCTTTCCGATCATGTGCGTCGCACGCTTTCACCGAGAGTCTCTGTCGGGCCGGGGCGCTTTCTCAGAGAGCGCGCGGGACTGACCAGTACTCTCGTTCCGCGCGACGCAGGGAGCAAGGCGTCAACTGGGAGGCTGAGCCGCTCGAGTTGCACGAGGTTGAGGCGATCAAGGCCGACCCGACAGCGATGGCGCGCCTCCTCGAGTCGTGCGTCCACGTCTTTCTCCTCCTCCCCCTCCTCATCCCTCTCTCTCTCGCTCGCGCACGCCAACCCCGACTGACTCTCGCTCCTCCCACAGCTACCGCATCATGCTCGCCTTCTACGGCCTGCGCCTCGTCGACCCGGGCACGGGCGAGCTCGCGCTCGCCGACGAGACGCCCGCCCCGCACCCGGCCAGCTTTCTGCAGCGCTTCGCCAACCTCGAGCGCCACGGGCACAACTTTCTGCGCGTCACGAGGATCCTCAAGTGCCTGGGCGAGGTGCGTCACCTTTCTCTGCCTCTCTCGCGTGCCTTCTCGTCGTGCTCGCCGCACTCGAAGATAAGAGGCTCGAGCGCTCACCTTTGCGGCCTTTTCCCGCCCTCTCTCCCTCCCTCGCCCACAGTTCGGCCTCGTGCAACACCCTCCCTCGCTCCTCCTCTTCATCCTCCACCTCCAGTCGCGCTCGTCGGCCGCGCTCGGCGGACCTTTCCTCACCTCGCCGTCGCTCGTGCGCTCGTTCGACGGCTACTGGCGCCACTGCGTGCGCGACGACGCGGACCGCGCGTTTGTCAGGCGCAAGGGCGACGAGGTGCGCGAGGGCGGAGAGTGGACGGGCGAGGAGTACCGCGAGTGGGTGACGAGGAGGGCGGGCGAGCGCGAGAAACCTTAAAAGCTTTAAAAGCCTTATATATTCTTTTTTTTCTTATAAAACTTAAAACCTTAGAGGCTATTTAAGTTGCTGATTTAGAGAGACAGCGATGAAATCTAGGTCTATGACAGCTCTAGCCGACTCTACGCTCGCTCGCCCATCCACCTTAGCGTCCCTCCTCCTCCCTCCTCGTGCCCGACAAACGCGACCCTCTCCCCGCCGCCACCGCTCCCACCTCGTGCCCGGAACGCGTCAAAGTCGAGCACGAACCCTCTGCGGTCCGTCACGCCCCAAAACCGGCTCGCCTCGCCCGCGAGGCCGTACACGGGCGAGCGATCCCGCCCTGGCGCAAACGCGGTCACGCCCCTCGTGCGCTCGCTCGCCGGCTCGTCCTCGGCGGCGGCAGCGGCAGGAGGGAGCGGCTCCGACGCCGAGCGCAGGTCAAACAGGCGCACGGCGGCGTTGCGCGCGCTGCCGACGGCGAGGACGGCGCCCTGTGCGCCGCCGAGCGCGAGCGCATACGCCGCATCGTCGCTCCACGGGTCGCTCAGGCGCACGACCTCGTTCCTCGGCCGCGAGTCGTCGTCGCCTCGGTCCCATGCGGCGCCGCGCGAGGACGAGGGCGGCGGCGCGACGCGCAGGTCGTACATGCGCGCCGTCGAGTCGTAAAAGGCGGCGAGGAGCGTCTCGTCCGGGTTGGCGAACGCGCTCAGGGGCCCGGGGCTCGTCAGGCCGTAGACGCTCGTCGAGCGCGGCGTGCGGGCGAGAGGCGAGGGCGAGTCGGGCGAGAGAGGGGCGCCGGTCGAGTCGAGGGGGAAGAGGGACAGGGGAGCGAGGCCCGTGTGGCCGACGGCGAGGTAGCGCCGAGAGGGCGAGAGGTGCACGGCCCAGGGCTTGGCGGCAAAGGGGAGGACGACGGGCGCCTGCCACGGCGACGAGAGCGAGTGGAGCGTGACGGCGTGGCGCTTTGGCGCCGCGCGAGACGAGAGCGACGACGCGAGCGAGTGGATCGGCGACGCGCCGTACGGCGCCGACGTCGTACTCGCTGCGGCCGAGGCCGAGGGTGGCGGCAAGTGCGTCGTCGACGCCGCCGCGAGGAGCCCTCCCTCCGAGTGCAGCGCTTGCACGGCGGTCACGCCCGGCGCCTTGCCGCCGTTCTCGCCGCCGTTCCTGCTGCCCAGTACCGCGCCCGACACGGCGTACCGCGCCGTCTCCTCAAGGACGAGCGGCCTGCCACGCGCGACGTCGGCGTGGTGCGCGACCCGGAGCCTCTGCACGAGGCCCGAGTGCCGCGCGACGACGATCTCGCCCGCCCGGGTCCCGCTCGCGAGCGATGTCACGTCGTCAAGCGCACCGCGTGCTGCTGCTGCTGCGCCCTTGCCGCTGCTCGCCGGGAGCGGGACGACGACGGGCACGACCTGGACGGACCCGTCCCCCCTCGTCGCCCACAGCTCGAGCTCGCGGCCCTTGCCGACGAGCACCGTGCCGACCCCTCGATCCACCTCCCACAACTTGAGCACGGGCAAGGTCTTGCCGCCCCACTGGCTCACGACCGCGCCACGGCCGTCCCACTCGTTCCACCTCTCGGCGGTCCGCTCGGCCCACAGGGCGCGCTGCGCCCACGGCGCACGGCGGTGGAAGCCGAGGTGCTGCAGCGAGAAGGCTGTGCGCGCACCCAGGCCGCGCGCGGTGTAGTGGGCGAGGTGCGCTCGGGCGATGAAATCATGCAGGCGGTGCGAGGTCGACGAGAGGGCGAGGAGCGACGCGAGGGGCAGGAAGGCGACGAGGTGCGACAGGAGCTCGGGCGGGAGCTGCTCGAGGCGCGACAGGTGCATCGGGCGGGGCGAGCGAGTCGGCGGTAGTCGAGCAAGAGAGTCTCGGAGGTGGCAGCGACGACGACGACAAAGACGGCTTGCCCGCTCCTGCTTTCGCTCTCCTGGCTCGTTGGAAACACTCTGCTGCTCGGACAGCTGCTCTTCGAGACGAGCCGGCTCTCGGGGTGGTCGGCCGCTTCGACCCTCTTGTTCTGCAAGACCGCTCTCGGGACGACAGCGCGATGGCCATGGATGCGTGCGTGCAGTGATACATTCGAGAACATTCAGGTGCTCTACTGGAAGGCCTGCGGGCGCGAGAGAGCCGAGGGGAGCGACGTGTGAGCGAGAGGAACAGGGAAAAGGTGCGGCGACGAGAGGAAGGGAGCGCGCGGACGCACCTGGACGCCCGTGATCGCCTTGCCGAGGATGAGGCCGTGGATGTCGTAGGTGCCTGCAAGTGGTTTGGGTGCGAGAGTCAGTGTGCGTCCTAGAGCGTGGCCCTGATCACGCCGCCGAGGAGTGACGAGCTCGTCTACTTCGACGACGTCGGGAGAGATCAGGACGCACCCTCGTAGGTCGAAACAACGCTGCGATTTGGTGAACAAGGACGACGAGAGGGGCGAGGAAGGATAGACGAGGGGAGAGAGACGAAGGAAGAGGAGGAAGAAGGGGGAGGTGGAGCACGTCAGTGACGGCTTCCCTGCTGGGTCTCTCGACGGGCGAGATAGGCAGAAGGTGGGACGCACTGCGCGTTGGCAGCGATGCGCGCGATTGGGTACTCGTCGCTCGCCGCGTTGCCGCCAAAGACCTCCATGAGGATGCGCGAGTGGTACAGGGCCTTCTGGCAGTTGTTGCGCTTGAGGATCGACACCATCTCGGCTGCAGGTCGTTCGAGGGTCAGTGACGACGCTCGAGGCGAGAGAGGGGCGAGGGGCGAGGGGAGAGAGAGGCCCGAGAGCGGCGACGCACGCGACCAGTTCTTGCTGTCCTTCAAGCGACCGAGCTGGACGCACGAGACGAGGCCGACTGCGAACGAGAGTCGCCTATGTCAGGGCGACGTTCTCGTCCAGGTGCCGGCGAACGGGAAAGAGGAAGAGGGACGCACTCGCAGACTCCTGAGCGGCGTCGGCGAGCTTCTTCTGCACGAGCTGGAAACCGGCCAGCGGCTTACCGAACTGCTTGCTGCGAGTCGGGTCCGAGAGAGAGCGTCAGTGCGCCGCTCGAGAGAGAAGTGTGTCGACGAAGAAAGGGAAGAGGGACGCACCGCTCGAGCGAGTACTCCCGGGTCACCTTGATCGCCTCCTCGAGGGCGCCGAGGATGCCGAAACTGATGCCGAACCGGGCGTTGCTGCGAGAGAGAGGCGCTTGTCAGTGCTTGTCAGGCAAAGGGAGAGGCTCGAGCGACGCACTTGAGGCACGAGAACGGTCCCTTGAGGCCCTCGACGTTCAGCATGTTGCTCTTGGGCACCTCGACGTCATCCATGAAGATCGAGCCGGCTGCGCGGGCACCGAGATCGTGTCAGTCGAGCGTCCTGTATTGAGATCTGAGAGGGTAGAGGAGAGAAGGAGCCGGGACGCACTGATCGAGGCCCGAAGCGCCGTCTTGTTCTTGATGGGCGGCGCCGTCAAGCCCTTCTGGCCCTGTGCGGTGCGGACGAGCGCATCAGTGTACCGTACTCGAGACGCTCGACGTCGAGAAAGAGCGCGGGCGCACCTTGTCCATGACGAAGCCGCGGATCTTGCCGTCCCACTTGCACTTTGCCCACACGACGAACACGTCGGCGATGGGCGAGTTCGAGATCCACGTCTTGGCGCCCGACACGAGGTAGCCGCCGCCAGGTGCCTCGCGCGCCTCGGTCGCCATGCCCGCCGGGTCTGCACGAGAGAGCTCGCCGTCAGTCCTCGCTCGAGGGAGGGGCAGAACGAGAGGAAGAGAGAAGGGGACGCACCAGAGCCGAAATCGGGCTCGGTGAGGCCAAAGCAGCCGACGAGCTCGCCCTTTGCGAGGCGCGGCAGGTACTTCTCCTTGAGCTCCTCGGAGCCGAACGCGTCTGCGAGGATCGAGGTCAGGTCGTCCGCTCCGACGAGAGGGCAGAAAGAGAGGCCGACGACGCACTGATCGGGTGCATGACGAGCGAACTCTGGACCGACATGGCCGAGCGGTAGCCCGAGTCGACCCTCTCGACCTCGCGAGCGACGAGGCCGTACGCGACGCTCGACACGCCCGCGCAGCCGTAGCCGTCGATGGTCGGGCCGAGGAGACCGAGCTCGCCCATCTCGGACAGGATCTCACGGTCAAAGTCTGCAGAGGAGGAGAGGGGGAGGTCAGCTGGTCTGCTCGAGCCGGGCAGAGAGAGTGGGGAGAGGAGGGGAAGGTGGCACGCACTCTCGTTGCGGTACGCCTCGTTGACGCGAGGTGCGAGGCGCTCCTGGCAGTAGTTGCGGGCCATCTCACTGCGTCGGGCATGGCGCGCTGTCAGTGAGGGCTGCGCCGGGTCGACGATCGAAGAGGTGGAGGGAGGGGGGGGGGGGGGCCACGCACAGGATCGACTGCTCCTCCTCGCTGAGCATGGTCGTCTCGACCTTGAACGGGTCCTCCCAGTTGTACGGCGCAAACTGCGAGGTCTCTGCAGGCGGCAAGAGCGGTCAGTGAGGGTCGACGAGGGGGAGGTGTGGGCGGGGCGGAGGACGCACTGGCGAGCTGCGGGGGCGCGACGGCCTCGGACGACATGGCGCGAGCCGCAGGACGGGCGATGGTCCTGCGAGCAAGCTGCTGAAGAGGAAGGCGGAGCGACATGGTGGTGTGCGAGCAGGTGGTGGTGGAGGAGAGAGGAGGGGGGAGAGAGGGAGGGCGAGAACCGGTCGACGCGAGGCGGGGTGCCGGGTCGACTTCCCGCGGGACGCAAAATGCTCGACACGACGGCTTTTACGCTCGCAAATCTCCTCGGCGTTCGTTCGCGGCCGTGTCGACGACCAGTGAGCTGCGCCTGGGTTGGGCGGACGAGCTCTCGAGCGTCGAAACAGGAGCTGCTCGTCGACCTCCTGCAGCTGGCTTTAGCGCGAGCGCGGCCGCACAAGGTCGAGCAGCGTACACCTTACCGAGCTCTCGCAGTCGAGTCCTTTCGCCGCCGCGAGTAGCACGGTCGAACAGCGAGAAGAGCGAGCGGCAACGACGAGAGAACTCAACTTGAGAAGGTCAAAGCGGCGAACGGCCGCAGCGTCGCGACCGCGCTTTCCGCTGCTCTCTCGCCGACCGACAGAGTAAAGTGACAGGTACTGATCATTGTGTGCGAGAGAGAGAGAAAGGAAGGAGTGCTGTACACCCACAAGGCCCTCGGCGCTCGCTCGACCCTCGCGCTCGTCCTCACGCCTCGCCGCGCACCTCCTTGCCCCAGCGCGCCTCGGCGACCTGGAAGTACGGCGACGCGAGGAAGTAGGCGGCGCCCTCGCCGTTGGTGCCCGCCGTAAAGCGCGCCTCCTCGTCGCCGACCTTGATGACCTTCTGGCCGAGGCCGGCGGCGGCCGCGTTGGCGAGCAGCTGCACCTGGCACTGCTGGTCGGCGAGGAGGAACCACGCGACGGCTGCGTCGATCGAGGTGCCGACCGTGCTGCACAGGGCGCGAGAGAGTTAGGGCCGTCCGTGTGCGAGAAAGTCGGGCCGGACGAGGAGAGGAAGGCGGGACGCACAGAAGACCGTGGTTGGTGAGGATGATGAGCTTGCCGTCGCCGAGCGTCTCGGCGATTCGAGCACCCTCGCTCTTCGACAGGACGACGCCGCCAAAGTCGGTCAGGACGGCCTGGCCGCCGAAGAACGAGCACGAGTCCTGCGTCGTGTACTGGAGCGGCAGGCCGAGGGTCGACCAGGCCTTGCCGTACGGCGAGTGCGAGTGGCAAATGGCCTGCACGTCGGGACGAGCTGTAGGCGGAGAAGAGAGTCAGACCGTGGCGGGAAATGGACGGGCCCTCGTCCTCCACACGTCGTCGACCTCGCCCGACAGCCTCGAATGGAGCAGGGACGGACCGTGGTGGATGCTCGAGTGGATGAGGAAGCCCGCCTTGTTGACGACGCGACGTCCAGGCTTGCCGCCGCCGATGACCTCGCCCTCGTGCGAGACCGTGATGATGTCCTCGGCCGTCATGAGCGCAAAGGCGAGGCCGAATGGGTTGACGTAGAACGACGTCTCGTCGCCAGGGACGCGGACCGTGAGGTGGCCGGCGCTGCGAGCGAGAGGGGACGGAAAAGGGTGTCAGTGTGGCGGCTCGTCGACGAGGGGGAGAACCTGCGCTCCGACGAGGGCCCGCGCCGCTCCTTGTCCGGCAAGTCTCCTCCCAGACTCGACAGCTCCCTCTGGCCCGCAGCAGAGGACCGCTCGTGGCGACACACGCTCGTGCCGAGGATGCCGAAGAGTCGAAGGGGTCGAGGGTGGGGAGGGGCGACGAGAGGACGAGGAGGACGCACACGTGGTGGTCGAGGTTGTACTGGGCAAAGATGCGGCACGCCAGGGCGAGGCGGTGCTTGAGGTACTTCCTCTCGGCGTCGACGTTGTCGAACTTGGGCGGCACGACGAGGGCGGCGAGATCTCCCTTGCCAAAGCCAAAGTCCTCGGCATCGTTGTCTTGCCGCGTACCAGTGGGCTGGTGCGTCTGCGGGTCGGACAGGGCGGCAGCGTCAGGAGCCATGGCGAGAAGAGGTGAGGAGGAGAAGGGAGAGCGGAGTGCGGGGGAGCCGGCTCTCTCCCTGCCTCTCGCCCGACCGCCGGCTCGGCTCCTTCGGCTTGCTCTCCTGCACGGACAAAGCGCACGCTCGCTCCCCGTCCACTCGCCGAAGCCCCTCTCCTCGCGTCGCCACCAACCTCCGGTTGTGCCGGTTCCCCGCTTCATCTCCTCGGGCTCGTTGCGCAACGTACACGTTCTCGCGGCGCGTGGGCGTACGCGCACCGCTGCCACCAGTCTTGCAGCTACGTGCCTCGAGCTCGGCGCGGCCGCCAGAGGACGCTCTGTCCTGCCGCTCTTCGTGGCGGCTCGCGCCTTGCTGAAATCGACTCGGGCCGCTCGTGCTCGACCTGCCTCTGCTTCTCTGACCTGACACGCTTTGTTTTGGCGACGCCGGAACGAGCGAACGAGGCGCTCGACGCACCGTCGGGCACGAGCGACCCTCTCGTCGACCTTCTCAAACAGCCTCTCGTCCTCTCCTCAGCCTCCTCGCGTCTCGCCGCGTCCGAGCTGGCATTCGCGCGACTCTGCAGTCAGGACCGAGTCCGGCGGCGAGTCGACTCGCAAAGGCAACGGCACCGCCGCTGTCGACCAGCTACTGCTCTTCTCCCTGTCGCCTGAGGGCGGCGAGAGGCGCCAGATCGCCCGCCTCGGCTCGAGAAGCAGCTGAGCCGGACCCATAGCTGCGCTGGAGAAGCTGGGAGTGGACTGCAGTACCGCGATGTGCGAGTTCGCGCTCGAGAGCGTTTGAGAAGGTCGAGGTCGAGAGGAGCGCACGGACCTTTACCGACTCTCCTCTGCTCCCTGTCGGCTCGCGTTCACCAGAGGCTGCTCTGTGATATGGTGTGAGGCGCCAGAGAAGCTCGAAGCTCGGAAGCACGGCCAAGCTTTCCCTCGACGTGCCTCTCTCCGTCTCTCGCCGACCCTGAGCGCAAGAGCTGCTGGTGCACAAGAGGAGAGTACAATTACGGCTGCAAGGGGTGGCAAGGAGGTCTATGACAAGGTGGAGAGGGAGTGAGGGAGCCGCTAGAGAGACGGCGAGGGAGGAAGAAAGGAAGAAAGAGGGATGAGGGTGGGGGTATCGTACAGTGCGCGCCGCTCCCTCCTTCCCCACCTCAGCCGACGCTCGGCAGCTCGACCGAGAAGCTGCCGCCGTCCACGCTCACGCCCGCCACAACCAGCTCGACCTCGAGCGGCTCCTCGTCCTGCGGCTCGCCCTCGTCGACGCGCGCTTAGATCTGCGAGTCGGTCTGCAGGCGGGCGAAAGGAGGGGTCAGTCGGGTTCACAGAGTGCGAGAGTGGCACCAAGAGGCGCAGGAAAGGAGGAGGAGGAGAGAGAGAGAGGGCGACGCACGAAGAAGTACTTGCCCGCCGACTTCTGCTCCGTGTCGAGGATCGAGCCGGCCTTGTTGATGCGAGGGCTGTGCGACAAGGGCGCGGTCATCATCAGTGCGACGCTCGACAGGGTGCCGAGAGGCGCAGAGAGACAGGGCGAAACGGCGGCGACGCACCGGAAGTTGGTCGGGTCGCGGCGGAACGTGATCTCGAGGCTCTTGAGGAACTTGTTCATGCCGGTCAGGAGGCTCTCGGGTCTGTGTCGAGGAGGTGGGCGAGGTCAGCTTGGGGCTGCGAGGAGAGGGGAGGGAGAAAGAGGGGAGGGAGAGGGAGGGGACGCACGCGGTCGCGAACGACTCGACCGAGGGCGTGCCCGAGTAGACGACGACGCGGTCGGCGAGGTAGGTCGCCATGACGATGTCGTGCTCGACGACGAACGCCGTCTTCTTCGAGTGAAGGATGTAGCTAGAGGGGCAAGCGGATCAGTGAGGGCTCTCGAGGCGAGGCGAGGGAGGGCGAGAGAGACAGGGGACGCACCGCTTGATGACGCGGGCGGCGATGATACGCTGCTCCGAGTCGAGGTACGCCGACGGCTCGTCGATGAGGTAGATGTCGGCGGGCTTGCCGAGGGCGAGGACGATGGCGACGCGCTGCAGCTCACCGCCGGACAGGGTCGTCACGTACTGGTCGATGATGTTCTCGAGGTTCATGGGCTTGATGACGTCCGTGTTGAACTGCGGGTGCATGAAGGCGGCGCGGATCTGCTTGAGGAGGAGCTCGCGCACGGTGCCGGGGAACTTGGGCGCGATCGTCTGGGGCTTGAGCGACACGGTAAAGTGGAGCGCGTCCTCCTTGTTGTCGGGCAGGTCCTTGCCGGCGAGGAGCTTGACAAACGTCGTCTTGCCCGTGCCGTTCTCGCCGAGGAGGACAATGATCTCCGAGTCGGTGAACGAGCCCGCGTCGAGGTTGAGCTTGAAGTTGCCCTGGGTCTTGGTCATGGCCGGGTAGTTGTACCGGCGCGTCTTCTCGGCGAGGACGTCGTCGGTCGCCTCGGCAATCTTGAACGTGAGCGACTCCTCGCGGAAGCGCAGGTTCTCGGTCGGGACCTTGCCGTCGAGGAAGATGTTGATGCCTTCCCGCACCGAGAAGGGCATCGTGACGACGCCGTACATGGACGGCATGCCGTACAGGCAGCAGATAAAGTCGGACAGGTAGTCGGCCACCGACAGGTCGTGCTCGACGGCGATGACATAGTTGGTCGGGCGCAAGAGCGACCGGATGATGCGCGCCGCGTTGAGGCGCTGCTTGACGTCGAGGTACGACGACGGCTCGTCGAACATGTAGCTGCGCGAGGGAGAGAGAGGGTGAGCGGCTGACCTCGAGAGAGGGAGGAAGACGGAGAGGAGACGCACATGTCGGCGTTCTGGATGCACGACATGCCGATCGCGAAGCGCTGCAGCTCTCCTCCCGAGAGCTGCGAGATGTCGCGCTCCATGACGACGTCGAGGTCGAGGGCGTCGATGACCTCGTCGTAGTTGTCGAGCTCCTTCTTGGTGTCGAGCATCTGGCGGACCGTCTGCTTGCCCTTGATGGCGCGCGGGATGTGGTCGACGTACTGGGGCTTGATGAGCGGCTTGAGGTTGTCCTCGAGGACCTTGGTAAAGTAGTTCTGGAGCTCGGAGCCGCGGAAGTGGCGCAGGATCTCCTGCCAGTCGGGCGGCGCGTCAAACTTGCCGAGGTTGGGCTTCATCTTGCCCGCGAGGATCTTGAGCGCCGTCGACTTGCCGATACCGTTGGTGCCGACGAGGCCGAGGACCTGGCCCGGGCGCGGGGTCGGGAGCCGATGCAGCTTGAACGAGTTGGCCGAGTAGCGGTGCGTCACCTGCGACTCGAGGTTGGTCGGCAAGTTGATGATATTGATGGCCTCGAACGGGCACCTGGGGGAGAGGGGGGCGAGGGTCAGCGCGTCGTTCGTCCACAGCTCGGCGAGGAGGGAGGCTGGGACGCACTTCTTGGGGCAGATGCCGCAACCGATGCAGAGCTCCTCCGAGATGAACGCAATCTTGCTCGCCGACGTGACCTCGATACACAGCTTGCCTGGAGGGTGGGACGGTGCAGGTGAGCGAGTGCACACCGGGAGGAAGGGAGAGAGGGAGGAGGGACGGACCCATGCGGACGACCGGGCACGACTTCTTGCACTCCTGGCGGCACTTTTTGGGCTTGCACCGGTCGGGGTTGACGAGCGCGATACGGGTCAACTTGTCGCTCATGGTCGGCGGGCGAGGTCGGGAGAGGAGGGAAGGAGGAGGGAGGGGGACCGGGGTCGAGCTGTTGGCGGGTCGGTCAAGAGCGAGTCAGTGCGGGTTTTGGGTGGCGGGGCGGGCGCACGTGTTGGGTGCGAGCTGCTAGACACTCGCAGCTGGCGTCCTCGAGGCGAGGCGAGCCGCAGGACGGACGACCAAGGCTCATCTCTTTCGAGAGCCGGGGTGCGCTTGGTGTGGGCCGAGGCGACCTCGACAGGGCGCGCTCGGCTGTGGAAAGTCGCTCGAGCGGCGCAGTGACGGCGGTGTGGCTGATCCTGTGCTCGTCGAGGAGCGCAGTGCGGGCGTGCGGGCTGGAGCCACTTTTGAGCGCGGTCGAGGCGACGAGGTGGTCGGAGTGCCGGGACGGTGCGAGGGCTTGGGACAGGGGTGGGCTGGGTAGAGAGGGAAGGTGCTCACAGGATGGGCCGGGCTGAGCAACGGGCTGAGCTGGTCGAGGCGAGCGAGCGAGAGATGAGGCCGCTCTCTCCGCGGCCAAGTCGACGACGGCCAATCGCAACACCTCGCTTGCTCGACTCTCACCAGCGCCTCCTTCTTGGTGCCAGCTTCGGCCACGCGACCACGCACACCCTCGCTGTCCATCTCGCAACTCGCCTCGGGCCGTCGCCGTGCGCTGCCACCACCTTCGCCTCGCGTCGCTCCTCGTCCCCGCGCCTCTCCACAGCCGTCGCCCTCTCGACCAACGAGCGCAGCCATGCTCGCGTCCCTCGCTGCACGCGCCTACACCACCGTCACTTCGCCCTTCAAGCCCTCGCCCTCGCCCGCTCCTCCCCCTCCTCCTCTCGCCGACCCCGCGTCTCCGTCCCCCTCGACTCGCTCCCCTCCCAGCGGCACCCATTCCGCCCACAGCCTCGACTCGCCCACGACCGACAAGATCGCGCAAGACGCGTCCGACCTCACCGCCGCCGTCGACAGCCGCCCCGTGTCGCCCTCCCCGGCCGCCGCGAGTGCACCTGCCCCCGACGCCATGGACCTCGAAGACGACGACGACGAGCCGTCGACCTTTGCCGCCGAGCGCACGCGCACCACCCGCGCAGGCCGCGCCGACGCCGACGCGCCCGACACGGATGACCCGGCCCTCGGGCCCGACGGCAAGCCCTACCTCGTCGCCGGCCTGTACTGGTCCTCGGCGCTCCCGCCGCGCACTCGCGACACGCCCTCGTCGTCGTCGTCATCGTCGGCCCCGACCGACTGGCGCAAGGTGACGCCGACGAGGGGCACGGCGCTCCCGCCGCCCGTCTACCACGGCGAGACGCTCGTCGACGACGAGCGCGCGTTCCGCCTCCCGTTCGACATCCTCCGCGACTGTTACTATGCGCCCGAGGCCGCGAGCCGAGCCGGCAAGGGCAAAGGGCGCAAGGGCAGAGGGCGCGGCGGCGCAGACGAGGCCGACGCGGCGACGACCAAGCGCGAGGGCAAGGGCGGCGACAAGACGACGGCGGCCGACATCGCCAAGCGCGAGATGAGCAAGAAGCCCGAGCCGTACCGCCACATCGGCAAGAGTGCGTCCCCCTCCACCTCTCTCTGTCCCTTGCCTTTGAGCGGCGCACTGACTCTGCCACGCGCGCGTCTGCAGACGTCTACGTCGACCGCAAGCCCGACAAGGCCGAGCTGCCCGCCATCTGCATGTGCACGCTCCCTGCACGGTCGACCGACATGGGCTGCGGCCAAGGCTGCATCAACCGGTGCGTCGGCGTTGTCCTCCTCTCGAGCGGGCGGACCTTCTCAAGTCGCCAGAGAAGGCGCCGGCCCGCTGGTACAGGACCGCCAGCCACTGAAGCTCGTCCTCGCCCTGCCCACAGCCTCATGCAGTACTGCTGCGACCCGAAGAAGTGCCCGTGCGGCCCGGACCGGTGCGCCAACGTGCCGCTCAACAAGCGCGAGGGCGTCCCCGAGGGCAAGGACGGCTTGAGGGTCATCTGGGTGCGTCCGCCTCTCTCTCCCCTGTCCTCTTCTCGCTCGTCTGAGCGCACGAGGCACGTGTACTGAGCTGGGGAGGTGCGCGCAGACGGGCAACCGCGGGTTCGGGCTCAAGACGATGGTCGACATCAAGGAGGGCGACTTTGTCATCGAGTACCGGGGCGAGGTGCGTCACACTTCCCCTCGCCTCTTCCGCACGTGCTCTCGCGACAGCGAGAGTGAGTACTGATGGTGCGCGACGCATGGACACGCAGGTCATCTCGCGCGACGAGAGCTACCGCCGAGTTTTGACGACCTACAAGGACCAGGGCAGCTAGTGCGTGCCCTCTCTCTCTCTCTCTTCTCGTGATCTCGATCGATGCGCACGACGACTAACGTTGACCCGCGTCCCCGACCGCCCTCGCCTTCGCCCATCCACCCCTTCTTCGACCCGTGTTCTCCTCCTCTTCCTCCTACCCACCTCCTTCGTCCTCGCGCACAGCTACTTCATGGACTACGACGGCTTCGAGGTCATCGACGCCGGCCAACGCGGCAACTCGGCGCGCTTCATCAACCACTCGTGCGGGCCCAACCTCCAGGTCGTCCGATGGCGCCTCGCGACCGTCGAGGAGTACCAGGTGCGTCTCTCTTTCGCTCCTCGACCTCCCCTGCTCGACTACGAGGACGAGACTGACTCGGTTTGCGTGCGCAGATGGGCCTCTTTGCGCTGCACGACATCCCTGCCGGCACCGAGTTGACCTGTACGTCCTCTCCCTCTCGCTCTCCCCTCTCGCTCGCCCGTACTGAGACCTGGACCCTCGTTACAGACGACTACGGCTGGCAAGACTTCTCAACCCTCGCCGCGCCGACGTTCGCCGCCGCACCCGCCGCCGCCGCCGACGGCACCGAGGGCGGCGGCACGATCGCCCTCTCGACCTCGACCGCGATCGACCCGGCGCGTCAGAGGTGCTACTGCGGCGCGTCGGCGTGCAGCGGGTTCCTCGGCGGGCGCAAGCGCGCCGACGCCAAGGCCAAAAAGGCGGCGGCGGCGGCGGCGGCGACGACGACGAGCCGAGGCGCAGCAAAAGGCCGAGCGTCGGCCGCCAACAAGCGCAAGCGCGACGACGATGACGACGACGACGATGAGGGGGAGGGGGACGACGTCGACGAGCGCCCGAGCAAGCGGCCCGTGTTCGCCCAGGCGCGTGTCGTCCTCCCGACCTCGACCGTCCTCGCGCGCGTGCAGGCCGACGCCGCGCCCGGCGCAGGAGCGGGAGCGGGAGGGCTCAAGCGCAGCGGGAGCGGGAGGAAGGCGGCGAGGGAGGCGCTCGGCAAGCTGCTGCGGTAGAGGAGCGGCGACGAGGGTGGGGCCTGAGCGCGAGCCGGCGAGGGCAGCGAGCGTGGAGCGAGGGTTTGCGAGGGGTGCATTGGGCATGGCGTTGTTGTTGCGACCTTTCTTTGAGCTCGACGAGCGCACCGAGCGAGAGCAAGAGCGAGAGAGAAGTTGCTTCTCGACGTCTCGACGACGGCCGGCTCGCTCCGGCCCCTCTCGTTCTCCTCGACTCGCTCGCACTCGAAGCTCTCGCTCTCGCGCCGTTCGCGAACGTCGATGTGAGCCGGCGTTGCACCTGCTCCTCTGCCGCCCTCGCCGCTCGAGCGCGCTCGAGCCTCCTCGCCCTCGGACGTCGTCCTGCCGGCTCGCCCCTCGCTCCTCGCTCCTCGCTCCTCGCCCTGCTCACGAGCGCTCGATCGCTCGCCGATCCCGAAGCCCATGCGTCGAGGCGACCATCTCGTCGAGTCCCTGCGCGTCGACCGTGTCGACGAGCCACTGCATGCGGGCCGTCGCCCACGCGAGCGTGTCCCTGGTCTCGCGGACCCGAGCCGGCGCGGGTCGTCGAGCGGGACCGGGTTGGCGGAGCAACGGCCAACGCGCTGCGTATCGGGTGTGCGCGCGGTAGGCGATGCCGAGTCGGTCGCACAGCGCCTCGAGACGGCGCAGCTCGGCTCGCGTGACGAGGGCCGAGAGCGGGATGTCGAGGACAAGCTCGCGCAGGCTGGTGGGTGGTCTGGTCGGCTCTAGGAACGTGACGCTGACGCGTGCGGCGGCGTCAGGGACGAGCTTGACGTGAAGCTGCTCGACGTGGGGAGGGACCAGGGAGAGGCTGCCCGTGTCGATAGAGGAATCGCCGGCGATGACGAGGCGACGCAGTTGGGGTAAGGTGGTCGGGGTCGGGCTGAAGCGCGGACCTCTGGATCGCGAAAGAGGTACTGGTCTAAGAAGGTGACCGTCAAGGCCGTGATGTTGGGCGTGAAGGCGGCGGCGAATCGCAAGCTGTCCTCGACCGCGACGTCGTGTAACTCGAGCGTCTTGATCGACGGGAGCAACGCTCGGGCCGGGTCGTCCTCGAGCTCGTAGTCGTTGTCGTCGACGTTGACAAAGTCGAGCTCGAGCTCGCGCAGCGCGACAAGGTGCCGCAGGAGGGCGGGCATGTCGTACAGGCGAACCGTGTCCTGGAACCAGATGTTGAGGGTGCGCAGGCGCCGTGGGTCGACGTGCTCGAGGCTCGACAGGACTTAGAGGCTATTTAAGTTGCTGATTTATATTAATTTTATTGTTCAAACATGAGAGCTTAGTACGTGAAACATGAGAGCTTAGTCCGGCGAGTCGACGTCGAGGTAGACGTCATGAGCGTCGTGGTTGATCGAGATGGCGGCGAGCTCGGGGAGCTTCTGCAGAGCGCACGCCCACGCGACGCCCGGTGGGAGGGCGCCGCCTTCGTAGCACAGGTCGAGCTCCTTGACGTAGCGGCCCAAGGGCTCGCCGAGGATGTAGAGCTGGAAGAACGACGAGGCGAAGGCGGACCATCGAATGCGCTGTTGGGCCAAAGCCGGTCAGTCTCGGCGCTGGCCACGAGTCTCGAGAGGAGGGACGAGGAGGCCGAGCGCACCTTGAACAGGATCGAGCGAGCGAGCGCATTCCACCGCTTGTCGACGTGCGCGAGCGAGAACACGCCTTGGCCGTACCATGTTGACCATCGAGCCTTGACGCTGGTCGTGTCGGGGTCGGCGCCGTCGTCGTCTGGCTCAGGTCCACGCTCGCGCCAGCTCTTGTCGGCGTCCTCGACGTGGTCGAGGATGAGTTTGTAGAGCTCTTCGGGGAGCTTGTCGAGCGAGGCGGGCATGTTGAGGACGGCGAGGTCGGCGGTGTCGAGGGTGGGGAGGTGGGAGAGGGAGCGAGGCGAGTCGCCGTCGAGCGGTTGTGCGAGTCGGCGTGGGCGACGACGAGAGCTCTTAGGGCAGATTGAGCGGAGCAGAACTGCTCTAGGCGAGGATGCGGCGACGCTGGGGATGGTGGTCACCTCCAAAGAGATGAGCTCGCCTCTGCTCTCGACAACCGACCCACCCGCTCGCGAGATGCAGGCACAAGACCGCCGCCGCTTCACCGCACCAGAAGGCGCATCGCCCCTGCGCTTCAACGACGCGCCCGCCACCCGTGCCGCCTCGACCTCGTCCTCGTCCTCGCCGCGAGCTGATGGCAGGCAACCGGGCCAGGTCCGCCCCGTCTGTGCGTCCCGAGCCCTCCGTTCCATCCCTACTCACCGAACTGACCGTCCTGCGCCCCCACTCGCAGTCCTCCAGCCGGGCCTCGTCACCGAGGCTGCTGGCTCCGCCTACATCGAGGCCGGCCGCACCAAGGTCCTCTGCGCAGTGTGCGTCCCCCCCTCTCCTGCCCTGATCAGCCCTCGGACACCGTGCTAACCCGTGTGTGCGCCGCAGGTACGGCCCGAAACCGACGCCGCCGAGCGCGCCCTTCAACGCCAAGGCGCGCCTCAACGTCGAGGTCAAGTTCGCGCCCTTTGCGAGCGGCGTCAGGCGCTTCGTGCCCGGCAAGGTGCGCCCTGACTCTCTCTCTCCTGGGACCTGTGCGAGACGAGCGCGCCGAGCTGACCGCCGCTCGAGTACCGGCAGGACACCGAGGCCACCGCGCTCGCGTCAACGCTTCAGCAGGCGCTCGTGCCCGCCATCCTCCTCGAGCACATGCCCAAATCCCAGATCGACCTCTTTGTCACGGTCCTCGAGTCGGACGGGTGGGACGGCGACTTGTCCATGTGCGTCCCGACTGTTTCGCCTCGCTCTCCCTTCTTGTCAGCCGCGGACTGACCGAGGCCGAGCGTCTTGCGCTTCTTCCTCCGGCACAGAGGCGTTACGGCGGCAAGTACGGCGCTCGCCGAGGCGGGCATCCCGATGCGAGGGCTCGTGACGGGCTGCTCGGCCGTGCGTCCCCTCCTCCCTCGCCTCGAACCTGCCAGTACCCCGCTCACTCCTCCCCTCCTCCACAGGCTCTCCTCCCTTCCTCTCCCTCCTCCTCTTCCACTCCCACCTCCACCGCCCTCCTCGACCCAACCCGCTTCGAAGCCCGCGCCGCCCAGTCGTTCCTCACCCTGTCGTGCCTCCCCGCGCTCGGCACGTCGACGAGCGTGCGCGTCAACGGCGTCGTCGACCCCTCGAGCCTCGCAGAGGTGCGTCCCCCTCTGTCCTCTCGCCTCTCTTAGAGGTCGTCTTGCACGAGGCGGGCTCACCGACTGACGAGAATTTGCCCGCCCGTCCGCCCTGCAGACGCTCACGAAGATGTACGACGTGTGCGGCCTGCTGCACGGTGTCGCCAAGGAGGCGCTCCTCACCTCGGCAGCGGCGGCAGCAGCAGCAGCAGCAGAGACGACGGGTACAGCAGCAGCATGAGCCTCTCGCAATGCAAGGCTCGCTTTCCTTGCGCGCGCACGGCCCTCTCGTCGAGAGCGAGAGCGAGAGCGAGAGGGGAGGAACGAAAGCGGGCGGGTTTGCTTTTCACGTCATGCGGTATGCGGCGGGGGGGGCTACTGAGGGGGACAGGGAGGAGGGGCGAGGAGGAGAGGAATAGACACGGCGAGGGACGAGAGAGAAAGAGGGAAGGGGGTCTCCTGCACGCCGCGCTCGGGAGCGTTCTCCTCAGCCAGCTAAAACCTCGAGTCGTTCTTCGTCACGCCTCGTGCCGCCCGTCTCGCCGACCCTCGAGCGCCCGCCGCGGTCCTCGGGCGGCTCCCTCTTCTCGACGAGTCGAGGGTGCCCGAGCGAGGACGCGGCGAGAGAGAGAGAGAGAGGACGATGGGGGACGACGCGAGGTCGGAAGTATCTGATCGAGTGGGGTCATCATCGGAGGAGCGCGTGCGGCGGGGCCGGGAGGGGAAGAGGGGTGGATCGGCGGGAGGGAGGGGAGGGGGAGGGAGGGAGGGCGCGTAGGTGGCGAGGCTGATGCGGCGAGGGATAGGGGTACGGCGACGAGGTGGACGAGAGGTCTAGTTGCCGAGACTGAGAAGCAGGAGGCAAGGAGAGGGGTCAGCAGGTGAGCGCCTTCATCGAGCCGGGGAAGAGGAGAAAGAGGGGACGCACCGGCGCGCGATCTCGGCCTTCTGGCTCTGCAGGGCCTCGACCTTGTCCTCCTTGGTCGCGTTGTCTGAGCGAGGCGAGGTTCGTCAGGTCGCTGAGCTTGAGAACGGAGAGGGAGGGGCGAGAGGCGACGCACGAGCCATGTGCGCCTGGTTGAACGGGTTCTGCGGCGACTTCTTAAACGCCTCGTACATCTTGTCCTCTAGAGGGTGTGTCGAGACGAGTCAGTGGAGGGAGAGGGGGAGGGACGAAAGCGAGAGAGGACACACGGTACTGGTTGAGGCGCAGGCCCGGGTGCTCCTTCTTCAGGATCGGAAGCTGCTCCTCCTTGTACGCCTCGAACTGGGGTAAACGACGAGAGAAAGGGTCAGAGAGGGACGGGAGGTAGAGAGAAGACGAGGGAGGGAGGGAGAGAGGGACGCACGGCCGCCTTGAACCTGCGCTCCGGGTGCGTCTCGATCTTTGCGGCCTGGGACCCGACGTAGGCCTTGTCGGTGCGCGACGTGGCGAGCGAGAGGGCGTCGAGGGCGTCGTCGATGCCCGAGGCGCTGAAGGACGAGGGCCCGTCGTTGCTGTCCGAGGTCGAGAAGGTCGGGATGGCGGGCGCCTTGGGCGGGGCGGCCTTCTTTGCGCCGGCCTTTGGCGGGGCCTTGACCTTGGCGGGCTGCGAGGCTTCCTCCTCGGCGAGGAGGCGGTCGCGCTCGGCCTTGCGGGCTGTGGGTGTACGACGAGAGCGAGGTCAGTCGCGAGGACAAGGGGCGGTGCGAGGTCGAGGGAGGACGGACCGCGAGCAGCCTCTGCAGCCTCTGCCTTGGACTCCTTTGCGGCCTTGCCCTTTGCGCCCTGCCCCCACTTTTCAGCCTCCTGCTGCTCCTTCTCCTGGGCGACCTTTGCCTTCTTGCCCTGCTCCTGCTCCTCCTTGCGGGCCTGTTGCGGAGGGTGGACGGGTCAGGCCGGGTTGCGGGATTTGAGAGGCGCGGTCGAGGTGGGCACCTTTGCGGCGGTGGCCTTTGCGTTCTGCTTTGGCTGGAGGGTGGGGAGGGGAAGGTGGGCGGAAGCGGAGCGAGGAGGAGGAGGAGGAGGAGGAGAGAGGGTCAGCGAGGAAGGAAGGGGACAAACGTGGAGGGATAAAAGGTGGACGTACTGCCATGAGGGTGAGGGAGCTGTTGTCGGTGTCGGTGAGAGCTGCAGCAGGTCGAGGCGAGAGCGAGACGACGAGCAAGCTGGGCCTCCCCGACCCTCGCCTCGCCCCGAGCCCCGACGACGTCGTCGCTTCTCCCTTCACCGGCTCGCTCCTTGGACAGAGCACAGACAGCCCTAGCACCACCTCCACCACAATGTCGATCCCTCGCACCTCGGACCTCAACACCCAGGTGCGTCGTCGCTCCATCCCCTCATCTCATCTCCACCCTCCCCCCCTCCCCTCGGCGTCACACTCGCTCACCCCTCGCCCACACCCAGGCCCGCACCTCATTCCGCCGCTCGTCGCGCAATGCCCGCGGTTCCGTCTCCGAGGTCGGCAGGCGCAGCGAGGCCGGCCGCCTCCAGTTCACCCGCACCCAGGACGACACCAACCTCCCCTCGGCCGCCAAGAAGGACATGGCAGAGTACCTCGCCAAACTCGAAAAGCAGTTCACCATCACCCCGCAGCGCATGCGCATGTCCGTCCTCCCGCCCTTCCTGCGCAACCGGACCTGCAACTGAACCCCCTCCCTCTCAGGATCGTCGACTCGTTCATCGACGTCCTCGACCGCGGTCTCGCCACCAAGGGCAACGAGGTCGTACGTCTACCGCTCCCTCTTCCTCTCGACCCAACCCGCAACCCGTCTCACTCGTTGCCTCGCACACAGCCCATGCTCCCGACCTACGTCTTTGGCTGGCCGACTGGCCAGGAGAAGGGCTCGTACCTCGCCGTCGACCTCGGCGGCACGAACCTGCGTGTCTGCCTCGTCGAGCTCGAGGGCGACAGCAAGTTCGAGGTGACCCAGACCAAGTACCGCCTGTGCGTCTCGCCCTCCCTCTCCTCTCCTCCTCCTCGCCCAACGGCCCACTGACCCTCGTTCTCGCATGCCCCACAGTACCGAGGAGCAGAAGCTGAGCGACGCCCAGGGCCTGTTTGACTTCTGCGCCGAGTGCCTCGACAACTTTGTCTCGGACCACTTTGGCGACGACGACGGCAAGGTCGACCTCGACGAGCCCATCCCTGTCGGCTTCACCTTCTCGTACCCGTGCGAGTGCGTCCCCTCTCTCTCGACTCTCTGTCTCTCGTCGCGGCGACGCCGGTACTGACGACGCTCTCTGCCCGGCGCGCGCAGGCAGGACCGCATCGACCACGGCGTCCTCATTCGGTGGACCAAGGGCTTCGGCGCGCCGGGCGCAGAGGGTGAGGACTGTGCCGCCCTCTTCAAGAAGGGCCTCGAGAAATACGTGCGTCCCACGCTCTCTCGCTCCTTCCGTCGCCGCCTCGTCCAGGACGGACCCACTGATTCCCCCTGCGCGCGCCCCGCAGAACGTCCCCGTCAAGCTCGTCGCGCTCATCAACGACACGACGGGAACGCTCATTGCGTCGGCCTACGTCGAGCAAGCGACGCGCGTCGGCGTCATCTTTGGCACCGGCTGCAACGCCGCCTACATGGAGCGCGTCGGCAACATCCCCAAGATCAAGGACCTCGGCCTCCCCGAGGACGCCCTCGTGCGTCCCTCCTTTTCTCTCGGTGTGTGGTGGACGTGACACTGACTCGTTGGCTCGCGCAGATGGCCATCAACTGCGAGTGGGGCGCGTTTGACTCGACGACGCACGAGCACCTGCCGCGCACGTCGTACGACATCCACATCGACGAGACGAGCAACAAGCCGGGCGAGCAGGCGTTCGAGAAGATGATTGCCGGGCTCTACCTCGGCGAGATCTTCCGCCTCATCATGTGCGAGATGATCGACGAGGGCATCCTGTTCCTCGGCCAGGAGACGTACAAGGTCGAGAAGCCGTGCGTCGACCGCTCTCTCTCTCTCTCTTGGTCTCTCTCGTCCTCCCTCGAGCCCGTGACTGACCTACGGGAGCTTCGCGGCCCACAGTTTCGTCTTCGACACAGCCTTCCTCTCGCTCATCGAGTCGTCCGTCCACCCCTTTCTCTCTCTCTCTCCTCTTGCCCCGAGATCTCCCCCCTGACTCCCACTCGCACCCCTACAGCGACCCGACCGACGAGCTCCTGACCGTCACCGGCCTGTTCGCGCACTTCTTCTCGCTCGACACGACCATCGCCGAGCGCCAGTTCATGCGCCGCCTCGCCGTCCTCATCGGGACGCGCGCCGCGCGCCTCTCGGCGTGCGGCATCGCCGCCCTCGTGTCCAAGCAGGGCCTCATGGACGGTGACGACGTCGGCGCCGAGGGCAAGACGATCGGCATCGCGACCGACGGCAGCTTGTACAACGTGCGTCCCCTGCTCCCTTCCTTCCTTCTGTCGACCCGTGACCCGTGCCTGACGAGCGCCCGTCCCGTCCTCGTCGCCGTGAGCAGAAGTACCCCGGGTTCCCGCAGCGCCTCGAGGAGGGCGTCGTCGACATCTTTGGCGAGAAGGGCCGGTGCGTCGCCCTCTGTCACTGTTCATGTCGCTTCTTCGAGCTCGACGAGGGACATTAGCTGACGAGTGTGAGGGCTTCGCAGTGCCATCAAGACGTACCACGCCGAGGACGGCTCGGGCGTCGGCGCGGCCGTCATTGCCGGTGCGTCGCCCCGTCCTTCTCTTCCCTTGCTTCTCGTCCTTCTCGCCGGGCCCACCTATCTCCCTTCCTCGTGCCGGCACACGTCACTGACCCTCTCGTCTCCTCTTCTCCCTCTCCTCCTCCTTCTCACCTCGCCCTCTCCACCCGCCCCCCTCTCTCCCTCTCTCTCGCTCGCCGATCCACCCACAGCCATGACCAAGGCGCGCATCGACGCCGGCTTCGCGACGCACGTCTGAGCGCGTCTCTTTCGACCTGTGCGGCGTGAGCCGTCGAGGACGAGGACGAGCGAGGGCAGCATGTACAGAGAAGGCGGGAGCGAGCGAGCGAGACGAGGCGAGACGAACGGGGCTTTGGACTGTGACTGTGACTGCCTCTTGTGTCGAGAAAAAGAAGGAATCCCTAGACGAAAATGAATGCAACTCAGCTCGGTCGTGCCGCCAAGGTCCCGTCGTCTCGCGCCCGCTCGGGCCCTCGAGCTCCTCGACCTCTCGCTCTGCGTCTCTCTACCTCCGTCGACTTGCTCGGTCTCTCTCGCTCGCTATCTTGTCGTCTCTCGCTCGCTCTCTCGCCGTCTCTCGCTCGCGGACGCTCTCCCCTCGCGCTCGGCCAAGGTGGGGTCCAACTGCGAGTTGCGATAACGACACGGGTGACGACGAACAAGAGCGGCCCTCGCGAGCGCTCGACACACGATCCCGGCTCTAATACTGCACGCGGTACCCGGGTATCTTGCTGAGCGCCTCGCAGTTGGGGAGCTGCGGCGGTGCGAGAGAGGGGAGGAAGGGGAGGAGGAGGAGGGGGAGTCAGTGCGAGGTACGGGGAGAAGAGAGGGAGAGAGGCAGGACGAGAGGGACGCACCTTGGTGTCAAGGATCTCCTTGATGCGGGCATGGTCGGCGCCGAGACCTGCGAGACGGCGAGGAGAGAGTGTCAGACCCGTTCTTCGACATCCACCCTCGAGCGTCGCTCAGGGAGCGACGTCGAGGGACGGCGACCGTGAAAGCGAGAGAGAGTGAGAAACCTCGAGACGCACCGAGGAACCCCCTCGCGCGATCGAGGCCGTCGGTCCGCCGGTTGAGCTCCATGCGGCACAGGTTCTGCAGCCTCGCGACCCACGCCTCGTTGACCCTGCGCTCAAAGCCCAGCAGGCTGTGCGGCGTGCGGAGCTGGACGGGTGGGAGAGGGGCGGCGGGGTCGGCGTCGGCGTCGGGTGAAGTGGAGGAGGGAGAAGGGGAGGAGGAGGAAGGGGAGGACGACTCGGCGACGGGGGCGGCGGTCGCGCTCGTCGGCGACGAAAGGTGCGCCGCCAGGTCGCGCTTCCACCGCTTCGTACCCGGCTCCGCCGAGCTCGAGAAGGCGCCCACCGGCGCTCCTGCCGCGCCCGCACCCTCACTCGCGCCCGCGCCGGTCACGACCCGCTCGACGACGTCGGCGTTCTCGGTCAGGACGTCGTCAAACAGCGGGTGCTGGCTCCACTCGTCGGCGTCGACGTAGTACCGCGTGCCGGACAGCGTGTCGCGCGCGAGGCCGTGCCGGGCGCGGGGCTCGAACGCGAACGACGGGTCGGGCGCGGCCGACGAGGCCGACGAGAGCCACGAGGGGAGCTGCGAGAGGAGCGAGAGGGCGAAGAAGAGGAGGAGGGGCGCGAGCTGGACCCAGGGCGACGACTGCTGCTGCTGCCCTCGTCCTGCGCCGCCGCCTTGACCTGGTCGTCGCTGCTGCTGCGGCCGGCCCATGCCCGGCCCGTAGAACTGGAACGTCGTCCCGCCGAACGGGCCACCGCCACCGAACGACTGGAAACCGCCCCCACCGCCAAAAGGCCCGCCGCCGCCAAACCCGCCGCCGCCGCCGCCAAAAAAGGCGCGGAACAGGTCCTCGGGCGAGATGTCGTCGGCGCCGCCGTACTGCCCGCCGCCTGCGCCGGCAAAGGGCGAGCGCGCGAACCCGCCGCCTCCACCTCCACCGCCGCCGCCGCCGCGCGAGTCCGGGTCGCTGCCCGTCTGGTCGTAGATGGCGCGCTTGTTCGAGTCGCTGAGGACCTGGAACGCCTTGGACACCACTGTGGTGGACGTGCGTCGTCAGTGAAGTGTACGAGAGAGAGAGAGAGAGAGAGAGGACGAGGGCGCACTCTTGAAAGCGTCCTCGGCGCCGGGCGCGAGGTTCTTGTCCGGGTGGAGGCCTGCAGGGGAGCGAGACCGGGGCGCAGGAGGGTCAGTGTGACGTCGCGAGTAGAGAAAGGGAGGCCGCAGACGCACTCAAGGCGAGCTGGATACGGGGCGAGGTGGGGAGAGGAGGAAAGAGAGCGTCCCGGTCAGTGCGAGGTTGCGCGGACGGCGAGGACGAGAGAGGGGACGGAGGTGGGAGCGCACCTTGCGGTAGGCCTTTTTGACCTGGCCGTCGGAGCACGACTTTTCGAGTTCGAGGATCTCGTAGTAGCTCGTGGTGCGGCATGCGCGGACGCGCTTGACGACGGCGAGCTGGGCCGAGGTGTACTGCTTGGGCGCGGCTTGTGCGGGCTCCTCGGCGGCGGCCGGGGCGGGTTTTGCGCCTGTGGAGCTCGACGAGGTGGTGGTGCGCTGCGAGGTCGAGGCGGCCGAGGGTCGAGCCGAGGTGGCCGACGATGAGGCGGCGGCCGAGGCGGAGGAGGAGGAGCCGCCGTCGCGCAGGCGCTGAGCGCGGTCGAGGAGCTTGCGGGCCTCGGGTGTGGGTTCGAGCTGGATCGACTTTGTCGCAAAGCGGATGGCCGAGTCGTAGTTGTCGCTGTCGAGGTGTCGCTGTGCGATGGCGAGGGCTCGCAGCGCCTCGTCGCGGTTTGCGACCATGGCGCGTGCGGGTGTGGGTGGACGGCGAGAGCTGTAGCGGTGGCGGGTCTAGCCCAGCTGGACAGGGGCGACGTGGTCCGAGGCGAGGAGGGTCGCGTGGACGAGAGCAGCTCGTCGTCTCCGAGACTCTCGCAAGCCATGCCCGCCCCGCCCACACTGCGATGAGCGTCCTGATCTGCTCGGTCACCTTGGCCAGAGCCATCGCCACCTATCGCACCTACTCGCACCACCGACAGAGCGACGAGGGCGCCGCTTGTCCTCGTCCCGCTCCCGCCGACCACGATACCGCCTCGAGCTGGAGTACGAGGTGCGCACCTTACTCTCCCCCATTCACCGTCGCACACTCACTGATCCACGCCCAACTCGCGTCGCAGCCTGTCGCCCTCGTCGACCTCGACTCCTCGAGCCGCCCCACCCCTCGTCTCGACCCCGGCACCTTCCCTCCCACCTTCGCCGCCACCACAACCCCGCACCCCTGCCTTGCGCACTCCCTCGCTCCCCACCGAGCCCGTCCTCGCCGCTCAATTCCCCTTCCCGTCGTCGTGACCCCCACCTAAACCCACTCCTCCTCCTCCTCCTCCCCTCACCGCCCCTCTCACGCCCACCGCCGCAGCCGCACCACCGCCCCACCAGCGCACGCCCACGATCCGCCGCACCCCGTCGAGCATCTCGCGTCGCTCGTCCATCTCGTCGTCGCTCAAGAGCGCCGCCACGAGCCCCGGCTTCACCCCCGCCGCCGCCCACACGCTCCAGCCCGTCCTCCACAGCGCCACCTCCTCGACCGACGACCTGCCCCACGCCGCGCACACCAAGGCCCTCTCCGAAGGTGCCGGCGCAGGGCTCAGCCTCGGCCTCGGACGACCCAGCGCACCGCCGACCCGGCTCGTCGCGCCCTCGTCGCCGTCGCCGTCGCCGAGCGAGCCCAAGCCCGCGCCGCCCACCGGCCGCAGGGCCTTCAGCCTTCCGTTTGGGCGGCGCAAGGCGTCGAGCCAGGGCGGCGCGGCAGCTGCACCGGCGCAGGCGCAGGTGCAGCGAAGCGAGGAGGGAGGCGAGGCCAAGGCGGCGGCGTCGGGTGGGATGCCCGTCATTGAGCGGTTGCGGAGCTTCAGCCGGCGGTAGAGCGTGCTGTCACGAGCTGTAGAACTGTCTGTATTGTTGTAGAATCCGTGCTGCCGTTGAGAGCCTGCTCGACAAGGCGCTGAGAGAGGCGCTGCACCTCGGTTCGGCCGCATCTCTCCCGACCGACCTCGCAAGCCGAGCTTTCACCGGTCCGTCTACTCTCCAGCATATCTTGAGAGTCCGCCTTGCGCGGCAGCGGTGTGCGCCCTGCCCTCGCCGGCCCGCCTCGCGCCTCATCACCTCGAGCGACTCGAGGACCTCACAGCTCGAGCGGCACAGGCCGAGGCCTGACGAGTAGCCGCCCCCAGACCTTCTTTACAGTGTACTGACCCCCTGCCGCACCCGCAGCACTCCCCTCTCGCCTCCCTCGACCTCGCCCTCCCCGCTCCTCGTCCTCGCCCCGCTTGACCTCGTCCCAAGCCCTCCCTCGCCCGCACCATGCCCCGACCAGTCGTCTTCTTCGACATCTCGATCGGCCAGACGCCCGCCGGCCGCATCAAGATGGAGCTCTTTGACGACATCGTGCCCAAGTGCGTCCCACTTTCTCCTCGTCTCGCCTGCAACGCGGACCCAGGGCGCGCGAGCTAATGCCCAAGTCGCACACTGGACAGGACGGCCGAGAACTTTAGGCAGTTCTGCACGGGCGAGCACCGAGAGAACTCGCTCCCGGTCGGGTACAAGAACGCCATCTTCCACCGGTCCGTCCCTCCTACCCTGCCTCTCGCGCTCCGCACACACAGCTGACTGACCGTCTCGCCCCCCCGACGACACCCCGCAGCGTTATCCCGCACTTCATGATTCAGGGCGGCGACTTTATCAACGCCGACGGGACGGGGAGCACGAGCATCTACGGGCCCAAGTTCGAGGACGAGGCGTTCGAGGTGCCGCATGACCAGGCCGGGCTCCTCAGCATGGTGCGTCTCGCCTCTCTCTCTCTTTTTGTGGGTGTAAGGAGGGCTAGGGCTGGCGGGTAGATCCTCGCACTGACACCTCGCTCCTCGCCCTTCGTGCCCTCCCCTCCCCGCCCCCTCCTCCCACACCCTGCCCTGCCCCTCCCTCTCGCAGGCCAACTCGGGCCCGCACACAAACGGGTGCCAGTTCTTCATCACGTGCGACCCGGCGCCGTTCCTCGACGGCAAGCACGTCGTGTTTGGCAAGGTCGTCGGCCAGGACTCGATGCTCGTCGTGCGCAAGGTCGAAAACATTGCGACCGGACCCAACAACCGCCCGAAATTGACGTGCAGCATCACGGGTGCGTCGCACTCGTTCTCTCTGTCCCTCTCTCCTTCTCGCACGTCGAGCCGTCGTCCTGCTCGCCGCGCGCGAGGGATGGAGGGCGAAGTAGCCGGACCAGAGCTGACATTCCTTCCTCTCTGCAGAGTGCGGCGAGTTGTAGACGAGTGCATTGCAGTCTGTCGTCTCGAGCGAGTGCGCTGTGGCGAGGAGAGCTGTCGTCAAGAGAGCGAGAGAGGCTCGAGGCCGGTCGAGATCGTGACGCTGTGCGAGCGGCGAGCGACGAGGTCGGCCGGGCGAGCTCGTGGTCTGCCTCGCTGCTTGTTGCAAGTTTGGCGAGGTGCAGCTTGGAGTCAGACCGGCAAAGCGTCGTCGGCGAGCGAGGGACGAGAGTGGCCAACTTGTGAACGTCTCGGACGCGGCCGATTGGCCCAAGTCGCGCCGAACGCCTCCGCCTCCCCTCGCCCGCCTCACACCTCTCCCTCTCCACCTCAAGCCAGCTCATCGCCAGCTCGCACACCACCATGCTCACTCCCGCAGTCGCTCGCGCTGCCCGCGCCGCACCCAAGGTACGTCCCCTCGCCTTCCCCCTTCGCGCACCTCCTCCCCGATCCTCGACTGCTCTCGCCCGACCGGGTCCTCATCCTCGACCTCCCGCGCCACCACGCGCACCACGACTGCCTCGACAGCCTGCACCTTGCAACACACACGAGCTGACTCGTTCGTCCCCTGCACCCGTGCAGCATGTCCGCGCCCTCGCCACGGTCGCCGACTCGAAGCCTCAGCAGCTCAAGGAGTTCTCGATCTACCGCTGGGTGAGCCTCGCCTCGTTCTCGACATTTCGCAACGCGCTCGTTCGGGCGGCCAAGGTGGCAGGGGCGGGCGCACGGGCGCGCTGGGAGGACTCGATCGTCGAGCTGTCATGGGCGGCGACGACGGCGGCGAACCGCGGCTCGCGTCCGACTCGCTCTGGAGGTCGCTCGAGGGGGTACGGCACACGGTGCGAGTCGATACGGAACCACGAGGGCGGCGCGCGGCATCTGGCGTGCGCATGAGCAGCTGGAGGAGGGCGCGATCGCGACGGCCGCCAGCTCGTCGCCGGCGACGACACACTCTCTTCGCTCTCTCGAACGCGCGCGCTGACCCATTGCGACCCATATGCAGAACCCGGACAAGCCCGCCGAGAAGCCGTACCTGCAGAAGTACTCGATCGACATGAACAAGTGCGGGCCCATGGTGCTCGACGCCATCCTCAAGATCAAGAACGAGCTCGACCCGACCCTGACGTTCCGCCGCTCGTGCCGCGAGGGCATCTGCGGGTCGTGCGCCATGAACATTGACGGCGTCAACACGCTCGCGTGCCTCAAGCGCATCGAGAAGGACTCGAAGGACGTCAAGATCTACCCCCTGCCGCACAGTGCGTCCCGCTCTTCCTTTCGCCTCTCCTGACAGCAACACGGCATTGACGAGCTCTCGTGCTTGCGTGCGCGCAGTGTATGTCATCAAGGACCTCGTGCCCGACATGACCCAGTGCGTCCCTCCCCTCCTCTCGCCTCTTCCTGTCCTCGACCGGGCCTCACTGACTGAACCTTGCCCCTCGCCACAGGTTCTACAAGCAGTACAAGTCGATCCAGCCGTACCTCCAGGCCGAGAAGCCGGCCGACGGGCGGGAGCACCTCCAGTCGAAGGAGGACCGCCTCAAGCTCGACGGCATGTACGAGGTGCGCCCCGCTCTCCCTCTCTCTCTCCCTCTCCTTCTCCCACGCATCCCCTCCTGACTCCTCATGCGCCCACAGTGCATCCTCTGCGCGTGCTGCTCGACGTCGTGCCCGTCGTACTGGTGGAACCAGGACCAGTACCTCGGCCCGGCCGTCCTCATGCAGGCGTACCGCTGGGTCGCCGACTCGCGTGACACGCAGACGGCGGCACGCCTCGAGAAGCTCGCCAACCCGTTCTCGCTGTACCGCTGCCACACCATGTGCGTCGACCGTCCTCGCCCCTCCTCCCCCTCCTCCTCCTTCCTTGGCCTTCCCTTTTCCTTCACAGCGACTGACGCTCCTTCTCTTATGTCCTACAGCTTCAACTGCACCAAGACGTGCCCCAAGGGTGAGCCCTCGCGTCGTCTTCGTCGCCGTCGGCGGCCTCGAGCGTCGCCGGACCCTCCCGGCCTCCCTCCTCGCCCCCTGAGTCCCTCCTCGAGCTCTACTGACCCTCCTGCTCATTATCAAAGGCCTCAACCCAGCCCAAAGCATAGCTCGGTATATAGTCCCCCTTTCCCGGGTTCGGAAAAAGGACTTGCACTGACTCTCCTCGTCGCTCGCAGCCTCAAGCAGGCCATGGCCCAGGCCTGAGCGGCTCTCGTCTACCCTCTCGCGTGCCCCTCTCTACCTCTCGTACTGTCTCTCATTGTGCAATGTCCCACTTTCGTGCCCCAGCATCGAGCGTCGTCGTCGTTCGCGCGAGAGAGAGAGAGAGAGCGCGAGCACCAAGTTTTCCCCGGAGCGCTCGGTCCTCGGTCGCTCTCGACCTGGGCTCGCACGCTCATGAGCCCTGTGCACGACGACTCGCAGAGAGGGTCGACCGCAAGAGAGAGAGCGAGAGGACCTGCAGGCGCTCGTTCCTCCTCTTCCCCGTCCTCCTCCTCGGCGCAAAGTCGGGCGACAGTCGTCACCCGAGGGTCGCCGATCGGTCGTCGAGCTCGAGTAGACGTCTCGAACTGACGATAGAGCGAGATTGAAGCCCTGAAAGCCTGGCGTCGCGAGCTCAGAAGCGATGCGTTCCTGTCGCTCCTCACTGCGACGGCGACGCCGAGGGTGCGCAACTCCCTTTTCGTCGCAGGGAATGGCCTCAGTCTTGAGTGAACGTCTGGATTGGGCGATCGAGAGCAGAGCGGACCCGAAAAGAGCAGAACTGCGAGCTCGAGAGCGACCTTCTCCTCGTCGTCCTCCTTCTCGAGCGCAAAGCTGTGAGCGCGACCTCGTCTGAGGGTCCTCGACTTGGCTCAATCCTCGAGCATACGTCTCGATAAGTCGTTCGAGAAGAAAGCGGAGCCGACAGGAGCAGAGCTGCGAGCTCCTCCTCGGCAACTCTCGTCTTGGGAAGGCCCGCTCGGACCGCCCCTGGACCTGCTCTCTCTTTGCTCCCTGACGCTCTCTGTCGACCGACAATGTGCTCAGTGCGGCTCGAGATCCCTGCTGCCGTTGTCCCTAAATCGCAAGGACCGAATCTGGGGCAGAAGAGGGGATCGTAGCAAGGTCGTAGCACGTGCTACAACGACTCGAGGGGAGGGAGGCTTGAGCGATTCTCGCGCGTTTGCTTCTGCCGGGACGTTCATGGCGAGTCTGGCTGCTACGGTTCGAAGGGTTGAGGAGTGAGAGACCACAAGCCAGCTGGACCCAAGAAGAGCAGAACTGCGAGCTCGAGCGCGACCTTCTCCTCGTCGTCCTCCTTCTCGAGCGCAGAGTCGTGAGCGCGTCCTCGTCTGAGGGTCCTCGGCTGGACCTGATCCTCGCCCATACGTCTCTATAGGGCGACCGAGAGCAAAGCGAACCCGAGAGGAGCAGAACTGCGAGCTCGAGAGCGACCTTCTCCTCCTCGTCCTCCTTCTCGAGCGCAGAGTCGTGCGCTCGCGCCTCGCGACCTGGCTCCGCGACGGCTTCTCTCTCGAGCAGGCGCGTCGTACGACGTCGAACGAGAGCGGTACCGGTCCAAGGAGAGGAATGTTGCGCGAGCGACCACGTCCTCGACCTTCCTCCTCGGCGGCAACGGAAAGTTGGGCGTGGGGCGACCTCGAGCGGCCTGGCAAAGCTCGCTCCCGGTCTTGCCGACATGTCTGTTGAGCCGAGGAGAAGGGAAACGCAAGCACCCGGCTCACGCGAGTGCCTCGTCCACCTCGTTCGGGCTCGAAGCGAAGTCGAGGACCGCCGCGAGCGCAGCGCTTCATCGTCAGGCGGGGGCGCACAGCTCTCGGGATCCCTCGGAAGGCTGATTGAGGACGTCTGCGCGTCTGGGGACCGAGGAGAAGGCCCGTACGCAGCGCAGCTTGCGGCGTCGAGGTGCATCGGCTCATGTGGGGCACATTCGGAAGATGCGGATACTTGCTGGTACGCGCTGGTACTCGCACTCCGCCTCCCCTCCAGCCGGCGGTCGAAACCAGAATCCCGACCCTCGAGCTCTCGCCGCACCTCTTTCTCGGGCCGCAGCGTGTGAGCATCGATGGAGAGGAGCTCTGGCCGACAGCGCACCGTGCTCGCGCGCCGTCGAGCGAGCTACTTTGCTCTTCGCGCTCCTCGTGCCGCGAGGCCACGGCCGCTGCTCTCGCTCTCGCTCTTGCTCTCGCTCTCCGAGTCCAACTCGATCAGTCCGCGCTCATAGAGAGCTCGAGCTCGAGAGAGATCTCGCGACCGAGCTGCGTCGCAGAGAGGACGAGGAAAGAAGTACAACAAGACGACCCGAAACACAGCTTGCCTCGCGCCCTCGACCGCCCCGCTCGAAGCCGCACGAGGACGACGCCGAGCGGGCGCGCTCACGAGATCTCGGTCTGCATGATGCGGGCGGCGAGGCGGCCAAACTGTCGCAGGGCGAGGGTGCGCTGGCGGTACATGAGGAGGAGGCCGCCGACGACGGCGAACGCGACGTTGCACATCTGCAAGGCGGGGCCGCGAGCGTGCGAGGTCAAGACCTGAGTCCGAGAGTAGGACAGAAGACAGGGCGGGACGCACGATGAACTCGAAGTAGTCGTTGTACTCCTGGCGGAGGACCTTTGGGCACGCCTCCCACGTGTGGAGCACGTCCTGGACGCCCCTAGTCGTGCCCTCGAGCGCCTCGTCGCCGCCGTCCTCGCCGCCTCCTGGGCCCGCTCGTCGCGCGAGGCGGGCGGCGAGGGCCCACTCGGGCGAGTCGTGCGCGACGAGGACGACGCCGGGCCCGTCGAGAGGCGGCGAGCGGCGTTGTCGGCGGCGGCCTGCGTCGATGACGTCGCGCAGCTCTTGCTCGGCGGGCGAGAGGGGCTTGTCGTGGGCGTCGACGGCGGGCGCTGGCGGGGTTGAGGCTGGATGCCGTGCCGAGTCGGGCCGGGGCGAGGAGGACGAGGAGGAGGAGGATTGGGGAGGGTCGGCGTCGGCGAGGTTGTGGCGCGCCGGTGCGGCGAGACGCGGGATGCAGCTCAGAGGTCGACGGTTGCCCCACAGCTTGCAGACGGGCGAGTCGAGCTGCGCGGGAGGTGAGAGGGTGAGCGGGGGCGGAAGTCGGCGAGGCGAGGCGAGAGAGAGGGGGCGCACCTCTTGTGGTGGGCAGGGTTGGCAGTCTGCGTCGATGCGGCACAGGTAGTCGCCTGCGGGGGACACGCCCTGCGGGAGGGCGGCGGCGGCCGAGGCGGGTTGAGGGAGCGAGAGGGCGAGGACGGCGAGGGCGAGGCACGCGACGAGGGCGCGGGTGCGCGAGGGTGCTGGCGCGGTGCTGGGTCGCCTTGACCTGTGCATGTTGGCGCACACGGGCGAGCTGGACGAGAGCGAGAGGGACGGACGAGATGAGACGCGACCAGACCTCGTCGCTCTCGAGCACCACACCCACCTGCTGCTCAGGACTCCTGCGTGCTACTCTCCAGGCTACCTAGCCGCACTCCCTACACGACCGAGCGCAGCCATGGACAGCGAGAGTCCGTCCCCTCTCCTCGTCCTCCTCGTTCCTCCTCCCTTCATCTCCAACTCACAGCTCGTGTCCCCCCCACAGCCCTCCTCAAGCTCGCAGAGTCGCGCGTCCTCATCTCCGACACCAAGGCCATCAAAAAAGTCATCTACGCCTTCCACGCCCTCCTCCACCCAGACTCGCACGGCGACAAACTGTCCGTCTCCCTCTCGCTCTCTCCTCGTGGGCTGCCACTCAGCCCCCACTGACCGGTCCGCACATCCGCACACACAGCTTTGCAGCCCACGCCTCGTTCGACGGCGCCCTGTCCCAGTTTGCGCAATCCCTCGCCCGCGCCGACCACATCGCCGCCGTCACCGCGTCCGAGGTCGCGTCGTACCGGACCGAGGCCGCCGCGCTCGAGCGCAACTCGCACGACACGAGCGACGCCCTCGGTCGACTCGAAGGCGAGCTCGCGAGGGCGCGGCAGGAGCGCGCGAGGAGGATCGAGTACGACGCGAGGGCGAGGGTCATTCAGCGCCTGCCCGACCGCCACAAGGGCCTCGAGTGCGTCCACCTCTCTCTCTCTCTCTCTCTCTCGGCGAGCGACACCCGAAAATTGACCGCCCTCGCCCCGCACCCGCAGGCAGCAGCAGCGCCTCGAGTCCGACATTGCCCTGCTCGAGTCCGAGTCGCGCACCTACGCCGAGACGTGGCAGGCGCGCAAAGTCGCGTTCGACGCCATCGTAAACAGCCTCCAGGTCATGCAGGAGGCGATCCGGTCCGTCCTCGCCCGCCGAGCTCTCTTCCCCGTCCCGTCCCGGCGCCGCGCTCGAGCCCCACGACTGACTTTCCTGTCTCCCCACCTCCCCTCGCGCCGCGCTCACAGGGACGAGAAGGCCGAGCAGGAGCGCCGCCGAGCACTCGACGAGGACGACGGCGACGCCGATGCGACCCTCGACGACGACGCGCCTGCCCCGACGCCAGCACCCGCACCCGCACCCGCACCGGGCGCCCCACCGTCCGCCGCGCCCTCGGGCCTCGCGCTCGACCCACGAGCGCAGGCGTTCGTGCCCGGCGCGCCTGGCGGCGACGAAGACGGCGACGTGCCCATGGGCGACCTCGAGGCCGAGTCGGTGCAGGTGCAGCTGCAGCTGCTTGGCCCGCCGAGGACGCCGTCGGGAGCTTCGAGGGCGTCGAGGGAGGAGGGGCAGGTGACGGACGACCAGCCGTCGACGCAGGAGGACGAGGCGTGAGCAGGGCTTGGGTGCGGGGCAGGTCGAGGGACGGGCGGGCGGAGGAGAGGCTCGAGCGGGGTCGCTCGGGCGAGGTTTCTGTAGCTGTGCCCTCGCATTGTTGTACCGACTAGTGCGGCTCTCTCTCCTTCTCTCTCTCTTGCACGACAGGACGACTAGAGTCGATAGTTGCGCCGCGTTTACAGATCACGAAAGAGGAGAGGACAAAAGTCGAGCTCGTCGACTCTCCCTCCCGCCCCACCGTCTACAGCCCTCGCTCGCTCGCTCGGCTCAGGCCCGCTCAGCGTACACCTTCTTGGCGAGCGCGACGGCCTCGTCGACCTTGTCAACCTCGGTGCCGAACCCTTGGGCGCCGTCGTCCTTGCCGCCGCCCTTGCCGCCGACGAGCTTGGTCACGTCGGCGAACCACGTCTTTGCCGAGAACTTGCCCGCGACAATGTCGCCCTTGGGGACCGTGTTGAGGTGCGCGACCTTGTTGTCGGCCGACACCGAGAAGAGGTAGGCCGCCTTGTTGAGCGTCTTGGCCTGGTTCAGGCCGCCCTGGAGGATCTGCGAGAGGACGAGGACGAGTCAGCAGTCTGGGCTCGTGAAAGGCGAGAGAGAGAGAGAGAGAGAGAGAGAGGAGAGAGAGAGAGAGGAGAGAGAGAGAGAGAGACGTGCGCACCTTGGCGTTGCCCTTGGCGTCGTCGAACCGGGCGACGAAAACCTGGGCGTCGGCGTCCTTCTTGAAGAACTCGGCGACGGCGTCGGCGACGGCCTTGGCCTGCTCCTTGTCCTGCGCGCGCGCCGCGTCGGCGATGGCCTTGCGCGCGCTCGTCACCTGCGTGCGCAGCTTGTCCTTGCGCACGACGCTGATGGCCTGCGCCGCGAGGTCGATCTCGAGCTGCTTGAGCTCGTGCTCCTTGTCGGCGCCCGCAGCGAGCTTGGACACGCGCTCGAAGCGCGCGTCCGACTCGTTGGCGAGCTGCGACGCGCGCCGGGCGTCGTCGCCCGTGATGGCGATGATGCGCCGGATGCCCTTGGCGATGCCGCTCTCCTCGACGACGACAAAGTCCTTGATGTCGCCCGTCTTGGCGACGTGCGTGCCGCCGCAGAACTCGACGCTCGTCGAGCGCCACTTGGGGTTGTCGAGGTCGGCCGTGATCTCGTCGAGCGAGTAGGCGAGCGTCACGACGCGCACAGGGTCCGGGTACGCCTCGCCGAACACGGCGCGCAGGCCCGGGATCTTTTGCGCCGTCGCGAGGTCCATCTCCTTGCTGAACACCTTGACGTTGCGCTTGATCCAGTCGTTGCACTGGTCCTCGATCGTCGCGAGGTCCTTGACCGAGATGGGCGCCTTGTGCGAGAAGTCGAACCGGAGCTTGGACGGCGCGACGAGCGAGCCCTTCTGGTCGATGTGGTCGCCGAGCACCTCGCGCAGGCAGAAGTTGAGGATGTGGGTGCCCGTGTGGTTGTTGCGCAGGGGCCAGCGGCGGAGCTGTGAGGGCGAGAGGGGTCGCACCGGGACGATGACGAGGATCGAGCGCGAGAGTCGGCGAGGACGAGGCGACGGCCGAGAGGGAGAGAGGTGGAAGATGTCGAGGGCGGCGGAAGGGATGGCAAAGAGGCAGGGCGACGAGGGAGGAAAGGCGGGAGAAGGAGGGAAAGGGGGGGGGGGACGAGGGCGGCGAGAGAGAGGGATCGTGTCAGTCAGGCCCGTGCGTGACGCTGTCGACGACGAGGAGGAAAGGGAGGGAGAGAGGGAGAGAGAGAGAGAGCGTGGGACGCACCTCGTCGTACGTCGCGACGACGTTGTCGCCGACCTTGAGCTCGCCCTCGACGATGCGACCGATGTGGAGCACGTAGCCGTTGAACACCTGCGTGTCCTCGACGACAAAGTCGCTCTGGCCGTCGATGACGATGCGGCCCGTGTCGTACTCCTGGCCGCCCGACTCGGCGTAAAAGTTGGTACGGTCGAGGACGATCCCGAGCGCGTCGGTCGTCGGGCTCGCGAGCTCGCTCGTCGAGTCGACAAACTTGCCCTGGTGGTAGATGGCCTTGACGGTCGCGTCGACGTTGCCCGTGCCAAACTTGTGGACGTCGTCCGTCTTGGGCACGGCCGAGTTGGCCTCGAGGGCGCCGATGTCGTGCACGTCGAGGCGCACCTGCTGGCCGTCGCCCTTCTTGCCGGCGCCCTTGCTCGCCTCCTTGCTCGCCTCTTGCGCCGCGTCAAACTCGGCCTGGTCGAACGTGAGCCCGGCCTCCTCGGCCATGAGGAGCGTCAGGTCGACCGGGAACCCGTACGTGTCGTACAGGCGCCACACGTCGCTGCCCTTGAGCTGCTTGGACCCGGCGGCGTTGGCGGCGGCGACGTACGACTCGAACAGGCGCTCGCCGCGGTCGAGCGTGCGCGCGAACGACTCCTCCTCCTCGTCGAGGATCTCCTTGAGGTCGGCGTCCTTGCCCGTGATCTCGGGGAAGAAGCCGCCCATCTGGTCGACGAGCGTCGGCGCGAGGCTCGAGAAGAAGGTGCCGATCGGCGTCCCAAACTTCTTGCGCACGTAGCGCGCGCCGCGGCGCAGGACGCGGCGCAAGACGTAGCCGCGCCCGACGTTGCTCGGGACGCCGCCGTCGCAGATGGCGAACGTCAAGGTGCGCACGTGGTCGGCGACGACGCGGTACGCCGTGTCGATGCCATCGACGTCGTCCTTGCCGAGCTTGCCCTCGTACGGGCGCGCGCCCGTGAGCTCCTGGATCTTGGCAAACAGCGGCATGAAGACGTCCGTGTCGTAGTTGGAGCGCTTGTCCTGGAGGACCGAGACGAGGCGCTCAAAGCCCATGCCCGTGTCGACGTGCTTGGCGGGCAGGCTGCGCAGCGACGAGTCGGCCTCGCGGTTGTACTGGATGAAGACGACGTTCCACACCTGCACGACGCGCCATGTGCGTCAGTCCCGGGCTCGGCGTGTACGAGAGAGAGAGAGTGAGGGAAAGAGGGCGCACCTCGAGCACGTCCGGGTCGTCCATGTTGACGAGGTCGGACGCGTTGCGGCCGCCGATGCGGTCGTAGTGGATCTCGGTGCACGGGCCGCACGGGCCGGTGGCGCCCATCTCCCAGAAGTTGTCCTTGGCGTTGCCCGGGATGATGTGGTCCTCGGGGACGCCGAGGTTGAGCCAGAAGTCCTTGGTCTCGAGGTCGGCGGGGAGGCCAAAGCCGCCCTCGAAGTAGGTGACGTACAGGCGGTCGGGCGGGAGGCCAAAGACCTTGGTGAGGAGCGTCCAGGCCATCTCGGTCGCCTCGGTCTGCGCGGCGCAAGAGCGCGAGTCAGTGCTGCGCTCGTGAGAGAGGGAGGGAGGGCCGGAGCGCACCTTGAAGTAGTCGCCGAACGACCAGTTGCCGAGCATCTCGAAGAAGGTGTGGTGGTACGTGTCCTTGCCGACGTCGTCGAGGTCTGTAGGGGGGGCGCAGGCGAGGGCGTGAGCGAGGTGCCGGGAGAAGGAGGAGGAGGAGGAGGAGGAGGAGACGGAGGACGCACCGTTATGCTTGCCGCCAGCGCGGATGCACTTTTGCGAGTTTGCTGCGCGCGAGAGCTTGGCAAAGGACGAGTTTGGGTCGACGGTGCCGAGGAAGATGCCCTTGTACTGGTTCATGCCGGCGTTTGCGAAGAGGAGGGTCGGGTCGTCGTAGGGGATGGTGGACGACGAGGGGACAAAGGTGTGGCGGTGCTGCGAGTTGAAGTAGTCGAGGAAGGTCTGGCGGACCTTTGTGGCGGGCCAGTCGCCGAACTGGGACTGGGTCGACGAGGCAGCCATGGCGGCGGAGCGCGACGAGAAGAAGCGGCGCGAGGAAGGGAGGCGAGAGGGGAGGGAGCGCGAGGCGAGTGCGAGCCTGGCGAAGAGTGGCTGCGTGGTGGGCGGGCGAGTGCTACTGAGCTCGCAGTCGCAGAGGCTCGGCGGCGTGTGAGGTCAAGCGGAGAGCGAGAGCACCGAGTCGAGGACGAGGACGACTCGGAGCCGACCACCTCGCCCGTCCAGCTCGGGTGGCCTGTGCTGCCCTGCTACACTCGCCTACACTATGTCCTCGGTCGCCAGGCCCACTCCCGCCTCGCCCCGTCACCGTGTCGCCGCCCTTGACTCCCCCCTCCCTCGAGCCTCATCAGCTCTCCGTCTCTCCTCTTCAGTCACGCCCCCAGCAGCGCCGATACCCCGACAGCCTCGACCTGCATCGCTTCCAGGGCCACCCATCCGCCGTACGACCTCGAGCGACACGGTACTCGCCACCCTGCCGCCAAGCACGCACAGCACGACTCGCTCCTCCCGCCTCTGGCCTCGCCCACGACCGCGCGCCTCGTTCTCGAACACACTCGGCCGTCGAGAGGAGGCAAGGGATCGAGCTGGGCGGAGTGAGACGGGCGGGCGACGCGCGAGATGGACGGCAGCGAGGCTCGAGGCTCGGTCGAGGTCGGACCCGGGGCGAGTGGCCGCGGCAGCACGCCCGGCGCGGTTCGCTGTCTGCTCGGGCGGTACCAGAGACGCGCTCGGGTGCGAGGGACGGCATCCACTGCCTTGCAGCGTGTGTAGCAGAGCTCTCGATCGCAACGACGACGACTTGTCCCTCTCGTCGCGGCTTCGATGCCTCTCTCTAGCGAGCACGCGCCTTGAGAGCCTCTTGTCTTCCGAGATGCAAGCTGTGCGCTTGCGAGTGAGCAGAAAGACGCGAGCTGTGAGCGCCACGGCTTACACGTCTTCGGCTTCGCCTCCTTTCGGCGGCCGGCTGTGGCTCTCTCACCTCGCTCCTTCCACTCGACACGCTCGAGCCAAGCCTGCACCTGCACGCGCACTACAGCGATGCATCCGCCGACCCTGCCCCTCGCAGCCGCAGCAGCGCTCATCGCGCTCGGCACCGTCGCGTCGTCGTCGTCGCTCGCCGCACACCCGCGCACCGGCTTCCTCCAGGACGTCCTGTCGTCGCGCTCAGCCGAGCAGAACTACTGCAAGGTGCGCCCCACTTCCCCTCTGCTTTCCCCCAGTCCCTCAGGTCCAAAGCTGACCAAGCCACCTTTCGCGCCTGAACGCAGCCGACGGGCCAGATCCACGACGCGTGCTGCGACTACGAGACGGTCGAGAGCGTCAACGAGGAGCTGTTTGGTCGCCTGCACGACCTCGTCGCGACCCCTTACTTCCGCTACCACAAGGTCCGCCCTTCTCTCTCTCTCCCTGCACCGCCACTCCGGGCTCCGGCGACCGAACCTCGAGCTGACCTCGCCTGTGCGCACACACTCGCAGGTCGACCTCGCCAAGGAGTGCCCCTACTGGGAGGAGGACGGCAGCTGCATGAACCGCGCGTGCAGCGTCGAAACGACCGGCGAGGTGCGTCCACTACTCGCTCCCTCTCTCTCAGTCGGGCTCGCCCACACACACTCAAGCCCGTCCTCTCGCTCGACAGGACCACATTCCTGAAGCATGGCGATCTTCAGCACTCGGCAAGCTGAACGAGACGAGCGCGTGGAAGACGGTGCGTCCATCTCTCTCTCTCTCACTCTCTCCTCGTCTGCGAGCTGATCCTCTCCCTCTCGCACGCAGTCGTCGCCGGCGGGCTGCACCGAGATCAGTGACAGCGACTTTTGCGTCCTCGAGGACGAGCTCGACTCGGAGGGCGTCTACGTCGACCTGCTCGAGAACCCCGAGCGCTTCACGGGCTACGCCGGCCCGTCGTCGTCGCGCGTGTGGAAGGCCATCTACGAGGAGAACTGCTTCACCCCCGTGCCGTTCGTCGACGCGTCGAGGTCGACGTTCGAGGGCGGCAGCGGCTTTGCGCCCGTCTCGAGCGGGTTCGGCGGGCTCGCGAGCGGCATGGGCGGCATGGGCGGCATGGGTGGCGGGCTCGCGGCGGGCGGGTGGGGCGAGAGCGAGAAGCGGCTGCTCGGCAGTTTGGCTGGGCCGAGGGACCCGGACGAGGAGGTGTGCCTCGAGAAGAGGGTGTTCTACCGCGTCATCTCTGGTGCGCACCGACCGCTTCTCTCCTTCCTCTCTCTCTCTCTCGCCCTCTCGACCTGACCACTCCCTCTCTCACCCAGGTCTGCATGCCTCTATCTCGGTGCACATCTGCGACGACTACCTCGACCAGCAGACGGGCGAATGGGTGCGTCGCTGCCCGCCTCTTCTCGGCGACCGGGCACTGACCCTCTCCCTCCGTCCCTCGTCGACAGGCCCCAAACCTCGACTGCTTCATCACGCGCATCGGCCAGCACCCAGAGCGCCTCGAGAACATGTACTTCACCTACGTCCTCCTCCTGCGCGCCCTGTCGCGCTCGGGCCCGCAGCTCGTGCGCACGCTCGACGCGACGGCCGGCGAGCGCGAGACGCGCGACCGCCTCGAGCAGCTCGTGCGCGTCGCCGACGGGTGCCCGAGTACGTTTGACGAGACGAGCATGTTCAGCGGTGGCAAGGAGGCCGAGGTGCGCTCCCCTCTCTCCCTCTCTCTCTCTCTCGACGTGCCCTGACCCTCGTCGAACGCGCCCGCAGCTCCTCAAGTCCGAGTTCAAGGACCACTTCCGCAACGTGTCGCGCATCATGGACTGCGTCGGGTGCGACAAGTGCCGCCTGTGGGGCAAGATGCAGATCACGGGGCTCGGCACGGCGCTCAAGCTCCTGTTCTCGTACGACGGCGCGACGCCGCTCGCGTCGCCGACCGACGACCCGACGGCCGCGCCGCACGCCGTCGCCCTGAGCCGCAGCGAGCTCGTCGCGTTCGTCAACACGCTGCACCGCCTCAGCGAGAGCCTCGCCGCCGTCGACCGCTTCCGCACCCTGTGGGCCCACCGCGGCGAGCCGGCGCCGCCTCCTGCGCGCTCGCCGGCCCCGCCCTCGTCCTCGCCGGCGCCGTCGCCGGTCGTCGCCGCCCCCCGCGAGGACCAGGTCGGCCCGGACGAGCCGCTCAACTCTGCGCCGCCCGCCGCGCCCTCGACGCACAAGCCCTCGTTCGAGCCGAGCCTCGGCGCCGGCGCCGGCGTCGGCGTCGAGGGCAACACGAGCACGGCCTCGCTGTGGGAGCGCCTCGTCGGGTTGTGCGAGGGCGGGTGGAGCGCGTGCGTGAGGGTCGTCGCCGCGAGTGCGGCGAGGGTCAAGGGAGGCGAGCCGGACGGCAGTGGGCGCGACGAGCTGTAGAGCATCTCGTGGATAGAGCGGCATCGAGGCATCTTTCTTCGCTGACTCGCGACCGGGAACGAGAGAGAGAGGGAAACTGCGAGAAAGGGTTGCAACGCGAGAGGTCTGGTCTACAAAGCCGCCGAGCGTCTAACATGCGCCGGGTCCGGGGTACTGCTACAACAAGCTGTCGTGCGTGTGCGTGCTCCTCAGACGATGAAGGACCTGCGGGGACGGGAGCGAGGTGGGTCAGCGAGCGGTCGGCGCGAGCCGGCGAGGTGGGGGAGGAGCGAGGGGGGACGCACTCTCCACAGCCGCAAGCGTCCTTGATGTTCGGGTCTGCGCAGAGAGGAGGCGAGGTCAGAGAGTGCCCACACAGGCAAGAGGGAGAGCAAGGGGGACGCACTGTTGAAGACGAACCGGGCCTGAAGCGCGTCCTCCTGCCAGTCCATCTCGCTCCCGATGACGCTGAACAGGGCCCGCGAGTCGATGACGACCTTGACGCCGTCCTGCTCGACGACCTCGTCAAACTTGTCGGCCTTGTCGACGTACTCGAGGTGGTAGCTCATGCCGGCGCAGCCCTTGTTGCGCACCCCGACCCGGATCAACTTGGGCTCGGGCTGGTCCATCAGGCCGCGGATGCGCTCGACCGCGCCAGGCGTCTGCGAGGGTGCGACAAGACAGGGGCTCGTCAGTGCATGCGCGAGCCACGACGAGAGGGCGACGACGAGGGTGGACGATGAGCTCACGAGAGAGAGGGCCGCCTTGCGCGCTCGCACGGTGCGCTTGCGGGCCGGTTGGGCGGCCGCTTTCGGTGCCGGGGGTATGGGCGCAGGGTGCACGGCGGGCGAGGGCGTCTGGTCGAGGATCGGGGCGCGGCGGGGGACGGCCGACGAGAGGTGGCGCTGGCGAGGGACGACGAGGGCGCACGCGGGGCAGCTCGCCGGGGCGGCGCGCGGCGTGGCCGTGGCCGCGGTGCGCAGGGCGGTGCGCAGTGCAGAGGTCGAGGCGCGCAGCATGGTCGAGTGAGGTGCGAGCGAGCGAGCGAGAGTCAGCCGTCGCCCGAGGGCCGGCTCGCCGCCCACGGCCAAGTCCCGAAAACGAGTCGATTCCGATTGGCTCGCGACCACATTCGCTTGCTTTCGCTCTCTCTGCAGCTGCACGGCGCGGGTGGTACAGCAGCACCCTCAGTGGGCACTGCACGATGGACGAGTTGCAGACGCGCAAACACTACCAAGCAGACCTCCTCTCCTCCTTCGCCTCGAGTCGACGTCGCGCTGCGGGACACGGGCCTGAGCGTCAAGACGCGCACAGACGAGAGAGAGAAAAAGAGACGGGACGCACCTCGACACTCAGTCGTCAAAGTCGAAGCCGTGCTCGAGGAGGCTGTGTCGGGGCGGACGAGAGAGGGTCAGTTGCCGTCGAGAGGGAAAGAAAAGGGCGCGAGCACGACGACGCACTAATTCGCCGCGAGCTCCTCGTTCTTGTCGCACGCGATAAAGGCCTGGATGACGAGCTGGCGGTCGAAACCCATGCCGACGAGGCGCTCGATGGCGGCGCGCTCCTCCTCGGTCACCTGGATGTACTGCTCGCCGCCCGCGCCGCCGGCACCGCCCTCGTCGTCGCCGAACTGGTCCATGAGCGCGTCGACGCCCTCGCCCTCCTCGACGCCCTCCTGCAGGAACTCGACAAACTCCTGCTGGTTGCGCTCGATGAGCTGCGGAGCGGTTCGAGCGTGCAAGAGTCAGTCCTCGCTCGCTCGCTCGGCCTCGACTCGACTCGACGAGGGGGACGAAGGAGGGACGCACCGTCAAGAGCTCCGGGTTGCTCGCGCCGAGCTGCTGCAGGAACGGCTGCAGGAGCGCCGGGTTCTGCTGCACAAGCGCGCGGAGCTGGCCCATGATGGGCGCGTTGCGCAGCTGGCCAAGCTCGCCCGAGTTGGCGCCCGCACCGGCGCCGGCGCCGGCGGCAGCAGCTGCGGGCTGCTGAGGTGCCGAGCGCGCAGCGGCGGCGGCCTCGAACAGGTTGCGCGGCGCGTTGGTCGTGGCGGCGGCGGCAGCTGCGAGGGAGGCTGCGAGTCAGTGCCGGGCTGCGGCCATCGAGAAAGAGAGAGAGCGAGCGACGCGTGCGTACCAGGAGCAGGAGTAGCGGCGAGAGGAGCGGCGTTGCCGGCGGCGGGGGACGGGGTACCCGGCGGGTTGGCGGCCGCGGGTGCCGGTGCGGGCTCGGGCGCCGTCTCGGGGATGCCCTGCGAGCGCAAAGGTGTCAGACCGGCACGGACACGAGGGGAGAGAAGACGACGGGACGCACAGTCATGAGGTACTCGACGGCACGGTGCGGATTGTTGAAGCTCGCGCGCATCGCCCGCTGGACCTGCTCCCTCGGGAAGCCCATGGCGACCATCTCGTTGACGCTCGTCTCGAGGGCCGAGCCGGCGATGAACGACGTCGACGAGTCGCCGGACGGCACGTTGGCGGGCGCAGGCGTCTCGGCCTCGGTCGCGGCGGGTGCGGCGGCGGCAGGCGCAGGGCCGGGCGCGTTGGGCGCGACCGGCGTCGCGGTCGGCTGGGCAGGGGTTTGCGGGACGGCGGCGGGTGTGGGCGCAGGAGCAGAGGTGGCGGGTGCAGGGGCGGAAGCGGCAGGTGCGGCGGCGGCAGCCGGGGCGGCCTTGGGCTTGGTGACCATGACGACGCAGAACTGCAGGAGCGAGGGTAGTCAGCGAGGGGACAGGGTGCTGCAAGGAGGGAGGAAGATGGGACGCACGTCCTTGGGCTTGAAGTTGGCATCGGCGACCGTCTTGTCGTCCGGGAGGACCTTGCCTGCGAGAGAGGGGAGGGGAGAAGTGAGCGAGGGGAGCTCGACAGGTGAAGCGGGTCGTGGAGGCGCTGCTCACCAGAGAAGATGATCTTCTGGTTGTCGACGGGGAAGCCCTGGTCGGCCTCGATCTTCTTCTTGAGGTCTGCCACCTGCGAGTCGACGAGAGCTGATGAGCGAGGGGGCGACTCGAGGAGAGTGAGGGAGAGGAGACGGGGGAGGCTCACCGTCTCGGTAGGCTCGGCCTCGATGAAGAACTGCTTCTGCTGCAGCGTTTTGAACTGGATCTTGACCATGGTGCGCGGTGGTCGTGGGTGGAGGAGGAGCAGAGCTGTTGTCGTCGTCAGCGCGTCAGCGCACCTATCTCTCTCGCTCTCTCGACCACCCCGCCTCACTCGAGCCGGCTGTGCTGCGCCACCGCACGCAACCTACCGGCTCTGCGGGTCCCGCCCTGCCCGATTCTCGGTGCCGCACGAGCTGCTCTCGGCCGTTCCGTGCTCTGAGCTCCTCCCCGCGTCGTCATTCGGCTCGACGACAGCGCAGGACACGCTGCTTGCTGCGCCCTTGGCATACGCTGCGGCGATTCGGTCATGGATGTACGGCAGGGTCCTTCCTCGACGCGGCGGCGAGCGCTGCCTGCAGCCTTGCCGATGCGGCGAGTGCGCTCGCGGCTCGACCTCGAGCGATCTCAAGGATCGTGACGAGCTCGTCGTGCGACGCCCGGGCTCGAGCAAGTCCTCTGTGCGCAGCGGCGAGGCTGGCTCGCCGTCGCTGCCGCTTCTGACTTCAGCTGTACCTCGAGGACGTCTCCAGCTTCTTTTAGCGTCTTCACGCGCTCCCGCCATCTCTTTCAGTGGAGCGGCGCTGCCGCCAGGTCCATGTCGGCGACGTTTGAGTCTTGCGGCGGCGCGTCCCGCCTGCAGCTCGTGCAGAGCTTGCCGGCCGAGGACGAGCAGCCCTCGAGCGGCGGCACCGAGGGGCTCGCGGGCACAACGCGGCCAACCAGCTGCCCGAGGCTCTGCCTTTGTTCGGGACGACGCGCTCGTGCAGGCCGGGCGCAGTAGATGGCCAGCCGGTGCGACCGGCGGAGCAGCGAGGAGGTGTCGGCCGCGAGACGGGTTCTGGGGCAGCCTGGACACGTAGCTCGTCGATGTGCAACTACTGCTTCTCTCTCGCCTGCTCGAGAGTCTCGCGAGCCGGTCGAGAGCTGTCGCACGGGCCTCTCTCACTTCGAGAAGGTCGCTCTCGGCTTTCCTTCGCTCGAGTCTCGCGCGAGCTCTGCTCCCGGCGCTCTTACAACAACGTCCTGCACAGGCACGAGCTCGTCGGCCGATCCGGAACAGAGCTCTCGGGCACTCGCTGCGTCAAGCTCTCGGCACCTCGCGAGTTCGAGTAAGGAGAAGGACAGACTCGTCGACGCCAAGCCTCGTTGCACTGCTCCAGCGACAGCTACTTCTTCTTCAACCTGTCCTTGAGGTTGACGCCCCGCTTTGGCGCCACGGCCGCCGGCTGCACCCGCTGCGGACCGGGCCCGCCCGACGCCGCCCACGACGGCTGCACCGGCGGCGCGCCGCCGTACCCAGGCCCGGCCGTCGCCGGTCCCGGCCCGCGAGCGGCGTAGCTCATCGGCGGCGGTGCGCCAGGCATGCGGCCCGGGGCGCCGTACCCGCCCATCGGCTGCGGCGGCGCGCCGTACCCGCCGCCGTGAGGAGGGTAGCCCGGCGGCATCATGCTCTGCGGCGGGCCCGGCTGCTGCTGCATCGGCGGCGGCGGACCGTTGAACTGCTGCGGCGGCGGCGGAGGAGCGTTGAACTGCTGAGGGTGCGGGAAGTGGATCGGCTGGGGCTGCTGCTGCTGGACGGGAGGGGGAGGGGGACCGCCGGCGGCAAAGGCGGCCTGCTGCGCCTCGTACTTCTTGCGCTTGTCGTACTCGTGCGACGAGACGAACTTGGGCATTCTGCGAGTGGGAGGCGACGAGTGTCAGGTCTCGAGAAGAGGAGGAAAGGCTCGAGGGCGACGGCGAGACGACGCACCTCGAGGGCTCCTCCGGGTACGGCTCGCTCCAGAACCACGGGTGATCGAGGGCTTCGACCGCCGTGAGGCGCTTCTTCGGGTCGAGGACGAGGAGCTTGTCCATGAGGTCGCCGAAGTGCTCGCTCCCGCTCTTGCTGCGCAACGGGGTGGAGCAGGGTCAGTCGACCCGAGCGGATGGCGAGGCGCGAGGAAAGAGGGCAGGCGACGCACTTGATCCAGGTGGCGCGGACACTGCGGCCTCGGTCAGGCCACTGCGCGCCCTCCTTGCCCTCGACGCCGGGCAGCTTGCTCCACCCAGGCATGCTCTCAGCCGTTGGCATGCCGCACTCGCTGCGAGAGGAGATAACGAGAAGCGTCAGTAGTCACTCTGGGATGGAGAAGGACGGGAGGAGAGGGAGGGGGACGTACGAGAAGATCTTGAAGGCCTGGTCAAAGTCCGACTCGCCGGGGAAGATCGGCTTGCGGTGGTACATCTCGCCGAGGACACAGCTGCGTGCAGTGAACGCTCGAGCTTCGTCAGTCAGGCTCGCCGAGGAGACGACGAGGACGAGGGAGAGAGAGGAGCAGAGCACGCACCCGACGCCCCACATGTCGATGGCCGTGTGGTACCGGCGCTCGCCGAGGAGGAGCTCGGGCGGCCGGTACCACCTCGTGACGACCGTGCTCGTGTACATCTGCGTGCGTGTGCGTCGTCGCCGAGTCAGTGAGAGTGTCTCGAGGACGCGAGGCCGGGAGAGGGAGAGGGAGAGGGAGAGGGAGGAAGAGGAGGACGCACAGCGTTGACGCCGGGCCTGTCGATGCTGCGGGCGAGGCCAAAGTCGGCGATCATCAGGCGCCCGTCGTTGTTGATGAGCAGGTTGGCCGCCTTCATGTCGCGATGCAGGATGAGGTTCTGCGGGCGCGTCGTCGGGGCTCGCGGTCAATGACGCTCGGCGAGGACGAGGGCGAGAAGGCTCGAGTGGGACGCACACGATGCAGGTAGGCCGTGCCCTCGAGCAGCTGCTTGGCGTACTGCTTGATGTGCGGCTCCTCGAGGCGCACCGAGCTGTTCTCGAGCAGGCCGGCGAGGTCGTGGTCCATGTACGGGAAGACCATGTAGGTCGCCGCCTTGACGAACGCCGTCGGGTCGGCTGCAGGCGTACAAGAGTCAGGGTGAGAGACCGAGCGAGAGAGACCGAGCGAGAGAAAGAGAGAGAGAGAGAGAGAGAGAGAGAGAGAGAGAGAGAGTCGGGGACGCACCGGGCTCGTACGCCATGTCGACGACCGGGACGACGTTGGGGTGGTCGAGCATCTTGAGCAGGCGGATCTCGCGGATCGACGTGATGGGCATCTGTGACAGAGCGTCGTCGAGTGTGAGTACAGGCGATGATGGGGAAGAGGACGGGAGAGAGAGAGAGAGAGAGGAGGACGCACACCATCGCCCTCGTTATGGAAGATGATCTGCTTGAGCGCCACGACGTCGCCATGCCGCACACGCAGTCCTCGCTCCTTGACGAGTCGCTCCTCCTCCTCGCGCTCCCTGTCTCCCCACGGCTTGCCCCTCGCGCCCCTGACGCCCTTCCACACGACGCCGAACGTCCCCTCGCCGAGCTTGCCCTGCTTCTCGTACTCGGCAATGTCCGAGCACCCGACGTACGACCTCGCGTCGCGCACCGGCACGGGAGGATGCACGGCGCGAGCCGCGGCGGCGAGCTCGTCGAGCGAGGGCGACGGCGCGCGCACCCACGGGTCGGCGCGCAAGCCGCCGAGCCGGGTGCGGACGCGAGGCGGCGCAGCGGGCTCGACGGGCACGGCGGCAGCGGCGAGGGCGCGAGGCGAGCGCAGGGCTGGCGTGCCGGCGGCGGGCCCGGAGCTCGGGTCGGCGGGCGTGCGAGAGGTGCTCGACTGCGAGCCGGGGCGCGACGAGACGGCCGGGTCGACGGCTGGGTGGAGCGGGGCGCGCGCAGGGTCGCTGTGGGGCGGCGCAAGTGCAGGAGGTGGGGGTGGTGGAGGAGGAGGAGCGCCGGGAGGAGGAGGCGGCGGTCCTGGCTGGTGCGAGTAGGCGGCCGGGTTGGGAGGAGGGACCGCTGCGCCGTTGGTCGCCGCTGCAGCATACGCCCGCTGCATCTCGTACAGCGACGGGCCCATCGTCGGGGGAGGCGGCGGTGCCGGCGGGAGAGGGAGGAAGTCGGGGCGCTGAGGCAGGCCGGCGACGCCGGGCGCAGGACGAGGGAAGCCGGCGGCGACAGGAGCGTGCGACTGCGTCGCGACGTCGACGACGAGGGCCGAACCCGGCTCAGGCAGGAAGCCCGGCTTGCGCGCAGGGCGATCGGGACGAGGAGGACCGGCGGAAGGCGGGAACTGGACGCCCAGCGCGGCGAGTTGGCGGTGGTGCGGGTCGAGGATGGGCGGCCCGTCGCCGGCGCCGATGCGGTTGCCCTGCTCCTCGGGCGAGTCGCTCCTCCTCGGCGGCGAGCGACGAGGTGGGCTCGTGCGGCGGCGCTTGGGCAGCGGCGAGCGCGCGTCGTCGGCTCTGCGACTCTGCTCGTCCCGATCATCGCCGTCGCGCTGACGGGTCGCGCGCTCGAGCGCGGCCGAGTCGTCGGTGTAGGGCAGAGGCTCGTCGTCGTAGGGCGCAGGAGGTGGACGTGACGGCGGGTCGTGGTGGTGCTGTGGGCGGAACGACCGCGGCGAGCGCGAGCGCGGACGACCGGGACCGTGCGAGTAGTCGCGCCGGCGGTCGTCGTGGGCGTAGCGCTGGTCCCGCCCGTGATCGTAGCCGTCGCGCCCGCCTTGCCCCCAGCCCTGTCCGTAGCCCTGTCCGTGCCCGTGCCCGTGCCCGTGCCCGCGCTCGTCCCACTGTCCCCTCGGCCGCTCGTCAGCGCGCCGCCACTCGTCCGGGCGCCGCCACTCGTCCTGCCGCTGGCTCCTCCCGCCCTCGCCGTTGCCCCACCTGGGCCCCTCACCGCGCTCGTCCCGCCGGTCCGGCGCCTCGTACCGGCTCTGCTGCTCCTTCCACCGCGCGCGCTCCTGCTCGAGGGGCGACTCGCGCGGCGGCGGGTCCATCGAGCGACGAGGCGGCTCGGCCGAGTGGGGCGGCGAGCGGCGCGAGTTGTCCTGCTCGGGCGCTGAGGCGGTCGCGATGGTCGAGGCGGGTGCGGGTGCGGGTGCGGGTGCGGGTGCGGGGATGGGCGCGGGTACGGGTACGGGCGCGGTCACAGCGTGGCTCGGGCGAGGAGGGAGCGACGGAGGAGGAGGAGGAAGGGACGGTGCAGGAGGAGGGAGGGTGGTCGTCCTCGCGACGGGCGACTCCCTCGTCACCGGCGGCGGCGGCGGCGGCGGCGCGACGATGTCGCCGCGCAGCAGCGCCAGCGCCAGCTTGTCCTCCTCGGACGGCTCGACCTGCCGCTGCGGCTGCGGCTGCGCTGCGGCGCGCGACGATGAGCCCGGAGGCGGAGCGCCCGGCCTTGCGAAGACGGGGAGCGAAAGCCCCCCCTTGGCCGAGCCCCCGCCGCCGCTCGACGCCGCCGCCGACCCCGCCCTCGCGCTCGCGCTCGTGCTGCGCTGCCGCGGCGGCGACTCGTGCACCTCGCCGTCCTCGACCTCGCCGCCGGCGTCGAGCTTGGCCTTGCCCTTGTCCTGCGGGGCCGCCGCCTGTGCCGCCGCTGCCGGTGCCGCCGACTTGCTGCTCGCGCCCGACGACACGTCGAGGTTGAGCGGCTTGCCCTTCGGCGGCGAGATGCGCTGCTCGAGGCTCTTGCGCGGTCTGGGCCCGGCGCCGTTGCCGCCTGCGCTCGCCGCTGCAGCTGCAGCTGCGTTCTTGATCTGGAAGCCAAACTTGAGCGGCGCGCGGGTGGTGGCGCCCAGTGCTACGGATCGAGGCTGGGTCGAGGTCGAGGTCGAAGCTGATGAGGACGAGGCGGCCGACGAAGGGACAGGGACAGGGACAGGCGACTGGCGCTGAGCCGCGCCCTGGATGCTCAGTTTGCGCTGCGGCTCGGCGGCGTGTCCTCCCGCTGCGGTCGTAGGCGCGCGAGGTGCGTCGCTCGGCGGTGGAGGAGGCGGCGCGGTCGAGGGCGAGCGAGGCGGCGCGCTGCCTGCGCCGTTGAGGGGCATGCTGCTGGTGCTCGAGCCGAGCCGCAAGCCGTCGTGCAGCGCTGGAGCAGCGTGCGGGGGTGCCGCAGAGAGAGGGAGCGAGAGTCGGCAGCGCTACGCCGACGTTTCGCAGAGGGCTCGCTCGGTTCGGGGCGCAGCGCAGCGGGGGGTACAGGGAACGGGCACGCCGTGTTGCAAGGTCGTAACAGTACTGCACAGAGACGCGAAGGTGGTGCTACATGGGCAAAAAAGCGCGGCTCGCCCCTCGTCGTCCTCCTCCTCCTCGCCGCCTCGGACTCGAACCCGGCCTCGCACTCGTCCTCGACCGTCGACGGCTCACCACTCGAACTCTCTGCGAAGGAGAAGGAGGAGGTGCGAGGGAGGGGGTGCGCGAGTTGAGCACGCGACGAGACGAGGAGGAAGAGCGTCGGCGACGACGACGAAGGGAGACGCACCCTTGGCACTTGGCAAAGAGGTACTCGCGGCCGTTGACGCTGACGAGGCCGTCCTTGAGCGTCACCTTCCACTTGTTCTTGACGCGCTGCACCTTTTCGTACAGGGCAATGACGAGGTCGGCGTTGGGGTCGGCGCCGTCGACATCGTCGTCGTCGTCCTCGTCGTCGTCGTCGTCGAGGTCCGAGTTGATGGCGTCCTCGTTGTCGTCGTCGCCTGCTGCGCCTTCTGCTTTCGGCTTGGCGGCGCCCTTGACCTTCTTGGCCTCCTGTTGCGGCCCCGAGAGAGAGGGTCAGCGAGGGAGGAGGGACAGAGAGAGAGAGAGAGAGAGGGGACGGACGGCCTTGTCGTCGACCTGTGCGGGCCGGTCGTCGTGCTTGAGGACGGGGAACTGGCGGGCGACGGGGGCCATGCGGGTGTCCTGGGTAAAGTCGGCTGCACGCGACTGGGCGAGGCGGAGCTCCCACAGGCGCAGCAGCTCCTGGAGGACGGCCTCCTCGACGCCGAGCTGGTCAAACTCGGGGCGGATGTTGTCGATCACGTCGGTGATGACGCCGCGGTACACGGCGGGCTGCGAGGCAAAGGAGGGGCGATGTCGAGGGCCGAGGTGGGGTGGAGGGAGGGCGGTCGAGGACGAGGTGCGAGCAGACGAGGCGAGGCGAGGCGAGGCGAGGGGCGGCCATGGCGAGGGCGAGGTGGTGTAGGCCGAGGGGCAGGCGAGGGCAAGGGTGGAGGTTGGGTGTGTGAGAGGCGTCA